TCTTTCAACAATTAAGAGCCACGCCCGGTTAGCTCAATCGGTAGAGCGTGAGACTCTTACGAGTACGCGATCTCAAGGTTGCGGGTTCGACCCCCGCATCGGGCTGTTCCTATAAAAACGATTTCTAACATCGTGGCATTCTTTTTTTGCTTTCTGAAGCTTAAGTGATGCTTTTATGATGAGGGTAGCCTGTATTTTTCTCTATGAAGTGAATAGTGGTGACTTTTTTGTGAAATACCCGGAAGTGCGGGGCCGAAAATGCGGCGTTCCGTTCTTATCAGCTGGTGTGTCTTCCGTTCCACATCGTCATCGCCAATCTTCGCTCTCGAGTAGTACCTACAAAAGACTCACTCTTCTACCTACGGCTTTGACATATACAGACCTAAGAGCGCATTGAGTACAGCGAATATGGAGAACAACAAACCCTTCAAACCGGCTCTTATTATCGTCGACTTCCAAGAAGACTTTTGCCCGCCTGTAAGTGAATCTCTGTACGTGGTGTAGATGGTGTCGCATGAGATCTGGTGTACGCAGTAGAGGTGTGGGCAGTTTCTTAGGCGATAGTTCGTTCAAGAAGAACCTGTGCAGTCTTAGTGGGTTCACTTCAACTGCTCTGATCCATCTTGAGCTTGCTATATATACCCTTTGCGATTCATGTGAGGATGAGATGGTTGAGACGACCACAAAGACTCGTCCAAGCAGAAGCCTCAGAAACCGACACAACTACATCTCACGACATCTCGTACCATATTTTTAAACAATCCATGCGAACAAAGCTGACATCAACAGCACGGCTCCCTCGCAGTCCCCCAAGGCCGCACAATCGCCTCCCCAATAAACACCCTAACAACCCTCCCCTTCCCACTCATCCTCGCAACAAAAGACTTCCACCCACCAACCCACATCTCCTTCGCATCCAACCACCCATCCTCAACGCCCTACATATCCACGACGAAAATCACACACCCGCGCGACTCCTCCCGCAGCTACACAACCACCCTGTGGCCCACGCACTGCGTTCAAGGCACACCAGGCTCTGAGCTAGTTCCCGAGCTGGACATCTCGCGCGTGCACGCTGTCATCGAGAAGGGTCAGGATGAGAAGGTGGAGATGTATAGTGCTTTTTATGATCCCTTTAGGGTGACTGATAGTGGTTTGGCGGGTATGTTGGGTGAGCAGGAGGTTACGGATGTTTATGTCGTGGGGTTAGCCGCGGATTTCTGTGTCAAGGCGACGGCGGAAGACGCAGTTAAGGAGGGTTATACGACGTGGGTTGTGAATGAAGGAACAAAGCCTGTCATGCCTGATAAGTGGGATGAGTGCAAAAAGTGTATGGAAGAAACGGGTATCAAATTCACATCACTTAGAGATGCAGTGGAAAAGGTTAAGAGCTACTCATAAGTAACAATAAAAGGATTAAAATTGAGTATTTGAAGCGGTATTAAACTCATACTACCACTCCATATTTGCATCTTTCGACGACTGTATATGTATGTACGCTTTGCGTGACCTTTCCAGAATGTCCCAATGCGAAAACTCCATGTTGTATGACCCATTCATCCCATTCCATATGTCATACATGCGTCTCTATTTTATATCTCCATCCACTACTCCTTCAAATGCAAACGCTCGTTTATCGCTTTGATCTCTGAATGGCAGCGGCGCTCATTGATGTTGTTGACGCCGAACGCTCCTGAGAGTTGGTCATGGCCAGAGAGACGGGAGTCATAGGAGAGGGAGCAGGAGCAGGGGTTGTGCTGCGAGAGGGTGCAGCACTTCGGTTGTGCTGCATGTGAGCCTTAACAAGGTGACCGGCAGCCAGAGCACTGCAAAGAGAGAGTTCTCCAGCAAGAACAGCGGCACCAATAATACGAGCAAGACGGCGGGCGTTGTCACCAGGGTTAGTGGGGTGAGAACCGCGAACACCAAGCATATCAAGCATGGCGCTTTGAGGCTCGAGAATTGTGCCACCACCAAGGGTTCCGACCTCAAGAGAGGGCATAGAGACGGAGATTTGGAGAGCACCTTTGAGGCTGAAATGGGTTAGCAATGATCAAGTTATTATAAAGGAATAAACTCACTTCTTCATGATGGTGATACAGTTGGCACTCTCGACAACCTGAGCAGGGTCCTGACCAGTGGCAAGGAAGATAGCAGCGACAATGTTGGCAGCGTGGGCGTTGAATCCACCGACTGAACCAGCCATAGCGGAACCGATCAAGTTCTTGGCAACGTTAAGCTCGACAAGGGCATCAACATCGCTCTTAAGAACACTGCGGACAACCTCGCCAGGAATGATGGCCTCGGCGACAATACCCTTACCACGACCGTCAATCCAGTTGAGAGCGGCGGCCTTCTTATCGGTACAGTAGTTTCCAGAAACAGAGACAATTTGCATGTCCTCAAAACCGCCCTCGTTAGACATAACGCTGAGGGCGTGCTCGACACCCTTGGAGATCATGTTCATTCCCATAGCGTCACCGGTAGTGGTCTTGAATCGGATATAGAGGTTGGTACCAGCAAGAGCAGTCTTCATGGACTGGAGACGAGCGAATCGAGAGGTAGAGTTGAAAGCCTTCTTCATCATGTCCTGACCAGCCTCAGAGTCAAGCCAAAGCTTGGCAGCACCAGCACGCTCAAGAGTCTCGAAAGCAACACAAGGACCACGGGTCATACCATCGGCAGTAAGAACAGTAACGGCACCGCCACCAGAGTTGATGGCCTTGCAACCTCGACTGGCACTGGCAACCAAGACACCCTCAGTAGTAGCCATGGGGATGAAGTAGCTCTGGCCATCGATAACAAGAGGACCAGCAACACCGACAGGCAGGGGCAAGTATCCAATAACGTTCTCACAGCAGGCACCAAAGACACGCTCCCAGTTGTAGTTCTCGTAAGGTAGCTTGGATCGGTCGAGGGAGTGGGTCAGGTCGGTGGTAGCCTTGTTGCGAGCGATGATAGTACGTCGGACCTTGACAGCGCGGGTGAAGTCACCAAGAGTCTTCTCAAGAGCATAACCGGGAATCTTTCCACGCATAGACAGGGAGACAACTTCCTCATCGCTCATCTCCTTAACTCGCTTCTCGGCCAAAAGCTTCTCGAGCTCCTCGTTGCTTCGGTTGGGAAGGTCGGCAGAGCGAGCCTTGGTCATGTGAAGACTGTCGGACTCATCATCGGTGATGGCGGGGGTCGTAGGTCGAGTACGCATAGGAGTGGGAGGAACGTATTCGCCGAGGGGAAGAGTAGCGGAACCAGTGTCGTTGAACTGCTGAGCACGAGCGAGCTCGTTTCGGTCGATGTTGTGCTCGGGAACATTGGGGTCCTTGATACCCCAGCGGGCGACGTTAAAGAGGTAACCGTTCAGAGCAACACTCAGAGCGAGAGCAATGACGATCCACTTGGAGAGGACGGGGTCCTCAAGGGACTTGAGAATACCGCCAACCATGCGGCCACCGACGCCGTATCCCTGGAAATGGTGGTGGAAAGCATCGACGTAAGCGGGGTGGTTAACGTCGACGGCAGAGCCAAGAGCGTAGTGAATAGAAGGGTACTCGAGCTCGTACTTGATGGGAGTGAGAACGGTAACCAGGGTAGGTCGGTTGTTGGCCTTTGCTGTAGCCAGGATAGCGTCCAAACCGTTGGAAGCAACCTTGAAGGGGTCAACAGAGAGAGGAGCAACAACACCACCCAGGCTGCTGGCCCAAGTTCGAATGGTAGACAGAGAGCTGGGGTTGCGGAATGGGATTGAGCAGATGTTGACAATGTTGACAAAGATGAAACCGAGGATCATCAGGACCTTGAAGGTGGGAATGCTGCTGCTCTTGCGACCGAAAATGGAAGAATCGCCCTTCACGCGTGTCCAATCACCGTCACTCTTTGCGACATTCTCAGCAACTCGGCGGCTGACACCATCATCCTCAAGGGCCATGCGCATGTCAACGTGACGCTTGATGCGGTTGATCTCAAGCTTGATGCTGAGAATGGCGGTGTAGAAGGTAAAGAGGAGAATGAAGTCGAAGAAGAGAGTCCAAGCAGCCAAGAAGCAGAAGTGCTGGAGACCACCCTGAACGCCAGAAGCAGCACCAATGGCAAGGATGACAATCTCAATAGCGTAGTCGCGCATGATCTCGAAGCCCTTCTCCTTGATAGCAGACTGAACAGCGTACTGGATAACGTTCTGCATGGAGCGCTCAGGAGATCGCTTGCCAGACTTGGAGTTCTGGATCTGGCGGCGGTGCTCAATGGCATGCGACATGACAGCGCGGGTCAGGACAATGTTCTTCTCGAATCCGATGGTGACAACCAAGAAGGGAAGACCCTCAGAGAGAAGGATCACGCTGATGGGAACGCCCAGCTTGGTGGTAACCACAAGACCGAAGAGGAAGGCAAACACAGAGGAGAACAAAGTGCAGATACCGAGCCAGAACTTGGATCCCAACTTGCGCATGGAGAGGAAGAGGGAAACAAAGGTCAAGTGCATGGCAATGTAACCCAGGAACATGATGACAATGTCGAGGGTCTCGGCGTTCTTGAGCAGATCAACGAACTCAGTCCAAGCATTGTTGACCCATTGAAGAACGCTGTTCTGGGTGTTGACCTTGGCAGCCTTCATGATCCATGTTTTCTTTTCGCGGCCGTGTTCGGTCTCAGTCTCGACGGCATCTTCGCTGGGAATCTCCTGGGCAGCAGCAAGGAACTCGGGACCCTCAGCGTAGGGAAGAGAGTAGGCGAGGATGCTGTCTTGAGAATAGGCGGTGAAAGGGTTCTCAGTCGAGGGAAGAGGTGTAATAGAGAGGTTCTTGGGAACAGGCACATGGGCGGCACGAGGGGCATTGCTGGACGACTCGGCAGAGAGTGTGTCGGGGAAGACAAGAGTCAGGAGAGCGAGGTGGTCGGCATCAGCACCGGCCTCGACAATAGAGTCCTGCTCGATAGCCTTCCAGTTCCAGGAAGTTTCAGGACCCGCGCGCAGAACACGGCTGCCCTCTACGAGGGAAGACCAATCGGCCTTGCCAACAGTAGGGACATCAGTGCTGAAGAAGCTCTCTTGTAGCAGACCGACGTATGAAGTGCTCGCAAGGACGGCGACGAGGACGACGGTGTGGATGGGGTGAGAGGTTGCGATACGGGAGATGAACTGGGCGATGGGCGTGAGTCGCTTGGACGCCCAAGACGGTGTAGTTTTCTCTGTAGGGGCGGTCTCGCCACGGAAGCGTTTCGGTAGAAGAATCGAAGCCATGGTGTTGAATTCGATTCGAGTTTGGAGGAGTTACGGCGATGTCGTTTACCACATTGATATTGATCTCGAGTAGACTGGTCTAAGCGCAGGTGTAAGTCCGGGGGAACGAAGTCAAGATCTGCAGGAGGCAGTAGGGGTACTTCAAGCCATTGAAGGCGGCACGACAAAGAAATGGAGGGTTCGTGGGGGGCAGATGATAATGTAGAAGCGAGGCTTAGAAGAGACGTAATGCAACACTCACGTTTTACTCAAAGGTGGCAGTACTTCGGCTTCGAAAGTATCGAGGCGGAGGGTCAAAACGCGGTGGAGGGGCAGACAAGGCGTTGAGGCCTTGGAGCTGAAGCTGGGAGGAGCAACAGCCACAGAAAAAAAAAAAAGGGACAGGCAGGGACGAATGAACGACCACACACCAACTTTCAACAGAGAAATAAAAGTATAATTCTCTGACGTGAGCAGAAGGAAGGAGGAGAGGAAAGGAAGAGGAAAAAAGTGAGGTAGGAGAAAAAAGAGGTAAAAGGGGGTCAAGAAAGATGTTGGGTGTGGAGGGAGAGATTAGTCTACCGTTAGGTTAGGACGTGGTACCTTGGAGATGGGATGGTCTGGTGCTGGCGCTGGTAATGGATGCCCATCCGTCAAAGAGAAAGCGGGAAATGATGGAGGCCGGAAGAAAGTGGAGGGATATTCAAACTGTCGGTCGGAGGGTCGTAGTGGCATTCGAGGGACCGCTTTCCTCTAAACCAGAGCAAAGAAAATTAGAGACAATAAGGCCGAGCGTTTCCTTAGCGTGGAGAAATGATCTTTTTTCTCTTTCTCTATTCTTTCTAGCCACAATACTAGCAGCCTCATTACTGAAATTGCAATCTACCTATAACACTGGGACAAGAAAATGTACTACTGTACAAAAATATTTTATTTCCTTGCTTTAGTGCTACTGGTCAATTCCTTCAACTTCTCTCATCCAATCCAATACCCTGTACTATTCCTTTCAATGCATCCTACCGGGGCATAAAAGTCGGGGATGAGATGCAATTTAGGCCTGACGCAGTGTTGGCAGCGGCGCTTTCACAGTGTCAGTCTAGCCACGATTCGGGGGTGTTGGTTACACAGTTTAGGTCTAGGGTGCCTTATAATCAGGCCCTTCTCCTGGTGTGGCGTATCGACCGCGTGGGCTACAGGGTCAGCCTTGACACTCCTTTTACCGGCGATCATGATGCGGTCCCTGATTGTCCATGTCAAATTGTAAAGGTTGTCGAGTGACTCCAGGAAGAATACGCTGATTGTTTACAGCACAGGCCGCTGGGCTTCATCCTGTTGGTCAAGCTACCAGATATGTGCAGACGGGCCGCCGGGCTACATTTGACTTGCGTTTCTTTGTCTCACATGCAGCAATTGTTCTGGACGACTATAACCTTCTTCTTGCTCTTGGCTTTGATATCTGATCAAATAAAAAGTATCACAACATCATGCTTTGGCTGCCGTCATGGCTGGGCGGGTAATGACATGGAGGGCGTTTGTACTCTTCTAATCCCTTGGTAATCTCATCTCAGGTTCTCGTAATCGTAAAAGCCGAATACGCAAATACCACTAAACCAACACCACCAACAAGACACAAATTCATCCGTCCGTCAATGATGACAAGAGTAATCATAACCAAGTTGAGTATTGATCTCTGGCATTACGTGTGTCAGCTTCAATTTAAGAAGGTCTTTGGAAATGTACCGAAGGCGCAGCCTCTTGTTGATGATGAATTCCTTAACGCGTGATCAAAAGCCTCCGTAGACGCGTTGGCGGGAACAAGTGGAGACATCTTTTCAAGATCCCTGAATCATCCACTTTCGAGGCGGCCAACGAAGAAAAAAAGTCTGGGTGCTTTGTTGTCGATCTCCATATGGAGGAAAATGGAGCCGTAACTGTACCAATTGGTTCGCAAAGACGATGCCGATTAGATGTACCGTATCTTGTCGTACACGTACTCTGATCGTACAGCAGAACCTCGACAAAAAGATATCGTCGACCCTAATCTCTCCGGTCCTGCCCACAATGAATTCGGCCTTGTACGTAAAATTCTCCGCAGGTGTCCAGGTCTTGGCATCCGTTATCAATCAGTGGTCCATGCTACTATCACCATTGAGGCTCTCGATGCGCAATTCTCTGCACTAGCTCGGCCATTGTGGAGTTTGAAGGGTAGAAACCGGCAACTAGAGCGATTTAATGTGCAGGAAAAGACAGATTGATAAGATTTGATCATCTGAGCCGAGGATCTAGAGGTTCTTGGGGGTTATACCGATGACGGACGTTGGTGGTGAGGTCCATCTGTCTAGCAGAATTTTCCTTTTGACATCGAGCTGCATATAATTTCGATGCACCATCTTGGGGTTTCGGAAACTGCCGATGCAGTTGGGCTCTCCTTTGGGGAAATGAGATGAGCCACTCAGAAGTTTTGTTCTGAATCAGTGTTGATGCCCCTCATCACCTTGCTCTTCACGAGGATATCAGAAAGCTTGCCCGTCAAGACCCTAAGAGATGAAATGATTTGAATATTTTATCCTAATCTAGACTAAATCTTAGGCCATCTTTTGTCATAGTCCTAAAGCTTGACGATACTCTCTGCTACCCAGTAGCTCTGTCTAAAGCTTCACTGGTGAAATGATACAGGGAAGGGCAATTCTTCACGTTGTGCGACCATAAGAACTCACTGCTGGAATCGGGGGCCGAAGAGTCGATGACATCAAAAGTCATTCATCGTCTAAAGCGAATCCCTTTGTCCTTGTCAACAATCTCGCTTGATTGTGTGATCGACTTCACCTCCAATCCTTGCCGTGCTTAGTATCCCGCTGCCATTACCGTCGCGACATCACGATTGCAAGTCCATTCTTACTCATATCATGTCAGGTACAGGTCGCACCGACCGGTAAATCACGGCTGCCTACATCGGTAAGTACCCGGATCCGCGTAAACACGACACAATGATGCACAAAGAGCGATATCTTTGTTTCAGAAACGAGAAGTGAACATTTTACCTTGTCAATGATGCAAGAATCGTCCTTGAATAATGAACCCTTGCTTTCGTTTACCATGACCCGGCCGTTAGAGGTCCACTATCCGGAGGGCATCTTGCGGGGCCGTAGACCCTGAAAGCCGGAAGATGGATGGAGTGTCAGATCATTGAAAGACGCTCGAGACTTCCCGTCGGTAGACGGTCGAACTCTATCAAAGTCCGTTGGTCTTTGTGTACACGAGAGCCAATTCTGGATTTAGACTACCGGCGCGCTAGGGTAGCTTAACGGCACAAACCGAAGTCGACGGCGTATTGGTTGCTTTCGATTCCATGATATGATTCCGTTTTAAACTGTTGGGCCACCAACAAAACTTGACAACCTCCAAATGCACATCTAGCTAGTCAATGGCTGTATAGCCTAACCCAAGTATTGCCAGACATAACAGAGACTCACCGCATATATATCCTGTAAAACGCAGCAATGCCAAGCACCGATGTCTTCCGGTGCTCTAGACCCTTTCCTCCGTCACAAGCAGCGGCCCGCTTCCGATGCAAGCCCGGTCCACCCACTATCACGCCAACAAACATCGTACGATTGGGAAAGACAGCACTTTTTCCAATCAATCCACTTCTTGAGGCTGAGAAAAATCTTGAAACCAAAACAGATAGGACGTCAGAGATTGGCCAAAATGATGCGGTTGAGCCCTTATGTGCGTCTTGTAATGGATGGACCGGGCCGTGGATGGGTTCGTGCTGAGGACAGGGAAGATGTCCAGTCATAAATTCTCGCCATGCTCTCGTGATCTTTGTTCCCCGGATGTGTCTCTGCAAAATATTAAAGCTAAACTGTTATCAGCATTGTCGAAAGATAAAAAGAAAGCAGAAAAATCCTTTCACCAATTATACGTCTGCCAATTCGCATCGCTAAGCTGGACAACGCATCAATCGGCAAGGGTCTTTCGTCTATTTCTCGCTTGCGGCAGACGATCCAACGCTCCCTGGTCGGAGGTTAATGAGAACGGACGACAACTCATTGGGGATGGAGGATAATCATGGCGATCCCAAGGTGACTTCTGACGAGGATAACGGTGTGATCAGTCTCAGCAACAGTCCAAGCAGCAATGGCTCAACAGACAGCCCGCACGTTTGGCTCGTCGGCGGAGGCATTGCTTCGCTCGCTGCCGCTGTGTTCCTGATCGACGATGCGCATGTACCGGGTAGCCACATCCATATTCTCGAGGCATCATCGAAAGCGGGTGGCTCAATGGCGGCATTCTCGAAGCCTTCTTGGGAGACAGGGTATCGGGTGTCTGCCATTCGAAAAATGAGTCTCACGTATCATTGCTTATATGGTATGTTGGAGAAGGTACCTTCTGACACCGAAGGTGAGACGCTGGCCGCCCGCCTGCGCCGCTTCAACAAGGAAAGCAAGAAACTCGGTGCTTCAGGAACAAGATTGGTGAGGCAGATTCCCGATGAGTGTGGAAAAGAGAAGCCCGAAGCAGTCGATGTGAGCACCATGGGTCTGAGTGTAAAGAACCAATGCGACTTGATGAGAGTGGTTCTAGAAACAGAGGAAGAGCTGGAAGGACTTGAGATCCAAGCTTTATTCGAACCGGACTTCTTCGAGACGAATTTCTGGGATTTGTGGTCGTCGCTCAATCGGTTTCACCCTTGGTGTAGTGCTGTTGAGTTCAGACGCTGCTTGCACCGTATGTTACATGAGTTTCCCAATATGGGAACATTGTCGGGTGTAGAACAGGCACCGGAGGAGGACTTCCAGGCTATCATCAAGCCTTTGACGCAGTATCTCAAGGCAATGGATGTCGAATTTCGGCACGGTAAGTTTGCGTTCGCTCAAAGAGATGTTTGTCTAACCTGTCTAGGCATACTCGTTAGTGGATTGGAGATTGAAGATGAAGGATCTGACATTCGAGTGACTGCCTTGAAGACATACCAAGACAGCAAACATGTGCCATTGACGTTGGGGCCTGACGACCTTGTGTTTCTTACTCTGGGCTCTTTGACTTCCGGTATGGGTTACGGGGCAAATGATCAACCCCCGCCGACAATGGAGCTGCGTGATTCAGCACCTCATGAACTCGACCCTTCATGGACTTTCTGGGATAGACTTGCTTTGGAGCGCCCACAAACATTTGGCAACCCCGAAGCTTTCTTTGACCGACCTTCGAAATCGACCTGGCTTTCTTTCACTGTCACTCTTCGCGATCCAGCGTTCTTTGAGCATCTGTGCAAATGGACGGGCACACTCACCGGCGCCGTGCCTCTCCTTACCTTCCGCGATTGCCCTTGGATGCTTTCCCTAACAATCCCCCAGCAGCCGTACGTCAAAGATCAACCCGACGGCGTCTTTGTATTCTGGGGCTACGGCCTCTTCCCTGATCAACAAGGCCGATACGTCAGAAAGCCTATGCTGGAGTGCACAGGCGCCGAGATCCTCACCGAGCTGCTACACCTAATGGCCTTCCCCCTCCAGCCAACACTCGAGCGCTCTATCACTATCCCTTGTCTGATGCCCCTGATCGGCAGCCCCTTCCTCACGCGCAAGAAAGGCGATAGGCCGAAGGTGATTCCCGACGGAAGCAAGAACTTGGGACTGATGGGACAGTTTGTTGAGATCGAGCGGGAAGTGACGTTTACGATGGAGTACTCGGTGCGGTCGGCACAGCTGGCTGTGTATGGACTTATGGGCTTGGATAAGAAGCCTCCGGGGGTGCAGGGCGAGGATCATGAGGTTTTGACATTGGGAATGGCGTTGAAAACGATGATGACTTGAGGGTTTGGGGACCGGAGTACAAAAGGCGTTAGGAAGCAACGAAATGGGATGGGGGTGGTGGACTTGACATACCTCTGTTTGATCTCATGTATACTAGGTAAATCTGTGTCTTTATAAATGACAATCAATAGTTAAAGTTGTTCTTTGTTCAGGGAGAAATCGAGAGAAGGCCTGTGTCCATCCTGACTTGGGTTTGCTTACCGGGCTGCTACGTTGAGATAGGGGGATTGCTCTGTGGGATAGCAATACTTCAATAAAGTGAATACCTAGGCACCAGTCATTTCACTCTGACAAAACCCATTGTCACGACCATTATTTCAATACCGACTACGAGGCCGCGGTACCTGTAATTGTCGCCGAGTTTACTGCCTACATCAAGCCCCCTTTCCTCTTCCACAACTATTTGCATCGAGCATCCAGGCACTCACAGCACGGCGACAATAAAAACACAACAAAAATGCATATCTACTACGAACAGTCAAGATTGCACTGGCACTAAAATATCACATTCAACAGCCCGCTTAGGAGCGACTTTAAACTACTGCCTCCTGGGCCGCACTGTCCTTCGAGCTGGCCCCCTCAGCCGCGTCAAGAGAAAGCCCGACCGACAGAAGGATTTCGTCATTCCGATATTACCAAAAACACCAGGCACTCCCAATACCAAAGCCTTAGGCTCTGGGTCCGGCTTTCGGTCCTCAGGCAGCGGCGTCTTAGTCCACCCGCACCTTCTCTCCCCTTCTACTGATTTCCCCAGTAACCGTCAAGTCAACATCCCCTCCTACTACCCCGCTCATATCCCCCCTCCCACTCCCATCTCTGCTCTTCCATGGTCCTTTTCATCTCATCACTCCTCAGTTCTCATCTAAAAGCTTAGAAGGTGGTCTTCTAAAGTTTAGGCTGTACTTTCGTCCTTCAGCCCCTCTTCCTCTTCTTCTTCTTCTTGTTGCTGTCGATCGAACGGACTACTCCGCGTTGTCACTCTTTGAATCATCCTCTGATCGAGATGGCTACTGTTGCTGTCATAGAAGCCCTCAAAGAATCTGGTATGCAGCACACTGCTCAGTATCAACTTAACTATCTAGATGAGTTCGAGGCAGCCAACACGGATGGAGACGAAAACATCCCTCAACACATAGTCGAGCTACGACTAATCCGCTCTTATCTTCTAGACGTCGCCTCAGGCACTGTTGTTTGGGATACCGAAGAAGTTGCTCGTCGCGTCAAACTAGGCACAGAAGGAAGCACTTCTGATCATGCTCCTGGTAAGCCTCTTGATAAACACGAGACGCCCGTTGCTGATTATGACTCAACAGACAACTCCGATGTGGTCGACCAGCCCGAAACTTCCTAGGAAGAAGCTTCGCAAAACACCACAACGGCTGCCACTGTCGGCACTGTAGCCTCTCCTTCTCCACCGACGTTTGTTGCGTGTGGGCCTCTGACCAAAAGCCCAGAGAAGGAGCGCGGTAACGTCAACAACACGCCTACCACACATGCTGCCAAAGGTGAGTACCTCTTTGTACATATATCTGCTAGACTAACACGCTGTTATAAGCCAAACATACAATGGAATTTGGGGAACGTGTCGCCAATGCGAAGCCCAAGCTGTCCAAGGTTATGTCAGATGCAATGTCATTCCTTCGAAGCGCGCCCCAGAGTGCTTCACCAGAAGGCGTAACTGGTGTATCTAGCCCTACAGAGCTGGCAGTTGTGCCCTCTTCTGAAACCTTGGAGGAGGAAGACCTGATCTCCTTTGACCCAGCTCCAGAGGTTACGCCCAGCAAGAACGAACCTAGCGACGTCTCAAGTATCAGATCTCCCCAGAACGTCTTATTGGACATCGACGATCACGTCAAAACTGAGTCTCCTCAATGGCACATTGTCCTTGGTCGCTACCCGACGCTCAGTTTGACTTCGGTCAAGAAGGAGGAAGTGGAGTGTTTCGTTTGTCACAAGGCCTCCACTGAGCCGTTTACTACATGCCAATGCAGCCACCAGTACTGCCCAGATTGTCTTTTCAATCTGGTCAAGACTTCAGTTCTGGGAGCCGCTGTATTCCCTCCTACTTGCTGTGGACAATTGGTCCCGGTGGATATCAACTCTGCGGTCTTTGACTTGGCGACCTTGCGTGACTTCTTGACCAAGAAGTTCGAGAATGACCATGAAATCAACGTTGGGTCACCCCAGGATCAAGAACTCGACGGTGAACTCACCCAGGCACCAGATCAGGTATCACTTTCACTCGAGAAAGCCAAGCAAGGACTGTGTTATCTGTGCCATCGGGTCAATGAGAAGGACGCTTGTAAGTTGTGCGATTACCAGTCCACCTTGCAAGCAACCAACTAAAGGCTGTTCAGTTTGCCCTGATTGCTGCTATCGCTGCAACTCAAGCCGAACACAGTGCAAGTGTCCCTGGTGGGCTGAACGTGAGAAGCGGGAAGCAGTGAAAAAGGTTGTTGCCGAATCGTCCTTCAACCCACAAGCACAGGGTTTCAACCCAACTGTCAACAATGGGTCTGGGCAAGAGTCGGCAGGTCGGGTCTTGCATCGGCCACGCAAGTCGGTTCTTCTGGTTCGAGAACCTCTCAACCATCAGTGTAAGCACACGCTAATGGATTGCAGGAATCAGCCGATTAGATGCTTTGACTGCGGCTGCATTAATCCTCGTTCATCGTGGTTCTGCATTGCCTGTAATTACCAAGTTTGTGGTCACTGTGAACAGAAACGTCGTGTATGATTATGTTCTTGTATGTTGAGAGTGCTATTTGAGTAACGTGGAAGGGGAAAGTACACTAAGCGAGTCGAGATGTGGCGAGGGGACCTATTTGTCCGTCATGGAACTGTACGAACAGCGACGAGGAATCAGACGAGTAACAATAAAATCACATAAAAACCACATGCAGATCTGATATCAGCCGCCAACCATGAGACTTCGGTTCGTAGCAGTGATGTCTGCAAGATTGTAACCCAGCCCTGGCCCTGTCAAGATGCTGAGTACTGGCGCTGATACTTGCAGTCAGGAATCTTGTTGATGCAAGAGACTACAGCAGACAGGCTCTACTACATTACTGGATCAGCGAAAATAGGTTCGAAGGAACAATGAACGGACCAAATTGTACTTCATGCAAGGTAAATCGCTAGCGAGCCCCAGCCTAGTGTCTATCATACATAACAGTCTTCATATCGTAAAGTCTCATATGCCGATACAATAGCAACAGCTACCACAACATAGCAAACTCCTCAGATCCCTTATGAGCCTCCAAAATGTCATAAGTATTGAGCCCCAAGTGCCCAGGTGAGGTGATATATCAGACACCTGTTGCCAGCCTCGGCCAAAGTTTAGGCTTCTATATTATGGCATCATAAGCCTAGAAATATCCTCAAAGAACTCTATTGCCAGGATTCGATGGTGTCTCTGCATCGCCCGCATGCGTCCATGTCGCAGTCTCGGCAGGTAAAAACGAATTCCTGCATAAATTGACCACAGTCATCGCACGACTGCCATTCTCCGCGACTGGTCCGCCAACGCCGATGTTGGCAATCTGGGAAGAGCTCATGTCGTTCCCGGTGTCGACGTCGTCTGGCAGCCTCCTGATCTGGAGTCTCTCTTGGTCTCTGTGCCGGTGGCACTGGTGCTGGTCGAGGCACTGGTTCTCGTCGAGGGACCTCTGGTTCCAGCCAAGCCGGCGGCAACTGTCCGTTGTTTGCAGCGGCCTGGGCAGGCTGGCCGAGGCCGAGGAGCCCGACAAAATCCGAATATGGACACGAGCAAGACTTCCACTTGGCAGCACAGAGGTAGCAGAACTTGTGACCGCAACGACAGGCTTAAGTAATGTTAGAGAGATGGTGGTCAAATATCTGGAGAGAAAAGACTTACTCATTTGGTTGCACCCAGTGCTGCGCTGAATGAGATGTTTGCAACTCTCGCACCTTTTCCAACCCTCTCGTTCTCCAAGGCGCACCAGTTCCTGTGTTTTCTCGTCTTCAGGACAGGCACCCTCGTGCCAAGCTCTTTTGCAGATGGGACAAGTTTGCAGTTCACAACGACTGCAGCGCGCGATCCCCTCTGATTCCGCGATTGACTGGGGTGTGATAAAAGCTGAGCATGCGGTATCGCTGCAGTAAGTTCGGTCCACAGTTCCAAACTCAGTGGTCTTCTCCTGGAATCGATCAAATATCTCCTGGGAGATAAAAGCGCCTACTTCGATAGGGATAGCTTGCTGACAGCACTGAGGTGGGAACATAGACTCCTCTCTCATGGAGAGTTCGACGGCCTGTGCAAGGCAAGTTTGGCACCAGTTATGAGAGCAGGGTGTTTGCAAAGTGTCGGTGGCAAGAATATCCCCCCTACATACCATGCACTGCTTTCTTTCCGGAGCAGGTGGTGTTGCGGAAGAGCTGGCGATGGCAGGCGATGCTGGTTCAGGGAGCGCGACAAGATCAGGGGGCTCTTGAGAACCTTGTTGGTCGTGTACAATCCGCTGATCAACAGTATCAACGTGATCTACGACTTCTTCTTGCTCAATAGTTGTAGCTTGGGAGGAAGCCGTCTCCCCAGGTTGCTGTCTGGGGGTTTCAATCTCTGGAGCATCGTCGGTGTCCTCAGTGTTGTCAGGGGTATACTCAGCTTCGTGAGTATCTTGGGTGTCACCAGTGTTGTCAGCATGTTCAATAACTTCGACATCCTCGTCTTTCTCATCAACCAGTTCTTCGGCCTCCTCGATGCTGTCACCTTCACTCTCACTGTCATCTGAAGCGTCGGGGTTCAGCCGACGAAGCTCGTTCAGTGTTGCTTCATCTAAGACGGGTTGATCGATCAGCGGCTCGATGGAGATCTTGCGGTGTTCATTCTGTGCCTGGGCTATCATACGATCTCTAGCCACTTGGTCCTCTCGGCGATATTGCTCCAAAATAGCCGCATCGGCTTCTACAGCCCTGGCGATGCTCAGGGCGAGGATCCGTGACTCATCGGGATTGAGACCTCCCGGGCGAGTAGGAGACGCCCTCAGGAAGGGGAACAGGCGCTGGAATAGGGACATGACAAGATGAAGACATGAGAACGGAAACAGTAGAAAGGACTTTCAGGTGGAAGTGGGAAGTGGGAAGTGGGAGGTGAGGAGCTTGAGAGAGGGGGGCTGGAGAGCAGCTCCGAGGAGGATCTAAAGGCAGCTGCCTGGCAGTGCGAGCCATCCGCCGCTTTACACTGATTCACTGATTCACAACAGAGCCGCCTATTCGGTAATACAGGGGCACAGGATCTCCACAAAGCCTGTTCTAGTCTTGGACGAAGTGCCTTCGCAGTTTATCTATCGGACAAAGTCCATCTCTTCGTTGGTGTCTGTGACTCTAAAAGACAGCGACTACATTGCCTCAACTCGCAACAGAAACACAGCTATCCGTTCATATTGTGGTTATAACTCAACACCTCTCGTCTAACAATTATATCATTAAGAAGCAAGGGTAACTTCCTTCTAGTTGAGTACATATCTGCCAATAAACTTTGTATCCGTCGTAACTAGTCCCTGTTCTGTGCATACTCTGACTGGCAAGGTCTCTCTTTTCCGGCCTTCTCCTAAGTACAATAGACGTATCTCCAGGGTATTAGATAAAGTAGCACCCAAGAGCACAAGAGACGGAATAGTTTAATCACAGATTACGGTTCATCCCTCTGCTCGAAGTGGATCTATATCTTGAGATTTGGGTGACTCCTTGATTTCAGTATCCTAAGCCTCCATGACCTGATTCTGACGAGAATGGATGGATGAGCATGTAAACTAGAAGAGTATATGTGGGATGGGAACAGCCAACGGCCTCTCCCTGATCACCTATGGAATCGTATACATGAGGAGGCACGTTGTCAAGGCTACAAGAAAGCGCGCGACTATAATATCTCTACTTGTTGTGCATGTAAACTTATAATATGTCTGGCTTATGCTCAGCATTGGGGAATGCGGTTTGGATAGAAAGAAGCGAAGGGTATACATTGATCTCTTGTTCCTCTGGAAACGGACTGCCAGTTAAGATTCTTGACAGCACCAGCAGGGATATGATGGGAGTGCTTCAAAGAATAGAACTCCTAGTATACGATCAAAAGGTCCAACAGTGCTCCAATAATATACTTCTTTATGAAAGACTAGGAAGTGAATATACTAGTTACTATCACTTACGGGCACTGTCAAGATGTTGGTAGCCGCCCCGTCGTTACTTTCACGCTGAGGTCTCCACCAATTCTTTGTTTGCTTCTCAGGCATCATAATAAAATAGTCTAAGTGCTAGCCTAATCAAACGTAAAGTGAACAAATCATTTCCTCTCTTATTTTTTGGGGGGCAAATCCTCTGATACTCTGAGACCTCTATCATCCATCCATTGTCATCATGGATGAGGCTGCTGACTATGCCCTTGCGCTCAGCATCGCGCTACAGGTTGCTGTAGACTCAGAACTCATCGCATCTCTACTGAAGGATGATCGACAAGTCCAAAAAGACCGAAGGATTTCCAGGAGGTTGGCCGGTTCTCCTACGAAGGACACAGTGTTGATTGCGGCCCTACTGCAGGTTGAAGAACAAGCCGAAAAAGACCACCTGTTGGCTGTAAGGCTAGCCGGCGGCGCCGACGTCGTACGTGAAACCAAGGGAGCTACTGCGACCGATGGCAGTCGTCTCAACGACGAGACGTATAACCGACTGAAGAAATACAACACCCAAGCTGGCAATGATGGGAAACCGGACGGAAAACTCGACGAAAGACCGGACGAAAAGCTGGACGAAAAGACGGGCGGTTCTTCTACCTCAAAGAAGAGGAAGATGAAGGAATGTATCGTCTGCCGAGATAACTTCCCAGAATCCGATACCACCGACGCACCATGCTCCCACACACTCTGCCGTCCATGCTTCATCACTCTCCTCAACACGACCATGGATGACGAATCGCTCTTCCCCCCGAAGTGTTGTAGCAAACCTATTCCTATTACCGCCAAGAATCTTTTTATCAATCAGTCCGTGGTCGATAAGTTCAAAAGGAAGAAAATCGAGTTCGAGACCGTCGACCGCACGTACTGCAGTAACCGAAACTGCTCCGTCTTTATCCCACCTGCGTCAATTCAGGGAAACATGGGAACCTGCACATCCTGTCGAAAGAAGACTTGTGTTCGATGCAAGCGAACCGGGCATCAAGGCCTTTGCCCTGTTGATGAGGTCTCGCAGGAGGTGTTGAGTATGGGAGAAAGACAGGGCTGGAAGCGATGTGTCAAGTGCGGGCATCTTATTGAGCTCACATTGGGGTGCAATCACATGAGTGAGTCACTTTTTACTGTCAACGAAACCTAGGTACTGACTTTCATTGCAGGATGTTCCTGCGGGTATCAATTCTGCTATGTCTGCGGATGCAAGTGGAAGACATGTCTGTGTCGTCGAGTAGACGAGGCACGACTCCTTACACGATGATCCGACAGCAGCAGTTCCTATCGATACGTATAGTATTAGAAGAGGGAGGTCTTTTTTAGATGTCACGGTGTCAAAGAATTGGCCACTGAGATCATAAAAGACGAAATACGTTGGTCACTTTATGCCACCTTAGAGTAGGTAGGTAGCACTAAGACTACTTTACTTTGTAGCCTAAGGCTTAGAGAATATTTCGTCTGTTACTCACCGGGCTGCCAGAGTATACACAGGGAATAGACTATCTGCGAACTATACAGTTTCTTGGCAGAAGTGTACTCAACGAGAAGAGAGTCGTGGATTTTTCGCATGACTGTTGGCCGGGTCGAATGGCTGCCTTCGAGCCACATCCATTCACTTGGGTCCCGTAATGAAGTAGAAAGAGCAGTCTGCCTATCAAAGATGTATATGGCGAGTTAGACTCCATGGAAACTGTGAGTAGCGGGAGCTTAGTATCGGGGTCCTCAAGAATTGACTTTGTGTGCTTGATACCCTAATTCCTTTCGCAATCTGTCATAAAATACACTTTTTATTATGCAGTGACTCGAGCCTTCCTTCATCAGGCTCCCGTCTGGTCTTTCCTGGGACGCATTGCATCATCTAAACTTTACCTTCTTTGACTTCTTTGCAAACATCCCTAAGACTACCTATTTATATCTTCATCCCCCAACATCATCAAATCTTTACAACTCTACGTCAACACCAGCATAATGGACAAAATGGCCGACATCAAAAACAACCAAAACACCCATACTTCTGACTATTTCGCAAATACGGAAATGGTGCTCGATGCAGGCAGTATCCAACCCCCCTCGAGAAGCGCTTCCGGAATCAGGAGGCGCGCAGAGACACGCAGATCCAACGGCAACTCGAGACGCATTCCAACACTCGTGAGAACTGAGCGACACACCGGAGGGGCCGCACTTACCGAGAGATTCTTCAACGATAAAAACTATGTGCTTGGGAAACGTTCAGCAAACAACTCCCCTCGCCCCCCTCTACCTCGCGAGGTTTCCGTCTCCGAATGCATGTCGTGCGCAGACAAGCTAACGAAGTCGCACATGATACTGGCACCCTGTTCCCACGCTTACTGCCGTACCTGCCTCGAGCGATTCGCCGACCTGACAATGCAACGAGAGGCCATGTTTCCACTACATTGCTGCCACAAGACGATCCCAGTCATTATCAGCAACAACTTCTCCGAGGAGCTGGTCAAGCGATACGAGGCGAAGCAGGTTGAATTCGGGACACCTGCCAAGAGGCGTATCTGGTGCAGCAACCAGCGATGCTCTACATTCATTCCCCTACCACTGATCCGTCTAGGGACTGCCCATTGTGCTGTTTGCAAGACCGATACATGCACCAAATGTAAAGGAAACTGGCACACAGGCGACTGTCCAGAGGATCCACTGTCACAGGAAGTGCTCGACATAGGTGAGAAGGCAGGGTGGAAGAAGTGCCCAAAGTGTGGACATCTCATTGAGAAGCCCGGAGGCTGCGACCATATGAGTAAGTAACAACCAATTCGAACGTTGTGCGCATGTTCTAACTTTTTACAGCTTGCAAATGCGGTCATCACTTTTGCTTTCCCTGTGGCAACACACTTGATCGCTGTTCCTGCCGGGCGGACATTCAACAAGACGAAGGCATTGAACTGTTGAGCTAAAGACGTCAGGGCGTCAGTTAGAAGAATTGGTCGACGATTCTTCTGTAACTCACCTGGAAGAGCATGTGTGTCTTGGTGTTGGAGGAGTTGTTGGGTTCTTGTTTGATGAATGAAAGCTTTTATGGTACTCCTTTCGGTCATTGTTTACTTTGTACGACCCATGATATAACCTGAACACTCCGGTATTAAGGTCATAGGCTTGTGTTTATCAATGTTTTGTTTTAGCCTGTACGTCTTATCGCTTTGGCCAGTTAGAAATCCTCAATACCTAGTCATCAGTCAAGGCATCAATGTATAACGTTCTCCTCTTTCTAATTAAACCACCATTATCGCTACTGAGCGCGATAAGTGGGACAGACTTTCAGTCTATGGGTATAGGAAGTTAAGTTGTCATATACACGCACCTGTTTGTCACGAACTTAACACTCTGCCTTATCAAGTATACTGTTCCATCCTATATAAACAGACTACACATTATACGTGACGATATCAGTGGCGCTTTGAAGAATAGACTTCCAGGCATCGCTCAATCGCACCGTAGGTATGTTGTTGAGAATTCCAGGGATTCCTCTGATGACCTTACCTCCCACTACATAGGTATGCTGTCGTCGACCATTGAAGTTCTCACGACGCCCCTACACCATCTCATCGGAATTGACCGATAAGCGCAATAGGTTATTCCGATACAACCATGTCTTAGAGTCAGGGATGTTGTACGGCCGGAAAGATGACTGCATATGCCAGGCCTCAAAAGGGGATATTTGGATGCCCATCATTTAGCCCAAAGACGATCATCTTATATCACAGCTTGGCAAACAAAAACCTGATGGCTTCCCGTGTTCATAATGAAGGCGTCATTCTGAGTCAGTTAAGAACATGTCATGTTGTTCAACCCGGTTAATTCTCCGTGGGTCAGTGAAACTTCACACGCAAAGCTGAAAACCAGGGTCTTTTCATTTTGATCTGCGAGGTGGGGAGAACGGAAGTCTGACTTTTACGGATAAAGACAAAATAATTTGATCACTTCGTCCGAATTATGTCGGGGTTTTAAGCTGTCTCTTTCTTTCCCTACCTTAGCTTAGGTCCCAGGTCTAGACTCCCGGTTGGCGTTTTGTCCGTCCCCAGGGCCTGTTGGACCCCTGTCTAAGCCCTGCTTACGATAGAGATTGGTTGGTGCCCGGAAGCTAATAAAATGCAATACGACAGACAACATTCTCTTTAAATCCAGCCACATTCATTTTTGCCTCCGCTCTCCTGTCTCACCAAGGCCCGGCATTTGGGTTGGAGTGCACAGGCAGAAGGCCTTAAAAAGCAATCGAAAAGAGGGGCTCGTCATGGGAATTGTAAGACATTTCCCCATAGCAATTGGACAACAGTGGTAAAAAGTTTCGACAATCACTAACAAGGGTTGCTCGGAGCCCCTAAATTGATGGACTGTGCCGCAGGGATCGCTGAAAGTGCCCTGTCTGCCAATGCCACTTCCCGACCTGCCATTAGAGAGGGCGCCCGCTTTTGCAATCAACGAAGGAAACATCCCACTTTCAACGTCACCTTGACCCAAGACTTTCATCTCGATCATCCTCGCCTCACTTGTGTCCCGGCGTAGATCTTACAACATTACCTATAGGCTTTGTCGCTGACTGCAAAAATTGAACATCCTTCAAAGCACTCAATGTCTGTCGGCTCGTTCCTCTCAAGCTTTGCCGCAAGGTAACGATGCGGCGGCGCAATCATCGTCACTTGTCGCCTCCAGCTACAACCAACTTTCACTTCATCTGAGCTCCCTCAATCGCGTGCGTCTATTGCGTCTGCAGCGCAAGTTGCGCATCCACTCTTGCCATGTCCACCAATTGGCATTCCCTCGTCGCTAGAGCGCTCGATATACCTTTGGTATACTTCTCTAACTCTAACCTTATCTCAACCTCAGTGGCGTTCATACTGACGATATGTAGGAAGGCGATGACTCCCGAGTTGGTTCTACTCGTGATGGGTCTAGCGGTGGTACCTTGAGTAGCAACAACGCCTCCAAGTCTTCGTCGCTTCAATCGCTTGGTGGAACATTTATACCTGTCAGCATTTATTGTGTCGTCTGTATTCTGTTCTTCGCCCTTGCTCGAGTAAAATGTGCCCGTGTCTATGCGCCGCGGGCTATACCGAGCTTGCGATCACCTCAGTAAGGAAAGTCCTTCAGTAAACCTGGATGGTCACTCACAATCTTATAGCACGCCTATTCCGCCGCTGCCAAACGGCTGGTTCAACTGGGTGAAGCCGTTCTTCAAGACTCCCGATACCTTCGTACTCAACCATGGCTCCCTCGATGGCTTCTTCTTTCTGCGATACCTCAAGGTCTTGCGAAACACATTTCTTGTGGGCATGTTAATCGCTTGGCCTATCCTCTTCCCAATCCATATCACTGGTGGCAATAAACTCAGCCAATTGGATATCTTGACGATCGGTAAGATCAGCGACAAGACTCGCATGTTTGCGCATGTCGCTGTCGCATACATGTTCTTTGGTGAGTGCTGCAATGGCATGTTCTACAACTTGGCATTAACTAGCCTAGGCTTTGTTCTCTTTACCATCACTCGAGAGTGTTTCTACTACATTGGTATTCGACAAGCTTATCTTTCTTCGCCTCACTATGCCAAGCGATTGTCATCCAGGACGCTACTTATCACATCGATTCCCGACCGTTACCTTGACGAAGCCCGACTACGAAAGCTTTATGGCGATTCCGTCAAACGAGTATGGATCCCGCGAACCGCCAAGGCCCTTGTCAAACTTGTGGAAGAAAGGGAGGAGACAGCAATGCGACTGGAAAAGGCCGAAATCTTGCTGATCAAGAAAGCATATCTGGCTCGTAAGAAGCAACTTGGAAAGAATCCGCCATCAACATCGTCCTCGGCCGAACCTTGTGCTGCAGAGTCGAGTTCGTCCTACAGGACTGATCCAAGTAGCGAACAGAACCGGCCGAATTCCCCGCGCGAGGTCGACATATCACAAAACCACGAACAGGAACAGGGCGAAACGCAGGACCAGAACAACAAGAACCAGTATCCGCAAGTGTCCCAAACGGCAACCCAAGACACTCACGACTTCTTGGAGAAGTCAGCCGAAGATCCCGAATACGTCCATCCATACGGACTCGATCCAGATCTCCCTGATGTTCGAGGCTCCGTAGCCGCTCAATGGGTCCCTGCGAACGCCAGACCTTATCACCGGCCACTTCACAACTTCTTCCGACGCGTCGACACAATCCGTTGGTGTCGCATGCGACTCAAGGACCTGAATCTCGAGATCTGGAAACTTCGACGCCAGGTTCGTCGCGGCGATGGCGATACCTTACCTGCCGCCTTCATCGAGTTCGAAACACAAGAGGCTGCTCAGGCTGCGCACCAGATTGTAGCCCATCATCGACCCCTCCAACTCGCTCCTCGGCTTTTAGGCGTGCGACCAGACGAGGTCGTTTGGAGTGCACTCCGAATGCGCTGGTGGGAGCGCATCATCCGCCGCTTTCTCATCATGGGTCTTGTCGCGGTTGCTATTGTGTTTTGGTCTATTCCATCTGCCATGATTGGTATTGTGTCGAATATCGACTTTTTAAGCGGCATTATCTTCCTGCGGTGGATTAAGCTATTGCCTAAGCCCATTCTTGGCTTTCTTCAGGGTTTTATTCCTGCCATTGCTTTGTCCTTCTGGATGTCGCTTGTCCCTGCGATGCTGAGGTTTTGCGGTGTTGCAGCTGGAATCCCGTCTCTGGTGCTAGTCGAACTCTTTACACAGAAGGTCTACTTTGCTTTCCAAGTAGTCCAAGTTTTCTTGATCACGACATTGACCTCGGCCGCTTCTGCTGCCATTCTCAACATCATTAAGAAGCCTATGTCGGCCCCCGACCTCCTGGCGACAAACCTACCAAAAGCCTCAAATTTCTATCTCTCATATATCCTTGTTCAGTGCCTGGCCATTGGCGCCACTGGCCTCTTGCACATATTTGAGCTGTTCCGACACTACATTATGGGTAGAGGTGTACAGAATCCTAGGACGCGCTTCAAGATTTGGTACACCCTTCGTCCGCCTCGCTGGGGCGGCATCTTCCCGATCTATACGAATATGGCGTGCATTGGTAAGTAAACGTCTCAGCCAACGATCCTTACCCTAGCTAACAGTAGCAGCGTTCTGCTACACATGTATCGCACCTCTGATCCTCCTCTTCGCATGTGCCGGCATGGCCTTTACGCGCCTCATTTATCGTTACAATATTCTTTACGTATTCGACTCGGAAATGGATAGCATGGGGTTGTTCTATCCCACCGCCCTCCTTCAGCTCATCACTGGGCTTTACTTAGCCCAAATTTGCATGATTGGTCTTTTTGCCTTGAAATTGGCATTCCCGCCCATGATACTGATGCTCATCTTCCTCATATTCACGGGGATAGTACATATGTCTCTCAGTGACTCAATAACGCCTCTGCTTTCAAATCTGCCTCAAACATTGACGTTAGAGGAAGAACTTCAAGAGCAGGAAAAGGCCGAAGCAGAGCAAAGGTTACAGGCTGAGGCAGAATCTGGAGAAACGGAAGGGGGAAACGCGGCCAGTTACTTCAACACAGATCTGAACTTTGGAGAAGAAGAGGTTGAGGAGCCTCCCAGCGACGACGAAGATGGCCAACATGGGGGGCCGCAAGGCTCAAGGGGCGTCGACGGTGCTGGCGGAATGAAGTTCATGGTAACGGAATGGATGAAGACGACAGCGAAGACACAGATCAAGAAGGAAGTGCAGCAATCGCCTATCAAGCAATTCTTGGATCGCTGGATCCTTGCTGGCAATCCCTCAAATCCGGATCAGCCACCGACCTTTCTGCAACGGTTCCTCCACCCCGAAGTATACGAAGATTTCATCGCCCTACGAAAGCTCATTCCGTTCGAAGAGCTCCCCGACGCCGACTACGCTGGCGATGAGAAGCTGTCCAACTACTGGCCACCAGAATTGTGGATGCCCAAACCTGTCCTGTGGATTCCTCGAGATGAGGCGCGTGTTAGTAGACAGGAAGTTGCGCACACGAGGAAGATCACTCCCATTACGGATGTCGGAGTGACAATGAATGAGAAGGGCTTGCTTATTGTGGATGTCGAAGCGGCGCCTTTTCCAAGGTTGAGGCTGGTGCATTGAGCATGATGTAATGATAGATCTAGTCATGATACCCTCTTTTTGTATATGAGCGTTCTAGTGGGTAGCAGAAGTCTTGTCTAAGACTTGAGGCGCCGAGATAAAGTAACCTAAATACTGGTCTAAACTGTTTATACTTTTTCGTCTGTTAGACCAGCCTTTGTTGTTTATATGTACCAATAACTAGTCTTCTCTCTCTACAAAGCGGAAGATTTGCTTATCTCGGAGCCTGGCGTGCTGGTGACTTCTGAGTAGTACGCTTCGTCATTTGGTTCGCGACCGAGGAAGTTGCTTAAACTCTTGAGTTCGGGCTGACTGCCTCCTGGTTGCAGGACATGCTGACGGTAGCGAAGGCCGGTGCTCTTGTCCATTGGGTCGGCTTTGAAGTGGCTAACCCACAAGTCTGTGGCATACACCTTTGATCTGTGCTCTGTTAGCGACTGGAAGAAGTCGGAGCGGTAGGGTAAACTTACAGCGCATAGGTGAAGTACGCAGCATCATATCCTCGGAAAGGATGCGCAAAAGATGCTTGTCCAATACTATCCGCCCTTCCAAGACCCATGATCTCCGTCTTACTTTCATTCCAAAGCTTTGTCGTATCCACAGGCTTCCCCTCCTCAGCATTATGAATCGTAAGATCGAATAACGCAAGGAAGACCTGATGCAGCATCGCATGCGCGCCGTTGACATGTTTCGTCTTAGCAAGGTCAAGCGCCAACCTTTCGGGTAACTCCTCCTCTGGTCTAGCTGCATCGGTGGCCTGAGTCTTCCAGAAGCTGAGATACTCGTCGTTGAGGTAACTGTAGTGCTTTCCGAGACGACGTAAGACGGAAGGTACCCAGATCCAGTTCTCGAGGAGAATGCTCGGAATTTCGACAAAGTCGCGGGAGCAGCCGTGTTGATGCTTCGTGTGGGTGACTAGTTTGTGGATTGCGTGGCCGAGTTCGTGGAACATTGTTTTGAGCTCGGAGTGAAGGAGGAGAGTTGGACTGGAGGGTGTGTGAAGGAGGGATGTTATCAGGGATGAGGATGGGTAGTGGTGTTTGTTGTCTGATGTTATGAAGCCCTGTCTTGGTCAGTATTTTGGACATGAGTGAGGTTCTATTCAAAGGCGCTTACAGGTTGAATGAGAGAGCTGTGTGCGCCTGCGTATTTGCCCTCTCGTGCGTAGAGATCCAGATAGAGGTATCCGAGAAACTCGCCACCTTGATCCTCGGAGTTCCAAGCTTCATAGACGGTTACATCCTTCTGCCACACCGGTGCATCAGTAGGAATAAAGGCCATGCCGAAAATCTCCTCAAAGATCTGCAACATGCCCTTGAGACTGTGGTTAACTTCAAAATACTCTGATATAAGAAGCGAATCAACAGAAAACCTCTCCATCTCAAGAATCCTTGCGTAGAAGGCCCAATCCCATGCATTTAACCTTTCCGAGTCTTCCTCTGTCTCATCAGTGCCGTGTTCTTGGATATAAGTCTTCTTTATCTCGAGTAAGATCCTCATCTCTTCATCAGCGAGCGGCTTCAACTCTGTACGTAGCTTGTTGAGCATTGATATAACGCTCTCGACACTCTTTGCCATTTTATCCTCCATTTTGAGCTCTGCGTGTGTTTTGAAGCCGAGCATTCGCGCTGTGCTGTTGCGTAGTTCGACGGCGCGCTCTAGACGGGTGACATTTTCGGGAAACCGGCTTTCCTTTGCGATATGGTATGCCCTTCGTGTGACGGGATTGGTTGCGTGTTTCATGATCGAGATTAAATGGCCCTTTTTGAAGGTCGCTTTTAGCTTGCCTTCATCGTTGACCTTCATGGCGTCGAGGACAGAAGCAGGCACGCCGTTTAGCTCATCACGCGAGAAATAGATTCCCTCATTGTCTTCACTAATCGTCTTCTTAGCTGCGACGAGAACCTCATTTCTCTCTTGCACAGCAGCCATATACTTCTCCCTCAAATCCTCATCTTCAATTCCTGCACCAGTATTCTGATACGCCCTATGCGTCTTGAACAGTATATACGCATCTTCCTCGTCCAGTTTCTCTTCTCCGCGCTGACTCTTCTCATAAGCACCCTTCACTAGTGCAGCGATATCTTTGCGCATGAGACATGCTGTGTTGGCCTTAAGAAGCATTTCCTCTGCTGTGCGTGATGCATCGCGAAGATCTTTGTCTTCGGAGACGGAGCTGAAGAGGCGGATAATAAGAGTTTGCTTGGAGACGGCGTGGTCGTCTTTGAGGATCGGGGTGAGGAGGGATGAGAATGTGGCGGTTGAGGGTGTGAGGGACGAGACGAGGGAGTCTTCGAGGGTTGTCGTGGTGGAGATGAGATTCGTGGTTTGGGTGAGGATCTCTGAAGGGGTCAAAAAGAATGATGGGGGAGGTTGGGGTGGTGTTTTGAGTGACATTGTGTGAAATCTTTGCAGTCGAAAATTAGGAACTGAAATATGGCGAGTAGACAAGGTACGAGTTATGAGTCTCATGAGGTCAAGTGAGGTTGACGATGGTGAGTTTGGGATAGTGAAACTGTGGGGTTGTTAGTTGGTGGATTACCCTGTATCAACAATTGTGTCAATCGTGTCGGTTTTAGAAGCAATCAATATGGAGGACATACAAGATAAGGACAAATCTCTCATATGCTTTGGAGGCAAATCAATGGATTAAAAACGTTTATCTTTATTAATGATCGTGTAACTATTCACAACATCAGGTCGCCGCTGTTACGACCCCACAACAACCCACCACCAACGCCTGCACCGGCTAACAATCCATTAACAACAGCATTTCTATCCTTTACTGCATAACAAGAACATTTCTGAATCGAGGCTTGCCGGCCTTAAGGCTATCGACTGCCTCCTGTACCTTGTCCAACGGGTACTTCTCAACCATGCACTTGACTTCATGCGTCATAGAAAAGCGCAATGCCTCTTCGCAATCGAGAGCATGACCACTAGGCCAGCCATTAACACTGGCACCCTTGGTGACCAAGGCCAGAGTATCAACCTCTACAGCACCAACAGGTGCCAGGTTGAGCAGTTTCCCCTCAGGAGCAAGACCTTGAACGAGTGGTGAGATAGCCTTGGGGTTGGGTGCTGTCTGGACAATGATTGAGGCGCCTCCAAGCTTGTTGAGTTCCTCGCCAACGTCGCTCTTCTTGGCGTTGATATAGTGGTGAGCACCGAGCTTCTTGGCGAAATCGGCCTTATCGTCGCTTGTTGAGATGACTGCAACTTCATAACCCATCTTATTGGCGTATTGAACTGCGAGATGGCCGAGACCACCTAGACCTTGAACAGCAACAATGTTGCCCTGCTCAACATGCATCTTGCGAATACTATTGAATACAGTAACACCGGCACATAGAAGAGGAGCAGCTTCCGCAGGGTCAAGCTCCTTGGGCACGCGAACAGCAGCTTCTGAGCGCAGAAGAACATACTCGGCAAAGCCACCATCGCGACTCACACCGTTGATATCCTTGTGGTCGCACATTTGGAACTGAGCTCGTTGGCATTGTCGGCAAGTTCGATCATGACCACCGTGCCAAGGTCCTCCAACGCGGTCGCCGTTCTTGATGTTGGAAACATCTTCGCCAACTTCAACGACCTCACCGATGATCTCATGACCGGGAACACGGGGAAAGATGTTGCCAAACTCGCCTGAGCTCACGGCTACATCGGAGAAGCAGACACCGCAGGCGAGGACTTTGACGAGGACTTGTCCCTTGGAAGGATGTTGGAGCTTGACGTCGCTGAGTTTAAAGGGAGCGTTGGCCTCGTTGATGATACAGGCCTTGTATGTTTGGGGAAGAGAAGACATGATGTTTATAAGGTGAATTGGTGTTCAATGGGGTATTTGCTTGAAGTTGAAGAGTCAATTGACGTTTGTAATTGAGATCGTAGTATTGAGAAGTGCGATGATGATATGAATGTCTTCTATCGAGGAGAAACAACAAACTTATATACAATCAGGACGCAAACATCAATACGGGAGCTTCAGCTATCTCCGCTAACAGAGTTGGAGCTATCAATGAAACATCGCTCTGAGCCGTCCCCAATTAACTGCTTAATTCCGTCATGGTCACTCATTGATAACAAGGCACTTGCCTGTTCACAGCGGAAAAAACTTTAGTGTCGTCCAATTCCGAGTGTCATTGGATGGCGCACGGATTTATGGCGTCGAGGATTACATCACCGAATTGCTCGGACGGCTGAAGTGCCGGAAGCTCTGGTGTTGTATTCGGAAATCTGATCTCCAAGCGCAATCCCGTAAATGGCTGTCGGACATCGACCAAGAAATGTTCCAAAACCGATGGATGACGATTGGATGATGGATTAATCCGAAGCCAGGGATGATCCGAGATAAACTCTTATCGATAGCTTGAGCCACAAGCACAGCCACAGCATTGCATAGAAAATTTCCCCCACCATGAGCAGCCTTTGGTGATGGATGCGCAGCCAAGTTAAGCTCAATTCATACCGACATAACGAACAATGCCTCTCGATACCTCAACATACTCATTAGCGCTCCTGCGCGTCGACGGACGAAGATGGAACGAACTCCGTCGTCTCCACGCCCAGATTAGAACTCAAGATGCTGCCGACGGTTCATCATATCTCGAAATGGGTCATACAAAAGTCATGTGTGTCGTGACAGGTCCTTCGGAACAGAACCAGCAGAAACGCGGTGGACAGCAGGCTCCTCGTGATATGGCGGCGATCAACGTCAATGTTGTGGTTGCTGGGTTCTCAAGCGTGGATCGCAAGAAGAGAGGGCGCAATGACAAGTGAGCCTTTCTTTATGACGATTGCTTTTTGGGAAGCGGACTAATAATTTTGTAGGCGCATACAAGAGATTGAAACTACGATTGAGAATGCCCTGGCTTCCAACTTACATACGCATTTGTTCCCCCACTCCTCGATTTCGATCTCGCTTCACGTCCTTTCGCAAGACGGATCGCTACTCGCTGCTCTACTCAACGCTACGACTCTTGCGCTTATCGATGCTGGTATCCCCATGACGGATTATATCGCTGCATGCACAGCTGGCTCGACCTCTACATACGCTGCCGGCGACGACACGGCCGATCCTCTGCTCGACCTGAACAATCAGGAGGAGCAGGAGCTTCCATACCTCACCGTTGCGACACTGGGCGCCAGCGATCGAGTCGCGGTCTTGGTATGTGAGAGCCGTGTGCAGGTTAGCAGATTGGAGGGTATGTTGGTAGTAGGTGTAGACGGATGTAAGCAGGTGAAGCAATTTTTGGATCAAGTTGTAAAGGATAAGGGTGCGCAGATGGTCAAGGAGGGTGCTGTGGACGCAAGCGACGCAATGATGGATTTGGATGGATAGAACATTGATACCAGGATTGCATCGGGGTCAAAAATCGTGTTTGGAGTTATCTGTTTGATCTGCTAGTTTTAACCTACAGGTATGTCCAGCGCTATCAAAATATCATAGTGTAACGGGCTAATTGTAACATTTTGAAGATGAGTTCTGGTCTTTACAGCTCCTCGTGCTTAACTTGATCCTTGGTCTTGGGCTCGGCTTCGGACTCAGCGACAGGCTGGGCCTCAGGCTCGGGAGTCTCCTCAACATACTCGGTCTCGGTCTGGGTCTCATACTCAATCTCGGTCTCGATGATAGTCGTGGTCACCTCTCCGTCCTCGCCAGTGATAGTCTCGTACTCGACCTTGGTCTCAGTCTCAATGACGGTCTTAACATCATCGGGACCATCGGTCTCGATCTCGGGCTCAGGGTCGGTAGCTTGAGTCGACTCATCCTGGGCAGACTCGGCAGACTCGGCCTTCTTCTCAACGACAACGCCCTCAGGGAGCTTCTTCTTGGCACCCTCACCCATGCGGATGGCGTCAATCCAGCTCTCGACACTGGAGAGGCTGAAGTCGCCTTCGTACTGGCGCCACCAGTTGCGGCGGGTGTTGATGGCAATCAGGTTGACCTTGTCCTTGAAACCGAGGGCCTTGGGAAGAGTAGACGCGGCGTCACTGTCGCTGGGAACAGCGATGATGGGGAAGGTCTTTCGGCCACCGTGGACGTACTTGGTGTTGAGGTGAGAGAGCGAGTCAACAGCCTTCTCGCCAGCTTCACCGGGGGTGAAGACGAGGACGCAGGTGTGGGACTTGGGAGCGAGACACTCCTTGGTAAGCTCCTCCAAGCTCTTGATAGTAGAGATAGGAACCATAGAAGGAACAGCCTCAGCCTCAGCCTCAGTAGTGGATTCCTTCGACTCGGCGGCAGGCTCCTTGGCAGCTTCACTGGACTTGTTCTTCTTAGCGGTCTTGGTGTCGTCCTTCTTGGCCTTGCTGCTCTTAGCGCTTCCAGAAGAGTGGACAGGGTTGGGCTGTCCAGCTTGGGTGAGGAACTTGATCATGTCCTTCTTGGCCATCTCGCCATCGTAGACAATGGGGTCCTTGCCTTCTCCGGGAATGAGGACAAGAGCGGGGAACTTTTCAATACCAAACTTCTTGACAGCACCCGCTTCCTTATCACGGATCTGGGCGACAGAAATGACATCAAGGAAGTCAATGGCGATACTTCGAATAAGTGCGCTGGTAGTTCCCTTTTGAGTGAAGAGAATAGCCTTGGGCTTATCACCTGCGAGGAAAGAGTCCAGGTCCTTGTCGCTTACACGTGTGACATGGTTGTTGATCTTGCTCATGACAGCCTCTTGGATGGCCCCAGCGCTTCGCTGACCTTGGTAGTCCTCAACGACAGGCTTGCCTGACTTCTTACCAGGACGGACGATCTTGAGAGTAGGAAAGCCCTGAACTCCCATAGAGCCACATAGCTGCTTGTTGGCATCTTCATCGCAGTCGATGGCAGCAACCTGAGCAAGGCCATCGAGGTTCTTGGCAGCCTTCTCATAGGCGGGCTTCAGGTTCTGGCAATGACCACACCAGGGAGCGTAGAACTCGACGATAGAGGTGTAGTTGGACTTGGCAATAAGATTGTTGTAGTTCTTAGCATTGACCTGAAGAACGGGAGAGTTCTTGGTATAGATGGCAGCTTGAGCTTCGGGCAGAGCCGCAAGCGCCGCTGTCAACGTTACCAGCAGAGATGTGGGGTTATGCATCGTGAAGACAAAATGCGAGTGCGAGTGTATAGAAGAGAATGGAATGAAAGAGTGATTGATGTGAGACTGTTCAGATCAGGAAGTGACTCTTATCTAGCAGGCTCAATGACAAGAACCAACAGTGTCTTGTGGTTGTCGTCGAGAACAAAGTGGCATCTTCGGAGAAAAAGCCACGGTGATCAGACTATCCAAAGTGAAGCTGGGTCCTCTGATTCGATGATTCTGGAATTCAGCTTGTGCCACATGTGGCGTGAGCTGACCGAATCCGGGGAAACCATGTGGCTGTGCACGAACCACTAAAACCGTTACGTCAACGCGTAGACAGAAGACAAGAGAATGAGGAGATCGAGATGGAGGTGGGGTAAAGATCTCCAACACAACTTGGAGTTGACATTCAACTTGCGTCATCCTAGTTTAGCGTCCGACTTTTAAGAATTATCCTTCTCCACGATTTTCTGAGGCATTTCGAGAATCTGTCAAACCCACGTCTCGTCCCAGAATATACCGCACATCATGGCCGAGCCTCTACCAGCCGTGCTCAAGATCCCCGAAGTGAGCCGCTTCATCAACCGCGCGAACCAGCTCAGGACCGTCAAACCCGCCCTCGCATACTGGTGTAGGCAACAACAAATCTCGAAACAACCCACAAACAGTCGCTAAAACTCTTCAACTTGCAGGTGAATACCATGCCGTCAACCAGATCGTGGGCAAAGGCCTCCACAACTCAGACGAATCAGCCTTCGAGTTCACAAAGACCTTGATCGAGCGGCTCGAGACCACAAAGACGGAGCGCGCTGACGATGAAGCGATTATCGATAATGCTGCGGGACAAGCCTACGTTGAGCAATTTGCCCAGCAGACATTTGATCGCGCTGAGCGTGCCCTTCGTGCCGATAAGGTGACGAGGTACGTCATAACGTTCTTACCGTCTTTACATGTGAAACTGACTTATTCTAGACAAACCGCCGACACATTCGATGCCGCTGCGACTTTCTTCGATCTTACCCGCGAATGGGGCGAGCCTGACCCTGAGGTTGTCAAGAAGATCAAGTTCGCAAAGTGGAATGCTGCTCGAATTCTAAAGGCCATCCGCGAGGGCAAAGATCCCAACGAGACAAACCCCAAGGCGCCTGAGCCTGAGCCCAGTGCTGGTCTTGATCCCTCTGACCCCGAGGTTCAAGCTCTCACAGGAGGTCAGCGCGCCACAGTTGAGGATGCGCCAGAGGGAGGGTTTTCCCAAGTTGGCACACCTACAGAGGCTCCGACAAAAGATCCAGCTGATCCTAGTTATTTCCCACCGCAAGTGCCTCAAAATGAGCCCGAGGGACAGGCGCCAGAGCCTTTTGTTCCATCACCCATGAGCACCAGCTCTACACCAGGTGGTGATCTTGCTCGCCCACCAGTCGGTCCTCCACCTGAGGTATCTCCTGCTGTTGAGACTCCCACACAACCCCAAGGTCAAGTTCCAACTTCCGCTCCCTCACAAGCCATGGATACTTCCGAAGACCATGGCGCTCCCCCAAGACCTATGATGCCTCACCTCAACTCTTCGCACCCTGGAAAGCCTGCACCTGACGCTGTGACCCCACTCGATGCTGCCGCGAACGCGAGACCTTTCCTGCCTCACCTGGCTACATCGCGATCCAGAGCATCAAGCGTTGCCCGCTCCAGAGCTTCCAGCATCGAATCCCCCACACCCCTCTCTGCTGCTGCGGCTGCAAGGCCATTCTTACCTCACCTTGCTACGTCCCGGTCCAGGGCGTCGAGCATTGAGAACAACTCACCTCTCAATGCTGCTGCGGCCGCAAGACCCTGGCTGCCTCATCTTGCGTCTTCGCCTGCTGGACCCTCGTCGGGTCCTTCAACAGCAATTCCAACATCTATTCCTGAAGCTGCAAACGAGCCCCCACCTGACAGACCCATGATGCCTCATCTTAATTCTTCTCATCCCGGAAAGGCACCAATCGATCCCACAAAGCCACTCAATGCTGCAGTGGCCGCGCGACCATGGCTGCCACATCTGGCTACCGAGCCTGCTGCGAAACCATCAATCTCTGAGGCCTCGGCACCCGCTCCAGAAGTTGCGCCCATCAGACCGATGATGCCCCATCTTGCTTCTTCACACCCTGGAAAGTCACCAGCTCATTCGCCTCCACCTGCGGTTCCTACCTCTGCACCTCCCCCTGTGCAGAGGAACTACTCGTCAGACCAGAAGGATATCAACCAGGCGCAGAAGCACGCCAAGTGGGCAATATCGGCATTGAACTTTGAGGATGTACCTACAGCAGTTCAAGAGCTGCGCAACGCCCTCGCATCGCTGGGGGCTCAATGAGACTTGGCTGGTTATAGTGTTTTAACTTCACGACATAGAGACGGACAATACCACGGGTAGGAATAGCATTGAACTTCATGATTCACTGCATGAATATAGCTAGAACATAGATCCATTTACTGCGTTACTGTATATATGTAAAAGAAAACGTGCTTATCGTGAAACTCATCAGAACCAAGAACCAGTAGCTTGAGACGTATTACATTACGCCAAAGCCAAAAGGCCATGCGCTTCATAGCCTGGGTGGGGGAATCCTTCAGGATAGCCGACGGGCTCCGCTCCCTCAACTTCATCGTCATCACCGTCGGTCCATCCCCTTTCGGGGCCCCATTCGATACCGAGACCATGCTGCTCGACAATTGCCATAAGGCCCTGCATCATATCGCCAGACTTCTTTACACTGGTCCATCCGTCGAACTGGACCGCCTGGAGTGAAGGCAGTGCCTCCAGGACATCGCTGAGAAGGTTCCTGCTGAAAGTCTCGTAGAAGCCCTCCGCTCGACGCCAGCCTTGGAAGATGTTGTCACTGGGGTCGCACTCAACAAAGATATTAAGGCGCTCGACATCGACACAATCGGAGAGACCAAGCGCTGGGTTGACGACCCATCCACGAGGCGGCGCATTCCATCCAGGGCCAAGGCGCAATTCGAGAGACGTAACGCATCGTCGCTGCTGGGGCTTCAACCTCGCCAGTAGAGGCTTCTTGCTCTTGAAGTATTTACCAGGATAGGTAGGAAATAGGCGGAAAGTTCGTGTGCTGTAGAAAGCAAATGTCGCTTCATCATGGACCTGCCTGCAGACTCGCATGAGGCCAAGCTTCTTGTGAACGCGCTTGTAATTGCCGGGGCCAAGATCTAAAAGCGTGGGGACATCGTCGAAGAAGTAGGTGTAGATCTGAATGCGTACTTCGGCGGGTAGCGATAGGAAGTGGAATGGATTTTTAGGTACTCGGCGCTTCGTTTTAAAGGGAATCAGAGGAACATCGAGAGTGAGGTCGGCGATGTTGAGCTTGTTTACGTCCTCTTCGGTAACGGCTGTTTCAGATGCGGGAGTCGCAGGAGGCGCTTGGCTCGATGAAGGCATCACTATGCGTATTGAGCCTGTTGGCCTAGAGGCCGAACTCTTGCTAGATCGTCGGGCCATGATGGGTGTGAGTTGTGTTGAAGATGAAGGGTTCAAAGTGGCGAAGAGGAGAATTTCGATGTAGGATAAGGCGGGTCGTAGGTCTCATTAATCACTGTAAGCGACAAAAGCTAGGGTCAGGCAATTGATCGCCGTTGTTGTTCATTCAGATTTCTGGAGTGAGGCTTGTCATGAGGTGTATCATGGTGAAGGTGACAATTGAGAAGAATCCGCTTTAGAAGGCGGCGCGAGCGACATCCATTATTAGTGCCGGGTAGCTAATCGGAATATTTGCCGGGACTTGGATTAGACTGTGGCAAAGTAGAGAAAAGTTATCTATTGTTCGAGAAGTCTCCGGAGAATAGTGTCGAAGATGAGTGGGGTTTCTACGCAAGGGTTTGACACTGAATGGAGATGAGACTTTGATGCTCAACGTCGTCCCTGTTCAGGTACAGCCTATACAGCCTTTAATCTGAAGCTAAATGGAGATTTTGACTGGATAACATGAGCGCGGGGCTTCATGATCGGAGCGTGACCGGAGATAATCCACGTGATTCGATCAACAGCAGTATGACGCCATCGGTTCATCGAAAGTCCGTGCTGAGTGCACGGCTAATCCACGGTGGCATTGCGTAGAAACAGCTCCACTTTGGCTTGCAGAACCGTGCGATTTTTTTTCCACGGCCGACTGCGCGAAACTATGGCTATGGGCGGAGTATCAGACCAACTTCGTCAAGCCTTCACGTCAGTACCCTAGGCCATTGAAGTTCGACCCTTCACTTCACCATCCAAAAACGCCAAGAATCGCTCCCACTCCAGCGACAAAACCTCCCAACCCCTCGATATGCTGTCTAGAGTAGCCCAGGCTTCGCGCTTGGGCTTGATGTCAGCTCGTCTGTCACGGCCCGTCGCATCTCCTTCTCTCCGAGCGATTCCCGCTACTGCTCCTCACTTTGCCTCGCCATGGCTCCGATCTTACTCCAAACGTCCATCCGGTCAACCATCTAAAGATTCGAAAAAGAAGCCTTCAGAGGCGCAACAAGAAGCTGAGGCTGCGAAAGCGGCAGAGAAGTCCGCCGAGCATGACGTAAAGAAGGCTGATGGGGAATCGCCTGAGGCTCCCAAGGAGGGGGAGCAAATACCTTTCCACAAGCTTCCTGACTTGACGCAAGGTATTCCTTCGACCCTTTTCGAGGAGATGGGAGGGGATAAGAAGAAGGAGCAGCAGGCTCTGCAAGAGTTGGAGGAGGCCGAGCAAAAGGGTGGAGAGCGGGACCGTTCGGAATACGTCTCTACCTCTGAGCGAAACCGCAAGTGGTGGACAAGATTTATGCTTATTACAACCGCTGCCGGTGGTACTTTGAGTCTTCTATATATGGGCCGCAACTGGGAAGATAACATCGATGTTGAGCGTCACCCTGATATCCCCAACGGCCCTGCTCCTGGTTTGTGGTGGGCGCGTGCCAAGGCCCGTATGACCGAGTCCGTTACTTACTACCAGGAGCCCGCCTTCGAGAAGCTCCTGCCCGATCCCGACCCTACTTTCGAGCGCCCTTATACTCTCTGCCTGAGCTTGGACGACCTTCTCATTCATAGCGAGTGGACTCGTGAGCATGGTTGGAGAGTCGCTAAGAGACCTGGTGTTGACTACTTTATCCGATACCTGAGCCAGTACTACGAGCTGGTCCTCTTTACCTCGACTCCCTATGCTACTGGCGAGCCGGTCATGAGGAAATTGGACCCCTTCCGCTTGATCCTATGGCCCCTCTACCGAGAGGCTACCAAGTTTGAGAATGGAGAGATCGTCAAGGTAAGACACTCTCACAATCATTGCCCCGTTTGTGCTAACAGTTTAGGATCTTTCCTACCTCAACCGTGACTTGTCCAAGGTTATCATCATCGACACCAAGGCCAAGCATGTCCGCAACCAGCCCGACAACGCCATTGTTCTTCCTCCCTGGAAGGGTGACCGAAACGACAAGGGCCTCGTCAACCTCATTCCTTTCCTCGAGTACATCCACACCATGCAGTACGATGACGTCCGAAAGGTCATCAAGTCCTTCGAAGGCAAGGACATTCCCACCGAGTTCGCCCGCCGTGAGGCTATTGCCCGCAAGGAGTTCCAGGCCAAGCAGCTCGCCCACAAGCACAAGCACCGCTCCGGAGTTGGTGCCTTGGGTAACATGCTCGGCCTCAACCCCAGCAACATGAACATGATGGTGTCCCCTGATGGAGAGCAGAACCCCGCTGAGGCTTTCGCCCAGGGTAAGATGTTGCAGGATGTTGCCCGTGAGCGTGGCCAGAGGAACTACATGGAGCTTGAGAAGCAGATCCGCGAGAACGGAGAGAAGTGGCTCAAGGAGGAGGCTGCTATGATGGAGGCTGCCCAGAAGGAGGCTATGAGCAGCATGATGGGTTCTTTCGGCGGTTGGTTCGGCGGCAACAACCCTCCTGAGAAGAAGGCCTAAGCTTGGAAGGTGAACAGCGAGGTGTAAGCACATCTCCACTAATTAATGTCTTGTAATTTTTTATGACGGGGTCATGAGGGCCTGCTATCATATCATGTTCTGATTGGGAGAGGTCTATAGAAAAAGCATGGTGACGACTTTGGGTATGGGTAGGAGGAGGGATGCACTGTAAGATGCGAGGATAAGACTTTGTATATTAGGTGTATGTTGGCCTTGTTATGTAACAATATGATGTGAAAAGTTAAAGTCAATGAGATATATCTCTGGTATGGTGTTGTACGCCGAAGCCTCGTGCTCAGCCCTGCTGTCTTCACCCGTCACTCCGCAACCTTTCGCCTCAGATCTCTTTCATGCATATCACTTGAGTCTTACGTGAGCCTCAGGGTATCAGAAGAATTGGTCTCAAAAACATAGGATACGAAATAATTTGGTCACTTTATGACAGCTTAGACTAGCATTTAGGCTACTTTATTATTGTAGCCTAAGCCTTAAAGAATATATCTTCTGTTACCCACCTGGGAAGAGTCGAAACCATGATCCCAGGTGATGATGCCAAGAAAGGGACCTCGGCTGCATCTTGCTGATGAGGGTATCGTCGTCTTTGGTGATACCGTGCTGAGATAGCATGATATGTTCGACTCTCACTGTTCTTGATGGCATAGGCCTCGTCAAGAACAAGCCATTCGCCAATGGGCTCCCTCGGCTCTTGCTCTAGAATTCATAAGAGCAGGACAATAGTAGGCCTCTTGGGAGGCTGAGTGGTGTTGCCGTTCTTGGAACTTGAGATGCCAACGAGACACTTCTTCGCACATGTGATCTCGGTAACCATGTAGGAGTATGAAGTAATGATAATGATCAGATAAGCTTTACAAACCTTATCTGATCGTGAGAGGAAGAGAAATGCGGGGAGGAGAGCGATATAGGAGGAAGAAAGGAAGATCAAGAATAGGGTTTTATATGCTACTTTAGCTAGGTTGGTAGATATTCTCTGTGGTTTGCAGATCGATTTAGTGAGTGCCATCTTAGCTATGCTCTGTGATTCACAGATCGATTTAGCAAGTCAATATACTATCTATGCTGCTACATACAAAGTGCATAGTATTGAATGGGTTAAGTGTAATTAATGCATAGGGATTTCTTACATACTGAAGCGTTTTTGAGATACCTAACATATTGAAAACAGTCAACATGCCGAATCGGATCCCGATGAGAGGGTTTGGCGTATGATATTAAGTATAGTGACGTTGTGGCACAAGTCGTGATGTTTACATGGATATAAGACACTCCATACCCACCGTGGCTTATTTACCTCGGTTAGTAATTTTGCATCCCTTCACAATTTCAACCCTTCAGCAAAATGTTGAGGTCTTGGGTAATTGGGCTTTGCGCAAGTTCTTTAGCATACGCGATCCCTCTTTCTGATCATAAATACTCGCGCCTTATTGTTTTCGGGGACAGTTTCAGCGATAATGGCAATGGGTCTTGGATAGCTAGCAATGGATCTTGGCCGGAGGATCCGGCTTACTACCGGCATTCGTTTTCGTAAGTTCTCAATTGCCTCAACTAAGATCCTCACTGATGAGTAAAGGAACGGACTGAAATGGAATGATCTGGTGGCTAAGGATCTTGGTCTTGAGTTGGTTAATCTCGCAACTGGCGGTGCAACTACAAACAACGATTTCGTCGCTGGGGGCACGGGTGCGGAATCGACTATTCCTGTTCCTTCAGCTGCGGATCAAGTCCTGTCGTTTTTGTCCTGGGATAAGCCTCGAAAGGGAGATATCTTTGTTCATTGGATTGGTGCGAATGACATCCTGTTCAATACGAGTATCACTGGGGGACAGGTTACAAGTTTGGTCAACGAGAATGTTGAGCGATTATATCACGCAGGTAAATGCCCTCTATCAATCTCTTAATATAGAGGGCATTCTCTAATCTATATCTAGGCGCAAGCAACATCATTCTAGCCAACTACCTCAAAATCACAACTTTCCCAGCAACATACAACTCGTCCACCTACGACATCCCCAGCGTACAAGTCTTCAGCAAGGATCTTACCAAAGGTCTGAAGAACATTGCTGCTGCATACTCTGCCTATGCTCAAACTGCTCTTGTTGACGTGGGTGGTTTGTTCGAGGATATCACCTCGGATCCCGAAGCGTATGGTTTCGAGGACAAGTACGTGAACCCTCCTACTGCATGTCTCACAGGCGTCTATACGAGCGAGGGTGTGCCAAGGAATTTGTGCAGTGATCCGGAAAAGCATGTTTTCTTTGATTCGTATCATCCTGTTAAGGAGGTGCATGCTTTGATTGCGGAGTTGTTTGAGGAGGAGATTGGTGGGTTTTCGAGACGAGAGTTTCTTTGACTGTAACAAGATGAGACTGTCTTTGTCACAATCTTGTAACATCACGCTGTTTCCAGACATTTCCTCGTGTTTTGGACAAGACTATATGCCTGAATTCTTATTCCAATATCTCACTTTTAGAATTGGTTCAACTTCTCGGTTCAGGATTATTTTGTTTAGCTTGTATGTTACTGGCATTCTTAGGTGAAATTTAAATGGAGGAATAAGTGATATATTACCTTGTTACTTAGCCGACTCTTGAAGTCTTCCGGTGCCATAGAAATATCGAACCCGAGATTTCTCTTATTAGCTAGGTCTACTTATATCTCAATATATTGTATCTACTGATTATATACCGTCAGTTACATCATGAGAAAGATTTCTCTGGTTCGGAACTATATATCAAAGAAGTTCACTCAACAGTCGACGTTGGAATTAGCCTTGCGGCTGTTTCTGACGGTATTGAAACGGGTTAGTTGAGCGGCTACCGTTTACTGCGCCACGATCCAGCGTTTTGAAAAGCTTGGCTTGCAGCTGGACATAGCTTGACTATGAAAGATGCTACTGTAGAAATGATGATAGTTGAGTTAGCAAAAGTCTAAAAGGTATTAGCGTGTGTGAGAATTTGTATGTGTGTAAGTGTTGGTAGTTCCTGTAGCCTTTAGGTATCAATGACTTTCTCCACCAACATAGACCCAACAGCCTGATTCTATCCGTGGCCATTCTGATGCATTGTGATGATTCGAATCAGATTTCACTTGTGTTCACTAAATCATGCCACTCAGCATATAGCCCAACATTCACGTCAAAGCCCAGGGCCGCGTGACACAAGCACATTCGGTATGTTTCTTTGTTTCTTACAATATGAGCTGAACCTTCAGTGTCTTACCAGACATTGATAGCTCCACAGCACCAATTGATAGGGCTGACAACTCGGGCATCCCTACTTACTACTAATGCAAGGGTCTTTTGCTGGTGCCCAAGGGAGGTCTTAGCCAGGGAGACGCCAGTGAGCTTACTGCCCTACAATGGCTGACGCAATCTAGAACGAACATAGAAAAAAAAAGGGCGGAAGTATTATTAGAAGCTGTAACATAAAATTTGATGCAACGAACAGCGATCATCAATGCGTTTTCATGCAGCGGTCACAATTCGGGGTCGCCAGATAAGCGCGAGGCGGCTAATATCATCCCGATTGACTTGGCGTTGAAAGCAGTGACATTGTGCGACTGGTGCGCTAAGTTAATAAATTGCAGCAATTTATTGAGCAAAAGACTAACAAAAAGACCCTGAATATCCTATGCGCATTGGGATTGCATTCCTTGGCGCTGATCTTGAGGTTTGCAGTTGAGATCTGGGTGTGACATCCATTCCACCATGAATGTCACCGCTGGGAACAACCCCAACATATGCTTTCTTTTGTGAGAATCTCAGGGATGTTGTAAACGAAAGCATCATCCAATGTTGTCATAGCATTTTTTTCGTCCCATGATACTTAGTGAGGCTCGCCTAATGCCCCTTGATATGCGCACTAGCCAATTGCAGGAAAAGCCATGTCGTGTTTAATTTCGTCTGAAACATCCCTGCCAGTCTCTCTTCAGGACCATCAATCAACATAGACCCAGACCCGCCTTGACCTCGATTCTTCTTCTCTCCTTAAATCCTCTAGACCCTCTGCTGGGCTTTGACCAATCGTTCACTCTCTCTTTCTCCCCCCACCAACGATAATGGCTGTCGAGTATTCTCATCACATTAACCGCCGCGGGTCGGTAGACCAGCTGTTTGAGCTGGTCGAGGGTTTGGACGACACCCAGATTCACTCTTTACTGGAGGATTTTAATAATACCGTTACGAGCAATGTTCCCGTGTCGCACGGCATCGAGTTCTTTGAACACCCGAGTTCTGTCACACGAGCCAAGACTACACCAACGACTACAACGACAGAAGTAACGCCCGCGAGATCATCATCCATTCGAAAGAGCTTTAACAAACTCCCTCGATTATTCACGCGAACGCCGAGCAAGAGATCTTCTTCTGCGCCGATATCGCGTCCCAAGACTGCTCTGCCACCGACCGCGAGACATTACCGACGAATCAGTCGACCTGTGCTACCAACACTATCAAACGGTCCCGATCTGGACGCTTTACTATCTGCGTACCTGTCGCCCGCGCCGCTTGCTTCGCCCAAGACTATTTCTCCATCGAGATCGATATCGAGCAGCTCTACGCTAAGCATTGAAGCGGAAGACTCGGGTGTTGACTCACTTGCGCCTTTGGTGTTTGGACGACCTCAACGAGAGGAGAGTCCGATGGGCGACATCATGGAAGTTCTATCATTCTAAACAGACTTTCATAACGACGAGAATAACATAAACAAACAACATCCTACATCATGGACTTTTCTTTTTGTCCCCACAAACAGCTGCAGCCACTACGACACTACGCTAGGCTATCTGCACAATCCCGTTAGCTTCCATGGCTCGGCGTTTTTATTCCATTCTTTCCTTTCTCATTGGAGGCGTTTTATTTTGCTAGTCAGGTACTAGACTGTCTATCTGTCACTCACTGAGTCCAACCAATTCTCTGTCACTCACTACCTACTCTCTATCTCTATCATGTTCATAGTAGATGAATTCATTGCAAATTCTCCCTACCTATCTCTATACCCCATTGCAATTTGCTTTGCTTAATATTATTGTTATGACAAGACGGAGCAAATTTGCCTAATGTGCTCATCGTCATTTCGTCCGGTTGCTAGTCGGTGGGGCCAATCGCGGAAAACAGGGCCCAGATGGTGTTGCTTACCGTTTAGTCTTGGCTTGTACGGAAATAAGACGTCAATTATATTATTATTGCTTTGTGGTCAGTTGCTTCTTGTAGTGAGGGAACGCATTGTTCTGACTCTGGAGTACAAAAACTTCAACCCTGCTGAAGATCATCTTGTGCGCGCGGACTGCCGAGTTCATCAACCTCTTCATCAGATAGATAACTTTATGCAACTCTAAGGCATCCCTTGGTCTACCAGTTTGAGTTTTTCCGAGGCGTAGGTCCCGAGGTAACAGATAAAAGCAACAAAGTGACAGTGACAATCGCAGATCCCTCAGTCTACGACCGGGCACCACTCGCATCGGCCTGGGTAAGAATGACAATCTTTGACTGCATCCACGGCATGTCGCTGCTGCACAGGGTTGTGACCAAGTGCCCATCCGGCTATTCTGCTGGACCAACAACAAACCTCAACTCCGCGATAAATCGCCCACTCTCCATGATAACATCACCTCGGTGCTCGATATATTTCCCAGCCGAGTCAACAAGACCATATACCTTCATTCCTTCGGGGACTTGAAATGTTTGTTCCTCGGTCCTTGCCTTGACTTTATAGCCACCGGTACCGAAAGGCCCCAACTTCCTTTCCGTGGTGTTGATGATCAAGTTGAAGATGACTCTCTTGGAACTATCCTCGGCTAAAACCCCCGTGTTCCATGATGCTCCTGTGATGTCTTCGCCAGTAGCCATGGAAATTGAGTCTTGATTGCGACCGAAACCTCCGAACCGGATGCCATCATAAGCCGCCGTCTCAGCACGGAGAGAGTCCACTGCGAAATCGTGGGATACGTCGAGTCTGATGATATCTGAAGGCGCCGCTTTCCGTAGTTCAAAAGCATGGTTTGTCAGATCAGGGTCATCGCCCATATACTTCTTTTGGTAGATCCTGTCATAATCGCCCGTCCACTCCAAAGCTTGATCAGCGATTTTGTCGAATAAATTGATCAAAGACTCGCTGGTCGTCATGAACTCTTTAAATATGTCAAAAGACAGAGAATTCTCGACGTATGTGATAGCTTTGCTTGTAAGTGCAGAGATGGCGTCAAAGATCGCTTTCATCATGATCGAATGTGCACAAGCGTCCAATCGCATCGACGCGAGCTGGTGAATTGTCTTTGCAGAATATTGGTAAGGAATTTCACCAGAATTCAACTCAAGCTTCATGATGGGAACATTGCAGTTTCCGCTCTGTCCAAGGAACTGACTCATACGACCCCACGGGATACCCTTATCTCCGGCAAGACGAAAGAGTGAAGCCACGGGCATTCGAACATTGATGGGATGGCTATCAGCTGCGATTCCAAGTGTACAACCAACATAGTACAGGAGTGCTGATGCGCCATGACCAAGTTTGATGGTAGAGGCTAGAAAGAACCCTTGTGTGAAAGAAAGAGACTTGCCGATGCTCTCTGGGCCATGATACTCGAAACCTCCATCAAAGATGATGTTGCTGAAATCGGCAGACAAGTTGAAAAGCTGATCCAAGGCTTTACCTTGAGCAGCTGCGATGGTAGTTACTGCTTTGAATAGTTCTTTTGATCTTGCCTCGCAGGCTAAAGCGTGCATTGTATGCTGTTCATAGTACTTCTGACACTGTTTTGTCAACCCAGTGTATCGCTGGCCACGTTCGAACGTGCCCATTTCCATTTTGATTTGAGAGAAGTCGAGAGTATCTCAGGGTTGTTTGACAAGACATTGGTTCTTATTTATCCTGGTCACAAGACTTGGTAGAATCTAACCTCAGCCGCAGCTGAATGATTGTAGTTGAGCCATGGCTTTCTTTAATGGATGTTATTGGTGAATCTTTCGCTTAAACTACCAGTAACTAAGAAAACTAACATGAAAATTCTCATATTCAAACCGCTCTCTGTACAGCAATGGATCTGGATAGGGGTTGGTGTAACCAGCGATATCATACTACATAGGTTATTATGCACTTTCCACGGCTCGTTAGACGTAAGAGATCAGTGCAGCTAAAACGCACATCAGCAGTGTTATAATTGTTAAAACCATTAAACCCAACATCCTCATCTCATTCCTCAGAGATACCTAACCATATTCAAATCACCTACTAAGCTTATCCTTCAGATCTGAATAGAATGATCCTGGCCGTGTCGCTGAGCAATTCCATGAGGGACCTTTTCATACGGAATCTTGCGACCCTTCAAATAATGCATCGGCCTCGTGTGTATGTCCCAGTCTCCCCATTTCTTTTCCTCTCAGCGTTTAAGCAGCGTAACCACCAGCTTCTCCCTCTGCTTGCTCAGCTCACGCACCGACTTCATAAACTCCTTGTTCGACTCATCATTCTTGATAAGTATTTGCTTGAGACCCGGGGCCCACTCTAGATGGGCACAAAACGCATCTAGCGCTTTCCCAGTGATTTTGGTTACGCTGCTTGATCTGCTGCCGGGGGTGATCTCGAGTAACTTGAGGTTCGGGCAGTTGGAGATCAAGGCGAGAAAGCCTTCGTCGCCGACTTTGTCTGCGCTGGGAAGACTGACGGTACGGAGGTTGGGGAGAGCTTTGGCTAGGCGAATGATGGCTTCGTTGGTGACATCCCTGGCACCGTTCTTTGCATCGTAGCCGACATCGCCGAAATTGAAAATGAAGTACCAGATCTTTTCAAGAACTTGACGAGGTAAAGCCAAGATATCGTCGATATGATCACTATCGTCAGGTTAGCACCTTCACCTATGCAAGGTGGGTGAATTGGCGTACTCAGTTAAGGCGAATTGATAACCAAAGTAGATCTTCCTGGTTGATGTGCCAATGAGATGATGATATTTTCATCCCAGTCACGGATGCTGCTCATAAAACGGGGTTCTTTTTCGCCCTTGACGACGGGCTTTAGAAGCCGTTTCTTTGGCGCGTCAGGGCCAGGGATATGGAGCATCAGCGTCAGCGGCTGAGTTGGCTCTCTGCGTTCGGATGGGAGGCATGGTAAATGTGGAGAGTTGTACTGTATTCGATGGAGATTGAAGGTATAGTACTGCCAGTATTGGGTTTAATCGATTGTCAGAGGGAAGTCTAGGCGACGCGACGCGACGCGACGATGGGGATTAACTTTGGGTGGCGCCATGATGAAACTCTAACATTTTACAGTGTGGCTCGCGACTTTACACGCCACAATGAGAACAATAGCCTGATAATTCTGTATTATCTACAATATATCTCTATCACGGCCTCACTTCGTATCTCACCACTGACCATCAACTAATCCATTAAAGGCAGCTGAAAAAAATCGCTTCAACTTTACAAACAAAGTATAGATTGTCCCGACTCGAGCCGCATCTAACAAACTCTATGCGAGCCTCGGCCGACGGGGCGCTCGGCCGGATAACGTAACAAATTCCACTCCTTTAAAATATATTTGATAATGGATTGCTTTCCATCGATCAACTTTTACGTACAATATCATGGGGGCGGATCATGACTTTTTTTTTGGTCTGGGGAAAGGGAAAGTTCCCCAGACCTTGGCACTTTCTTTCTCAACGGTCATTTATACTTAAAGACTAAAGAGACACTTGCCTTTTCAACGGTCAGGTTGTCTGCTCGTCTTCTTTCATCATCATCATTGTATCTGTTTTATATCACAGACTTCAAGACATCATGGATACCATCACGCAACAATCACATGCTGCTAAAGACAGCACCCTCGATCCCGATCAAATCGCTCGCATCGACCACACTTACGACCAAGCCCTCGGCACAGTCACCGAATTCGAAAAACAAAAGACCGCAGAAGGAGAAGCTCACTTCCGTCGCCTAGGATGGAAGCGTCTCGCCGTAATTCTCATCGTTGAAGCCATTGGCCTCGGAACTTTCAGTCTCCCTGGTGCTTTTGCGACGCTCGGCATAGTCGCCGGCGTGTTCTGCTGCATCGCGCTTGGCTTCATGGCCATTTACACAGCCTGGATCATCGGAAAGATCAAGGTATTGTATCCTTCGATTCAACATTATGGAGATATCGGTGGTTTGCTCATGGGAAGATTCGGAGAGGAGTTGTTTGGAGCCATGTACGTACTGCAGTTGATCCTCATCACATCTTCTTTCGTCCTCACCGGAAGTATCGCTTTGAATATTCTGGCGGATGGAAAGGTCTGTGGTCTTATCTTCAGCGCTGTATCAGGCTTCATGCTGTTTATCCTTGCGGTCATGCCGTCATTTGCAGAGGCTGCGATCCTGGGATATATCGACCTGGTGTGTGTCATGACAGCCATTGGCATCGCAGTTATCGCATCGGGTGTGGATGCTGCCAACAAGCCCGGTGGTATCGGGGCTTCAGACTGGTCAGCCTGGCCTGACCCTGACGCAACCTTTAAGGATGGCATGGTAGCTATCTGCAACATCATCTTTGCCTACTGCTTCGCCATGTACATGACGCCTTTCATGTCGGAAATGCACACACCAGAAGACTTTATGAAGTCCGTTTGGACACTCGGAAGCGTCGAAATCTTTATCTACACTCTCACCGGTTCACTTATCTATGTCTTTGTCGGTAAGGACGTAGCCAGCCCAGCTCTTGAGTCTTTGCCTGGTGTTCTACCCAAAGTCGCTTTCGGTGTCGCGCTTCCTATGATTTTTATCTCGGGTGCTATAGGTAATACAGTCACGGCCAAATACGTTCATCTCCGATTCTACAGAAATTCCATCGTGCGTTTCGTCAATACGCCCAAGGGTTGGGTCACTTGGCTCCTCACCCTAGCTGGTATCACAATTATCGCCTGGGTTCTCGGTGAAGCTATCCCTTTCTTCAACGACCTTCTCTCTTTAAGCTCAGCACTCTTTGTTTCGGGTTTCATTCTATACTTTCCGGCAGTTATGTGGTACAAGCTTATCTGCAGGGGCAAGTGGTATGCCAGAGAGAATATCTTACATGCTGTTGCTTGTATTTTTACTTTCTTGTTTGGACTTTTGGTCCTTGTCGGTGGAACATATGCTACGGCTATGGATATTGTAAGTTTTGTGATTCATGTGGATCTTCATCAGGCTAACAGGCATCTTAGCGACATCATTATGAGATCGGGGCTTTCCGCACTCCCTTTTCGTGTGAAGCATAGGTTATTGGAAGTGGTGTTGAGGAGCAGAGAGTGTTTTAAACCAGCACGTTTAACCTTGTAATCGAGTACCAGAGAGCACCCGCAATGCATTGAAGTAGAAGTGTGAAATACGATTTGAATGAGTATTGTTTAAGCTGGAATACCTTAAGATTGGTCACCCAATGGATCATTTTATCTTAGAGTGAACTTTAGATAACCGGTGCTTAAGTAGTCATTCTTCCGTGACCGAACAGCTCAAGCTTCGTCATGTCATCCCACAGCCCTTAGTCCCCAGGACCTTGTACAAACAACCTAGAAGATGAATGTTTGTTCGTGATAACCAAGGTCCCGCAAACGGTTATTTAACCATTCGTTGAACTCTTCTTCTGACATCCGCTCCTCATCCTCATCTTCACGTAGATTGGTTTGCCGAGCGCAGTCGTCCGCCCATCCCGATCCAATGCAGAGAGGGCAGAGCATCCACGTACACTTGTCATATTCATAGTGCTCTAGACTGGTCATACAGTAGACGAGATCGTCGTCAGTTGCGAGTATGAGCCTCTCGCCTTCGCAAATGCCACAATTGCCGTCTTCAAGCTTGCCAATCACGTCCACCGTGTCAAAGTCTTGATACAGAATAGGCATCTCGAGGTCCAGTTGAGAAACTGGGATTGTGACTGATTTGTCTGGCGTGACGGTCCTGGAAATCTTGAAGGGATTCTCGGGGGGCTCATCATCGTATCTGCCCGGAATGGGAACGTGAAGAGTGTTTGCGAGATAGCCCTCATAATATTCTCGGTCCGTGCCGGACTTGAGTTCGCCAAATTTCTTCCAGCTTTCAACGATGTTGCAGACCAGAGCAGACTCCCGCTCATCACCACGTATTTGGATGGAAGACACTTTAACCGGGTAGACAAGACTGTACTTGTGTCTGTTGATATTGAGTTCCGCCCAGGATAGAATCTCGAGCCAGAGTTCAGCGGGAAGAGTTTTATTCCCTTCTTTGGTAGCGATGTGCTGGGGGCTGCGACAGATTATGTTTTTGATGTAGTTGATGATCTGATGAGTGAGGTCAAGGATGAGCATGGTGTGATCCTTCAACAACTTTTTAAGATCTTCTTCTTTGACAGGAATCATCGTGTTGGGTCAGATGAAAGACTTGGTTTGTGTTGATGGGGTATAGAAAGTTTGTGACAAATCTGGCTGAGGAAATGTAGGATGAAGAACAGGCTGCGTATTGATTGCACAAGGAGGACTTTTATGTATTTCTCTAGAATTATAACCTTAATGTTGGAAAACTACAAGAAAGGATTTAACTTTGGTGAACACAGCCCAAGGCTGTCCACGTATTCACACGCCAGTGAAGAACTTCAAACTTTAGGCTACAAAGGTAATACACTGGAGCAATCAACCTTGGGACATACACCGATTTGATAACAGATATTGAGCCGGAAGGTCACGAATGAACTATACAAATAAGTTAGGATAGTTATCACCAATATACATGGATCGGTAGCTTGAATCAAACGGCCTTCACTTCGTTTGTCGGCTATATTCGACTATAGAGAGCACGATCGTCAAGTTCAAACCATGGTTTCGTGGTCTAACGGTTATGACTGCGGATTCTGATTCCGCCAGCGAGGGTTCGACTCCCTCCGAGACCTATCTTTTTTGGCGCACATACCAAGGGCAAGTAGGCTTTTCTCAGTCTACTACAAAAGCCTAGAGTTTATTCAAATGTTATTTTATCAACTTTATTTGTAACCAGATGAAGCTGTTCACAAATCAGGGCAAGGTTTAAAGTTCAGCGTGCAGACGCAATGTGGGTCACTTCTGAATATCAACTGAATTATGAAGGTTGAGGATGAAGTTTACGTTGATTGAATTAGTCTTTCAGTTTGTGTGATCAAAAGTGTTGTTTTATTAAGTACGCATTGCGGGCATCTTTATCACCAGATGTGTCACAAGCAAACCCCGAGTAGCAGAATTAGTCTTTCGCTTATTATACCGAAGCACAGAAAGCATTCACTGCTTTCTGACACCACTGAGACAAAGAGAGACACGTGTACACTAATAAGTCCTTTGAAATGATGGATAGCAGCGAAGTGATATCTGCAAACGAGTGAACAGAAGATCCCATTTCGATCTCGTGTCTATGCCAGTTGGAAACCCCAAAAGATGTAAAGTTGATTATTGCCAATGCATGAACCATCTTTTATTTCCTCTCTACGAACTGAGTCAAAAATGGACTCCGACAAAATTGCACTCAATGCGGCTCCGGTGTAGAAAGGCAAACGAGGTCACGTTGCACCAAGTGAACCTAGCACCAAAAAAAGCCCGCAGTAGCATTTCCCATTCCTTGTCTTTACAGCCGCTGTCTTATGGTTAATAATAACCATACTAAGAATGTCATTTAAAGACCTGCAGCTGCTCGTATAAGCATGCCGTTCAAATTCACCGAATGGCCCGATTTTCCAAACTTATTGCCTGCAATACTACCTAAAGTCGATATAGCGATGTTGTATTATAGCCTCCTTGAAACCTCAACCCTGAGGCTGTCATCGTTGAACGGGGGTTTTTGCGAGGTGAGTGAAACGCGAAAACTTCAACCCCTGTAGTAGATGATAGTCGTGATAGGCTGGAAATGCTCCATTCGGCCGAAACATCAAGAGGGCCGCCATGCCGGCTCAGTCGGACAAAACTTTGTCAGAGAAGTGTTTCCAGATTGGCGTTTAGCGAGTGTTTTTGATCGACTGTTTGTGTGTGATTGGTGGCATTTTTTGAGAGTGTCAGTCGATACATTGTCGGATTCAGCCGAGATATTACAACCTTGCACACTTACCAAATGGAGATATCATGCTCGTTCCTCGTTGGACAGGAGAATTACTGACAGGCGGATACACCCGAGATAAGATAAGAAGAACTTTGGAAAAGTGACATGGTCTTGTATTGAAATTGAAACGCCTGAAACCACTTCGGCCTTTTCTCGTCTTTTCGCCTCTGCGGTACAGCATTTCATAGGTGCGCTTGGGGTTTTGTATGGATATTCTTGGGAATATTGTTCTTGGAGTGACATCACAGGATCAGACTCTGAAGTTCATAGAGTCTGTCAGACTTGCAGTGACATAATCGGGGATCATCAGTTTATCTTGTAACCAGGGTAGAAACGTTCACTGCGACGTTCCATTCGAGAAGAATTCCATCAATCGTTATCAAAGGAACCTGACTCGTATTTAGCCATCCTGGCGAAGTCATTACTCAGTGGCGATGAGGCCTGGTTTTCAATGTGGCTTATACTGGTATCTGGTATTGCTCCGCCCAGGAAAGCCCAAGATAATACTATCCAGGCAAAATTCATGTAGCAGCCTTCCGATTGGAATAATCACATCAGCGATAGATTCCGATTCACGAGTCATGTACGTTTCCAGCCCGTCAGCTGATGTTTGAAACGAAGTCAGACAGCGAACAGCTGAGGTTTCTTCCGCGACGCCACTTGTTTTAGGCTTGTTTTTGCCATGACCTTGGGTCACCGCCGTCACCTTGAGCATGACCGACGATGGTTCGTTGGTATGTCCCAGCTGTGATTCGTGTGGTGGTATAAAAACAGGGAAGTTATGCGATTGCTGGATGTTGATCTGATCTGCGGTTCATAGCGATAAGAGGTCTAAAAATGGCCTATGTTTGATAGTACGAAGTCTGTGTCTCTGTGACGAGACAGGTCGCGATTTTACCCTGTAGACCAGTGTCAAAGCAACCTTCTGATTGTGCTCGAGAACATTGTGAAACCAAGCTCAAGATGGCTTTGTCCTTCCCTGTGCTAGTGTCTTCGTGACAGTCGCAAAACAACCAAAGGCACAGTGGTAGGCTGCAAAAACGTCCCAAATTACAGACGACTTTCGTCGCTTGATCAGACGGCTCTCAATCTACGCTCTCAGATAATTTTAGAGTTTGGTGAAATGAGCTATCACGCCGCTTGGTTGGGGTTTTTAATTTATCTGAGCGAGTGGGCCAGTGAGGAGACAAGCGAGGAGCCGTCAACTTAGCATCACTTTATTCAAGACTGCAATTGCCATTTGCTGAACAATGTCTTTACGGACATATTAACTTAGAGAATGATTTCGTCTAGTCTAGTATCTGTGCCTCGTTAGATTTTCATGCAATTATCATTAAGATTGGGGAGTCAGCTCCCGGGTAGATTTAAGCTTATTTCCAACTGAGATACTCGTATCTGATTTCACGATCTAGACAGATTCAACTCGTAAGATTTGGATGCATTATCTTACGTTGAATCTACCCTATTCAAGACGTAGGAGAGGCTAACTTCAGGGCCGGCAGTTGATGTCCCACTTTCTACCAATAGCTCAATGGTGATTTTACAACTTTCTCTCAGCTAATCGTTTCTGACCATCATGATACTGACTCTCCACAGCATTACCTTTGACTTACCGTCTCAGCACTCTACCGGAAAGCATCATAGAGACAATTCTGGAAGCTATTGCCGCCTAACCCCTTTGCCCTTGGCTCCTACAATGGGCCTGCGTTTCAAACTAGGTCCTTGAAAGCGGCTGACCCAAAACGGTCTGACAGCCCGAAATCCATCCCATGACTATTTTTCGCATTGCTTGATTCGGAAAATATCCATCTTGCTCAAGCTGAACTGCTACCTTGGCTGTGTCGAAGTCTGTGCATTCGCGACTGCCAAGATAAGGCGTTTAAATGGAGATGTAATTGCCAAGAAGACAGCACTTCAGTTCAACTATAACACCTGTAGCTAAAGTGACATTGTCCAGGGTTGCGCTGTAAAATCTCCGCGATGAAATGGCACGTGAAAAGGAAAGGGGCTGTATCTGGTGTGATCATCATTCGATTTCCTTCGGATATACGATTGTTTCGAGGTAGTATACCCGAACCCGTTCCCTGAAGTTGATCTTAATGCGAGGAATTGCTATATAAACTGCTGCTATTGCCAAGACTGATGAATGAAACCTGTGATGTTTTTAAAATAATCCACTATCAACGGTCTGGATAGCAGGGTACGGGGCTTGGCAGGTACAGAGCCCACTGAATGCGGCGTTTAGTTTAGCGACCTTACAGCGGTCCCTTGCCCCTTCACACAAGACCCCCACCCATGATACAGGGGCCGTAGCATATACTCGCCAAACATCAACAGAGAACTCATCTTGACAAAAGTCCAAAAATGTATATATACGACTGACACCACCTCGTACGTTTTTCATCTGTTCATCATCATCAGCTTCAACAAGCACTCAATCTACCTTCTCTTTCTTTCTTTCAAAGATCCTGGTGATCGTTTCTTTTTGTGTTTAACCTTTTCTTTAAAACCCATTTTTTGTGCCGGCACATTCACATTACAACCTTTTTCAAGATGCATTCCTTCCCTCTTCTCCTTTCTTCTTCTCTTTTCGCCTTGACACAGGCTCACTCTGTCATCCTCGGTGCTCAGGGTCTCGACACTTCTCCCAACAGTGTGGGATTCCAAGTCGATCCTGAGATTGCCCGCAACTGCATCACCATCAACCCTTGCCAGCAGGATGCTACCATCATTCGTGATGCCGAGATCACTGCCAACATCGTGAACCAGTGTGGTCGTACTGAGATATCTGGTAACATCGATGTTGGTGAAAACACTGAGAACGCTATCTCTGCCAACCAGGTTACTCAGGTTGAGGCTGGTGGTGAACTCACTGTTACCATTCACCAGGTCAACGCCGATGGTGCTGGTCCTTATGTTTGTGATCTCGACGAGAGCAGCAACACAAACACCAACATTCAGAACTTGACCGTGACTAACAACGTCCCCGGCACAAACGGTCTGTCTCAAGTCAAGACTCAGGCTTTCAACATCACTGTCAAGATGCCTGATGACCTCAACTGCTTCGGTGCCTCTACCGGAAACATCTGCACTGTACGATGCCGCAACAACGCCCTCGCTGGTCCTTTCGGTGGCTGCTTCGCCGTCCAGCAGGCCGACACTGACAAGAAGACCAACACTCCTCAGTCCATCAAGACCACACAGACCCTGAAGGGTATCAACGATCAGATTCTCCAGAACCAGAAGGACTTTGAGGACTCTGTTGCTGCCAACGAGAACGCTACTTCTGACGAGGCTGCCCAGAACAAGGCTGCTGTTGATGCTCTTCTCGGTGCTACTGTTGTTACTTCTGCTTTCGCTACCGAGACTCCTTCTGTTGCTCTTGGTCGTCCTCCTGTCGCCACTCCTGATCCTAACCAGGGTAACGATGGCAAGGCTGGTGAGAACAACGGTGGCAACAACAACAACGGAGGTAACGACAACAACAACAACGACAACAACCAGGATAACAACAACGACAACCAGAACGGTGGCGACAACGGCAACAACGGCGGCAATGGTGGCGACAACAACGGTGGAAACAACGACAACAACCAGGGCGGTGATAACAACAACAACGGTGGTGACAACCAGCAGGGCGGCGGCAACGGAGGCCAGGGCGGTAACGGTGGAAACCAAGGTGGCCAGGGCGGTAACCCCTTCGGTGGTGCTGGCGGTCCTCCTCCTGGCTTCCCCTTCGGTCGTGGTAACGGACAGAAGAAGGCCAAGCGTGGCTTCAGCATGCGCCGATGGGCTCAGCGTGCTTAAGCGGACGGGAAAATGCATGGGATGGAAACTATTTAGGAATATTGGAAAGACGATCATGGTCTTGGGAATAAAGAATGGGATAGTTAATTGAGGTGATGACCAATACTTTAGTCGTGCCGATATCTGCTTGTGAATTGATACCTACTCTATCTACTCTCCGATCTGTCATAGGAAACAATAACTTCCCTAGTCTTTGTGATCCGCGGACTCACCGGCCCAGCGTCTGACTCGATAGTACCCCGTCTATCCCTACATCCCCGATGTTCTTTGAGTATACTTCTATCACTCTGGTTATCACTATTCCCATCAGGATGTGCCTCCGTCTCGATAATCGCACTCCACTGTCCAGCCTTGTTCTTCGGTACAAACATGATGTTGTTCGAGATGTCCTTGAGCCGATGGGAGTTTTCGCTGGACTTGGCCGTTGAAGGGAATACTTTGCGCAAGATGGGACGGAGCGTGGGAAGACAGGCGGCAATGATGATGAGGGCATTTTCGGCACCGGCTGTGAGGAGGAGTTCGCCTACGTCAAAGGTTGGGTCGAGACTTGTGGCGTTGGCTTTGAGTTTTGTGCATTTGATGATGGCGATTGAGCCGGCACTGAATGTCTGTCAGTAGGTAAAGTCCAATGGAGATTGGTAGAGACTTACAAGACTCCAAGACTCATAGCAAAGGCGACACCAAACTTTTCCCTGTTCTTCATGTTGAGGTTCCAAAGCATAGCCCACGGAAGTAGAGCCAGTATAAAGTCCGTAGCAGCAGAGTATGCTACAAAGGTTAGCGTTACAACATTGTATCTTGCACAATTAAGTTACCTCCAATAAAGTACATGACTCCCAGATAGACTTCAGGAGCCCAACACTCACTAACAATAGCAGGATTCCAAGTCGTCCTCGGGTCCTTGCACCTAACAAAGACGATAATCGAAATGAGGATATGCAGCGTAAGCATACTGATGACGATGAACCATAGAAATCGATGGATAAATGGCTGTACTGCTAGACGCATGAGACTGATTGAGAAAGAAGTCTTGCCTAACGCGCACGACATAACGACGAATGGTTGCGAGATTTGGCCGAGAAGAGCGAGGGGAACGGCATCTTCGGGATGGGCGGTAAGGATGTATTCGACGTGGCGACCGAGGCCTTTTTGGACGGCTGCTTCGATTATGCCTCCATATGCGATGAGGATGAGCTGTACTAATGTCAGTAAATGTATGACGGGAGGAGATGGTGATGGCTTACAAGAGAGAAGACAATGACCCAATCATCGAGACCAAATACCTTTCGTACAACCACTCTCGTATAAACGCGTAGAGAAACAACAAGTGTTGGTAAGAGTACCGAAAGCCAGGTGACAGTTCGAATCATAGGCCCCCTCGACTCAGCGAGGTACTCATGTGAAGGCACAGACGACATCGTAATACCAGGTTAACCCGTCTTGTGCCGTGTAAAATCATGCGATGTCTCGGGGTCTGCATTGATGGGCTTTGCGCTGCATATATACCAAGCATCTGTCTACTGCCTTTGCGGCAGGCAAAGAGCTGCTTTTCTTTGTTTTGCCTCGAGATCTATCACTTCCGATTTATTATTACGACCAGGTTACAGACTGAACACAGTTTGTGCAAGGGATCAAGATTGGAGGAAGTACGTAATGAAAGGGCCCTGGGGAAAAAGCAAATAATATTACAGCCCGGCGGGTAGTAGAGTGCCGAGTACCGTTGGGCCAGAAGAAACGAACAATGGGACCCGAGGGAGATCTACAACGCTTCAGCTGATTGGAGGTCGGTAAGAAGAAAGTATGTCAATTGTCAAGTTCGCTGCGATACGAGAGTCTTTATACCTTCCTGAAAGAGCTTGACTCTGTTTGTATAAAGCAATTGCTTTATGCAGTTGACTTTCGGCATTAACATTGAGTCTCAATTGTTGTCTCGAAACTCGAGTCTAGGAGCAAACAAAAACTGAGCTTTTTGTCTCATAAAAAGAATTGAGTCTATTGGTTCCATTGGTTCTTGTGCCGTGCCGTCTCGCGAATCTGATAGATCACTATTCCCGCATTAACGAGGTATCCACTTCTGTCTCTGCGATGTTACTCTAGTCTTGCCACACGCTTTTGCCTGCCGGGAGGGGTAGAGGATGGGATGTCAGCTGTGAGAAATTAGATGCGAGAGACGAGTGCAGTGCAGGGAGTGACATTCCTGGGAAGAGGTGGTGATGAAGAGGAGGCTTTTCTAGTGCTGGTGTTGAAGATGTTTTACTAGACTAACAATCTTTTATCATATCGACAATCATGGTTCAACGGTTTCTAATCAAGTGTCTCTAAGAACGATTACAAGCTTCCCCGCCATGTCGCAATTGTCATGCATCAATCGATCAAAGACAAGTAGTCAAGGCATAAACCCAGACCCAACAAGCAAACAGGATTCAGCAAACAGACAGATGCGTAACCAGGTGGGTGCCAGAAGAAATATCCTCCAAGACTTAGGCTACAGAAATAAAGTAGCCTAAATGCTAGTCTATGGTGGCATAAGATGATCAAATTATTTCGTCTCTTATGCTCTTGGGAGCCAGTTTTTATGACACCCTGCAGGTAACCAACATGCATCACGATTGACAATCACTTCTCACAATCCTTCCATTCAGCTCGTTTCAATAGTCTTGCAAGCTCTTTGTTCAACCCTTGTCAATCCGAGTTCCCCGGATGCCTCTTTTCTCTTTTTTTCTCCGGCCCATGATTCGGGGTCGTCAGCGTGGGATAAGCTACGTTCAGGGGACGAGCCGCATATTAAAATGTGGGTGGATAAAGCATCATAGCCATAGAGAAGGCACAGGATTTGTGCCTGTTTCTTATCCTCTTTCCCTCATTTGTTTTCTCCTACATATCATTAGACGTATCATAAAATAAACCCTGGTACTCTATGCATCAGTGTGGCACAGGCTTTCTCTCAAACGACAATCATCGTTTTTTACCCAGTAGTCATTCCGCCTCTCATAAAAAAAGCAATGTTTCTTTGTTCCCCAAATATGACAGTCCTCTCCCCTCTTTCCTCCCCGTTTCTCATTTCTCGTGCAGGACCGTTTCACTATGGCGATCTCTTTGAGTTACATTCTTTACGCAGGCGTTGCTTTTGTTATCGCGCGTATCCTATACGAATTCTTCCTCTCTCCTCTCCGTCGTATTCCGGGACCTAGATTTTCTAAGTTTACAGATGCTTACAGGGCTCATCTTACATCCAAGGGCCATGCTGATGGGCATATGAGAGAGTGGCATCGGAGATGGGGTAGTGCTGTTAGGGTTGGTCCTAATACTGTGAGTATTAGTGATCCTGATCTTATTAGGGTGATCTACACCACGAGAAACCCATGGAGAAAGGTAAGATCGATCCCCTACTGAGTGTAATAAGGTATAAATCCTGATGATTGCAGAGTAACATGTACCGTCCAAATGACGTCCTGGTAAACGGTCAACGCATCCAAAACATCTTCAACACCCAAGATGAAGATTTCCACACAAAATACACAAAGCCCATCAGGGGATTCTGGACTCTTCCCAAGATGCTGGAAGCTGAACCTCTGATGGACGAAACCTTGTGCGAATTGATTACCCATCTTGACAAACGCTTTGCAGCAACTGGCTACGTCTGTAAAATGGACGATTGGGTATCCTACTACGCCTGGGACGCCGCCGCAAATATCAGTTTCGGACGCACTTACGGATTTATGGAGAAAGGCGGTGATGTACAGGATATCATCGCCGAGTCCACGGCTGGCCTCAAGTACTTTGCGCCCGTTAGCCAAATTCCTTGGTTGGATGAGTGGCTGGACAAAAACCCCATTAAGAGAATTGGTCCTCGTCCACTTGTCAATGGAGTTATGTACACCATCAAGATCCTCACCGAATATCAACAACAAATCGCCTCAGGGGCAGCGAAGCGCAAGCCAGTTGATTTGTTCATCGACAAGTACAACAGTCTGAAAGAAACAGTGGACTACGTGGATGATCATCAGGTCATCAACTGGCTTATGCTGAATGTTCTCGCAGGTGGTGATTCAACGGCTGGTGCAATGCGTGCCCCGGCGTATCATCTCCTTAAGAATCCGTTGATTTGCGAAAAGATGGTTGCTGAGCTTCGAAGCGCAGATTTGACACTTCCTGTTCCGCAGTGGAAGGAAATCAGTCAACTTCCCTACTTCGACGCCTGCATGCGCGAAGCGATGCGTATTTCTCCCGCTGTTGGTTTACTTCTCGAGCGCGAAGTTCCCAAGGAAGGACTTGAGTTACCAGACGGACGCTTCATCCCAGCCGGTACAAAGGTTGGTATAAATCCATGCGTCGTGACGCGCGACGTTGGCGTCTTTGGTGAGGATGTCGATGTGTTTAGACCTGAGAGATGGTTGAGAAACAAGGATGAGTCGGAGCAAAGCCATGCTGCGAGGGTGCGAAGAATGCATGAGTGTACTGAGATGATGTTTGGACATGGATCCAGAGTTTGTATGGGCAAGTATATGTCCAAGTTGGAGATGTACAAGATGTTTGCTACTTTGTACGTCAACTTTGATGTAAGTCACCTCTCACCTATCTCAATGATACTGGGAACTAATTGATATTGCAGGTCCGAATTACTGATCCCAACCATACGTGGAATTATGAGAATAACTGGTTCATGTATCACAGAGACATCCCTTGCACCATCAGTCGTCGTCAAAAGTCTTAGATTAAATATACGTAACTACTCTCATTAATGAAGAACATACTTCTTCAACGGTCTCAGCCCAGCCTGCCACTGTTCAATCGCCTTGCCGTACATATAACTCTCAATATAAACATCTCCAATGTACCTAAACTCTCCCTGCGTTCCCTCCGGTCTAAGCACCACAGGCGTCGAGCAACCAAGCGGCACAACAACCACATCACCCGGCAGCATGGCTCCAGATCCAACACCAAGTCTCTTGTTTTGGGTAAGACAGAATGTTCTTCCCAGCATTCGATCGCCAATGTTTGTTTGCAAGAAGTTTCTTCGCGCCTCGGGTCTGATGTCGGTCGTGATTTTAAGATGAGCTTGTAATGTGGCGTCCAGTGGAATATATGGCAGACGCTCCTGGAAGAGATTTGCTATAACGTGATAGCAAGTCTTTTGCCAACGCTCTCTGTCATATCCTGTAGGCAATTGCCCGAGACATAGCGTCGCCGCGAGACACTCTTCTGCCATCTGTATTTGGAACGACGTCCGTCCCTCAGTGGCATGAAGAAGCAACGCTCTCCAATGCAAAAACGCCATGAGGAAATCTCCCAAATTCACCAACGTACCTACAACCATACCCTTCGTCTGAACAATGTCAATCGGTATACCAGAAATTTCAAGTTTGTTCATACGCTCGCCGTGGAAGTTACAGATAGCTTTTGTAGCGCCTGATGCCTGGAAGCTGTATCTGTGGCCCATTGCTGATGTAAGTGGTATGTATGACCAGTCTGGAACAAAAGACGGTAGATTGGGAGACCTGTTGTTGGGAGGAAAGTGCATTGACTCGCAGATGACGTCCAGGCTATCTGTTGTCTGGATCAGAAACTCGACAATTTCTGTGTAGACATCCTTGGTGGACAGGTCATAATCAACTCGGAGTCCATCTCTTATATGAGAAGGCAAAACGCCAAGAATGCCGTACAGTTTGTCTCTTGGATCAGAAGACAGTTGACTTCGAGACGCCCTCAAGACTTCAAGAAGAGCGTTTTCTCCCTTTAGAGTTTGAGGCTTGAGAGTCGGAATACAAGCTGGTCCCTCGTGTATGAGAGTCTGAACACAGGTAAAGTGGTCGGGACGTCTCTTATCAGGACCCTTGGCCTTGAAATCAAGTTCTGCATGATGGCGACGGAAATATTGAGATGCAGTCTTGTATGCTTGCCAAGGAAGAAAAGTATCCCCGCAGTGAACAGCGATACGTTTCGCGTTAAATACTTCTTGTGTGACCCAAAGTCGTTTCCAGTAAGGTCTTCCAAAAAGCGATACTGTGGCCAGGAGGTCTCCATTCGCAGCGGCATCTGCCAATGTTTCAGATACATCTGCGCCTGTGACAAAGTGGTCGGTGGGCAGGGAAAGTCTTTCTAAGAGCTTCACGGCCCTTGAGCTGTCATTCTCCTCCGGGCCAAGCCATATTGCTACAAATGCTGCATTTGAGTATATCTGAGGCATCAACTGAACCTGTTGGCTTCTCTCGTCTGTGTTCTTCTGATCAATACACAACGCATCAGCCCAAACTAGGACTGACGATTGCTTCTGCCGAAGAGCCTTTAACGCGCCGTAGAGGCTAACAGTAATGGGAACACGAGATCCTTCAATGTCAATCTTTTTTGTGTCTCCCACATCACCCCATGTGTATGATACAGCAACGTACTGTGGGGCATTATCAAGAGGTGCTTGGATAACTTCACATTCGATCGTTGTGCAGTGACCTGGCAGGATCCTGACGAGTCTGATGGAACCGGTCTCAATTGGCCAATATTCGTATCTTTGCTTGGTAGGAGAGTCAATCGTTGAGACCATGCTCGGTCTGGCTGATTGTGGGATGGTGGAAATGACACTCGCGGCCGAGGGACTCGTAGGCGTAACGTCACCTCCCGGTGGGCTTTTGACCGAATTTGATGGTCCCGCCTCGGCTGTAGGTGAAGACATGCCCACATCCCGAGGTGTCTTCGCTGGAGAAGGTGGTGAGTGAATCCCCAGGCCTCTCTCTAAATTCATCTTCGCTTCTTGCTCCCTCTCTGGGATCTGAGACACCAACGATCCAGGAGGAGCAAAGTGAGCTTTCGCTGGCTCTGGATAAGGACGATAATGTCCCGGTCCAGCAACTAAACTCTGTGGACTTTGAGGTGATTGCGGTTGACTGTTCATCTGGTACTGTGCAATGTATGCTGGATATTGTAGGACTGGTGCCTGGATCGGCGGAGAACGGACACGGACAGGTGCCCATGCCTCCTCAATGATAGCAGCTGGTTCTTGTCTCTCTTCGACAACTGTCTTTCGTCTGAACAGCGAGCTCAGCCGAGTGTGGCTCTTCTTAGGCTGTGGCTCCATTCTGCTTCTGAATGACTTTTCAAAGATAAAGCTGTAAAATGATGAGAAGATTAAGATCACACTGCTTTGTGTTCAAGCTGAAAAATTGCGGATAAAGTCTTGGGTGTCAGCCTGATTTAACGTGTTACCCTATCAGACGTCGTGGCTATCCCCCGTCAGCCCAACAAGGCTTAGCATGAACCAGGGTATTTCGGTCGAGCCCCTCGCTTGGAGATTGGATGACATGACTTTCGCGATTGATTCACTAATTGGGATAATGTTTTCCGATTCTTCATGATTTTGATATGGATTGTCACATCTCGGGCTGATATAGGAAGTTGTCCACATCAAGTTGTTCGGCTAGATCCAACAACTCGCCGGGGGTTAGGCCGGCCATGGCGTTGGCGGCAAAAAGATCCCAACCTGTCTCATCTGCGAGATGTTCTTGAATATCATGTCCTTCGTCCTCTTCGTTATGATGCTCTTGAGTAACCTCATTCTGTTCTGCCTCGACGGGAAGCTCTGGTGTGACGATGTTGCTTGCTGGCGTCAGAGCGGAGAGCTTCTGCTCTAACTGCTCGAGTTCCACCTTTCTGAGTGGAGCGATCAAACTTCCCTTAGCGATCAGGGTATCAAAGACGTAACGGGCATCGTCACGCCAAGAATCGTCTGACAGAAGAGAAGGGCAAATTATGGGGATTAGTTGTAAGAGAAATGCGGAGGACGATGCATATTCGATCTGGAACGGCAAAAATGCTTCTGTACAGGACTGTTAAACAAGTTCGTTTCTGTGGGTTATACTCTTTGACTGACCAATTAGATCCTCGTCTGCGAGGGCGCGAAGAGTCTTGAGAATAGATTGTGCAGAATTGACACATGATTGTATCAATGATGCCACAGGGCGAGACAATGATAGACCGTGTGTCATCCGAGTCTTAGATTGTTCGATATGCATATGTAAAGCACACATTATCTGGGGTCTCGTTGTGAGGACGACGCACTAATAACGTGTGAGCCAATGGGTATCTTTCACGAGCTTTGAAACTTACATGATGATACTGGAGAAGTAGCCGTGTGGCAATTCTTGAAGCCTTACTAATCGAGTCACGAAAGTGCTTGTTGATAATGTTTTGTAGATCACGGTTTAACTCAGCCAGGTTCCTTAAAATAGACTGGGTGTTGCTGAAAAGAGTTCCATCGTAGTCTTTTCCAACACCGTATACCGCTGTCATCATGTTAGCGACCATTCATTGGAAAATTCGACTCTTTCAAACTTACTCCCCAAAAGCCGTGCTATGAGCCGAGCTAACTGGACATGAAGCGTTAAGCTGAGAGACGTCAAAGAATCATCAACCTGAGAAGGCAATTTGTTTGTGATGTCTTCGTCACGTATCGCGCTTGTAGCCCCGATAAGAGCCGCAAATTCTTGATCTAACATGTAGACTACCCAGAAGATAATGTGGCACCGTTTGGAATGCTGTGCTCCGACCACTTCTTCAGGCATGTGTCTGTGGAAGCCAGAGAGTACACAGATGCGCAGGGCTTGTCCTATCTACAATTGTACTGGTTAGTAGTCGACAGACAAAGGCTCAAGCTAAACTCACATGCTGATATGCAGCTACTCTCATATCAATAGACTGAAAGTAGATAGCCGCAAGGGTGAGCGCTTGCGCGGAAAGGATAGGATCCAAAGCAATCCCTGCCAACTCCGGCATAAGTGGCATTGCCCTCGCAGCATACTGATACCCTGGCGGTCTCCCATCAATACTCTTCCCACCCAGAAACGCTTTACCAAACGCAATCATTAGTAAGTACTGCGCATACCAAAGCTTACAAGAAGCCGCCTTGGTTGAGGCATCCTGGTAAAGCTCCTTGAAATGCTGCAGAAACTCAGCTTCATCAATAAGACTGGCCAATGGGCCGAGATAGAACCTTGCTGTCTGGATAAGGAAGAATGCATAATCGGAAGGTGGTAAATTTGAGATCTCGGGCTGTTCGTCGGGCATTAGGGGACGCCATTGGAGGCGGAATGCTGATCCGTCGAGATGCCATGGTGGAGGATCGTTGTTTGCTTCTGGAAGGTGTTTTCCGACGAGGGCTAGGACTCTCCTGCAAAAGGCCCATGATGAAGCTGGGCCCATATACCCTGTAGCCTGATGTTAGTATATGTAATTGGATTTTGAGGGTAGAGATCCTTGCAATATCGTCCTAAAGCTTGACCAAAGACATAATCATTGTCTACCAATGGGTTCTGACGAAAAGCGGGTTCGAGCACATCGTTCGGTGACAGGGATCTCGTTTCGTGTGCCTCCTCATTCTCTTCATTTCCTTCTGGTGTTCCGAGAGTGAGATCTTGCACAAGATCTATGTTAGTAAACAGCCAAGTCGACGGCACTAGCCACTTACCTCCGTCAGCTTCCGCCACAGACGCATCCCGGGGAAGGAGACCCGTCATGCCATAATCGGAAACGGAAGAATGTCTCGGTCGGACCCTGCTTCCGCTGCGAAGTCCCCCGGGTGACGGGCCATCTTGTCGCCTCTCCAATGCCCGGAGATAACTGCGACAACCAATTAGTCAACTTCATAGACCATGGGATAACGACCCGACTCACCTCTCAGTAACAGTAACTTTCTTCTCCTCCGTCTCATAGATACATCTCTCATTCTTCCTTCCACACCTCGCACAAGGTTGTGCCCCAGAACACTTGACCTTCATAGACCGACATCGCTTACACCTTGATGACGAGATTAGCTCCCTTACCAAACACCGGCTTTCGATAGACGCACGCTTTGACACATTTCTTGACAACTCGGAATTGGCTCTGTTGAGTATTAGGCATTGTTCTAGAAGCTCAAACTGAGTATGATAGAGACAAGCAACGAAAGTCGGGGTAGTGTTCCGGCTTAAGTCTTTAGGGTGGAAGGAAGTCCCGGATGAGTCCTTGCCTATTGTAGTAAGTGCTGTCCAGCTTATCAGCGGCTTTGGGTAGTGCAGGAGCGCTATCGGATGTGGAGATATGATGGACCGGAATGTCGTTCCGAATGCTAGTAAAACCTTATCTTAGTACCCTGCAGTAAACTTCATAAAAGTCGGTATAACCACCCGACATCCTTTTCATCCTAATTGTTGGTGTAAGTTGATCGAAAAACTCTTCTGGAAGATCGATCAGGGTCGGCCGTCGTACCAAAGCTTACACTACCATGTCAAGCCCACTTAGATACAAGTGAGTGTTTGTGATTGGCCAACAAGGATACCAGTGTTGACCTGGCACAGGACCTTGAAGCAATTGCGCGCCTTCAAACCCATCACAAATAGGATGTCACCTTCGGCAATCAGACTCAACTCTTCGGCCGCAGCTGTTGCAACACCCAAACCTGCATTCTCAGCAGTTCAACCAGTCACAAATTTCGCAGAAACAATAGCCAATCGCCCTGATTTCGACCACTCCAACAGACCAATCGAGATAACCAAATCTCCCGATCCAATCTGGTCGTATGGAGATGGCGTGCGCACTGGTCCAGTCGCCAAGCAGGTTCACAAAGAAATCGACCCATACTCTCCAGACAGATCCGTCAGCCAAAACTACCGTCTTCTGATATCCGGTATCGCTCCTCGTCCAGTTGGGTTCATTAGCACAGTCTCCAAAGACGGCAAAACCAAGAATCTCGCCCCGTTCAGCTATTTTCAAATGGTCGACCATGATCCACCAATGTTCATCGTCAGTTTCTCCTCTCGCAATGGCCAAATGAAGGATACATACCGAAACATGAAAGACACGAAAGAATGTGTTATAAACACGGTTTCTGAAACCATGATAGAAGCAGTCAACGCTTCGTCTATTGATGCACCCTATGGAATTTCAGAGTGGGATATCACCGGTTTGACTGAAGCTGGAACGACCACAGTTAGACCATCACGAGTGAAAGAGTCAGTGTTGTCGATAGAAGGTAAGGTTGTCGATGTGAAGGAGTTTGAAGGTCATAGACCGGGTATGAGCGGATCTGCTATCTTCTTGGTTGAGGCAACGAGACTTTGGGTTCGGGAAGATGCGGCGAACGAAGACTTTAGTCATATTGAGCTCGATAAGTTGAGGCCGATTGGACAACTTGGTGGGATGGCGTATGGGAGGATAACTTCTACTTTTGATATACCCCGGACGAGGTGGGTTGATGAGAAGCCGAAGAGTGAGTTGTTGGCCAAGTTGGAAAATGAGAGGTCAAATTTATAGATAAAAAGGATTAACAGTTGACTTTTCTCAAGATCCAGTTTCACAAGTTTCACTTAGAGGACACGATATCCGCACAGAATCCTTGGACAACTGTATGTGACATTCTATCAAGGAAAAGATTCTTCAAGAGTAAAAGAATGAAAATGGTTAAGTAGAATCCTAGTTCGGTATAAATTATTTCTCGTATTGCTTATATGGTCTCAATGATCAATGATTCTAGACCACAAGAAAAGACACAGAATTCAGTCTCAATCTTGCTTCAACCTCTACCCAACAAGTCTCCTCCAAAGCTCCTGTCTCATAGCAACAGCCATATGTCTCGTCCTCTCAACAGCACCTCTATTCTCCACCGCCCGTCGATACAAATAATTAATACACTCCTGCACAGACCCCCAAGGCAAACACTTATAGATCTTAGGCGTCTTATCCGTAGCGCGACCCTCTTTCACGGCCTTTTCATAATCTTGCAGCAGCTTTCCACTTAGTTCATCCGCCATGCCCATGATTTGAGCACATTTCATTGGTGTAGTGGGAAGACCAGCTTCCAGACGCTTGCGATGAGTTGTGAGGGCTTTGGTCGCACTTTCGGCGTTGTGAGTCGCGAGGACGAGTGCTGCGCTAGGAAACTTGAGGTTTGTGGGAGGGCGTTGAGAGATCAACATGTCGGCTATATCGTTGTAGGACTTGTCCGTATCTTCCTTCGTATCATGGATCAAAGATCGGATTTCATTCTCGATATATGCGCCTCGGACTAGCTTTATACCGACAGTCCAACCTCCTTCGGCTGCCAGTTGGATATGGCGCTGAGCATTCTTCCGGGCTCCCTTGAGGTAGGCTTGAATGGTGTTGTAGACGAGGGCATTTCCATCCCGGTTGTGCTCGCGCATCAGGATTATGGTCCAGTCGTCGAGGGTTGGTTGCATGATTTGTTGTTCTGCGTCTATCCATAGTTGACATCCTCGTTTGCGTGTTTCGATGCAAATGTCGTTTAAAGCTTGGTGCAGATATTTGTTCATCTGTCGTCCAGCTTGTAGAGCGTCTACTGCGATAGGACCGGCGCCCGTAACCCTAAATCATGTCAGTTAAGTCCAGTTTCAGTTTGGAAGACAGACTTACTTCACAGCCAGCAAGTCTCCAGCTTCAATCATATTCAACGTCTCAATATTTCCTCGCTTCCACTCATCAATCATATTATAACACTCAACCGGATAATCTTCCACTCCAGTCTCGGGAAATTTGACATTAGGATCCAAGACAACATCCTTGGAATACCCAAGTATAATACCATGGAAGCCTAGCTTTTTGATGTACTTGACAGTATTTGAAACCTCAGGAGTGCTATTTCCAGCACAGAAGTGGTCGTAGATGGTCCACTGAAGAACCCGACCCAGTAGTGGATTCTTATCGGGATTGAGGAAAGATGAGTTGGTTTGTGTCAAGAGCGAGATGAATGCGAGTGATGGCTGGAGGAGGAAACGATTGGACATGATGGTTGTGAGAGCTACTGAGCGGAGAAGAACGCCCATTGGCATTTTGGATAGTGGTGATGGTTCTGATAGCTGTGCTGGTGCAGGTTTCAGGGTTGGTCGGAATGTCGCATCCGCAATTCTTCGCTGTTGTGGCAAGACATAGCGAGCCGTCAATGGCAGAAGATGTCGTCTTTGGTGTGTGGCAGTCCTTGAAAGCATTTCGACTGTCCCTTGATGTTGAATCGATAGTTGTTAAGATATCTTAGACAATGGCTCAACAGCAGTCTCATATTTATCACCATATCATCGCCCATTCCTTCGCACGTTGGCTACCACCCATTACAACAACATTATCTCACATGGTCTTCCACCCCACAGATAGTTGTAGTCGGGAGGTCTCTCCGATGCTGATATTCATATCTCGCAGGAGTCTAGACCAAATGTAACTCAACCCCGCCCCGTATCTGATCACTAAACTACGTGGCGCTTTGCGGAGAAAGGTCACGAGGTATCGATAATGCATTCGTGTTGATCTTCTAGAAGCTATCAGGTGGGTAACAGAGGAATTGTCCTCCAAGGCTTAGGCTTCCATAATAAAGTAGCCTAACTGCTATTCTAAGCTAGCATAAAATGACTAAATTATTTCGTCTCTTATGCCTTTAGGGGTTAGTGTCGGCCTCGTCTAATCTGTTGACGGAATGGCATTCCGACATCAGATCTAACACGAATACGGCTTCGTACACCAAGAATACGGGAGTCTATCTCGTCTAATCCTGAGGAAACTTTGTTCCACCCTGTCTTCTAACCTCATCCATAATCTCCATAACTCTCACAGTCTCAGCCCAAGGCATGACATCACTCTCAGTCTTCCCAGCAGCAATATCCATCGCCACAGCATCAGCCTCCCAATAAAATCCTCTACCCGGCTTCTCAAAACCATACTTCTTCCCCTCCGTCTCACCGTCCATATAAACGGTGAAAGTTTCAGGCGCAGCTGCAGGACCTTCCACAACGATGTGACCTTTGGTTCCTTCAATGCGGCAAAAGGCTGGCGGTGTCTTGACTTTCGAGTTGGAAGTGATGATGCCTTGTTTGCCGTCTGGGTATTGCAGGATGATAGAGGTGCTAACTTCGACACCACCTTCAATGAAGGTCTGGGAGGCGCAGATCTTTGGACTCGTGGCCTTTTCACCTACGCCTGCGTCAAGACCCAAAAGGCCCCATGTCAAGCTGTAGATGCCGATATCAAGCAATGAGCCAGCGCCCAATGCAAGATCTCGTAAGCGATGTTCGGGAGTAAGTGACTCGATCCGCTGATCCATGGCAAAGTCTGCAAAAAGGCGAACCACATCTCCAATGACCTTCTCCTCATGAACCATCTTCTGAATCATCTTAACTAAGGGAAAGTGACGCGTCCACATAGCCTCCATTACAAAAACACCCTTTGCCTTGGCAGCTTCAAGAACTTCTCTCGCCTCTCTGGCGTTCAAAGTGAAAGCCTTCTCACAAAGAACATTCTTACCATGCGAGATCGCATCGAGGCAGTTCTTTTTGTGAAAACCATGCGGTGTGCCAATGTAGATGATGTCCACGTTAGGATCTTGGTAGGCTTCTTCATAGCTTCCGTAGACAGTTGGGTTCATGTTTGGAATATGAGTTTCGACAAACTTCTTGCCCTTTTCAACAGAGGAGGAGCCGATTGCCTGGATAACGTGTGTTGCTTGTGCGTCTTTGCGGTCGATGGAGAGGTCGGACAGGAACCAGGATGAGATCATGCCTGTGCCGACGATGCCCCATCGGAGGGTCGGTTTTGACTCTGACATGATGGATTGGATCTGTGAGAAATATTCCGGTGTTGTTCGCAGAAGAGAGTGCGTGACTTGAAGCTTAAAAACAAAATGCTCGCAAACTACTCCTCTCCCGGCTAAACAGCCTTGAATATGGAGTTGAATACAGGCTGTTCGTCGAGTCTCCATAACAACCCCGCATTGCATAGCATCCACAGCCCATGATCCTTCGCTTTTCACAACATGATATCATATTGATACTATCGAGCCGGAGTCATCTTTCAAGACTTCTCGCCATCCACTGCAGCCTCTGTCATCCCATTGTCTCTCTCCGGTTTACCCTCAAATACCTCCTTGATCTCCTCAAGGGTATGTCCCTTCGTTCCAGGAAACAAATACCAAATAACTACAAATAGAATTACAAGGATACAGCAAAACACTATATAGTATCTCCACGTGATGATTTCCATAGCTATGGGATTGACCTGGTTGCCGAGAATAAGACCGACGAAAAAGGCTATGTAAGTAACAGACAGACCTCTTCCTCGCAGGGTATAAGGAAAGATCTCCACTGGGTATGCTTGCAGAAGTGGGTTCCAGGCGATATTGTAGAACAGATAGTAGATAAAGATAAAGCCAACCACAGCCCTGCAAGTTGATTCGTTAGGACTGTTTATAAAGTGCGCTGTGAGGCACGTCCAGATGATATATGCCACAAGCATTCCAGCCGTTGACGTCAGAAATAAAGCCCTTCGGCCGATACGATCAACCATCAGAGCCCCCAAAAAGGTTGAAACAAGCCAACTGAAAATCTGCAAAAGTCCGTTGATGAGAGTTTGATCTTTGGCTTGGGTTATACCGATGGTATTTAGAACAAGAACGAGATAGTAGCTGACTACTCCCACCCCGTTCCATTGGGCGAAGAAACCCAGGACAACGGCGATGAGAGTGCGCTTGCGGTTGGCAGGAGTCCGAATTAGCTCCAACCATGAATTAGCAGAAATGGCTTCGGCTTCTTCCATGAGAACATGTTCGATCTCCCGCATCTCGAAGGTGACGAGGGAAGATTCTGTATCACCTCCTGCATGATAATCTACCAGTACTTTTCGAGCTTCCTCTTTTCGACCTCGGGATACGAGCCACCTACCAGGCGTAATTATTGTTTCTGAGACAATTGAATGACACACATACCTTGGAGACTCGGGGAGAAAATATAGTCCTAACAGCTGAAATATAAGCACTGCTCCTTGTAACAGCTCCAACTCCAAGTTGACTCAATTTTGAAAGTCCCATACGTGCACCACGCCGCGAAAATAGCACCAAACCACTATACCAATCAGTACGAGGCCTAAACTCCAATAACTCACTTACAAAGAATGTATTGTATAACGCAGTAATTTTACCTCGCTGAGTAGGATACGCCAGCTCCTTAATGATAATCGGATTAGGCTGTCCAAGGAAACTTGTGGAGAACCCCAATAGAGCTCTTGCGATGATGAAACTATGAATATTCTGTGCAAGACCTTGTAGGATTGAAAAGATGATGCACATTATTATGCCGATTAGAAGAGGAAGTTTTCGACCCCACTGGTCACTGATGTATGAAACTGCGAATAGCGACACGATCTTACCGAGTGGATAGACGGAATTCATGAGACCGAGGGTTGCGCCTTGGGGATTATTGAAGAACGTGCGCCATTGGGGGAGGGTTTGGAGACCATTCATCATGGAGCCTTGCTGAGTGTTAGTATCAAGAGGTTTTGAAGAGGACGAAGGGCTTGCCATCGTAGCCTATGGAGGCTGAAGAAAATAGAGGAACTAAGAGACACAGGTTGAGTTTGATGAGATGCGCAGTCTTGTACCATGGCATTGGATTCTGTGGTAGGACCTTGGCAGAAGCATCATCAGTCTTGATAGCGCCGATATGGCTATAAAGTCCTTACTTGGGAGAGTCCTGTACCAACTGCCAACTCGGCTTCTTTCTTTCGTGCCATACTGCTGCCTTGGATGGAACACAAAAAAGGAACGACTGACGAGAGGAATACGTCTGGAATTTGGGTTTTCATGCGGATCTCGGTGACTGAGCTCGACTAGCTATTGTGGGAGGACAAGATGGCGATCTGGTTACACTCGATACGTGGAGAAGCATGGTCCGTTACAATCCCAGACGGTCGTGCAGGAGCAAGGGGCTTCACCTTGCTGGTGGCAATAAAGACCGCGCACCGCACTGTCCTCTGCATTTAAAAGTTGTCTCAGTCTACCACCAGCCTCGAGCTCCTCATTGAGTGTCTCTGATATGCGTCCGGGTCCAGGTATCGCCGAACCTCCACATCTCATCAAGGGACTTGAATTCCGACACAGTTCAGGCCAAGCCAACCACATACCTCTGATAAGAAACCTTCAGCCATTACTCAGGTTCCCATCTATAATGCCCAACATGAAAGGGTTTAATCAAATCAAACAATGAGTGGTCTAGTGGCATACGACATAGAGAAAACCTCTAGAATCCTGAACCTTATTAAGTCTAAAAGTCTGTTCCACGCCACTCCCTCTTTTTTCGTTAAAAATCGAGAATTGAACCCTCCCTATGCTTTGTTTATAGCAAAATGCCTGGAGATATCTTGGTGCCTCATCAGGTCAGGAACTAATGCGCATTACAACCAAGTCACTTCATGTGAAGGCAGATTGAAAGAGAAGATTTTTAAAGGAGTGTATTAGTTAGATTTTCATCGTACCCGATAAAATCAACGCTCTAAATAAATAAATATCAAATGATGAATCAGTCCAATGCCAAACAATCCGCTATGCTAAGGAACGTTCCAAAACCCATATCCAAATGACCGTAAACAAATGCATCGCTATTCTATATCATGCTCTTTATATACCTGAAGTGTAAATATATATGTGTGAATCTCCACCTCTTACTTGGGGCAGACAGGGCGCTTGGAGCTGCAGGCGTCCTTCTTGCAGCATCCCTTGAAGCCGTTGGCGCAAACCTGGAAGAAGCCGGTGCCGGGAGCACAAGTACCAGAAGAGCGGGTCTTGACCTCGAGGCTCTGGGCGGGCTGGTAGGTACCGGTCTTGTAGTCGGGGCACCAGGTGTTGCCGCAGGCATCGCCCTTGCAGCAGCCGCGGAAGCCGTTGGAGCAGGACTGGAAGAAACCAGTGTTGGGAGGGCAAACGGTGTCATCGGAGCGCTTGGCAACAGCGGGAGGGCAGATGGGCTGCTTCTGGCTGCAGGCGTCAGTCTTGCAGCAGCCACGGAAACCATTGCTGCAGGACTGGAAGAAACCGGTGCCGGGAGGGCAGACAGTAGGGTCAGATCGCTTGTTCACAGTGGTGGGGCAGATAGGCTCCTTCTGACCACAGGCATCGCCCTTGCAGCAACCACGGAAACCGTTAGAGCAAGATTGGAAGAAGCCGGTTCCAGGAGGGCAGACAGTAGGGTCGGAGCGTTTGGCGACGGGAGGGCAGATACCAGCGCTGTTGGAGCAAGCGTCAGTCTTGCAGCATCCGCGGAAGCCGTTTGAACAAGACTGGAAGAAACCAGTACCGGGAGCGCAGACGGTGGGATCAGATCGCTTGACGGTATCAGGGCAGACACCCTCAGAGTTGGAACAGGCATCAGACTTGCAGCAGCCTCTGAAACCGTTGGAGCAAGATTGGAAGAAACCAGTGCCGGGAGCGCAAACAGTGTCATCAGAAGACGAGGGAGTGGCTTCAGTGGTAGGCTCGGTTGTGGTGGTCTCAGCCTCCCACTCGTGCTCATGACCGTCAACAGGGTTGGCAACAACAGGAGGCTCAGGCTCAGTGATGAAAACAAGATCGCAAGTCTTGGGAACGAAGTCGCGGCACCACTTCTTGTCACAAGGGTCTACAGAGCAGTAACCGCGGAAGCCATTGTTACCACAGACGTAGTACTGGGCCAGATCGGGACCGAGACCCTGACACTCTGTAGTTTTGGGGTTGGGGGTAGAAGCGGCGAGGCCAGAGATGGCGACGAGAGCAAAGATGGCAGAATGCATTTTTGATTTGGTGTTGGGAGTGAAAAGTCGAAAGAAGACAAGTTGGAACGATGAACGAACTAATTGGCAGACGACTGAGAAGAAGCGAAGGTTTGCAAGGAAAATAATAGACCTGACAAAGGAAATAAGGAAATAAGAAAAATAGGAAATAGTTGATTTGATGTTTTGTGTTGTGATGATGAGAGAAATTTCATCTTGGACGGGATATCCAAGTCTTCTTATAGACATTGTCTCTCATCGTGATGGTTACAATTAACCGTGCTAAAGCTGTAAGTTGCAACCCATAACTTGGTTAGTCTCACAACTTCCGCAATGTAGCGGAGGAGGCTATGGCATCTCACAGCCCTCAGTCTTACACTACATCGGAGGGTGAGCCATCAGATCGGTTTAGCTTACTGCAGTGGAGGTTGCTTACCCGTAGTGGAGGTTTAGCTAACACCAAGTCTTACTGTAGTGGAGGTAGTGAGGTACAGCCCCCGCTTCCAGCTGATGACTAGCCCTATTTTAAGCTTAAGGGCTCGGGCTTAGTTAGGTAAAGTGAGGCAGCGCAGTTCAACTTCGCCGACTTTTGGGTCCAGACCCAGCCCTGTGAAACTTATTTTCTAGCTGAGCTCGATTTTAGTGACGCTGAAGCTGTGTTTTAGCATTTTCATGATTTTGTGGTTGGGCAATTGGGTCACTGATTGGAGGCTTCAGTTGCCGGCATGGAATTGAAGCTGGTAATGCTATTTGGTACTTTAGCACATCAAATGCAAGTTCAAGCCTCATTTCAATTTCTCTCGAGTCCACCGTGTAAACAATAGCATTGATCCTAGAACTCCCCCATTTTTAGCACAATATCCATTGTGAATATCCTCGGCGACCAAGACACATCGTGGCGCAGCAGCTACAGGACCCATAACGCTTATGCCCAGCATCCATAATCCCGGAAATATTCTCATCTGCCATCCTCAGTAAAATCCTCCGCATCATCAGCTTACTGCAAATTACTGTGTCACAAGAATTTGGCGGTCAGTCATTGTGTTAACACGGTGCGACGCCGTGGCTGGTTGTTTGTGAGGGGAAGCATCAGCTGAACAACTCATCGCTGTCAGCAATGGGAAGTTCCGCTTGCATGTAAGATGCGCATTCCTATGATCCTTCAATGCCGTCGATTCCTTACGGTCTATTTCTGTCCGCTTCTTGACATTTAACACGTTAGTTGTGGGCCTCAACTTCGAGAATTAGACGAAGGTAGGAATGAAGCTCTTGATGTGGTAAGACACAGCAACACTTTGTTCAGCTGCTGTAGACTTAGGTCAGAATTGTTCTGTCGTTAAGATGCATTTATATTGTTAATAAACACATCATTATGAACACAGCGTAGCAGTGTAGCGAGTTGCTTGAGTGGAAGTCAATCGGCAAGTAATATGTAATTAAAATCTTATAGTAACAGGCTTATGAAATCACGAATAGGTATAAAACTTTCGACCCCTTGTAGAAGCAGTAGACTCAGCCCCTTCCCTGCCCATAGGTCACACTGACCTCTTGAGTCCTAATAATATTTCCTTTTGCCATAGTACCTTGGTGAAGTAAGATGGCCTCGTCGCTATCGTTTTTCCCCGTGAGAACACCGCTTTCAATCTTGGTAGATGTATCATCCTTGTCGTTGTCTTGGCCCCTTAGAGAACCAAGTGGGAAGGATGGGTTGTGTCTGTATGCCGAGTCGTCGTGCTGTTGATAGCCTCCGGAACTAAAGTCTTCGCCGCGCATCTTCTTATAGAGGGGTCGGAGGGATGGGAGTGTCAAACAGACGATTGTAGCCGTTACTTCGCTCACGGTCCACATAACTGAGTCAGAAATGGAGTCTATTTCCTTGTTAGAGCTGTCATCTTTAGATGGGGGCTGATTGGCTTACATAGATAATCTTCGGCATTACTCAAAGAGGTCAGACCAGACGTTCTGAAAATACCACAAATACCGGCGCTCCATGATGTTAGCATATAAAGTTAGATGAAATAGTGGAATTAGGCCTTACAAAACTCCGAGACTGAGCGATAGACAGATAGTGCGGCGATCTTTAGCCTTCATGTTTAGCCCGTGAAGAGCGATCCAGGGGAAAGCTGCTAACACAAAGTCCATTGTTGCGGCGTAGGCTACACATGATATTAGTAGTGGTAACAGATTACTGGAAGAGGAAACTCACAGCAATATGAAATGGCAACAACAGTGAGACTGATGTTGCAGACTCTTTGATCGGCCAGAACGGGATTCCAAATAGATTCTGTAGGAGTACACTGCGCAAAGACGACAATTGCAAGAAAGATACTGAAGATGGTGATGGTGATGTTGCAGAACCAAAGGAACCAGCGATGCCTGAGAATTATTATTAGCACCCCTCAAAAGATCTGACATCGCTAGACTTACCATGGCTTCATGACAATGCGGAGTAAGAACATAGCAACCGACACTTTACCCATCCCAGTAGCGAGGGCAATAAAGACTTGGCCAGTGAGGATATAAAGCATTGCCTTTGCAAACTCGGACGTTGCAAGGTCGTCGTGGCGTTGACCCATTCCGTGCATGCATGCTATGGTCGTAAAGACAGTAAACATGGTACTGCCGAGCTGTGTAGAGTGTAAGCTGAATGTACTTTGGGGCTAGAAATGAGGCACTAACGGCTGTTGCGATCAGACACCAATCATCCACTCCAATGGCTCCTTTGATGAATGCGCGTGTGTAAAGACGAAGGCCAATGAGAAAGTAGCTCAGGGCCATCTGGAACCAGAGGACTCCAATCAATTGAGGGCCTTTGCCCCCTACGCCAGCCGGTTCTGACATCACCGCGACTGTATGGCTCAAAAGGTGGAAAGAAGGTTTGGCATGTAACTGATAAAGTCACAGTGTTAGACTTGTTAATATATTGTGCTTTCTTTCTTTTTCTTTAGTATTTCGGGGAGAGAATCCTACTCCTGTACGCTTTGATGATACGAGACATTGTGGCTTCTTGTAAAAATTCAGAGCCAACAACATTTACCCCGGCACGCCTGGTATTATAAGCGATTACTAAAAAGGCAGGGTTATCTATTCGATAACCGTTGCTTTTCGGGGCTGAAATAGAGTTCATGTGTTACTATGGCGTTTTACTAGGGACGGGGAGTGTCCGGACCCGGCGATGGGATAACCAGAACAGGATAGAACTGCACTTGGCGCATTAGTCAAGTCTTGCAGACTGGGGACATCATTACTGGAAGAACTCATTGATGGAGCACACTTGTGGGCTAGAACGCGTTTGCCAAGTGACGGCCCGACATTATCTTCAACAAGGGGCTAATGCGGCTGGATTAAGGGCATCAGAAGCCAGAGAGGGATAAGGCTTAGACTGCTGCGATATCTCATGAAGGTCATCACGGGGAGTTTGCCACGCGAAGTCTTGCTAAGGGGATTTAAACTAATGTCGGCGAATTCAGTCGGTTGCGGACTAGAAAAGACGGTGCCCGAGATTTCTCCATCAAGATTCAAGATGCGGCTATAGATTGAACTGTCCCAAGACGCCTATCTCTTCTCACCGAGCTAGACAGCCTTAGTTTAATGAGATCCTAAAGCATCGTAACCCTCCAGTTCCTATGTGTCAGCACGTGTGATTATGTGTCAGCGGGATTAGAACTCTTCATTACCTACCATCCCCCCAATGTCAGTGTCTCAGAGCCCACTGGACCTTTAACCAGAACTCGACAAGATCTTCGGCAGAAGGAACTCAACAGTCCAACAGAATAGGAGATCGAAGGGTCCAGTCCAAGATTGTAAGCTTGGCTGGGTTCGTAATACCCCTTAGCTATATATGGATAGCAGCTCGGGTCAAGACGGTTGAAGGACTGCCCCATAACACGGAGATTCCGTGTTGGCCGAGGTCAGTGTCTCAGAACTATTTCACCCTTGACCAGATCTTGCTAAAATTCGACTGAAAGACGAGCTGCTGTCTTGCTCTCATATGAATCTAGGATAGGTACCAGGTAGAAGCGAAGATGTCTTTCTTCCGGATCTCTCCCTTCTATAGCCAGCCCAATTCATATCGACAAGACCTGAGACAGAAAGGATTCTAGACTCCAACATAACCTGTGCCGAGGATCCTCTTCTCGTTAGTTGGGTTCGATAACCTAGCTATATATGGATAGCAGCTTGGCTCAAGACGTTGTCGTATAACACGGAGATTCCGTGTGAAACCGTGATGGCCCGTGCATCATTTGTGCACTGACGTCCACTGTGGAGTCTAATAGCGTATTGCGTGACGACGCCAGGCTTATTATTCTACCGTAACATCATGGTTTTTCGTTCGAGACCTTGACCTACACATCACAGCTTAAGATGCTGAGAAGTTGACGTAGCATATAAGCCCTAGGTCGAAAGTATAGGTCAAGTAGAGTCATTCGTACACTGTCTTACTCTTTCACTTGCCTGATCTCGGTATGTAAGTGCAGTGTGAGTGTGCAGCAGGCAGGTTTCAGATCTTCATGAGTGGCAGGACCAGGGTACCACAAATTGTCTGGATGTCCGGATATTCCGCGCTTCTCCATGAGATCCCGGTCACGTGCTATCTCCCGAACCGGGATCCGAAGAAGCAATACCGGCGATCCTTGTACAAAATTGCTACAATGGCAGGGTATCTGACTTTAACTTTCCGTGCCTACGGTAGACACGGGGCTATCAATGCAGGCGGATCGACGGTGAGGCTCATGATAGCGTCGTGCAAGAAGAGGGGAACGTCAAGGCCTTTTCACCCTCAAATATAACTACTGATGGAAGAATTCATTCTTCTTTCTATCCGTAAAAACGCCTCCTAATTAAGGTTTTTCACCTAATGCTTCACCATAATTCCAAGATCAAGATGCAGCATATCTTGCCATACCTTGCGGCTTTGTTCCCCAGCGTGGCTGGCCTGTCAATCTCACTTGAACTTGAACTAGGCGCCACACCTCGACCCCCTTACAAAGCACCTCAACCTTACAAGGCACCCTGGAAAACCCTTCCTCCGACACCCCCTCTACCAGAGGCAAACTTCAATGGCACTGCTCCTATCAACGGCATAGATCTATGGTATGCTACGTTTGGAGCGCCACTCGAGGAGAGCCAAGCCAATGGACTTAACCCTGTTGTCTTTCTACACGGTGGCTACGCCAACAGTGACTACTGGGCACATCAGGTCGAGCACTTGAAGGATGGACCCTTTACCTTGATCACCATCGACTCTCGCGGTCAGGGTCGCTCTAGCGATGACACCAGCCGTCCCTTGACGTACGATCTCATGACGGAGGATGTGGTAGCCTTGATGGACCACCTCGAAGTTCCCAAGTTCTCAACAGTCGGTTGGTCTGACGGAAGCTGCATCTCGTTCAACCTCGCCATGAACTTCACCGATCGAATCGACCGCATCTTCGCTTTCGGAGGTACATACAGCCCCAACAACATCAACGCCACTGCCGCAGAGTCCCCCGTGTTCCTCGAGTATCTTGACCGTGTTGGCAAGGAATACGAAAAGAACTCGCCAAGTAATGGGACCTTTAAGGAGTTTGGGGAAAGGATTGATGCTATGTGGTCATCTGAGCCAACCTGGGACGCTGGTTCATTCTCCAAGATTCCTACACGTTACGACGACCCTGAGGCGCCTGTTCTCTGGATTGTCGATGGTGATTCCGAAGAGGCTGTTACCCGTGATACTCCCGGCATTCTGCGCAGTTGGGTAAGTAATTCCAGTATCATTACAGTTGTTAGCCTACTAACTTTTGACATTAGGTCTGGGGCTCTGATCTTGTTATCCTTCCTGGAGTGAGCCACTTTGCGTAAGTGATACCAGCATATCCGAGACCAATGATATGCTAACACGAGATTAGTTTTCTGCAAGACCCGGAAACGTTCAACGTTGTCCTGACACGATTCTTGACCATGCCTAGGTCTTTGACTAATGGGCCGGAGCTTTAAGCATTCAACAGGAGCCACATACCTTCGTTTACTTGACTACATATAGTAGTTAATTATTCTTCACTTACTTCTTCACAAATACTATTATCCTTAGTTAGATAGTTTGGTAATTGTAATATTAATATCACATATGCTTGTACCTACTGTTGTTGGTAACTACAACGATCGCCAGAGTACTAAGTATTCTGTCATTGGCTGATACATTTGATGAGGTCATTGTGACAACTCCACCAACCTTTGGAGCATCCCAAACCTGCGCAAGCAACAAGACTCGACTCGCACAAGATATCCTGCAAAAGACAAACTGGGTTTATCAATACTGGCTTCGCGATTCCCGAATCAGGATATCCGAGTAGTTCGCCTTCTTGTGAGGACCGAGACTCCACAACCCGCTATCTAGCCACCATCACTCCAGGGTGGACTCAATTCGGACATCGATCCATACTCAATCAGTATCGCTCCATATTTGAGTCGGCCATCAAGATGTCTCACAGCTCTACTCAAGTTTAGCCAGTCCAATTGAATTCTGTGGAGAGAACGGTATGCTGACGCCTGTCTTCACAGTACCAATATTCAGTCGATAAGCCGTTGAATCGTGAGCCAGCCTCGGAGGATCTCTTGTCAAAGTAAAATCTACCTACCTGTTTGCTTACTAAATCAAGGCTCTGACCTATTCTCAGCTTCGTCACCGAGGACATTGGTTACGATAGAAATCATGGGTAAGCCGGCAATCCTCTGAAGTTGCACAGCGAGGCTCACTCCCCACAGCCCCATTCCGCTTATCGATGCATCTACTCATCGGATTTCTATTCAAGGCGCAGTCAAAAACACTCTCAGCCTTTCCGTCGCAGATCTTCAATCCTTCAATCAACACTCCATGATCTGCGCCCTCCAATGCGCTGGAAACCGACGCCATGCCATGCGAACTACCATTAAGGAAGTTCAAGGTATTGATTGGTTTGATGGCGCTGTCATGAATTGCAGATGGTCTGGTCCCCGCCTTAAGGATGTTCTGACTAAGGCTGGCGTAAGTCTTAGTGAAGAAGAGCATAAGAAGGCTCAAGTGGAGTTTGCGTGTCATCAAAATCCTTCGCCAGAAGAGGAGTGGTTTGGGACAAGTATTCCGCTTGAGAAGGCTATGGCTGACGAGGCTGACGTGATCATAGCTCTGGAGGTAAGCATATTCTCACATCCACTACTGGGCCCGACTTACGGAAATAGATGAACGGCAAACCTCTCGAGCCAAAGCATGGATACCCTGCCCGTATTATAGCCCCAGGGCTAGCTGGTGTCCGCTCGGTCAAGTGGCTTGATCGGATCACGGTTCAGCTGCAAGAGTCGTCAAACCACTTCCATCAACGCGATTATCGCGTCCTGCCTCCTGACGTGGAAACTTCAGAACAGGCAGATCCAAAGTGGTCTGAGGCACCAGCTCTCCAAGAGATGCCCCTCAACTCAGCCATATGTCTTCCTCGATCTGGCTCGACTTGCAAGAGAGACGACAACGGCACGATTGAGGTCAAGGGATATGCTCTTCCTGGCTATGCTGCTGGACCTATCCTAGACGTTGAAGTAAGTGCCGATGGTGGAAATACTTGGGAAAGGGCAAAGTTGTCTGAAAGTGATGGACACAATGATGGCGATTTGAAGTGGGCCTGGCATCGATGGGAGATTAAGATGCCAATGGACACCGGTGAGAATCAAAAGCTTTTTAGCCGTGCTACGGATTCGAAGGGGACCAGACAGGAGGCACAGTCCCAGTGGAACTTGCGAGGTATTGGATATTGTGGATATGGTGAGGTAAGCAATCTCACCATAAGTTGATTTCCCTGGTCGGTAGAACTATGGTATTCCGTCAAGTATATACGTTCACATGTAATACAATGTGCTTTCGAGTGGTAAATTTCATAAAAGCTCAAGGTTGTACGGTAACAAATACCTAGTAAAGAAGCAGACAAATATCTAGTACCATAACTTCTCATTGGGCTCGATTCCCTTTTCCTCGCAGTGATCATAATACATCTTCGAGAAAGTAAAGATATCCATCGTCTCCCGCAGACTATCGTCATCGTTGAAGAACTCCAGACTACCAGTGATTGTAAAGACAACCTCTGATCCAGCGCCCATGAAGAGTGTGTGGATTGTACCGGGGTTTTCGACAACATAGTCACCAGGTCCTGCCACCCAGTCGTACCTGTGTCAAGCAATCAGTTTATGTATTACTGCACCAGACAGAAATTGACTTACTCTTTGTATCTCCAGTTACCAGAGAGTGTAACAGCCGTCACCGTGCCGCGATGTCTGTGCTTTCCGAGCCAGCAATCCACGGGTGTTCTCAAGGAAATAACCCAGCTGCCAGATCTAGTCTCGAAACGGAGGGGCTTCAACTCGAGGGTTCCCACCCAAGGATGCCAAAGCGTATCTTTGTTACAGTTGATGTACACATCAGGCGAGCTGTGCTTGTCTGTGAAAGCGAGTTCTTTGCGGTCCTTTTCTGTCAGGACAGACTCTTCTTTGGAATGCTCCAAGAGATCAGAGCTCTTTTGAGTGGAAGGCTCGTCTTGAGTTTGTGAAGGGGCCATTGTGATAGATAGGTATTTGGGAAGAGGCTCAAATAATCAGGAAGAAGCTTGAGGAGAGTGAAAATGTTGATTAGGAATTACATGTGTTTATGCTGACCTTCCACTCATCTTATACCCTTCATTCTTCTCTAAGCGCTGACCAAAGCGCTGTGTGTGATACGTGGTCCCTCCATACAGAAGAAGGTCTCGAGACTGGCGATCTCTCATGCACTGTAACCTACGCTACTACACCACCCCAGACGTGCATCAACATGACTCGCTACATCTCTGCGGGGAAGGCTGATCAGGGTCTAGCGAAGGGGCCTGTGCTAAGATAAACTTTATGAAAATGGTATAAGAGAGGGGTTATATGCTTATTCTTCGCGGTATATTACTTTGTTAGGAGATCCCGGCTTATCGTTGTTTTTCCCCTCACGATATTAGCTGACTCGTCCCTCATGCACAAACAAGGGTATCGCTGTCACATTCGAATCATCATCACACAAGACTTATGAAAAGATTATTTCGCAAGGACAATAAAGAGAGGGGAGAACTGATAGGATTAAATCTTCATTCAGAAGTACATGTGTGGATGTTTTTGTTCCATCTCCCTAGCCTTGCTTCCCTCAGATACTACAGGATTCTGATTTTCACCTCTCGGGATATCATTATCTTCTGGATCTAGCTGGGAAATCTCAATACCTGAGCTGCTTTGAATATCGTCAGTGAACTCAACAGGATCTGCATCGCTTGGTGCTACGCGAATAGATGCTTCTTGTTGATCCAGGTCCAGTTCCATCGTGTCATCCTGCACAGTCGAAGAATCGCTCAGCCCTGCTCTGTTGCGATACCACACTTTCACGTCTCCAAAATCTTTGAGGGGAAGATTATCCCATTCTCTTATACGGCCATCCTTTCTTTGAGATGAGGGCTTGAGTGAGATTTGGTTGTTTTCGGGGTCTTCGATGGATTGGACGAGACTGAAAAGAGCTTCTTCCGTTTCAGCTAGGCGTGCTTCTAGTCTTGTTATGAATCCAATGGGAAGGCCTCTGAATAGTTGTTAGTTTATGAGTTATGTTGCATAAGATTCATGTGTTACCGTTTGTTCTGTTCAGGGTAGCGGCAGTTAGAAGGATTGTTGTTGCATTGTAAGCAGTGAGGTCTGCGGATATAAGTACATTTCCAACTGCTTTAGCATATATGCATTATTACTAACAAGTTTCTATCGCACTATAAATCATCAGTAGCCGATCCTTTCGATTTTTTGCCCCCGGGTAGCCCAATCTCACCTTGCGTTTTCGTTGTCGGCAATGGCTGCAGGCTATCGGGTTCAACTGCCTCTCGGCTTCCTGCTCGACCGACGGCTCATTATTCGCCATACGTACCGATTGAACCAGGGATTAGAAGCTGTCAGTCTGCTATCGATTGAATGGTTTCTTGACAAGATGCAGCGTAACTGACTCTGCCACCAGGCGGCGAATTCAACCCCGCCTCGGTCTTTTCTTTGTCCGACGCGGCACTAACACCTTTACGGCACTTGCCTTCAACAACAAACCTCCATCACACCTTAATTCCTGCCAAGGACAATCTCCATCACCTAATTTCCATCAACAAATGATGATCCTTGTTTCTAGAGATGTCTTCCTCTCACCACTCTCCGTACGACACTCTCGAAACAGCCCATTCAACTCCGAGCCATGATCCTCAATCTCAGAAGCGCAAGCATTCAACTTCAGGCCGCGAATATGGCCTAATGCGCGACACAGGCGAGCATGATGCTGCTCGCTTTGTAGGAAGCGGTAGTGGGATCCACTATATCCGCGCTGTACACTTGCGATTAGCAAAGAGATCTGCGTCACGAACAGAACCGGGGTCCATTAATACGCTTATCCCTGGAGAAGATGACCAGCTGAGGCAAGACGGTTCAAAAAAGAACAGCCAAGACCAGTATCTGTGGAAGGATGATGAGGTTTGCACTGATGACACTGCGAGGCCAACTTTCGAGGATTTTGTGGAGTGGTCGAAGAGTTATTTTGAGGCATGGCACCCTGTTCTTCCTTTCCTTCATGGGCCTGAGGTTCTAGGCCTGTTCGAGGAAGCTTCAAAAACTGGAATCTCCTCTTTGAGCTATACCAACAAAGTCATCGTCAAGTCCGTTTTATCCATCTCGCTGGCGGATAGCCGACAGTCAATTGCGTTTACAAAGCCCATACCGAAGCGATTCCTTTTCAATAGCGTCGACGATGCGTTAGCAAGTTCTCAATTCGCTCTGAGCCAACCTGCGTCATTGCGGTCAACTCAAGCAGCTTTGGCTGTTCAGTTGTTCCTGACTTCTATGCTTTGTCTAAACGCTGCATCCAGATTGGGTGGACTCATTGTTCGCGCTGCATTCCAACTAGGCCTACATCGATGTCCAGCACGATATCCGTTCTTCACAACGCAAGATGCTTCGGCTCGTCGACGAGTATTCTGGTGTATATACATCTTGGAAAGACTACTTTGTCAGTCTCTCGGTCTGCCGCTCGATATCCACGACGATGACCTTGATGTCTGCTATCCTGGCGAAGAGCGTCATACACTCACAAGCCGAGACGAAAACTCCGAAAGACTGCAACTTTTAACGTTTGTGACGAAACATGCCCGGATACGCGGTCTTATCCTAGAGCTTAGGAATAAATCCATGCTCCAGCGACAAGACACAGCAGATCGAGCAGCTTTCGTACAAGCGGAGTTAGCGAAGTGGTTCAATGAAATTCAAGACGCAGTCGAAGAAGATGATCTTGCCGACACAGGTTCAACCACGCCTACAATATCGGAGCATCACAAGATCATGCTTCTGGTTCTAAAGCACGAATCGGCAATTTGTCTGAACAGACCAGGCTTGGCTTCGGATCACCCTTCTCCTTCATACTCGTCTGCGTTCCAGGCTTGTATCTCCGCTGCAAAATCCATATTAATAATCCTGAAGAAGCACCAAAATCGCCACAAGCTACAGGCTGAGTCTGATGGCTCAAGGTCACAAACACCATTACTGTGGCCGTCTTTCACTTGGTCTATCTGGATTAGTGCATTTGTTCTTATCCACGCTGCTTTCGAAAAGCAAGTGCCTCTTGATAGCGCCTTAAGGTATGCAATTTGATTACACTTCGGTTCGATATGATTTCTTATCCTCTCTAGGCATGTTGTGGCAGCCAAGAGTATTCTCGGCCATCTAGCAGCTCGAGATACCTCATGGCCAGAGTACTGCCTCGGCGCCATTGACGAACTAACATCTACAGTCCAAGAGCTTTCCCAAGACCGACCTCCTCTGATTGAGTCACCTGCAGATGCTTCTATCACTACAAGAACCTTTTCACCTGGCGTTTCACATCAACAAGCGGGTGAAAACGCCACGCCATCAAGACCCCCTAGAACACTCAATCATTCCGCTACAGCCAGTTCGGGGCCAGGTGTCGAGACTAGAAACAGTCAATTGTCTGCCGCACCCAACTCTTCCTTGAACATTACATCATTCCCAGCGGATTCTGCATCTCCCAGATCCCAGCAGCGCAAACGGCAACGAACATTTCCTTCCACTACAGCTCTGTCCTATGGGACGTCATATCTCCAACCAGAAGCTTCACATGGCCCTCATACGAATGACTTCTTCACTACACCGAATATTTCGCTGCCTGTGGAAGGACAACCCTACCCAAGCTTAGACAATATGCCACTCGAGGGTCACGAGTCAATGATGTGGTACGATCAGCTATTTGCAAGTTCATTCACCGCTATCGACAATCCTTTCCTCGTCAATGCGGAGTTCGACGCTTCTGTTGATCCAACATGGAACTCTCTACGCTAGTCTCAACTCAAGTCTAGCCTACTTCATTATACTTCCTTCACCTCTGTCACTTCTCTTGCCTTGTTCAATACCACTTGTACATGCTTCTTTCCCGACGCCCTATCTGCGTCGTTCTGGAATAAGTTCTCGTTTTGAAGACGTTCAAGGAAAAGTTCATAAGCAGGCATATACCCCTTGACAAATTTAACCACTTGCTCATCCGTCATTCCCGGCTTGTGCTGCCTCAAAGCTCTCTCTTGACCTAGCCTCCACTCGTAGACTTGCACGAGTTTATTCGTGCTCAAGTGAAGAAACCCGTCAAAATGTTGTGGTCCCGCGAAAGTATCGCAATATCTTTTGAGGTTTTCGTTGATCAGTAGGAGATGCTCCAGTTCGTGATTCGCGAGAGTGTTGGTGAGAGACCACTCTTCAGACTGTTGCGCCTCAGAGGCTTTAGCCTTCTCCCATTTTTTGGTGACTTCTTCTTTCGTTAGAGGCTGAAATCCGAGAGCCCATCCTTCGAAAATAAGTGCATCGAGACCCTGATCCAAAGGAACTTCATCCCATTCCTCAACTGGGACTCTTCCGCCCTGCCCACCATGAAGACTCTTATCGTATGCAGGCCACTTGACAGTCTTCTTCTCGCTTTCTCCCCGGCGAAGAACTTGATCAAAGAACTCTTTTGCGAGGACCTCATCATGGGTTCCTGGTTGGCCCCGAGTTTGAAGCAAACCATTATTTGGGTTGGCTTCTCGAAGAGCCACAAGCTCTGCATGATCATGATAGAGATCATCCAAAGACAGTGTACGGTTCTTGATGTTGTATTGCGATGCCAAGGCATTGGACAGAGCTGCGGCCCATGTTGACTTTCCGCTGCCTTGGAGGCCGGAAAGACCTAGGACGAAGGGCTTTGAGGTCTTTTCTTGGTGCGCTCGAATTGAAGGAACGAAAATGTTCAGGACTGCATTGATGGCGTTTGGGTCAATCATGTTGACGATTGTCAAGAAACTCTGATGTTGTCGTGGAATATGTGGTTTTCTAGACTTTGATCCTCGCTGGGACACGATGACATTTTATCTCGTTGCAACCGACTTATACAGGTTCTATCACGGACGGATATTGTGGATTCCCCCGCATCATCTCAGCCACTAACCACGGAAAACCGTCGACGCCAGCGGAGTTGAGCCAGCGACATTTCATCGTTAGTCGGATCCAATGAGAGGAGTGATGGGGTTGCAGCGGACAAAGAAACGTCCGCCCCCAAAAGACTCCACATCAACTAACAAGAGTGATATAAATGATGCACATTGAAGCAGGTTCAAATATATAAAGGGTATTCAAGGAATTCTCATTCATTCTCACCTCATCAATCAATTAAATCGCCATATATCACACCATGTCTCCCTCAGCAGTCACCGACAAGAAGTCCTACAGCATTGCCTCCATCCCAGCAGATGGCATTGGCCCAGAGGTCATTTCAGCTGGTGTCGAGGCGCTGAATGCTCTAGCCGATACTCTTGGATCATTTGATCTTGACTTTACACACTATGATTGGAGCTCAGATACTTACAAGAAGACGGGAAAGTACATTCCCGACGGTGGTCTTGATCAGCTGAAGAAGCATGATGCTATCCTATTTGGCGCCGTAGGAGCTCCCGGTAAGTAATCTCATTGACGGATTGTACATTCACTTATAGGTTATAGATGTCCCTGATCACATTTCTCTCTGGGGTCTCCGCCTGGCCATCTGCCAACCCTTCCAGCAATACGCCAACGTCCGTCCAACACGCATCATGCGTGGCACCCAATCTCCCCTGCGCAATTGCAAGACGGGAGATCTCGACTGGGTAATCATCCGTGAGAACAGTGAAGGTGAATACGCCGGACAAGGCGGTCGTTCACACCGGGGTCACCCATGGGAAGTCGCTACAGAAGTGGCCATCTTCACCCGACATGCTGTTAACAGACTTATCCGCTTTTCATTTGAGATCGCCCAGAAGAGACAGAGAAAGCATTTGACTGTTGTTACAAAGAGCAATGCTCAGCGAAATGGTATGGTACTTTGGGATGAGGTTGCTGCGGAGGTCGCGAAGGACTTCCCTGATGTTACGGTGGAGAAGATGTTGGTTGATGCTATGACTACCAAGATGGTTCTCAAGCCTGAGAGTATTGATACCATTGTCGCAAGCAACTTGGTAAGTCAATTCAACATCCGCCTTGAGTTTTAACTAACAGTCACAGCACGCGGATATCCTGTCCGATCTAGCGGCAGCCCTAGCAGGCTCAATCGGCATCGCACCAACAAGCAACCTGGACCCCAGCCGCGAGAACCCATCCATGTTCGAGCCCATCCACGGCTCAGCATTTGACATCACCGGCAAGGGTGTCGCTAACCCCGTCGCTACGTTCTGGACGGCAGCCGAGATGCTTGCTTGGCTTGGTGAGGAGGATGCGTCTAATACGCTCATGGAGTGTGTCGAGAATGTGACTGCTTCGGGTGTTTTGACTCAAGATCTTGGTGGAAATGCCATGACCAAGGAAGTTACTGCTGCCGTTGTGGCGGAGATTAAGAAGCTTGGAAAGGCGAACTAATGATTATATGTTAAATGAATGACACATTATTGGCGTTGTCACATATTTGTTATAACAGTTATCCTGAACTATTACCTTTTGTACATCACATGGTGAATCCTTTGTCTTGCCACATTTTTTTGTTCTTTTGTCTGTACAAAGGCATTTTGTTCTTTGTGACCTGACTTTGTGTTCTTTAGCGATTCCGTTAATGTGTGATGATGAATGTGAACATGACAAGCGGGTTCTCTGAATGACTGCAAAGTCGAACAAGAGGAATATGAGATGAAGCTTAAATACTTCCAAGAATGCTCCCGATAACCTCAGCAATTATTCCACATCGCAGAAAACTGTAAGTCTTACTACCAATCTCACTCACAACAACAAGTATCTAGACACAATGTGTGAAATCACAAAGTTCGAATGCAATTCGCCAATCTGCGAATCCCCGTATCGCGTCCTCATCATCTATTGCGATGATGCGAAAAATGACTGCAGGAACATGATTCCAGCTGGCCTCGTAGAGTGCGAGACAACAGTGAAGCAATTCAACAGCGAGAGACGACCTCATGTATGCTGGGAACAAAGTGTGCGGGATTTCAGAGGGACTGGAGATAACTATTGCTACCTTCACAATCGCTTTTCTTGAAGAGGGTTCAGTCAAGGTGGTTGCGGGCATGCAGACGGACAAATAAAACGTATCGCAAGAGTTCTATGTATAGCTTCACAATCACAAGTATATTACAGGTGACACCATCCGGGTACCAGAAGAATTGACAAATGGAAGTATAAGAGACAGATCAAGTAGACCACCTGGTGCAAGCTTAGAATAGAGCTTAGAGTAGAGCTTAGACTACTTTGCTTTGGTAGGCTAAGCCTTAGAGGGCATTTATTTCTTCTGTCACCCACCTGGTGATAGATAGTCTTCTTCAAATCTCTACAGATTAAACCACTCCCGAAGAGCTCATTTCATGTCGATCACTGATGTTTTCATAGAACAAAAGCATCGCAAGCATTGCCATTCCGTAACTTCATAGTGTTGTCAATCTATCTCTACAGGTCAGTCTTCTATATTTCTGTAAAGTGCCTGCCACTTAAGGAGAGGCCTCTTTATGAGAGCTCATCCTGGTTCAATCACAGACATTTAGTTAGTTAGGCAAACTCCAGTATTGCAAAATTTCTCAATTCATATCTTCGTATCCTAAGTATATCTATAGGTGGCAATCTTTCGCGCGCGCTCTCTCAGTCCCTCTTTATCTCTCTGTCTCTCGCTCTATCCGTGTCTCTCTGTCACGCAAACCACAAAGTCAGTCCAAAGGTATAGGGGGCCAATGATACGATAATAAAGAAATCGTCCAGGGGATTGATTGGGTTGGGAACTCTTTCTGGTTCCGTCTGCTCGTGCCAAAATAGCAAAACATAACGCTAGGAAACTGATGCAATGTGATTCGGGGTATATACTAGAGCCAAAGCGATCCGCAAGAATAAGAAAAGTATCAATGTGTCTTCGACATTGATGGTGTTCACGACGGCTGCGAAGACGGCGACTCGTATATAGCTGTAAAGTCTCAAGACTGCGTTCCGCTGAATGCTGCAAATGCTGTATATGCTCAGTAGTGCGTTCCAATTCTCGCCTGCTCTCGTCCGCTTGCTGTATGCTCACATCGATATCTCGAGAAGTCGCTAACTCTGCCTTGATGTTATCGCCGAGATCTGGTGATTCGCGTCTGTACAACGTTAGTTATAGTCACTAATGTTCTCTGCGGTCACGATGTCTGACTCCATGAAATCGGGGCTGACCACGTTGAGCGTTGTTGTTAGGGTTGGGCCCAGGGTTCTGGCCATGGTGACGAACATTTTGAATTGGCATTGCCGGCATCTGAGGCATCTCGGGCATTCGTGGCATCTCAGGCATTCGTGGCATCTCGGGCATCTGTGGCATCTCGGGCATTCGTGGCATTGGCGGCATCATGAATCGTTGAGCCATTCTCTGACCTCGTTGGGCCCGTTGAGCTGGTGCCGCTTGTCGAAGGGCTCGCTCTGCTTGTTGTGCTCGTTGTTGTACTAGACGTACTGCTTCGCCAGCATCGCGCCGCGCTGGTAGAGCTACAAGAGGATTGCGGGGAGGTGCAGCTGGCTCTTGACCAGGACCGACCCATCGACCATTAAAATGTGGTTCCGGGAAGATTGGTGGAAGAAAGCCGAGTTCTAGAGCCTCGAGGGGACCAATGTCATCCATCATATCCATCCACCCTTCATCAGGCTGGAGCCCGCGCCCATTTACTTCCATGGGAGGTTGGAAAGGTACAGGTCGTCCTTGTATACCCATCTGAAACCACTGAAAGTGTTCGCGGTTGTCTCGCATTCCCAAATTCTCACGGCGACGACGTTCATCGAGACGTCGTTCACGTTCCGCATCTGTCTGTCGAGGCAGACGCAGGGGTCGGATAACTCGTTCGACTGCGTTTCGCTGAGGGGCTCTATCCTCTTCACCAGGAACGGGACGCAGCTGTGAGATCCTGTGACGATCGTGGTTTGCAGTCGGAACTTGTGGGCGTCGGCGGAATTGAGGTGGCTTGATACCAGGACGATCACGCATGGGTACCATTTGATCATAGTGGCCGTATAAGGGACAGTGGCAAGTGTGCCATCGTTCTCCGCACAGGAAGCAGAACTGCGCGCCGCAGGGACAGGTCATATGGTTACACGCCTCTGCGAGAGCGATCATTCTACCGCAGTCGGGGCAGTTGACAGATCGGTTCTGGTCCATGGTAGCCCAGACATCTTCCTCTGCATCACCTGCTTGACAAGCACGACCAGGATGTCCTTCTCCACCGCAGTCAGGGCATGTCTCTGTATGGCAGAGAAGACAACGACCGTTCTGGTCAGGGGGGATGAAAGCGGCGCAGTTGCCATCGTGGCAGTAAAGTCGATCGTGTACCGGTGCTTTATGTTCCTCATCCATCTGTCGGAATAGATGGACTAGGGGAGCAGAGCGTGTAAGTCGAATTGCTGCTTCGTCGAATGGTACACAGCACTTGGGGGGAAACTCCTCTTGGGAACGAAGGCCGATCTTGATGGCTTCGCGAAAGCAAGACATGCAGTAGTTACAACCACAAGGAGCCCGAACTTGAGCATCCTCGGCACAGATAAGACAATCCTCACCATTGTTTGGAGGTCGAAAGTCGTTAGGGGAGGGTCGAAAAGCGGCCTTTCGTTCTTCATGATCAAGTACAACTCGATGGCGGATGTCTTGTACGTCAGGGTCGCGCAGTCGTTCTGCTGCCAACTCCTCTTCGGAGATGATCCGGCTGACTAGAAAGGCCTGCATGATGGGATCAGCTTGTTGAAGGGCTAAGAAGATGGATGTTGCAAGGGTAGATTCTGTCTGGTATTTTTCAGGGGGAAGAAGTTCGAAGTGGAAGAGTAGGTCCAAGAGTTCTGGGTGGACCAGGTCGATTGGGTCTGTAGGCATGGTGGATGTCGATGGCAGTGCCAGTGTAGATGTCTATGTCAGTGTCGGTGTTCTTGGATGCCAATGTCTATGCCAGTGCCAGTGGGTATCTGTTCGTGTCAGTGCCGAAGTTGGTGTTTGCTGGAATCGGTGTTCGTGCCGATGTCGCTGTCGATTAGTTGTTGCAGATGAGAAGGTAAATTCTGCAGTTCCCAAAGCTGGGAAGATCTAGACAAGATACCCTCTCAAACGAAAGTATGGGTTGAAGACTTTGACAAATAATCGTTGCGTGTGCAAACTTAGCAGAAGACTTAACGAATAGTCGTCGAGATGACAGGTGCGTAAAGTTAGAAAGTAAGTAGAGTTGACAGCAAGGCCGAAGACCTTTAAACAGCATGGGCACTCCCATATACACTGGACTGAACAGCAACCTTGATCGTCGTCTTCAAATGATCAAGAGCGCTGTCAGGCGAACAAAGCCATAGACCTGTCAGTGAAAATGTCCTCAACAGCCTTGTAGCCTGTCAGTCATATTAGTCTTTGAACACGAACACAATACCATTTAACATGTACCCCTACGACGTTAAAGTTCACTACGAACAATGCGCGCAGCACTGGAAGCCGAAAGGTAATTCAGATTGATGCACTATCCTTTCTGTAACTCAACCCAAGAAAAAGTCCATGGCAATGCGCCTTCACCTCGCTTCGCTCGACAATTAGCCGCTGCCCACAGGGTATCCGGGCATCCATTCATCAAAGACGTAAAAAACACTTGACTCCCTGAAAGAATGATAAAACCATGATATAAAATCCAAGAGCCAAGTTGGTATCCTTCTTACCCAAATCCCCGGTACCGACAGTCCATGACCCCAAGCAGGGGGTGATATTGACCCATGTGGGTGAACAAACAAAGAAATCATTGTAATAAAACGACATTAACGCGTAAACCCCACAAACTCCGCTTCGTCGTAAACTCCATCGCTGATTCCCTATGTGACGTTGAGGGTGTAAAGGACACGCAATATAGACAAACAAACATATCGACGACCAGGAGCCTAATAGCTGAAGTCAACATTGGCCAGGGACACTGGCGGGCCTTTGTTCTGGTCATTGTTGTTATTAGGCGATGAACTGTTATTATTGTTGTGGTTCACGGTGATTGAAGATGTTTCACCGTCACCCAAGGTTGTGTCTGCGCTCGATGCAGTTGATGTCGTTTGTAGTTCGTGGCCAGCGGGAGGTTGAGCGCTCGGTGACCAGCCATCATTGAGCATCTGCTGGAAGCTCCAGCTCGGTTCGAATGATTTACTGTTCCATGCATGGTTCACACGTTCGTACATCTCGTCGATCTGTTCCAGGCTGATCTTACTCGTTTCGTACACATTGCACCACACAAAGAAAACGGCAAGAATGCAAAAGGCACCCCAGATAAAGAAGATCTTTGGTCCAAAAGAGGCGTTCCCTGGTCCTGTGCCAACCAAGTAAGGCGCGCTGTAACCGATACCAAAGTTGAGAAGCCAGTTGGATGCTGTTGAGACAGACATAGCCTTTGCTCGCACTTTGAGAGGATAGATCTCAGAGGTCACAACCCACACAACGGGACCCCAGGACGCAGCGAAAAAGAAAATGTTGATAGCACAAAATGTGATGAGGATGGTTTGAGATGCTTTCTCAAAATTCTGCCCGGTTGCAGTGTCGAATGACGCCATAAGGAGTTGGCAACCAGCCATGCCGAGGGCTCCGATCATCAATAACCTTCGTCGACCCCAGCGCTCGATAACCAACAGGCCTGGCACGGTTGATACGACATTGATGATATTGATGATGAGCGATTTCGTGTAAGGGCTTTCAACGCCAGCGCCGTCGAAGAATGTTGTGCTGTAATACATTATAAAGTTGATACCGGTAAGTTGTTGAAGCATTTGTAATCCGCAGCCAGTAAATGTCCGTCGACCAAGATGTGGCGAGCCGATAAATATGTCCTTATAGCTGTCAGGTCCTAATGATAATTCGTATTGATGATTCGCAATCATCTCCTGAAGCTCATCGACGAGCGCTGGATGTGTAATGTCTAGTCGTCGTAGTCGACTGAGTGACAGGCCGGCTTCTTCGTGTAAGCCCTTCTTAACAAGAAAGCGGGGTGTTTCCGGCAATAACAGCAGACCGCCGGTTAGAATAATTGCTGGTACAATCTGTAGGCCAAGAGGGATGCGGTATGCAGATGAGTTGCTGAGTTTGGAGGCGAGGATGTTGACAATAGAGGCGGAGAGGAGGCCAAAGGTGATTGATAATTGATATGCGCAGACAAGTGTACCTCGTATCCATTTGGGAGCCATTTCAGACTGATACAACGGAACGAGAACGGAGATGAGGCCGACACCAACACCAGCAAAGAATCTGCAGACTGTTAATGATATGATCCTGTCCGGGTCAGTTTAAGTGGGAACTAACCTTCCAACCAGCAACAAATCAATATTGTTAGCGGCAACTTGGAAGATGGCACCGATGCAGAAAATGGCGACGGCCAAGAGAAGAGTCTTGCGGCGACCTAGGGAGTCACCAGTAGGCGCTGCAAATAAAGCACCAAGGGCAGTGCCAGCACTTAGAATGGCGACGATGATGGATGAGTCTTTTGTGCAAATGTCGATGGCGCCTTTCTCATCGAAGCAGTTTGTATGTTTTCCGAATTGTTCCTTGAACTCTGTCATAGCAAGGATGCCGTTGATGGCTCTGTGAAGATAGGTGGTTAGTATTTAAGACTGAAAAATGATGTGACGCGATGAAATAGCATGGTCGAGGGCAAGATGGCGATTGATAGTCCGGTTGTTGATTTATCGTAACGGGTTTGCGTTTGCGAATGAGTCGGTCTCATTTCGAATATCAGCATCACAATAATTTCTTCCAACATTTCCTCATGACAATATCGCTTGACGTTCTTTGGAGGTTGTAATGTGGTGATGGAGTCGTCGTCATCCCAGTCACACGAGGTTCGCCGCGATCGTCGCATCGTCGAAAAGTTAATCGTGAATGTCGTCGGTAACGTCAAAGAAAATCCCATAATCCGTCTTTTGTCATCGTGCCGTAGTTTTCGATATCGCTGTACGTTTTCCAACCGCCATGCACACCCCATCCCAGCATCCAAGCACATCAAAGGGTTCAAGGAATTGGTGATCTGTCTTACCCAGTATCGTAGCCGAACAGCAACCCGCCAGAGGCAACGAAGAGACCGACCATAATAGCCGGCGCCGACGAGCCCGCGACATTGTCGGGTTTCTGCCAGCCCATGGCAATGGCCATGGTGTCGGGTGTTGAAGTCGTCAATCCAGGGTTCAGTGATGTCGAGAGCGAAAGGCTCCGGGTCGGCGAGATTTTGGTGGAGGTTGAAGGGGTTGAGATCAACGGGGGGACATTGGGCGATTCCGTGTGGGTAATATTGGATGGCGGATGGCCACTGGTCGTTGTTTAAGCACTAGAATCCTCGCACTGGGTACTGGGTACTTGGGAGAGTCAATGCTTGGCTAGTCTTGGAAAGGAGAAGGGATAGCACGTGCTACATGGAGTGGAAAGAATGTCCAAGATGGTAGAGTGCCTTGATGAGGATATACATACCATGAGCTGATGGTTGTGCAAAGACAAATGAGTATCCGTAACTTTGTCTTCTAATTTCAGCTGTAAAAATGGTCCATGTCCTGGGGAAGAGAGACAGAGAGGGGCAGGCATGAATGCAATGGAAAGTGTTCCGTCTCCAGACGAAGAAGGCCAGATTGGAAGGGATCATCGTTCTGGGGCAGACTAGTCCCTCCCTGATCAAGTCAGATCATTAGCCTCCTGCCCTGCAGCCACTGGAACCTCGTCAAGCCATGCCAGTGGATTCTTTGCACTGGAAAGAGCGTAGACTAGCTGAGCTAAGCGAGTCACAGTGCGTTCCTCTTTCAAAGTTGACGATACAACATTAGGATCCCTAGAAACTCTCCATTTTGACATGACATTACATTTTTTATTGTAGCATTACACAACACCAAATCTCCCAGGACATTTTATTTTATTTCAATTTTCACATAGCACAACATCACGCACGCGTCTCCTTCCAGAAGTCCGACGGGGAGACCTTGACTGTCTGGGCGCCACGAATCTGAAACTGAGTCACCCAGACAAGGTCCTTGTCCCCTAGCAGATTCAGGTCATGGATGACTGGATGTCAGGTCAAGTCAAAGCAGCACCAAACGTTCAGCTTTCTGAGCTTGTTCAAGCCATAGTTTCATTTTCGTACTCGGCTGAGCGTCACTTTTTTTGTTAGCTGCATTGGATAGCTAGAAAGCGGGAGAGACGGTTGCTTCGAGGGTGACATGAATGGTAACCCGTATAACAGGGGGAGAGGTAGCATTCCGCCAAGTCGGAATTGATGTTGTTTCGTTGCTCTTAGTGTTCAGCCTGGGAAGAGTCTAGTCCAAGGTAAGACCCGTTGATGGGATGCTACAACGGAGGTACAGTAGTTTAATATCATCGCCATCTTGTCCATCTCTGTATCAAGAGTATTCGCATCAACTCCAGATGAACTACTCAGCACAGTTAAAACACTGTACGTCGCACCCAGCCATCCAAGACGCAACGGTGCCTCCGCCATGCAGCGCTTACCCCGGTCTAGCACCCTTCCAACGGAAGCCCATCTTTTACTGTAGACCCAAGTTTCTCCCTGCCATCAGATCATAGCACAAGTACCCCTTTGGTACGTGCGACTGGACACAGTCTGCACAGTCTCCAGTTTCTCCCCCAGACAATCAAACTCAACCCCAGCAAGGGTCTAGTCTCGGTACCGGTACTTGGATTCCATTGCGAGAGCGTCCAAAGACGAACCCTTGTGGGTAGCATGAAATATGACAAGACAAAACGGCATCTTCCTGAGGAGAAAAAAGTTCCTGATGGTCATAATGACATTGAATTCAAGCCTTCTCGCGTTATAACGCGTCTGAGAGGAGAAAGAAGCGAAGTCCATTGCGTTTTGCTTTGACAGACGTTAAGGTGGCTTTTGCGAGCTTTAAAAATGGCCTGATTGATCGACAGCAGCCAAAAGCCCATTTCGCGGGTCCAGCCGCTCCTGTCAGTTCGGAAGCCGAAACATCAGCGGCAGATCTTTTTTTCTTCCTCAAAAATCATCATCAGTCAATTAGAAGCCGCGAATATCCATCAATCTGATATTTGACATCGTCCAAGGACTTTCAAGGTCATGCGACGCGTCTTTGCTTGGCGGCGTTAAGTCTTGAGATGCCGTGTTTTGTGGCTTGTTGGTCACTCTACCTCAAAGACTGGGCTACAGAAGAATGTGTCCCAATTGGGAAGCTTGCAAGCTCTTTGCCCATCCAACTCAGGATCGGATGAAATACTACTTGACCGAGGTATTTCTTTCGATCGAGACAAATGCTTAAGAGAGATACGCCGTGACGGAATTGAAACAGGTATGACCTGCCTGTCTCATGATCTCACTGAAACAAGCATATTTACATCATTTTGGTCTTACTTTCACACTTGTCTTGAGCTATTCAGGTACACTCCAGCTTAACACGTGCTCGGAGTCTCTTTTGCGGGGTGCAGCAAAAGTACGGGGAACAAGGATGGACCATAAGGCCGAACAATCCCTTGGCAGAACAAAGAAGTCAGAAATGCCGCGCTGATCATCGAAAGCCAGCAGTCATCTTCACGTGGATCATACACGGCTGTCAGACTTTACTTTTTCGCGCACATATTGTGTCTGTTCGGGTAGACGGATGTGAAGCTAGACTGAACTGAGCTGTGAATATACCCTAGAGTCCAACCAGCAAACACGGAAGTTTCATCACCAGTCTTGACTTAAACATAGAGATTGAATAGCCGAGTTTGTACAAGTGGATTGTTTCATTAATTAATCTAGATAACTGTGCTCAGAGTGTGAGGATAGCAAAGACCACAAATCCTATGTCACTGCTCGGGTTGGGACATAGCATCATCATCGCACATCAACTCATCATGACAGCTTCTCAATAGCAACGCTTCACCCGCGATTACAACACAGATACTTGATCAATGCAACGTTTTCTCAGGGCCGCGTGGTAGTGTAACAAAAACCACCAACAATCTGATCATCAGGCACAGCTACAAAAAGTCCATTCCAAAAGAACCATCGTGATACATGTGTTATCACCAAGCCACCCCGTTGATCAACGTCAAGCCGCAAACTCTCTCAATACGAATACAGTCACGGTAGAAGGGTGAATTGTAGATAGGTAAATCTTTCTTCATAAATTGTATAAACTAGATTGCAACAATATGCATGCATCCCGCCTATCAATACAGTACAAACAATAAATCCTGGACGCCTTATTGCAAAACGAGACCTTTTTTCGGCCATGGGGGTTACTCGCACAAAAAACACAACAAAGTTTCATCGCGGCTTTGTTTGCCGCGTCACCATCGTTACATCAAGTGTTTCCCCCTTTAAGGCTCAAGAGTAACCTCCTGGCCCTTGACGCGGCCGATGACCTGCTGGGGCGCGTACTTGGGGATGACCTCGTCGTCGTGCAACATCTCAAACTCCTCAGTCGCGTCGCGACCCATGAAGTTCAGAATGGCCTGCACGCCGCCGGGGTGCTCCTCAAGCCAGTTGCTCAGGTCCATGACGACACCCTTGACAACGACCCAGACGTTGTCCTTGGTGTTGTGCTTGGCGACCTCCTCCATGGTGAACTCCTTCTCAGGGACCTTGAAGGCCTTGGGGTCATTGGGCTTGTCAGCCTTGGCACCGTCCTCCTTGACGGGGTTGGGACCGGCGGCGGTGCTGGCGTGCTCGTCGACCTTTGAAGGGCCAGAGCCGGAAGGACCAGCACCGGGGGCACCCCAAGAGACGGTCACCTGGTTAGGAACTGAAGGGTCGAGGTGCAGGGAAATCTGGCCAACACGCTCAGCAGCGCTGCCGACACCACCCTTGAGGGCGTTCTGGAAGAGGTAGTTGCTGGCAGTGTCACCAGCAACACGGCCGTAGACAACACAGCCGAGAAGAGAAGAACCACCAAGACGGTTGGCACCGTGGACACCACCAGCCAACTCACCACAGGCGTAGAGACCCTCGAAGGGCTGCTTCTCCTGGTTGAGGACCTGAGCCTTGTCGTTGATCTCAATACCACCCATGGTGAAGTGGAGAACGGGCTCCATGACGGCAACGTGGAAGTCATCGTCAACGTTGACAGGCAAGTTGTGGAAGAACTTCTTGCCCCAAGGGTCCTTTTGCTTGCCATCGGCAATGTCGTTGTAGGTAGAGAAGGTCTTCTGGAGGTGCTCGGGGGTGCAGCCAATCTCCTTGGCGAGCTCCTTACCGGTCATCTTCTTCATGAGACCACGGCCAGAGTAGTGGCGGGTGTGGAAGTCAAGGACATTGGAGGCCTTGGAGTTGAGGATAAGACGGATGGGGAACTTGTCCTTCTTCTTCTCCTCCCACATCATGCCGGAGACGTAATCACGGTGACCGAGCTCATCGCAGAATCGGTCACCATCGGCGTTGAGAAGGAGACCACCCTCACCACGGAGAGCCTCAGCAGCGAGGAACTTCCACTTGGAGCCGGGGTCCTTGGGGTCAACAAGACCTGTGGGGTGGACCTGGACCTTGTCCATGTCGATGCCGTTACCACCGATGGCCATGACCATCTTCTGACCGTCACCAGTAGCGTGTGTGCCGTTTGTGGTGGCGAGGCCGTAGGTATCGGGACGGTGCTGCTTGAGCAGAGAAGAGTCGGAGAAATCAGCAGCGTAACCACCGGTAGCGAGAACGACGGGGCCGTCAACAGAGACAGTCTCGCCGTTGTGCTCGTACTTGACACCGGTGACCTTGTTGCCCTCCTTGTTAAGCTCAGTGACACGAGCCTTCTTGACGATCTCGACACGGCCGGGTTCGCTCTCGGCAAGCTCCTCGAGGCGCTGCATCAGGGCGTAGGTGATGGCCATACCGGGGAACTTGGCATCGTGACCTCGGTGGGTTCGGGGCTGGGAGTGACCACTGTAGCGATTGTTAGCCTTGTCTTTGACGCGATATTGATGGAGTCAGATTGAACATACCCAAGACGAGAAACTAGTGTGAGGTCGAGGTTGAACTCATCCTGGAGCCACTCAACAGCAGCAGCGGACTTGTAGGTAAGAACCTTGATGAGGTCGGGACGGGCCTTGTCACGGGCGGACTTGAGGGTATCATCGTAGAACTGCTTGACGCTGTCGGGAATGCCAGTCTCGACCTGCGTTCTTGTGAGAGCACCGTTGATACCGGAAGTAGCCTTGGTAGAGTTTCCACCGAAGAAGCCTGCGCATGTTAGTAAAGTTACGCGGCGATCAGCCGAATCCCGGCGCACAAATGCGCTGAGGATGTCGGTTCGGCTCGGGATTCAGACTTACCCTGCTTATCGAGGACAATGACGTTACCGCCAGCCAGGTAGATGGTGTGCGCAGCAGAAAGACCAGAGACTGAAGGGAATTAGTATCGGTCGCGCAATGCGAATCAGTGTCTACTTACGGCCACCGCCAACAACAATCACTCTAGGAGCCATTGTAGCGTTTGTGTATGTGTATTGGGTAATGTGAAGGGTATATGAAGAAAGACACAAGACAGATTAGACTCCCACGCCAATGGAGACTTTAGTAAAAAAAGAGAGAGAGAGATGGAGATGGAGAGTTCTTGGAGGAATTAAGAAAACAAGTCCAAAAAAGAAAAGGTCGGAGGAAGAAGAGAAGAGGATCAAGGACAAGTCTTATTTAGTTGGATGCGACGCCCACAAGGCCGAGGGGCAAGATCCTTGGTGCTTGGTCCTCAGGCGTAGGAGCCGAGGTCGAACCATCCATACCCATCCCCATGATGAGCGCGTGCATCCAACCTCACTCATTCAATTTCTGGCCACCTGAGTTTAACAGCTAGGGTCCATTAGAAAGTTTAGGTACCTGATGATAGTCACAACATGGCTAAATATTGTTATTTATTTAAGTTCAACCGGTATATCTACTTTATTGCCACTCTGAATTGTTATAAAGTCGTTCTCTATTCTTGACTTGTTCTGTCGCGGACAAATACTTGCGGGGAGTAGCACGACAAGCGCAAATCAGATGCTGGCATTTTCTCAGCAGATGCAGGCCAGGATTGCTCCCCGGAAGCGGCTCTCATACCCACTGAGACTTAGCGTCCACCCGTCTGTATCCACCCCCGCTACGGGCTTCAAGATTTGGGGATTGGGGAATGGACATTGATTGTGTTGACATCTCACGTTGGCTTTGGCATTCGCACTATTTCCCTTCTTGACGAGTGTAGTATTCAATCTCATGATCTTGACCAGCAGAGAACCCCTTCTGCCTCTTGCATCGCTTCCCTCGCCGTAAGCTACGCCGAAACACCGCCCGTTCTACCCCCGGCGGCCGGGCAACCCACCGACTACAGCCTCTCTCGCGTCTAATGTGCCGAGGTCTCCGCTACTCGAGGAGATGAGGTTATGTGTGGGGGAAGCTAATGGATAATTCCTGACTTGGCAGCATCACTGTTCCTGTTTCTGAATCCCTGGAACAGGGCGATGTCGAACATAACAACATGGAGTCTTGTTGCGGCACGTGGTGTTTTTACTATCAAACCGTCAACAGCTGGCTTGAACTGCAATAACAAGCATGTGAGAGTCTTATTCATTGCCTTTTGCTTGTCTTGAATACGTCTGAAAGCATCCAATCATATTTTCCTTCTCCAATCCCCACACCACCGGACTTGTGACCGACCCTCTCGGCCAAGTAACCGGACCGTCACGGTTAAATCAGGACGCTTCTCAAGGAGTACACGTGATTTAAAGCAACAGTATTCCCAGCTGCAGAAGCATAACAAAGTCCCAGGTCTCTTCAATTTTCACATGTTTGTTGCGACGCTCATGCAGCGATTCATGTGCTTGCACTCCATGACGCTGAGCATGCCGCCATCTTCCCCACGTTCATGACTAAGGTGCATTCTTTCAAGATGCTTGTGACAGTCAGTTCTGGTCAGCTGGACTCTTTTTGCAAGCCTTGCCATTCGTCTCGTCAGATCGAAGACGACAAAAAGCACGTGAAAGTCTTGCCTCCTGGTTTCATTCTTTGCCGTAGACGAGACACTTTTTGAGTTTTCCCCGGATTCTTACACGTGCATCATCTGACCCCGGAAAATCGATTCAGCCTACGCCACTTGTCCTTGACCATTTGTCCAGGCCCTCGGCCATCTCATTGAAACCTGGGGGCGGTGCTGAGTCAGCCGGGATTGTCACATGTGAATGACCTCGTGAATCTGAAGAGGTCAATGCAACTCCATAGCATGAAGACTGTCGATCTCTGGAGCCTGAGATAGAAAGATCTGCCGTAAGCTTCACATGAAGTCCATGCCAACTTGCTCTACTATCGAAGTATGCGGTATCGAACTTCTTTCGCAGGAATGAAGCCATATATCAATTATCGTGCTGCGAAGCGTTGTACCAAGCAGGAAGTTTGACAATATGCCAACGCGAACGCTCGACAACGGACCTTACGAAGGAAGTCATGCTTCACGATTCTCGTGCCTGCATCTCCCAAAGGCGAAACCGAACCTGGCATGAACTGCGTATCTTAGCTAATCTATTGTCCTGTGATCCTCACTTTCTTATACAATCCCCTAACAGCATGTTCTTCGGTTACTCACCAGGTAAAATATTGGAACCTTTCACCGCAATCTAGCTTCACTCTACCAATTCTCGCGGGCCCGATTCTTTCGAAAATCACCTCAAATGTATACTGTAGCAGCGAAGTGGTGGTCATCGGCATGATACCCTCAGTGCTGTATAGCGATCATGCCCCGAGTCTTGCGTCTACCGAAGAATCGAGGCGAAACAAGGCATCATGGGGAATTGTAACCATGTATGCGCCTCCACAGAGTAGAGGAAGCGATGCTTTATCGAGTAGTACTCACTGCTGCTACAAACCTCCATGTTGGCTAATGTACCTGGCAGTACATCTATAGTCCAACTGCGCCCTTATGCCACTGTTGTGCAGCTCAATTGTACCTCTTCTCAACGGCCCTTCGAACGATGATACAATCCTTAGCGAAGGGAACCTCCACTTTCCCGAATCTTTCCCGTGCTTTTAGCTTCTCAGCTCACTTCGATTCTTCTCATACTCAATAACGATGAGTTTAGTCGGGAGGAAGAAGACAGGCCATGATACAGTAGGTTTAGGGACGGGACTTTAAGCTTTGTGAGGTAGCGGCTCTGGGGTATTCAATGCTCTCTCATACTGAGATTGCACTCAAAGATAGGAGGAGGAACTAACCCAGGGAGACATTGCAACCAGATATGTTCGTAATGCCTTGTAGGGATCGCATCGCGGCTCGCTGCCAATGTAGACTTCTTGTAATGGGCGTCACAGTCCTACATCTCATATGCGAAATCAATGATGTAGCTGTAATACCTGTATTATGTAGTGTACTTGCAGCCCTGATACGCAGCATGTTCACATATGTAGGTACGTTGAAGCTGCATGATGCGACTCTGATGCTGGGTTCAAGATGTACACTGGCAAGCGACGGTCTGTACCCTACTTTGCCTATATGGATCTGGCTTTTCCAAGTTTATGAACGTATTTATGAACTTCATTACACTGCTGATAATTAAAACTGAATCAATATCATGCTTTGTATCATAAAACAGATATGAACCAAATCCTGATGTTCTATCCTTAATGCACCTCAACATCATGTTATCTGATTGGTCCCAATCCTAACATATTAGCCCCACCTCCACATGATCTCTTCATCACGTCCTCCCCTCATGACGTCTTTTCAATACTTCAATCCTACATCATCACCATCATCATGAAACCCATCGTCGCTCTAACAGCTCTATTCAGCCTCACAGCATCGTCGCAAATCCCTCTCCGCGCAAACGAAGAAGCGCCTCTCTCCAAACCCGCTCTCCCACCACTCCACGGCCATCTCCCCATAATGTCCTCCGATAATCCCTCGATCCAACCCTCGGTCGCTTTAGGTGACATCCTAGGCTCCAACCGCGGTCTAACCTCCTTCTCCTCCTTCGCGCGAATGCAGCCCTCCGTCGACACACGTCTCTCCGATCTATCCACCAACACCACCGTTCTCGCGCCGCTCAATTCTGCTGTTGATGCGCTCCCGCGCAAACCGTGGGAACAACCTGCTGATTATAATGCGTTTGGCGCGGATGCGTATGAAGATGATGGAGGGCAGGATCGCGCGAGGGAGAATATGAGACGGTTTGTGGAGGCGCATCTTGTGCCGGCTAGTCCGTGGGAGAAGGAGGAGAAGATCAAGACTTTGGCTGGGAAGGAGGTTTGGTGGGTTGAGAAGGATGGAAGAAAGGTTATTATGCCGGATGAGGTTGAGGTTGAGCGTGTGGCTAGTCAAGTTGGTAACGGAGAGCTTGTAAGTTGATCACGATTGACGCCAAAGGAAAATACTAACGTGATGACAGTGGATTCTTAAGGGAGTTATTAACTACGCTTAGATGGTAACGGGGTTTGGCTACAAGATATACGAGTAACGATATATTAATGATTATTATACAAGTCGGGGGCCGGCTAGATACTACAGGAACAGGCTGCAGGTGCTTCAGTGCCCTTCATTACAGACAACATTGTAATAGAAACAATAAACTTGGGACTTATAACCACCACTATGGTTCAGACTGATGCTGGTTCACTCAGTATATTGATTAGGTCAACATATTCACGTCGCCGGTCTCATCTATCCATACTCCAAAAGACACCACCCCAGTAGACAAATTATAACAAGATGACAGGAAATCCGTAACAAGTTCCCTCCGTCCTTTAGTCATATAATGTGTTTCAAGCAAAACATTCTCAATATGCTGCGATTCCAACACTGAGATCTTTGGAGGGCCACGAGCCCAATACCAAGAAGTGAAACGCAGGCAAGATTGCCTTATGAACAAAAGACTGAGGTCGTAGAGACACTGACTAGATTGATGACGTTTCATGACTGGCATACAGAGGCCAGCCTATGATGCCCTGTCGATTGAAGCGTATAACGGAAAGCACTTTTATATGTGAAGATGAGAGGCGAGGTTTATTCCATCTTGACCCTCTTTGCTTCTGACTCTTCTGCAGCCTCACTCGATGCTGTAGCTCCTAACTCAGGAGTCTTTCGTTTCGTTGCAGTTGAATTGCTAGCACCGACACTCAAGCTCTGCGTTGAAGCTCCATTCGCATTAGATGTAGGCTCCTTCACTTCCTTCAAGATACTAGAATTTGCATTTGGCGTCGTGTTCAAGTCATCTCGGAGGAAGCTAGGCCCTGAACCAACAACGGGAGTTGCAAAATTGAGCGGACTAGGCAGCGTATTACTGTCACCTCCCCGGAAGTTCCAATCGGGATAGAAGCTACTAGGACTCGGCAGAAGTTCATTTGTCAAGAAACGTGATGGCAATGCAGAGACAGGAGTTTCACCATTCACATTCTGCTGAGGAGGAGGTCGGGCAAAGGGATTTGGTGGTCCCGTAGCACCTGCAGACAGTATTGCTGACGCAGATGGAGAGGGAGGAGGAAGCACGAGCGACGACTGCGAGTTGTGACGTTGAGGCACTTGTGTAGCAGTCTCGGTGGGATTTCGCGGTGAGTTTGACTCAGCCGTTCGCGCGCTGCCGCCACCTTCTGATCCGCCATCCGGAATCTGCACCGTTAAACGGGGACCGCGCGGCCGAGCCCCACCCGGGCCGCCTGGAAGCTTTGCACTGTTTGAACGTGAAGGCGGCGTCAATGTAGTTTCCGGTATTGAAGACAGTGATCCAGTTCGGTTCTTATCATCCATTTGTGTACTGGCGCGCTGGGGCATATGAGGTGACGACTTGGACGCGTCAGCGGCCCGGTTCAATGCAGCCACATCTACCGACTGAGAACGGTTTGCGGCATTGGCGGCATTTGCTGCTGCAGCGGCCGCAGCCGATTCTGATTTGTTGGATTCTGATGTGAATGATGCAAGATGCTGTGATAAGATAGATCGGTTCTCTTCAATAGGCGTAAAGATGCTGTGGGATTTTCTTTGAGGCAGCTTCTTGATAGCGCTGTCCGTATTCAATAGAGGTGGCTGAGGGCGTTCTTGGGGCTCGGTCTTGATTTCGACGGGAGGCGGCGGTGGTGGCGGAAGATCTTGCAGGCGACGTTCAGGTTGAGGAGGCGGCGGCGACATTTGCGACAAGGTCGGAGGAACATGTTGTTGAACTGGCTGAGGTGACGGTGTAGGACGAGCTGGAGCTTGGATTCCTTGTGACGGCGGTTGTGAACTGTAAGCAGGCGGCATAGGTGAGGGCATCGGGGAACGTCGATCATCCATGTAGGGTCCTTGTGGATGTGGCTGGTGCTGCTGATGTTGCGGGTGTTGCGGCGGCATAGGTGCGGACTGTTGGTGATATGCGTATTGCGGATGAGGAGGACCAGGTTGAGGAATTAGACCAGAGGGAGGATGAGGCGAGTTGTAGATGGGAGGAGTAGCCATGTAGTTCATTCCGGGATGCTGAGGACCAGGCGGAGGCGGAGGTTGAACCATACCGGGACCCATTCGGCGCATATCGTTTCGTGATGTCGGTCGTGAGCCGCCGAGAGACGGTTGTGGGGTGTGCGTTCGCTGAACAGGATGTCCGGGATGTGCTTGGAAAGGTCCACCACCATTGCCAATAGGTGGTGAAGCTGAAGGTGTTTGATGTCGAATTTGAGGAAATGGGGGTTGATGCTGTCCGTAAGCTTGAGGGGGCATCATATGGTGCTCGACACCTTCGTGGCCATGAGGAGGGGTACCGTCGCCCTCTTCTTCTTCGTCGTCATCATTGCCGCCGTTGAAGTCGCCGGGACCTTTGTGCTCGCTGGGACCGCCGTGCTGTTGACTTGTTAGTATATCATGCTAAAGCGCGCCTTGAACCAAGATGCGCTAGGTGAGGCGTAGCAGAACTCACATATTGGTATCGGTGGATCAGCTCTCGCATATCTGCTGATGAATACTCGTAGAGCTTCTTGTTGTTGCCAAAGATAAAGACAGCGACATCGACGGAGCAGAGAACGGAAAGCTCATGAGCCTTCTTGAAAAGACCACCCTTTCGCTTCAAGAAGGTGCTATATGCGCCAGTTAGTCGCGACTCTTGCTACACACCAGGCTTGGGGTTTGTTAATATTACTTACACAGAGCGATTTCTGTCATCCTTGATCGCCTTGATCTCAATCTTTCTTCGTCCCATCTTGGATGGTTGTGAGTCTTAGGTTGGAGAAATGTGTCGCGTTTCCACGCGGGGAAAGCTAAACGTTCGCGGCCAAAAGGACGATGAAATAACCGTCGGAGGCGCCAGGTGGAGTAGAGTGGGAATTGAAATGGGGTCGCGAAGATCGTCGCAAAAGAAAAAGGAGTCGACAGGTGACAACGGCAGAAGTTGAACGCTGATGTCAGGTCCCGGTCGAAGCGCGGTTGTGGTCGTGATCGTAAGCGAGAACAAAGGATACCTAGTTGAAACGGCGTGGTAAAGTGGATGTTGCCGAGAAACGCTTGGAGAGGAACGGCAAAAACGTCAGGTAAACGCTCGATGGGTAAAGCCGATAAGAAAGAGGAGCAGAGTGGGTGAGATGACGGAGGCGGCTGTCGCGGTGGCCGTGGAAAGGTAGTTTTTAAAAAAGACAAGAAGGGGAAAAAAAAAGAGTGGGAGCGGGAGAGAGGATTTGACGACGGAAGCGAAGGTGGTTTGGCTTGGTTCTGCTCTGCTTTGCTTGGAGCTGGGACAAGCCGAGACCTTCAAAAAGATGAGAGGACCCCGAGGTCGTTGGAGACCTTTGTAGCTTAGTGGCCGGCAACTGGTGGAGGGGTACCTGATGCAGTAGCGCGTTGATGGTACCGGTAACTCTTTAAGCTTGGCTTTTGGTGGTACCCTTTTTTAGCCCTGAGGGGAGCCTGTTGGGGATGGAAGACTTGAGAGTGAAGGAGAAGATGAGTGATGCAGACATGCGAGTCGCGTGAATCATGAGATTCGATGCGCGGATATAAATCTGAGTTCAAGATGAACGTTGCGACGACGATCTAAAATATTCAATAAAAGCCGTTGCGCGACGCGACGCGATAGTATGTGAATGCGCTGATAACCTCAAGTTGAAGTTCCAGAGATAATGAAGCTGATCTGGCGCTTGCGCTTGCGCTTGGAGTCGCGAAGGAATTAGGGAAAAAAAGCAGACAATTAACCCCAAAGGTAAATGACGATCAATAGACGTCTGATGGGGCTGAATCTGGCGTCTGTCTGCGTGGGATGGGATGGACTTCTAATAATAGCCCAACGGATCGTGTTCACCACTCGTGCGTGATGGAGAAATAGGGACTGAACGGGAGTGGGAAAAAAGAAATGGAAGCAGCCATGGAAACTTGCGAGACCTCCTTGCTTAGGTAAGGGGTCTATGATTGGATGGTATCAAGCAGTGCTCACCGTCGTGGTGGGTTTGGTGGGTCAGGCTACGGCACTCGATGCCCTGGAAGAGTCCCCTAAAAAGACGCCAGTTTAGAAGACAGGAGAGAAACAGGCAGGACCTAATGCAGTGTCCAACCACCGGCTTTTAAGAATAACATCATTGACCTGAACGAATTTCTTGTCATACCACGTTACTTTACTCCCTTGCCTAATGCAGTGCAGATGATGATGTAGTCGGACAGATCAGCCTTTGTAAGACTCCTCTTGTCGAAAAACCCAGAGCTTGACCGCGATCTCTTTCAACACCAAGCCTGAAGTTCTAAGCGACAAGCGATATAAGATGAAAGGATATCAAGGCCAACCAGAATCATCCTTAGAGTCTGAAACAACTTAGCACAGGCCATATCCCGGCTCATGTCAACGGAAACAACACGTCAACTACCCGTAGAACAAACAAGGCTAAAGCATCCCGTCAAGATTTCACCTCCTGTGCACGGGTAACAGAAGAATTATCCTCTAAGGCTTAGACTACTACAATAAAGCAGCCCAAGTACTAGTCTGGACTGACGTACAGTGACCATATTATTTCGTCTCTTATCCTTTCGGTGTCAATTCTTCCTATTCCCTAAAGCCACGCTTGAAAGAGCCGAGCCTCCTTTGTTCCCACCCTTTCGCTGCAACTTCTTTCGTATTCAACCAGCATCTGCATATGAACCAGCTCGGTTGTTGATTGAGGATTGTTCCTGCGTTATAATCTCAGATGGGTCTTTGTTTCTTTAGTCTTTCTATCCGGTTTTATGCCAGTGGAATAGTTTCAGGTTCAAAGTAACGCTGATATCTACTGTACTTGTTCATTGACTACAACTGTACCATCTCCTCTTATCAGATATCCATTCCTTAGCTGTCAATCCCCTCATGGCAGATCCGGGCCCTAGTCCCAAGCGTGGTTTTCCAGATTCTAAAAATACAATTATGCATAGCAGCCTCACACCCAGGTCATGCATGAAGGCCCCTCCATTACCACCCTTACCTGGGCCAATTAACCCGGTTTTTGAGTGGATCAAGCGAAATGGGGGTTAATCTGCATTTCCCATTTTGCCCACTTCTGAGACGTAAGAGGTCAGCGACTTTGAACCACCATCAAGCTACCTACGTATTTGGGCATCCTCACCGCATGTGTGCAGCTCTCGCTAAGCATCACATCACGTCGCATCAGTATCACGGGCTCAGCCCCCGGGACGGCAGACTTCCGCTGTGGGATGCACCCGTCTCCCGGAGTAGCAGTCCTGATAATGGTCAAGTTGAGTACTCATCACTAATTTACAAAGACACACCTCCACTATCATGATGTTGCAAGCACAGAGAATGTACATGTGCTGGCTGGGACAATTTATTAGAATTTGTGAATGCTTTGACTGACGTTGCAGTCTCGATATGTAATGCCTTTTCCGCTGGTATCGCGGCCCTTTTCCATGAAGCAAATCCCACCAACTCCATTCCAATGCCATCGATCATTTAGCAACAAACCGAAGAATGATAGAACCCCATTTTCTTCCCCTTTCAACCCCAATCCTCATTACTAACTATTTAACTCGGTGATCCAGCCGCGCCTCCGGGAGCATTGTAGTTACCAAATCCTCCGTGCTCAGCAGCGCCGTTGTCCGCCTTCATCGTGCCGTTAAGCAAAGGACATAACCTTGAGTAACAAGTTAGTAAAATGCTTTTAAAAAAACGTGCTGTTTGGTGTGATGTGCTCAGCGCCATCCCCTCCCATTGCGCCATTTTGGAGTAGGATTTCGCTCCTCGCGTCGAAGACGCTCAAGTTCGCGGAGAGCTCTCTTGTGTTGTTTCTCGAGGTCCTTCTTCTCTCGGCGCTGGCGCTGCGATTCTTCTCTGGCCGCTTTTCTCGCGGCCTTCTCTTCCTCTTGGCGTTCGGCGGCAGCAGCTCGTTGCGCGTCTCGCTGATCTCGTAGTCGCTTGACTAAAGCAGCTTGTCGCTCGCGCTCCGCTTCCTGTTCTGCGCGCTCTGCTTCCTTTTCGGCGGCTCGCCGCTCTTTGTCTTGCTGTATGGCTGCGGCTTTCGCCTCTCGAGCCTTGTCTTTATCGCACCGTTCCATAAGGATCTGCAGCCGCGACTTTTTCGCACGACGTTTCTTTGTCTTCCCATCCTCCGCAGTTCCAAACCAGTCATACGACACAGAGGGAGGGGGTGAAACAAAGGAAAGAATTGGTGAAGAAGGGGGACTCATACTTCTTGTTGGTCTTGATGTGACCGACCTGACCACAATTGGCACACTTGCGGGTTGTTCCAGTGGGGACTTTATCGCCATTGACACTGGGTGATCCGGCGTCGCCTGTGCTAGCCTTTTGATGAAGCTCTTTTTGTTGTTCTCGAGCTTGTCTTCGGGCCTTGTTCTTTTCGAGTCGTTCCAGCTCCTTCTTAATTCTACATCATCGTTAGTACTAGCTAGCATATAGTTGACGTAGAACTTACCTAATGCCTGCAAGACGGTCATGGTCGGCATTGCCTGTAGGGCGCGAGCTATAGATGCTGTTGATAGATATACGTAAGCTGGTGCTCTGAACTCCAATCCAATGATATCCATTTGTGAGCCAGGGGTGCCGACGCCGTATCTTTGTCGAGGTCTTTCGGATACGACACCCCTACTCTGCTTTTGCTGCACTGTTCGGGTCGTGTTGGGTGGGTGCACGTACTCTCTCATCTCAAGGTCGGCTTCTGTTCGCCGTTTCATATACTGCGAAATCACTACCGGATCGTGAACGACTTCGACTCGGCTTTGCGTACTGCCATCGGGCATTCGAATATCTCGAGTGATGCGGATAGCGCGTTTCTGTTGTCGACTTGCGGAAGTCAAACCACTAATTTGGCTGGTACCATCGTCGAACTGGGCTGGAGTCATGGCTGATTGAACGTTAAATCGGTCGTCTTCGTCTTCGGTCACCGCGACGTCCTTATCGTCGTGTTCCTGGCCGTCAGACAGAGTAGTCTTCTGCTTCTCCCAAATCTCTCGAATACCTTCCTCGTACATTGCTTGCTGCTTCTTGACGTTGTAGGCGTGGCCACCATTAGCTCGCTTTTCACGCTCCATCGCATCTGCAGACGTAGCAAGAGGCCCTTGAACTGCCTCGATATATCCTCCTTTCATGCTAGTACGAATGAAAGAGAAACCCAGACCATGGCCTGTCGGATCTCCTTCACCGTGAAGCTGGAGCATGGCTTTCTGGGCGCAAGCATCAATAAATGCCTTGGTCGTTTTCCATGGTGCCATCTTGTCAGCAAGAGTTTCTTCTTGCTTTTCTTGCTGCTTCTTTGCACCCTTGGCGACCTTGCTGCCTTCATCATCCATGTCTTCTTCTTCGCCTTCTGCGTCGTTGTTTTGAACATCCTCCTCAAGCGAGGCATTTCGAGGGTCGTATCCAGCATCCTCGAGTTCCTTGATACCCAGCTGCATGGCGTCAAGGAGACAAACCTCTTCGGGCTTAATCATGGACCGTATGGCGCTCTCGTCGGGCAGTATCTCACCTGGCTTCAATCGCCACATACCCTTCTCGCCACTCTCTCTATCATACTGCAGAAATTCTTTTAGCTTCTGTCGATTTTGGGTATCAGTGGAGTCTGCAATGTGCTTCGTGATATCGGACAGTTGGCAGTTATCGGTATCGCTGTGTCTTATCATGCGGAAAGCGAGCATTTTCATCCTGTTCTTCGAGGCGTTTGTGACCTTGCGACTGTGCGGGCCAGGAACCTCGACTGAAGGGAACTGCTGTCCAACGACATAAAGATGGTCAATCTTGTGCAGGTACCAGTTTGAACCGGCTTCTCCAGTGGTGCTGCGCACAACCAAGAAATCGTTGTTCCTTGGGTTGTGTTTGAATACCGGAGCTCGGTACATCTCATTGTGCAGTGTTGGTACAGTCTCTCCAGGATCGACGGTGCCAAATAAAGAGAAGGGTGAACGATCTTCGGGGAGAAGCATACGATACTCTCCCAGATCTTGTTTGGGAAGTTGTTCGTCCTCATTTGTGTCTTTTCGGCGGTAATAATTGATCAGGCGATTGCCCATACCAAAGCTGCTGAGTACTCGTGGGCGCTGCTCACAGTACTCGTAAAGGACAGCAGTTGAGTTGTCGTTAATACTAAGATCCTTAGACTTGAGAAAGACCTCATGTGCTTTGCCCTTCATCATCTTACGCTTCTGATGCACAGGCTTCGCGAACTTGATGATATGACTAGCAAACTTCTTGTACCTGAATCGGGGACGATGGTACTCGTCGGTCGTACCTCCGAGCTTAACTTTGTAGTACGGCCACGACAGCTTGATAGCAGGCATACTGTGTTCGACGGAAATGTTGCCGAGTGTGGCGCGAACCTTGCTCTGGTGGTTCTCCTTCAATGCCTCGTATGCCTCGTCGTTGGAAATATTGAATCGATTGGCGACACCCCGACCGAGGTTGCCGTTTGCCATGCGCGTCAGTTTGTTGTCTGTACGAGGTCGCTTGGCGTTTCGTTGAAGATCTTGGGTTTCGATAAGCAGGTAAGGATCACTCATATCCAGCTGGACGCGCTTGGCACCTCTGCGGGTTGCGTCCTCGAAATTATCGAATGAAGGCGCAGCGTAGCGGGGGATTTCTGGCAGGCCAAGCTTGATCGTCTTGCGCTTCTTTGGTCGTGGCGGTTCATCGTCTCCGAGGTCCATCATAAACTCTGCATCCCATTCTTCATCCTCATCTTCATGTGTACGCTTCTGTGCCTGTTGTTTCTCTCGCTCAGCAGATTGCCGGGCCTCAAATTCAGCCTCAATCGTGGCAATGTGGGCGTTCCAGTCTTCGCAGGCGAGTTCGATATCGCGTAAACTAAAACCGGCAACCGTTTCGGAATCGGAGTCTTGATCGAGATCGAACTGGACATTATCTTCGGCCTGACCTTCTTGGTCAAGACCACAGTATACCAGACCCCTCTCTTCTCCCTGTCTAGCCTTGCGGGTTATCGTGGCGGTACCGGGGATTCGAAAGAGTTTCTCTTGATCGGGAGCGAGGTCGAGCGTAAGCTTGCTGGTGACGAGTTTTTTGGGCTTCTTTGTGGGCTTCTTCTCCTTCCAAGTAGCCTTCTTGGCTGGAAGAAGTTCGCTCCATGTCAGAATGTGTCCTTTCTTGTAAGCAGGCCATGTGGCTTTGAGTAGATCTTCGACGGTTTCGGCGGGGGCGGGGATGTCGTGATCTTGGTTATCAAGATGAGGTTCTGGGTCGAAATTAATTCCAGGAAAGCTTAGGCCCGCGTCGATGGTCTGCGTATCATCGCCAGTGTCTGTATCGCGAACGTGAGGCGCAGGAGAGGAAGGGCCGAGAATCGGATCAGGTGAGGATGGACCCTCGCCAAAGAGGTCATCTGCGTCGTTACTGGTACCTCCATCGTCTGTTAATCCTGGCATCTCCATGGAGACACCGGCACTGGGTTCCTCGTCCGGTAAGTCATCATCACTAATGTCTTCAAAGTCCTCAGCGTCGTCGGCTTTGCCAGTCTGGTCGAACTCTACGGCATCGAAATTGATGCCAGCGCCGCCGGTGTCCTGAGAGTCGCCGAGAAGCTTGGCTATCTCGCGGTCATCGGCGGCATCTTGGGCCTTCCACTCTGTCTCATCAAAGGACGAGAAGTCGTTTTCGTCTGCCATGATCGCGATGTCGCAATGTTCGTGTCCGATCGCTTTGGGGCGGCGGCAGTCTCGTGATGCTTATATCATAATTTTCTCGCGTTTTCGGTGACCGCACGTCGGTCGGATGCTCGTAGGTGACGTGCAAAGAGGCGTCGTAATGATTGTTGGTGATGTTGAGTTGATCACGGTTACGTTTTCTCGAGGAGATGTTGGAGAGAGAGCGTGGAGCCAGCCAATCAAAGTTAGATGCAGGAGCAAGGAAAGCTAACGGTCTGTGCGGGTATTCGATGTGGGGCAATCTGCATCCACTGAACCTATCCTGCCTAAGACCATCTATTGTCGCGACCTCAATAATGTTTTATACCTAGAATAGATAATGAAAGTTCAAGGCGACTGTTTTACTTGACTTCTATTGAATGATGTAAAAGCCTCATAGTTTGTGGCTTGCAGCACTGTATATGAAGCTCCCTTATGGACAAACACCGAAACCCGTGATTCCTTCGCAGCTGGAGTAACTATGTCGACTTCAAACAACAAAGATAATTTCACAACTTTCTACAAAAGCTCAGGTTTCTCCTTTTCTCTCGGTAATATCGACAGTAAGTTGGGCGTTTTTCTCGCCACTTCAAACTCGAAAGATCACAACAATCGAGGTCGCTCGGAGCAACTGAACTCTGGATTTCATCCCCACCTGACAACAGCTACTGTCTTCACACAATAGCCTCCTCTATCCTGCCTAAGTAGGTAATAGAAGAAATATCCTCTAAGACTTAGGCTACTAAGATAAAGTAGCCTAAATGCTCATCCAGATAAGCATAAGATAACTAAACTATTTCATCTCTTATGTTTATGACGGTTATTTCTTCTACTACTATTGTCGGGGACTATTTTAATTACCCTACACTTGGGCATTTATGAAGGTATCCGCCTGCTTCACTACCAACTTTGTGTATGAACAAGTGACTATAAAGCTGGTTCTTCCAAAGATTGGTGAATCGGAAGAAATGGAATAACGTGGGAAGGGAATCTGGAATAAAACTCTGTTTGCGAACCCATTTCAGTGCTCATTCGGTATTTTGTTAATGCAAGTAATCCGTTTACAATTTGCGTTTACTTTATGCAACCCCTCGTAAGGCGTCCTCCTACATCAATTCGTCTTGTTAAATCTCAAGAATTGCCTTTCTGGACGATGGACGACCAACTGAAAGAACCCCTACTATCTTGAAACTCTTTGATGTGCATCAGCTCGCCAGTTGCAGCACAACATGATAGACATCTCCGTTTGCCAATACACAATGCTAAATAGACACACTCGAAAGTATCGCAGTTATTGTTTCCAGATGATATAACCGCTCTATAGCCAATATGTATGATGTTGGTATGCTATTTGAGTTCCCATCCATATGAGGTCGAACCATGCGCCGAGGTCAAAGAGCTTGAAACCCGACACTCGTCTTCTACACACGCAGAGATGGTCTACCATCGTAGCGTGTGATGGACATGACGGTTAGCAAGGCCAAAACCAGCTGATTTATAGAGCGAGACTCTACTTAATGACCTTGAGTATGGAAGCTCAAGGGACAGCACAGAATGTGAGTTTTGGATGGACAATGCGAGAAAGACTGAGGGAGACCCGTCTCATAGTAAGAGGATTGCCTGGAACTGGATGTTCCGAAAGTTCAAGAACCATGCCCTTTTGCACTTACCGAGCCTTTCTGTTAGCAAGGGATCTATCGGAGCCCGCAACCACGTCTGTTAAGCAGGAGTCTTTGCGACCCAACCTCATGCATCTCGATGCGATGTGGAGGATGTGCCTAAAACAAGGATGGGTGCATGCAGAATCTGACATGTTTCCTTGACATCCAGTTACGAATTCTTCGACATACCATGCGGGTGTTTAAGGATGCCGTTCGCCGTCGGACCTGGTCTTGTCATCGGATGGCTGGCGAATGCCTCCGCAATGTAACGCAGTTCAACAGATCACTTTCGCTGAATTGAACAGAATCGGAAGAAATAGGAGATCGTGTAGCTGATAGCCCTAGTAATGCTCTGATTCAGAGTTCTGTTGAGACCTGGTTCCTGTAACGCCAAGATTACTCCTCCTCTGGTGTAACTACCACTTCATGGAGACCCCTTGATCTCGCCATGTATGAGGCCATTCATCGAAGCTTTGACAGTCGGCTGTTGCGGCTATGTAAGACTGACATTGGCATGAAAGTTGTCGCATCATCCTTGCCCAGACATATATAACGACTCAGTGAAATTACCTCACACCCGGTCCAGTATCTTACACGAGCTTGATACCCAACCTTCGGACCAGTGGACCTTTCATCCCCCAGATCCACACAACAAACAACAGGTTGACCGCATGATAATCCGGGGTAAACTCCCTGTCTCATGATATTCAGTCAACGATGTGGGGATATCGTCTTCATGGCCCCAGCCAGGGACGTCACTCAGTTGCACAGCCGAGTTTACCTTGACAGACGCCAGTTGCTCCACGAGGTAACCCTGCCCAAGACCCTCTTGGGTGCAAATCCCCCGCATCCGGGGAAACAAACCGTCATGAATCGCCAAGAGCTAGCGTATGCGCCGTGAGATCTGGGGTACTTGTTTTGCGGGGGAGCACGTTTCCCAGGGGCGTGTTCTGTTGGTTCACTTACACTGGCTGAAGCTTGACGAGCTCACGCAATTTGAATCGACTATGCTCCTAGGACTTGGTCATTGCTTGCTTCACGCTCCACTCTCAAGTCCAAAGGCAAGTATAGCCTATCAGTGTATCCAAGACTGTATGTCATCCTTGACCTATCTTGGCAGTATCGCCGTGAGATAGATGCGGAGCTCATGGAGGTTTCTCGGGATGGCGTTGACTAAGTGTCTCGCTTGTCCAGGAACCTCATTATTGCGGCTGTGGCTGGTGACATTGCGTCTCTAACGTATCTTCTCACGATAAGGTTCGCTTGCGTTATCATAAAGAGATGTGGGGGATACGATAACCTCAACGGAGTCTGTGCCGTTAGTCCGTCATCCGGGGAAGAGGACACAGCTCGCCAGCTCCTACCCATGATACTGCTTACTCGACATCAGGTCTTGCAATTAATCTCGCAAAGCAATTCTACAGCTTCAGCCCAACCGGGCGAAGAAGCTTGGGTAGTTGAACAGGTTGCAGCACATATCAATCGGGCGACAAAGCCCTATAATCTGCAACCATCATGACACGACGCTGCAGCTGGGTGAGGAGAAATGGCGCTATCACGGACTAGGGGAGATGAAGTCGGAGTAGCTACTCCTGCAGCGACATTTGGATACCGTTGAGGCTGAATTCAATGTTCCTGGCGTGATTGCGCCTCTGGCAACGTCCGCCATAACGCCTGCATATGCTGTGCGGGAGATCATCAGTATCAGGACTGCTTACAGGTATGACAGCAGTAAGCAGAACATTCGTAGAAGATCGATCACGGTCTTCGAAGAGACGTAGACATTGCTTGCTACTACGCCAGAGATATCACACCTACCCGTTTAGGCAAGGAGGCATAGTCTAAGTGCGGCACGGTACGGGGATCGGATGAGATCCCGATCATGTGATCAGATCCCGACGTGAAATCCCGCGGGATCCTAGGATATTGAGATATCTTTCGAATCAAATGTGATTCTGTTATCTTTCTTGCGTCGTATTCATGATTTGAGATATTGGAATGGTAAGGCTCGAGTTATCTTTACGTTGCGAGTTATGGTATCGTATTTGGCCGGGATGGATTTGGAGCTAACATGAGGCTCAAGATAGCTGCATTACCGCCTATTGGAGATGGTTGTGTGAAAAAAGCCACGTTTGTGGAAGTCTGCCGTGACAGGTAGCACAGCGACACCGGCAGGCTGGTCCAGGAGGTGACATCGTAGGGAGATGCACGAAGGAACCCGCGCTCAAGAAGGGAGAGGGATTTGAGGAAACCCTTTGCAAGCATTGTATACGAGATGCGGCACAGTATTGTTTGCGCGAGTCACAAACCTTACCATGCGAGATACCAACCGCGTTATCCGTGTTCACGCACTTGGAAATGGTTCTCGAAGGAACAAGCTGACAGTGTCTCAAGGCATCATCAGGATCAAGTTACCGTAAGCGCCAGAATGCCTGGGTAGGTTGCCATCCTACTCCGCATACTACGCGTCTCAGTCCTTGGATATTAGGACAGTTCAATTGTCCTATCATGTTGGTGTTTGACCAAGTGTTTCTTGTAGCGATGACGGCCAACAGAATGGCCAATTACGATTGCAAAATGGTGTGCCTCGTGTATTCTTGCCGACTTCTTGGGCATGTCTGGATAGTCCCAGGGCGACGGGTAGTCTAGACCATCGAACTAACCCTCATACAGCCAAACCATTTGCTGAGCAAAGCAGCATGTAATAATTAATTCGCCGGAGTATGATAGCAATTAACTTTCAGTAGCCAAATGATCGAATTGAGTCGAGAGCAGATCTACAAATCGAGAAATGAAAATTGCCACTATCGAGAATTCGGCTTCAGAAGCCGAACTCAAAGTTAATAAATGGATGATCGGCCAAGATGCTTGTGCTTCTAGATGGCTGTGATGGAGGGTTCGATTGGGGTCTTGGAGAAAAGAAGAGGGTGCTGTGCTGCGGAGATACCGTGAGGAGAGGGGAGCTGAAAGTGTGATGAGGAGATGGAGGGTAAGGCAAGGCTATTGCGGTACTGTACTGCAGTGTGAGGTAAGGGTAAGGTCTCGTGCAAGGATCGGCATGAGAACCCGACTGCATGGGTCGAAGCTGAAGGGAGTGTTAGTGCTTAAAGGGGCAGATAAGAGAGACTTGACTTACAGGTACATATCAGGCCATCTATTTAGGACTAAGGTGAGCGATTTTGGACCCGGTCACCTTGATATCGTCATCGTATCAATCGATCATAAACTAGCATGATAAGAAGACCCATCTAATACACGTTAGATAGAGAATTAACGATATAGATTACCGAGAGTCTGGATTGTCACCATTATCGTTGTATTGCCTCTCTCACAATTGATCTCTTTGTCCCAGTGCCACTCACTTTCTCCTCACATGCCCAACGCCTCATTCAACGCCCCCGAGGCTCTGAACAATTACAGTTTCAGTTGGTACACAAACTCCAACTCTGTCTCTGGTCTAGACTCGTACTAGACCGTATCTGGGCACTTGACGCTACAGTGGTTTACCCCAGGTTTGGGAGCATTTAGAGTGAGTGATTTTGATGGAGACCAATGGTGATCAAATGACATACACCCTTTCTATCACTGCCGATGAGACGTGATTGTTCAATCTTGGCCAGACTAGAGGCTGCTAACTCGGATCCACCGAGCTACCCACGAGCTTTCCCCGTGGGGTAGACCCTCGTCGACTCTCCACTGACTAGAGGCTATCACTAACTTGGTCTAAACTCCAAAGGCCTGGACCATGGCTTGCTACAGTAGCGCCAGTGGCTAGGTACTAGACAGGCCACTTGAGATAAGCTCTCTCTACTCTCTACACCATGCTTGTAGACTGAACACTGTTATCTGTGCCTCTCAGTCGAGGACTCACTATTTAATAGTCGCTCTTTCCTCCCCATTCCAGTGTTAGTTTTTCTCCTCAGACCTCGTCTCCAACAAACATCTTCCCTCATCTTCTCCTTCCTCTTCAATCTCCTACTCTCTTCACAATCACAATGTCAGACGACGAAAAGAGAAGAAACTCAGCCGGCAAGGCTTCAGCCGTTGCAGGCGATGCCTCCAGCATTCAATATGGCATCGACGATAGCATGGGTCATCTCCATCGACGACTCAACAACCGTCAGATCCAGCTTATCGCCGCCGGTGGTTCCATCGGAACAGCCCTCTTCATCTCCATCGGTGGAGGTCTCGCCAAGGGTGGCCCTGGCAGTCTTCTCATCGCCTACACACTCTACTCTCTTGTCCTTGCTCTCGTTAACAACTCGATCGCTGAGATGAACACATATATGCCTGTTGCTGGTGGCTTTGTTCGCTTGGCTGGTTACTGGGTTGACGATGCCCTTGGTTTCGTCGCTGGCTGGAACTTCTTCCTCTATGAGGCTCTGATTATTCCCTTTGAGATTACTGCTTTGACTTCTGTCATCTCTTTCTGGAGTCCTAAAGCTCTTGAAGCTGGCCCAACTGCTGGTATCTGCGCTGCTGTCATTATCTGCTACGGGTAAGTTGCCTCTCTTTAATCACTGCGAACAACACTAACCATTACAGTCTCCTCAACGTCCTCGCCGTCCGCTTCTATGGTGAATCCGAGTTCTGGCTCTCAGGTGGAAAGCTCATCCTGATCTTCCTCCTGTTTGCCTTCACCTTCGTCACCATGTGCGGTGGTAACCCTCAGCACGATGCCTACGGCTTCCGACACTTTTCCAATCCCGGCTCCTTCACTACATACCTCAGCCAAGGCGACAAGGGCCGCTTCGAAGGCTTCCTCGCTGCCCTCTTCAGCGCCTCCTTCACCGTCGTCGGACCCGAGTACATTTCTATGGTCTCTGCTGAGGCTCAACGCCCTACATTCACCATCAAGAGTGCCTTCAAGACCGTCTACTACCGATTCTGCATCTTCTTCATCGTTGGTGCCCTCGCTGTCGGCATCTGCTGTGCTTACAACGACCCCAAGCTCGTTGACATCTACTTCGGCGCCGGTGGCACTGGAAACGCTGCTTCTTCTCCCTATGTCATTGCCATGACCAACCTTGGCATCAAGGGTCTTCCTCACTTCGTTAACTTCCTGATCCTTACATCTATCTTCTCTGCAGGTAACACATATACCTACTGTGCTACCCGTGCTCTCTACTCTCTTTCCCTTGAAGGCCGCGCCCCTCAATTCCTGCGATACTGCAACAAGAGCGGTATTCCTATCTACTGCTTCTGCATCACCATGCTGTTCCCCTTCCTCTCCTTCCTCCAGGTTGCCAACGGCTCTGCCAAGGTCCTCGGCTGGTTGATCAGCATTGTCACTGGTGGCGGTCTCATCACTTTCATGATCATGAACATCACCTTCATCAACTATCACCGTGCCTGTGTCGCTCAGGGTGTCGACCGCAAGACCGAGCGTCCCTACTACGGCTACTTCCAGCCCTACGGTGCTTACATCGCCCTTGCCGTCCAGTTCGTTCTCGTCCTCGCTTACGGATACTACGCTTTCCGACCCAAGTTCGACGTCGAGGTTTTCTTCCAGAACTACTCCATGCAGATCCTTGCTGTTCTCCTCTTCACTGGCTGGAAGGTCTTCAAGAAGACCAAGTGGCTCCAGCCCCACGAGGTTGACCTTGTCTGGGAGCGACCTCAAATTGAGGCTTACGAGGCTACCTTCACCGAGCCCCCTGTTGGCTTCTGGACTGAGATGGCTCAGCTTTGCATGCCTTGCTTCTTCCACAAGAAGAAGACTTCTTCTGAAGTTTAAATGTTTGCGGATCATTTTATGACATTTTCGTTTTAGCAGGACTATGAATGGATGATATCATTTGCGAAGGATAGTACAATTTACATCGTTCGAATCACTCAATTACTTGCTCGTCCACCTGTGATACTATCGTGAATGTTTTCTCTATGACCATTTTCCCATCTCTGAGGCGTAGTCAGTTTGAAGAACGCCCGCAACGATACACAGCCACTTGACAGCATATCCGAAGCAGCTATCGATACTGAGCAGTCGCAGAACTACAATGCAGTTCAACAATTTGGACCTCTCGTTAAGATGTAAGGTATAGATAAGAAACGGTCATTTTAAAAAGTCACTGTAAAAGGGCCTTTCTCTCAAACGCTTCTTTTATTTATCATTCCAATGCCCTGAAAAGAAAATGAACAACTATCTTTCCCTTTCGGCGGGATGGCCTGTCTTCTAAGGCTTAGAGCATCAACATAAAAGAGATTACCTAAGTGTTAGTTTACATAAATTACTGAAATTATTCTATCTCTTAGGGTCTTGGCTGCTGACTGTTTGACCCTAGGCGTATTTAAAGAGCCACAACAGAGGAGAGACCCGATTTGCGATATCGTAGATTAGATTGATTAGATAACAGAGCGCCTGCGAACAATAGATCTAACCTTCCCCAGGCCATAACTAGAGCACTAGATTGGGTGGCCGGAGCCTAGGGAAGGTTCTGTGTCGTCAACGTTATATCTCTCGCCCAACAAGTGCAGAGAATCCAGTGAGGATGAGGAAGGCGATGAGTACGAAGATGGAGATAACCCAGTAAAGTATACTGTCGCACAAGCTGCTGCTGCGGGTTACGATGAACATAGATTCCTTTCGTTCTTTAATAATACCTATGAAGATATTGTAAGAGGTCTTAACCATATTCCAGGAGATTACTATTCGTGACATATATCTCTCATTGATTGATAGGCACCAAGCGCCAGGCCACCAGGACCTAGCGATACCCCAGGACTTAAGAGCACTATCCGACTTTCCCGCACTAAGTTCATGCTATCGCAGCAGCGTTATCTACCTAAGACTCCCCATTTCAAGGCATGATACTGGCTAATCCTCCAAGACTCGGAAAGATATTAACTGCTCTTGCGATCATCGCTGTAACGAGTGGCCCTTACCGAGCCTGAGATATAAAATAATCTAGATATTTTATGTAAGTTTAGATGAGCAGTTAGCATACCTGTCTTGGTCTTCTAAGCTCAGCAGTACGTCAACTGTCTTGGCCCGCTTCCTCATTGTCCATATTTCTGAACAAACTCATGAAACACAGCAGTATCATACGTAGCCACACACTGCAAATAAGCAGACTTCTCAGCCTCTTCCGATCCAATGAGCTCAATCATCCTTCTCGATAAAGCAATCACTTCGGGAGAGTGCCTCGCGATGCCAAACCATTTTCGTTCATCTACCGGTATACGCTCAAAAGCGTCGATCCAGAGAGAATCCCATCTGTCAAGAGCGCGTAGGACCATGGATATGTAGTCAGGTGTTGTGATGGATGTGCGACAGTGGAAAACGTGACGCATTAGACCTGTTAGAGAAGAGTTAGTGGTTCGGCTGACTTTAGGTAGGGCGAGACGAACCTCCGCTGATGAGAAATAGATCTGTGGGGTCCAACCTCCCAAAAGACTCTTTGAGTGAAGTCCATTCATCTGAAAGTAGCCCAGATACAGCCTCACGGCGATTAGATGGATATTCTCTTGTTAGTTTATGTCTAAGTCCTTCGAAAGCCACACCTGAGTCTGCCTCCCATAACTCGCTCAAACAAGGAAGAGGTCCCCCCATTTCCTTCACAGTCATAGCAGGTGGATGATTGCAGAATAAACTCATAAGGGTATCATTGGTAAACGTCCACGAAACCACTCTGATACAAGTCTCTTGATGGACAAACTCCTCCCAGCTGACCTCATCTGGCTGATGTTTCAGGCCCACCAGACCAGTCTTTCTCAACACCGCCACAAGCGTCGGTATGCGCTTACTAGCAATCCTCCGCCGAGCTTCAGTGTGATTTGTGCTACCCTCAAGGCTATTCATCAGAACGGAAGCTTGACATATCTCAAGCATGTGCTTAGATGTAAGAGGAGTGACATTCTGATCTGCTAGTCGCTTGAGCTCTTTGAAGATGTACTTCTCGGCAAGCTCAAGTAGTGATGCTGTGAGGAAGTGTTGAGGAGACTGATCGAGATATTGCAAGTAAGCAGTCCCGGTTAAAATGACAGCTAGGAGAAAATGAGGCGCTATCTCGTCAAGTTGAAACGTTGGCCAATGGATCGGGGGCTTGTGGTAATATCGTCGACGGAAGAAGGCAATGAACGCATTGTGAAAGTGGGATGTAGTAAGGAAGCCTGTTTGGTCGGTATGTTCCAGCGCTTCTTTTAGATGAGGTTTGTTGGTGACCATCTCTTGGAGGTCACTTGACAAGGTGGTGATTCGTGTTGCGAGAGTATCGTTTGTAGTGGCTGGTATATTGAAGATGTTCTGAAACTGTAGGCCATCGCCAGGGTTCTCGTAATCCATAGGGTCATCGAGTAACATATCCGATAAGTTCAAAAGCAGAAACTTTGGATCAACAGTTCCTGCATCCAATTGATCCTGATGTCTCCAAGTCGGCTCCTCTGATGTCCTCTCCGGCTCAGCAGCAACAGTGACATCCAGAGAAGTATGACTGGGATCGCTAGCCTGCAGCAAGAACGACAAACTATGTCGATTATCCTTCGGTTTCTCAGCAACAGTGGACCTGTGTGAAGTATCGTGGCATAGCGCGCTGTAAACACACTCAACGCCTTTAGCTGCACATCGCCGACACGGTAGAGCCACATTACAAGAAAGCTTCACCTTCGCACAATTATCGCAAGCACGAAGCTTTCTTCCCCGCTTAGCGACTGCTGGTAAAGCGCGACCCTTTCGGGCTGGACAAGAGCGGGCATGACGTCGGGCAACATCTGCTCTACCAAAGGATTTGTGACAGAAGGGGCATTCGGTTTGGGAGGAGGAGACTGGTGGGGCTGCCATGGCGGAAAGAGAATCAGGGGTCCAAAAATAAATCGTATTGAATACAAGTGAAAGTGATCAGATTAATTTGTCGCGGACTTCCGATGACTAGTTTTTCTGAGGAAGAGAAGAGTGAGGATGAAGATGTGGGAATTTCCCGAGGGGAAGGAGAGATAAGTGGGGTCATGTGGTTATTTCCCGAAGGGGACCACCGTGTAAGTGGGCATGTATTTAATGGGACTCCCTTTGTTCTCTCTTCTCTTCTCTAATCAATCACTTTGTATTATATCTGCCGTGTTAAGTCCAAAATGAATCGATTGCAGTTAGTTAGATGTAAGTAATAGGTGAAGGATCCATTACTCAGCCTGACTTACACCTTGCAGTTGCAACGCGGCCACTGGCCCTCACATCAACTATCCAAACACCAACACTCAGCCTTGGAGAACAACAAAGAAGAACCGTATCATCAACTGTCACAAAGAAACTTACACCAAGACACTCAGCATCTTTGGCTGAAGAGAAACCGAGTAATTTGGTAGACTATGCCTTGTACGTACCGCCTTACCTGTCTCAACACCAGCATCCTGACATCGTGACACAGAACAACCGTCGACAAGCTCGCCAACTGGGCAAGGACAGGCTCTCTTTGGCCCATGACATTCGCATTGGCATGTTGTGGTATAGAAATGATGCACGTAAGGTAAGCAGAGGAGTCATGATGCTTTGTCACATTTGTAAATTCGTCAAGAGAAGCTCATCCTGACCAACACATTCCAGCATGCCAAGGTACGATCAAGACCGTCTAGGAATCATCTTTCGTGCCTCACCTCGTCAGTCGGATGTAATGATCGTAGCAGGGACCCTAACCAACAAGATGGCACCTGCTCTTCGACAGGTCTATGACCAAATGCCTGAGCCACGATGGGTTATCAGTATGGGATCTTGTGCCAATGGCGGAGGATACTATTATTACAGCTACAGCGTTGTACGTGGAGTTGACCGTATAGTCCCTGTCGATATCTATATTCCTGGATGTCCGCCTACTGCTGAGGCACTTATGTATGGTATCTTCCAGTTGCAGAAGAAGATTAGAAGTAGTAGGCCGTCGAGGATTTGGTATCGAAAGAGGTAGAAAGCAGCAACCTGAAGACTGGGTATACGGTTTGTTTGTACGATTGTTTAAACTGGAGGGGTATTCTCGGATATAAAATTAGAATGTGCTTTGAAAGAGAAACCGGTCCAAGTCGGAATAATCGAAGCCTGCCAACTCTCCAGCCAAGTTATTGAACCACCTCATATCATCCATGACCTGCGGTGGAGCTTCAACCTGAGGTTCTGATAGCGGAACAATAGGAAAACTCTTGACGATATCACCTAAATTCGTCGCACATTTCTCTTTTCTTCGCTGTTGCATCAATATGAGTAAAGATGCTGTGTTCATCGCCTCCTTTGTGGCGTTGGTATCGTATACTGTGGCAATGTTACTGAGACACTGCATGGCGTCTTTTAGCTGTGCTAATGATTCTCTGGTATCGATGGCTAAGAGTAAGCATATTATTTGAAAGGGCACGTTGGCCATCTGATGCCATGGGGATCGAGCGTCGAGGATAGCTTGGGCGGCTTCGATACCTCTGAGCGTGATAGAAAGTATCTTATCGAGTGTCTTGCCAGTGAAGGATGTATTCATAGATTGTAATCGGCGACAAAGACATAGAGCCAGATTGCACTGAGCCATAATCGAGGGTGGAACTGAGTGGACTCGATCAAGCACCACTGAAAGTGAGGCCTCAAGCTCAGATGCATCCCGCGTCTTGTTTGGATCGAGGTCCGTCGAGTAAGGTAATAACTCCATGATTTCATATGTGTAGTCCCCTTCTCTTGCCACTGGCATCTCCAAGGTCGAGTTACAAAGAATAGTTCTGGACCGCCCCATATCGAAAGAGATCCAAATATTCAGATGCTCTGAGACGGCGAACAGTCTCCTCCTCAGCTCTGCGTCAACTTGCTCCTCGGCCACTTGGAACACCGATTCTTCGCTTGGTTCGCAATGCAGGCCTGCTGCTTCCAACATATGCATGAGAATAGAACTAGCGATCCATGCTGTATGGGGTGTCTCCGCAGTTCTGAGATAGATCACTCGAAGTAACCACCCCGTGATTTCAGTCGAAGAAGGAGTATCGGACATCTTTTGCTCAAGGATAAATCTGGCCGTTTCTATCAGGTCAAGCTCCAATGGTGATGGTTCAACTTCCGAGAATAAGCATCCAATAGCGGCTATACCACATAGAACCGCATCTTCGGAGGGTTCATATGTGAGACCAGCCCATCTGTTCTGGATTATACATGAAACCCAATCACGGTCAATGAAGCCATAGATGATATCCAGTTTCTCAAAATAGATCGTGCTAAGATTACTCATCTCATCTCGGGATAACATTTCAGTAATTGGTCTTGACACTGGAGACTGTGATTCCCGTCTGGCTCCAAGAAAAGCATTCCATGAAAACGTGTGCATCCGAGGAGCACTTTTCGGATCCAGTCTCAGTGCCAGCCTTCTGAGAAACGCGGCCCCAGAGTTGGCTTCAAGGGACTGGAGATGATGCGGTGACGCCACACGGGGCCGAACTTCTTTTTCAACATGTACTGGAGGCGATGGAAGAGGCGGTGCTTGTTCCGGTTCGACAGTCTTTCTCTTCTTGTTGGCAGGGGTTTTGTAAGTGCACTCATACTCGAAGCGGACACAGGCTCCGCAGGGCTGATTGCCGTCGCATTTCCGTTTTAAATCCCGGCATGTTTCGCATGCTAATCTGGAGCGTTTGCGACCTTGAGTGGAGGACATGGATTCAATACTGAAGGTACCCGATGAATAATTGATGAGAGTGTAAGTTGAAGTTGGAGAATGTAAGGGAAGTGTAAGCTGCGGTCGGATAGTACGGCCCGACCGGGTGTATCGGCTATATCGGATGGCTCGGCTAGAGCAATACAAGATGCTGAACGTTGTTCTGATACGGTCCACGCACTTGACCTGTAACTACATTTGAAGATAGAAGAATTGCCCTAAGGATTGTCATACTATTCTCTGAATCTTGTCGAGTCTTGTAATGACCAAATACATCAGATACCAGCTACCTATCTCTGTAGTAGCGTATTGCCCCCGGCATAGGCAACCGCCTTCTGTGAACCTTCGGCTCTTTGCTGCTCCTCCTCCTCTCTCTATCTCTCCTTCTTCTTTCCCTCTCCCATTCCCTTCTTCTCTCCTCCTCCTCCTCATACTTTTTACTTAGCTCCCTTCTCCTTTGCCTTCTTCTCTTCCTCTTTTCATCATCTCTCCTATTTCCATCCTCTTCCTCTTTCTGTTTCCTCTTCCTCAACTTATCTCGTTTCTTTTTACTTGTTTCATTTCTCACCTTCCTCTTTCTCCTTTCCCCTTTCTTTCCATCTTTCTTGTCCCCACTCTTCGGTATCTTCTCGCCTGCCTTTATATACCTTCTAACAGCCTTGTATCTTTCGTCCTGGTCTTTGCGTACCAGCGACACCTTGGGCTCCCGCATAGCAGTGGCAGATTTCCATGCTGCAGTCCAATCTTCCTCTGATATCTTCAACAGCCTCTTGAAATCTTCGGGTTCTATCTCTTCGGTATCACACTCTGACTGTCTGTAGAAGGGCACCAGTTTCTTCCAGCCTTCGGCAGCTCGATTCTTGTTGAAAGTAATTTCAGCGCTCACATCCTCGTAAATTACGTTAAGCTTGCTAGTTCCGAAGGGACAGTCTTTGGAAGAAGCGTGAGATAAGCGTTTTTCCCTTTCTTCTTCAGCGAACTCCATGTACAGCTCTTTATATTTGGCATGCGAGAAGGTAAGTGTAGCCTCGGAGTTCGGCGGTGCTACCTTGGACTTTGTTGCGAATAGGACGATGCAGGGACGGGGCCGCATTATTCATCAAGCGGTTGCGTTTTCATCAAAATTCATAGTTTCACGGTTTCTACAAGAATCAAGACTACATTTGATGATTGAGGGAAATTGTTACAGATATCAGTGATCGTACTCGCCTTTGTGACGTGGCCTGACGCAAGCCGCAGCGCAATTGTGCATGGCTGGGTAGCATTGGTTCATTATTCAGCTATGCGGTTCGACTATTTAGAACGAAGCCGCTGCTGACAGACTGTCACACTCGGAGCCTGGTTTCTCCCACTGATCGCACATTGCCAAAAGAGGGGTACGACGATGGAACGGTTCAACCCACACCGCAGACCTAGAGAAGATGAAGAAAGTCAAGTTGATATCGACCTTAGCGACCCCCGCTGGCCACTAGACCTCGATATCAACAACATCATCACTATCATTTTGCAGAACGACGCAAAAGAGGGACAGCTCCCCGAGAAGGTACGTCGGATATGAAGTGGACAGAGCATATCTAGAATGAACGTTACCAGAGCTACCGCATCAATTTCGCTGTTCTACAAAGGATATACTTGAGGCAGCTTAAAGTTGAACTGGCCAAACAAGCTACTGCACTGAGATTCGGAGTTAAAGAGCCATCTGGTTGGCAAGAAAATCTGGGAAAGTACAGTAAGATCAATGCTACGTCCATTAGCTACCTTTAGAGCGATTAACTATCAGTCTCTAGTTCAAGCCCTTCAAAACTACGACTATATGGAAAAGAAGAGTTTGGATCCGGAAGATCCTTTCTACCTGAGCGGGGAGAAGTGGCTGGATAGGAATCTCTTGAAGGAAATCATTGGAAATAACGCAGATAAACTCAAAAGAGACAGAAGAAAGGTCTTCGATGCTATTGGGTATTGGCAGAAAAGTGCGAAAGATGCGGACCGTGTCATTGATACCAGAAGAGACAACTATCAGAGGAACTGGCTCAGAGGTTTCTACGAACGGTTAGGTATGGCGACCTTGGCTGGAATCTTCTTGATCTTCCCGATGTGGTTGATGGTTTTGCATAATACCCTCTGGACGGCTTTGGTCTCTACGACGGTCTTTGTTGCTGTATTCGGAGTGCTAGCGGCGTGGTTTCTTGAAAGTTTTATGGAGGTTGTGTCGAGTACTGCTGCATATGCTGCTGTGCTTGTTGTTTTTGTAGGGTTGATTACTGAGATGAGCAACGAGTAACGAACAAGAGTCACAAGATGTTTGGAATAGGTGGATCCAGCGCTGGAATATCTGAGTGTGAGTGAGCAAGACTGCAAGGGTAAAAATTGAGAACCTTGATGATGTCCTACTTTGAGTAATTCGTCAGTTCAGCTCGCTTCTAGCGTTCAGCCTCGTGGGTCTACGGACGGAAATGAACCGCATAAAGCATTGAACTCATGCAGTAGGTGGAGATGATCTTCTCATAAGGATCTTATCAATCTGATAACCCGAGCGGAAGGTATCCGAGACGTCCAAGCCGATAAATTAGTACTCATACGTCTGTTCCTCCACTTGTCCCGTAGAAGAGGAAATGCAAGTTCATTTCCACTCCCTTTCACCAGTTATGGAAGTCAAACCGAAAACCCTCATAGTAGGCGCCGGTATCACCGGTCTTTCTACAGCATGGTGGCTCGACAAAGCAGGCTGGTCCACTATCATCATTGAGAGAGCACCAACGATCCGCAGCGGCGGGTATATGATGAGCTTGTCAGGTCGCTGTCTAGAAACGATCAAAGCAATGAGTCTATACGAAGATCTCAAAGCCATCTCATAGGATGTTGACAGGAATGTGCTTCACGATAACAAAGGCCGGGAACTGATCAGCTTCAATTACGAAGACGTTCACGGAGGTTTGGAGAGCTGTGCTGTTTGTCGAGGTGATTTGGCAGCTTTGCTAGCTGAAGCATTACCTGAGTTGGCTACTATCCGGTTCAATGAGGCGTTGGACAATGTCGTTGAGATTGAGGATGGGCTGAAAATCCGAGCGACTTTGAGAAGTGGCGAAATCGTGGAAGCAGATTTCTTGGTCGGTGCTGACGGGATCCGATCATCTGTTCGGAACATGCTCTGGAACGATGAGAGTTGCTTGGAAGACCTTGGACTTTGCTACGCGACATACGACGTCGAACAAAAAGAACCCCTCAAAGCGAACTGTGTCTCATTCAATAGTCTGGGCCATCTGGATATTCTTTACAGACTGCGGGATGATGGACTTGCGGCGCTTCACATATGGCGCGACGATGGCTCTGCACTACAAGACCGAGCTCTAGGATTTGGTCTCCTTCATAAGGTCATTCCTGGACCTCCTGATATAACCCAAGCCATCGATGTTGCCGAAAAGTCGGGCTCATCACCCATCATCGACAGCCTAACTCTTGTGAAACTATCCAGCTGGTCCAAAGGTCGTGTTCTCCTCCTCGGCGACTCAGCGCATTGTCTCACCCTCCTCTCAGGCCAAGGCGCAGGCGTAGCCCTTGTATCGGCTGAGATCTTAGGCAAAGAGCTGATAGCCACCGAGGATGTTTTACAGGCACTTACCTCTCATGAGAAGAAGCTTCGGCCGACGATTGAGAGGTTGCAGGATAGGAGCAAGAGGCTTGCTTCTACTTATATCCCAAAGAGTGCCTTTATGTACTACTTGGGAAATCTGCTTATGAGGTTTCTGCCGTATTCGTGGATTGTTTCCTGGCATTCAAGTGGTGTCGAGACGGATTTAATCAAGGAGGGAGATGGAGCTATAAGCAGTAAGGACAATACAGTCTGAATGCCACTGGTTATCTGGTAGTCTGCAGTCCCATAGATCTATAATTTCTCCCTCCCAAGCAAACGTATCAAAGAAACCTGGAGGTACCGACCAAGGTGGTGAAGCCATCAAAACGTTGTCCTTGGGAAAGCCATCCCTCATCCATTCGAATGGGGTATCTCTGTTGTCTCCCTAGGCTGAGTCTGTGATTTTGGCTGCTCACTAGGCACAAATCTATTTTCGGGTTCGCGCTGTGTTTCTGGAATCACTTCCGGGGGCTCTGCAATCCTTGGGAATTTCAGAACTCATTGAAGGAATAAATTGGGATGCAACTTCCCTACCATAGGAAAGGAGCTACTTCTTTGGAGCACCCACCGTTCCACTCAAGACAACACAGCGCCGGGGACAAGCGACGAAGACAGTCCCAAGCCGGAGATGAAGAAACCTCAGTTTATACAGTAGGACTACTTCGGGTTTGTTGGTGTTAATTCTGAGAAGATGCCCGCAATGCGTACTCAACAAAACAACACTTTTGATCACACAGCTCTACTTTGGAGAACAATGTTACGAAGCTGCCTACAGAGATCCTTGAGACGTAGCAAGGAGAGGCAGTACCATTAACCCGCGAAAAGGAAAATGAGGCATAGCCTACGAATGTGCCCGACCTAAACAGGGAGATTTGCTACAATAGGATATCTTTGTGGGAAGGACTAGGATATTAAAGATGGTGGAACAATGGAACCCACTACCAGATCTCATGAGATATTCTTTGGTCACCGGTATGCCCATTTGATGCAGTCAGTGGTTAGCTGGACACTCGAAGGACGCCTTGTTTGTCGTCTTATGGGCTGTAAGGCTTTTGGAACAGTGTTTACAAATCCTAGAAGTTTACGACTTCACTTACACCAAAACACACACTTTGTAAGCTAGACAGTACTAATACTCAGAATTGTCCACATTCTAATTGATTACCGGGAACTCGATGCCTCTGACATGATGGATTCTATAGAGAGTATTCCTTCAACGCCTGCAGCTGCGTTGACCACCGTGACACAACGCGAGCAATGGAACAGGATCTTATCACTTAGCTAATACCATGACACACCGGGCCACATCCGTCTCCGATTCCGACGATGCTGCAAAACAGGGCATCGACTCACCCCCCAAGATCCCGAGAAGACCCCTGACCCCGTTGCCTAATGGCTACGACATTATTGACCCTCTGGTACTGCCTGCGATGTTTGCGTAACACGGTATCATTGCAGATTTACAAGAAGAGAGGGAACAGAAAATGAAGTAGGCGTAAGAGGCTACGATCTAATAAAAGAGAGATGAGCCAATCCCGAAGAGAACAGGGAAGACGGACTTGGTAGGTGATATGTTGTTGAGCCTCAAGATAGTAAGGAGGAGAAAGTCTAAGGATATCATTTTCTAGGCTCTTTTGGCATCTAGCTCTTCTCTATAGCCCTGTTGATTCAACTCTCCCCAGGCCTGGATATGAACTACTGAGGTCGACTACGCAGAAGATCATCGATGACCTTACCAATAGCCAACACCTTCTCCTCCTCCAAATGCCTTCCAACGATCTGAATGTCCACCGGCAATTGATGCTTCGCCATCTCTTCCTTTCTCTCCTCCCAAAGCTTCTTACACCACTCATCTTTCTCATTCCTAGTCTCATGATCCCACTTCGCTTCGAGATCCTGCGGCTCAACTCTCCCCGCTGGGATCACTAAAGCCGTGTAGTCAAGCAGATTCCACACCTTGGTATATCCAACCCACTTGATACTATTATGCGGTACAGCGGCGTGTACCAGAGCAGGTGTTATGAGCGCATCTACTACTCGGCCAGTCTTTTCTGAGATGGCGCTGTTCCATTTCTCTAGGTAGGCTTGTTGGAGTTCGCGCTTGCGCTTGTTGAGTTGCCAATACTCAAAGACAGAAATGGCCTTCCCACGGTCGACGAGGGCCTGAACAGCGGGAATGATGGGTTCGCCTCCTACTTCTATATCGCGGCGGACGTCTTCGAGACCGTCGACGGTGAAGTAAGCGTCCATGACTTTGATGATCTCTGCGTGCCGGTCGGGGATCCATTCGATTACTTCATGTCCAGCAGATCGGAGTGCTGTGACTGCCTCTTCAAGTACCCGAGAGATGGTAGGATGAGGCTTCACGACTCCATCGTCGCGAAAAATGCCAATTGTCAACTTTCGATTGAGTACTTCGTCATAGGCATTTTGGCGCCAGGGAATAGGAACGCAACGACAGTCTTGGGTCCAAGGTTCTTGCAGTATTATCTCCTTTGTTACATCACGAATTGATGACATTGAGCGCGTAAGGGGACCGATTGATGAGGGGACGTGTTCCTGGCCGTCGGTTGTGACAGGTACACCGTAATAAGGCAGACGAGGGCTCTGCATCTTGTTAGACAAAATGGTCGAGGGAGTGGGAGACTTACACTGGGCTTAAAGCCATATAACCCCATCAAATGAGCTGGCATGCGAATACTACCACCCAAGTCCGATCCAAACCCTACAAGACTTCCTTGAGAATACAGAAGAGCCGATTCACCGCCTGTCGAACCTCCGGGTGTGTAACCAGGAATAATCGGGTTCTCGGTCAAGCCCCAAAGAGGGTTATCAGTCTCAGCCCACTAGATCCATTAGCTACCAGCATCTCTATACGGTCATGCGCACTTACCATGATACTCTGCGGAAGGTTTGTCTTGCAGATCACGACGGCACCCAGTTTCTTCAGGATGTTGACCAGAACTGCATCTTCAGAAGCTGGCCTAAAGGATTTGCCAGTGTAGCCTAGAGTCGTATCGTGGCCTTTGACGTTGAACTGGTCTTTCAAGCTAATTGGTATACCATGGAAGGGTCCTTTTGTCTTGCCTTCTTTGGAGTAGTACTGATCGAGTTCTCGGGCTTGAGCTAGAGCATCATTGAAGAGGATCTCAGTGAGGCTAAACTTCCGATCAATATGACTGCTTATACCAGATGTCTTTGAAATGACTTACCAGTTCGTCTGTACTTATGTTAGCATATGTTCACCGATTATCAGGAGCCTCAATCGACTTACTCTCTTGTGCGCCTCAATCGCGCTTACACATGACCATTTAGTACCTGTTAACAGAGTTGCGCCAATGTAACTCACCGTGAGATATACGCCCTCGTAACATCTTCTGTCGAATACTCGTTTTTCCTGATCTTCTCTGCCAACAAAGTAATATTGTCGATGCTCGTGATAGACCCATAGAGCTCCTTTCGCTGATCAGCATCGGACAACTCTGCCGAGACGAAAGCTGCGATATCTTCTGCTTGCTTCTGCCGCTTTTGAACAGCAACTTCTTCCCAGTTCTTAGTCGCCATATTAAGATCTTATAATATTCAATGTCGGAGAAAGTTGAATCGGTTTGTGTTCAATCGTTCAGGGACCGAAGTCGGGAGGGTGGTATTAGTCGGACGACCCCGCATATGCTCTTTCCCGAGAATGGCCTCCGGGTCAGACCCGATACCAAACCCGATTGAAGATCAACTAACGTTAACACCGACATCACTATCACCAACAATGTATTTACAGAATGCATAGGTGAATTTGTCTTAAGTGCCAGACCGCCAAATGTCAGGACTCCGTGCGCAATCGGGATCTCAATGTCACTTAACTCCGAAGATGGTACAGGTGAGTTAACAGCACCTGCAAGAACGTGCAATTGTCTGCAATGTCGACAGGAAAGGCATTAAGCTTGGGGAATGCTTGAGGGCTTCAGTGACATCATATCTTATTAGAGCGTGTAATTGATTTTCGTATAGCAGGCTTTCTGATAGGATACATTCCCAATCGGATCTGGAATAAGCCGTCTTACAAGTGAACGCCTCATCCGACTTATCCGAGTTGATGCTTTTAAGTGAACAAGACCCCTGCCAAGACTTTTGTAGAACAGGTCAAACACTCTATAATTCAATACGAAAATCATAATCACCACTCAATGTCATCTCTCAAAGTCTTAATCTGCGGCGGTGGTTGCGCCGGCCCAGCATTGGCCTTCTGGCTCGTCCGTCTAGGCCACCGGGTAACAATCGTCGAACGCTTCCCAGCCCTACGTGCAACAGGAGCTCAAATCGACTTCCGCGAACAAGGAATCCAAACCGTTAAACGCATGGGTCTTGACGAAGTCGTCCGTTCAAAGCTCGTTGACGAAGCAGGCGTGGGCTTCGTCGACTCCAGCGGTAAAGTCATCGGTACAATCATGGCCAACAAATCAGGCAAAGGCGCTCAATCCGTTACTTCAGAATACGAAATCATGAGAGGTGATCTTGTGAGAATCTTATATGATGCTACGAAGGATGATGTGGAGTATATCTTTGATAAGACTGTTGAGAGCTTTAAGCAGGATGATAAACAGGTTTATGCTTATTTCTCGGATGGGACTTCTGATACGTTTGATTTGTTGGTTGGGGCTGATGGACAGGGTTCGAGGATTCGAAGAGCGATTAATCCACCTGGTATGCCAGATCCTTATCGCCAACTTGGTCTTCACATGGCGTATTATTTCATTCCACGGGAGGAGGGCGATACGAATATCCGAAGGACATATTCTGCTTCAGAAGGAAGAATGATCTTTCGTCGAACACACAACTCAACTGAAACTCAAGTCTATCTCATCCTGAAAGATGATTCCCCTGAAACATCCGCCATTCATAAAGGAACCGTCAAACAACAGAAAGAATTCTGGTCCCAAAGATTCCGCAACGCAGGATGGCAAATCGACCGTTTCCTCAAAGGAATGCAAACTGCTCAAAACTTCTACTCTCAAGAGGTTGTCCAAGTACAAACTCCTATCTGGTCCAAGAACCGTGTCGTCCTCCTCGGCGACGCAGCACATTGCCCCTCACCCTTTAGCGGCATGGGTACTACAGCGAGTTTCGTAGGAGCATATATCCTAGCTGGGGAAATCAGTCGAAACCCTGATGATCTACCTTTGGCATTCGTGAACTACGATGACACGCTACGGCCGTTTATCGATGAGGTTCAGAATGTCAAGTTGAATGTTATCAAGACTTTTATACCAGATACGCAGTGGGGCGTTACTGTTTTGCAGTGGTTTGCTTGGCTGGTTTGTCTTTTGAGAATTCCGGCTTTGGTTTCGAGGTTTTCGAGTGAGGAGAAGGGAGGATGGCATTTGCCTCATTATCCGGAGTTGAATTATGAGAAGTGAGCTCATCATGGGGTTTCCACTTTGTATCATGATGGCTCCACTCAGTTGATGACGACGTTTGATATTGGATATCTTAATTTGAGGTTTTTGATATTGAGAGATCTTCTATAGCCAATTGACTAATCTATTGAGGAACCTCGACGTCCTTGCTAGTGTCAAGCTCCTCAAAACGTCTCAAGTCCATGGGCTTCTCAAGTAGAGGAATGACGTAAGGGTCGAAAGTCTTCCAGTAGGGGTTGTTAAGATGGTATTCCTGGCTCTGCACAACTAATCAGTACTTCACTTTCCTCTTGTAATTGGCATTACTTACGCTCTCTTGCTCGTAGCGCTCGACAATGGTAAAGGCGCGCTTGTCAGAGGTGGACTGCATAACGTGCCAAGACAGAGTCTCCTTGTCCTGGGAGTAGACGCGGCTAGCCTCGATCAGCTTGGCGGTGAGCTTCTTGAGGGACTCCTCATCGTCCTTGGCGTAGAGGTGAACGACAATTGTGTAGACCATTTTGAGTTGATGTGGATATAACGGTTCGGTTGGTGGTGCTGGTGGTTGTCGAGGAGGGGTTGAGGGTATATTGGTTTTATGGTTCTGGCTAGAAGTGGGGATCATGTGATCTCTCCACTGATATCGTCAGATGCGCGTTTGCCGCAGATGTCATTGAAAAAATTCATGAATCTATTTTACCTATTTCTACTTTACTTCTCATAGAAATCATGCATTTCTCATAATACACTTATCTGCTGCCATGGAGGTTGTGTTCAGTTGTCACTTGTCAGCTCCAGGGTATGAGATTTTCTATGACTGAGATCAACCATATGCATTACGACGCCGTCTCGGTTTCACATTATGTATGTGATAAGCTGGATACAACAGCTTTCTCGGTCAAAAGAAGACCTGAGAATTTACAGGCGACTTAAGCTTAATTACAAATGATCCGGATTGTTGGTACAAACTGTCACTCCAACTCCCTGAACCGTTGTGGCGGCGGAGTGACAATGTCAACCACGTTTTAAAGAACGCCGATCTCGAAAGTCTTCAATCATCTAGCTTACGAATACCGTTCCAGCTTACCGGACTCACGGACATACCGAGCAAGATTGCAAACATCAAGCTCCAGTTATCAAGTCAATGCAATTGCAACACTGTGTAACTGCTCAACCCACATCGTTAGGAGCTTCATCTCCTGTCAAACTTTTAAAAAGTCTAAGAAACTTCTTAGCTTCAGATACATCAACATGTCGTCATCTAGTGCAAAACAATCGTTGATTTGCCTTAAAAGATCCTCTGGAACCCGTATGGAAGCTTTTCTTAGCGCCGTCCCATCCCTGCATCGCGCCAAGGAAGATCTCTTCACGGATCCACCGCCTCACCGAGGATTGTATCCACCGGGAGCCTCACGGCAGTTCTCTCCTTATCAGTGGAGTCACAGGGTCAGGGGTGCTGTAATTCCGCTTCGGGTTTGTTTGGAATGAGCGCGAGAAAGGCCGGGTGCAAGACTTGTTTTGTTGTCATGAATCTGAAGCCATCGTGGCATCGAGATTGTTTGCTAGTTTCTCATGCCAACGGTTAGTGACGGGAATAGGAGTAGTATCGTATAACATCGTATAGTATAGCATCTCATCCATTGCTTTGCTTCTCGTGATGTCGGCATTCTGCAACTGTCGACTCAGAACAAAACAAAAGGTCATTGTCACTGCCCAACAAAAGATCACCATCAATGCAAATAGCCTCAATCGAACGACTGAATCCTTCAATCGCCTCACCAAGACTTCAGGATCGCGCGTATGGCATACGATGCTAGGGCATATCAGGGCGGAACAAAGGGATCCTCCCATGTCCTGACCCTTCCCTGACCCTCCCGGAGCCTCATGACAGATGCACTCAACACCTTGGCACTGGTACGCGAGTCAGACTCGGAGTCTTGATATCTACCGAGAAAGACGAGAAAAATCGCAGTGACGCAAAGGAAAAGGCATCACCGCTTTATACTTGGGCGACAAGTTCCACTATAGCTATATCTCCAACATTAAACGCCATGAAAACTCCAATCTCCCAGGTCTCAGACTCAGCTTCAGCACTGATAAAGAAATAAAGAGGATCAGATCTTCAATTAACGCCGAGATATCGGGCCCTTAAGACGTCATACCTTCTCGGACCGAGACCCACACTTCGGCGGACCGGCGCTCCCGGAGGCTCCGTCTGTCTTATTCCTTACCTGTAAGTCCGAAAAGGGACCGTTGGTGCAAAAAACATCGACAACTCTTCAAATGGCCACCAAGAAAAATGCAATTCATGATGATTAACTGTCAACTAGTCTTCTGGAAAAGAGGCAAATGTTCTAGTTCATCTTGCCCCTGAAGCTAATGCTAGAAGATCGTCACCTTTCATCTGGTCTTTAGTAACACGACTCAGAGATGGGAATGCAATGCCCACCGATACCTCGGCGGCTTCATGGTCGTATAGTGGACCAGAAGCACAAAACTCCACCGTACAACGGCCAGACAATGAAGAACGTGCGATGATAAGGCAAGTAGTCAAGGCAAGGCAATCGATGTCATCATACCAACACTAGCAAGGAAAAGACAAAGCATCGTCGTCCTTCTTATATCTCTTATCTCTTTCTTCCTCTGTTGAGTCAACAGTCACATCTCCCCTTTCCGTTATCACACATAACCCACACTTGGAGAGACATTGCCCACCATGTCTAATTACATCCCCTCATTCTCTGCCCCAAACTCCAGACCGGGCTCCCCTCTCCCCATAGGATCCCCCTCGGCCTCCAGACCGACCAGCTTCTACGCCAACTCCAGAGCAAACTCGTTTGTGGGAACGAGGAGAAACTCTGCTGCGCCGCCTACCTCCCGAAAGAACTCTGTGGCTCCCCCTTCGCGAAAGAACTCTACCGCTCAGCCTTCCTTGGCCAACAGTGAGGAGAAGAGCTCTTCCGACCCAGACTCTACAGATGTCGAGGTTCTGAAGAACGAAAAGGGTGAACCCCTTGCTGGACGTATCGTCGGTGGTAAATATGTCAACGACGAAAATGAGTCTATCGACCCGGAGTTTGGTGCTATCAAGACGGTCGACATTGACATGCCTCTTACTCTAACAGAGGTTGTCAAAGAGAATGGAAAGGAATACATCGTTCTGGGATTTGCTTCAGGAGATAAGGAGAACCCCTTCAACTGGAACCCTTGGTACAAGCGATCCATCTCTACTATCCTGAACCTGATGACTCTGTTCATCGGTCTTGCGACTACCGCTTACAGTTCTGGTATCGCGAGCATGTGTGAGGAACTCGATGCGCCCAACATCAAGGGCCAACTAGGTCTATTCACCTTCAACATCAGCTGTGCCATCGCACCCATGGTCCTCGCTCCTTTCTGTGAATTGGTCGGCCGAAAGGTTGTCTACGCCAGTTCATTCCTGTGCTTCTCGCTCCTCTTCATCGGCCTCGCCCTCGCCCAGGACATCAACACCATCATCGGACTCCGACTCCTCCTCGGTCTTTTCGGTTGCGTCGGTACCATTCTTGTCGGCGGTACTTTCGATGATATGTACGAGCCTCACCACCGAAGTCGCCCCATGGCCATGTTCTCTTGGGTCGCTATCTTTGGTACTGTCGCTGCTCCTATCTACGCTGGTTTCATCAACCAGTCTATCGGATGGCGATGGATTGAGGGTATTCAGGGCATTGCTAATGTTCCCCTTTTGCTCGTCATCTTCTTCTACTTCCCCGAGACCCGTGGTGGTGTCGCTCTTCACAAGCGCGCTAAGGCTCTCCGACAAGCTACCGGTGATGAGCGATATGTCTCTGCTGGCGATATCTTGACTCCCAGTCTGCAGGCTATGCTTAAGGCCAGTTCTGTCAAGGCTATTCACATGCTTGTAACTGAGCCTGTCGTCTTTGCTTTCGGTCTCTGGATTGCTTTCTGCTGGGCTGTTGTCTTCTTGTTCCTTTCGGTCATTCCCATCACATTCCAGGAGCACCACGGCTGGGGTGAGGGTGTCTCTGGTCTTCCTTACATCTCTCTCTGCATTGGTACCACCCTCGGTTGGTTGGCTCACCACTGGCAGATGCGCAAGTTCGACCGTCTCGTTGCCGACCCCGATGTCAAGGTCACCCCCGAAGCCCGTCTCTACGGTGCCATGTACGGAGCCATGTTCCTCCCCATCGGTCTCTTCATCTACAGCTTCACCCAATACTCCCACGTCTCTTGGGTTGGCCCTGCCATCGGTCTCGCTCCCATCGCTTTCGGTATCTACTTCGTTTTCGAGAGTACATACAGTTACACCGCCGACTGTTACGGTGAGAGCTCTTCGTCTGCCATTGCCGGACAGGGTCTTATGCGAAACACTCTCGGTGCTGTCACACCTCTTTTCGCCAACGCCTTCTTCCACAACGTTGGTAGCCAATACGCTGGTCTCATTCTTGCCTTGTTTGGTACTGTTCTGAGCTTGATTCCTTTCGTCATGTTCAAGTACGGATACAAGTTGCGAGCTCGCAGCAAGTTGGCTATTGAGATGTAAATGCACAATATGAACATAGCAGTTGGACAACTGCATAAAGATATACGAATTAGATAGCTACATGCTAGACATGATATAATAATACCACAAGAATTAAATTGTTATGAATACATCTCGCACCGCATATAAGTGAAGTTGTGCCAGGACAGATGTGACAAGCTAACTACGACTACTGGATAAGTGTATAGTACAAAAAATAGTGTTCTAAATGCTGGCATAAGTTGACAGGGAGTTACCAAATTGTTTCGTCCGTAATATATGAGCGGTCAAGCTCTCTGATACCATGATGTGTGAGCAGCGATAATTTCTCTCCTTCTTCACACCCTCTGGTGCCTGTTCTCATGGTGAAGCTTCGAGTCAGGCCGGAGGCGATGACTTCCATTCTTCTCTGCTACCCTTTCTTGGACACACGTACTCATGCCACTTCAACGGCAGAGTCCCTCTTGCCTGTAACGTTAACAGAGAGCATGACTCTAGCATTCATTTCCAATCCCACCCATAGACTCGCTTTGGGGGTGATAAAGAGACTGAGGAAGCTAAGTCCGCTGAGACAAGTAGCCAAGAGACAGAAGTGTTAAAGCCAGGACACAAAACGAGACCCGAAATCAGACGCAAGTAATGCACGCACGACGTTTGATAAACACTGAGACTTTAGTGTCTGTTCTTGACTGGGCAATTTATTACCGCAGATGATGAAATCTATGCCCCGCCGTTAATGATCTTGACCCCTATGCGTCGGCCGTCTCAACTGTCAACATAGGCATTGAATGCACTGTTCCGATAGTACACCTGGCCCCATCGTCGGTTTGCCTCGTAGAAACGAGTTGTTCTTAGATCCACTGAGCTGTATACTGCAGACCCGGCTTCTGGAAAGAGCAGAAGAGCACATCAAAAATGCTTTCTTCATCCTGTGGGGTAGTAGTACATATACCAAGAGTACAGTTCCACTTTCAACAATCCAATCACCAGCGACCGTGGTGTAGTGGTTAGCATTAACGCCTTCCAAGCGTTAGAGAGGGGTTCGATTCCCCTCGGTCGCATTTCTTTTTGTCTTTTTTGCCTTTTCTTTCTGCTCTATTGATTATATTATTCTTTTTGGCTTTTAAAAGAGATGATTGTGAAGCGTGGTGTTGTGGTCTTTGGATCAGTGATGATGCGTCTCCGCCTGAATCGGTGTGCATGTTTGGGAAGGAACTCAGGTAAACTTCTGGCGGCCAAACCCTCCTTCCCTTATTGTCATGGTGGAAGATAGGATGGGCCGTCCAACCAATGGATAATCGCTTTGAAGATACCCCATGGAACCTCTTTCCTAGGTATGGACGACTTTGTGAAGGTCTTCAGCTGGGTGAAGTCTGGTCTCATCTCGAAAGGGAGCGCGAAATCGGACAAACGAGTTCAGCGGTGTTGCAGAATCTATGTAGTTTCAGAGCTCGCGCTTAGGCGAACAACGGCGTCGTAAATCATCACTCACGTTGCTTGCCAGAGCTTAGGCTAGGTACACCGCGGCGTAGGCAATATCCCATTAGTTTGGTCTCAATTCCACAATACTGACCGAGTCGTGTGATCTGAGGGGTCAGATCAACCATTTGAACAGGGTCCTTCGTCAATTTGTGTTTGCCCATTCTTCTCAGCACAGGCACATTGAGCATGTCTTGCCTAAGCGGAGTGCGACGGCTAGTCTTGGCCGCGATGTCAAAAACGGAGTTGCCAAGTGTGTCGATGCTGCTACTGTTGTTTCTGTTGCTGATGTTGGTGTTGTTATTGTTATTGTTGCTGGTGTGGTTGTTGAAGACCAGTGAGTTCGAGTCGTGGGACTACTTAAATGGTAACTATTTGTCGTGAGCGTTGCTCGCTGGGTCCCGCCGAGGCTGTCCCCTATTTAGGATCGTAAAGCGGGTAGAACTCCGTTGTTGCTAAGCCGTTGGCGAGTATTGGAGGAAGATTTGGCGGTTGTTTGCTGTTGCGAGGCGAGGAGAGGGTGAGGCCTGTTGGGCCATGAGGGAATGGTGCAGAAAGTAGGACTCCATCGTAACGTGGACCTGAATCGGCATAAGTGATCTGATGAGATGCATGGACTGCTGAAGAGAAAACCCTCGTAACCGAGCTGGTTTCGTCCGAGTCCGACATCCTGAACGGATCGGACATTTAGGCCTCCATCATCTACAGAAACAAGCCCAACGGTACCCGCCTTGCATTTTCCCTTTTCACGCTGTCGGAATTTAAGAGTTTTATCGTAGCTTATCGGCTGTAAATTGTGTAGCAGAAAGCGTATGATGATAGTGGACAGATATACTTAGTTCTCTTCGCTTCGAAGATCTTTTGCTGCAAAGTAGGACTATGTGTGTGGGCATGCGGCCATGGGACCAGCTAGTTAATCCTACTTTCGATCACCCTTTGCTGGCTCTTGAGGCGCTACCTTAAAGTTTGTAGTAGATCTCGACGTGGATATGAAGATGGTGTGAACATCCACGCTATTATGCCGGACGATAGATGGACGATAGAGTAAAGATAAAGATGGCAGGTCTGTCCGGTAACAGAAAGTAACCACCGATTCATGGCCAAATGTCAAAGAGGAGGAATAATTCGAGCACTCTATGCCAGTACACAGAGTTGTTTGCGGTCTATCTCTGTTGTCCTGAAATTCTGATGACATATCATAACAACTCGGGCGGCGCAAGCGCTCCAGGCTCGACTTTCATCAACTATCAAATACTAGAATGGCTAGGATATACAAGTGCTCTATCCGCATCGTTCACCACCACGTCAGCTTCCTGGAGTTCCAAGTTACCGATTTACACATGGCTGATCCGAGGACCTGAAAGCTCCAAATGAATATTCTGAAATCCTGTTCCGTTTCCTGTATGCGGGACTGTATGAGTAAAGCTTATTTGTGTCGGTCTTCAACCTTGTTCTGTAGATTCTGGGGCTCTGGTTGTGGAGATTCGAACTTAGGCCGAGCACCTGCCAGGTGTATCGAATATCCGCGGTACAGGCGCAGATACATTTCGTCTCTGACGTTGAAGAATATGGGCTTGTGATATCGGTTGCAGTAGTATTTCATGGGAGGGGAAGCTAGAGAGATGGCATCATGGGCCCTCGAGTCTGGTGGCCGGCAGATACGACAGGTCTGGCACATCACACTCACAAATGGTAGCATCTAAAGTCCTTGCAAGCAGCTTGTTTTCATCGCGCTCTGACTGCTGCCAGCGGTTGATTCGCTATTAGGTATTCACGTATGGAAGTGATGAGGACGAATGGTCGTAATAGATGTTATTGATCAGGTGGTATTGCCGAGTCCAAAATTATCAAAATAATCCTGCAGAAAGCTCGGAGTCAACTGAGTGCCGCCCAAGGGAGAGTCCAATTCTGTTTGATGCCCTTTAGAAGTGCATTGACTACAGTTTAGCTCTTTCGAAAGTAGTGTTAGGAGCGGCAGTAAAGATGGCGATGAAATTTCCAAGTTGATCCAGCTTCTTGTCAAATTCATCAAATCTTTCGTCACATTTAGCTCCAATAGCCTGGAAAGAGTCTCTCAGCTGCTTGTCAAGTCCTTCAACTTTGGTGTCAATTCCTTTCAGTGTTTCCAGTGTTTTGCCAAGATTGGCGTCGATTTCTTCAACTTTTTCGATCGTCTTGTCAAGTTTGGCTGTAATCCCTTTAGTAGTTTCCAGTATCTTGCAAAGTTGGGTGTTAATTCCTTTAAGTCTGGTTTCAACACCTTGAACACCTTGAAGGATATTTTCAAGGCCTTGTTGGGAAGGGCGCACAGTAGTTTCGCGCATGGGATCGTTTGTGGTCGACATTTTGATTGATGGTGGTTGAGCGTGTGTAAAGCTGAAGATTCTTAGAGTAGAGAGTAATTATCTTCCCGTTTGTTGTCCGATCGCACGCATTTTATACTCAGCTGAAACCTTATATTAAGGCAAGACAAGGCAACAAAGGGTCTTGTGTAAACATTCGAGTCATATTGTTTGGAAAGAGTAATTCATGATGGAAAGTTTATCCCTGGTTGCCTAATTATGTACCTGTCATTAAGAAGCATGCTTCGAAATACTGCCCCAGTGCTACTTTTTGTAGTCTGCTATTGACACATGTGGTGATAAGATGCCCGGCGATGCGTGCTTAATAAAATAACATTTCTGATCCCACGACCTATCATTTGACAGTTATCTTTTAGGATTAACTTTATCCTCATCAAGGACCGAACCAAGGTTATCGTGAGTCATCGCCTCAGTGCTAAGATGGCGAGCTTCGGGGAATCAGAACAGTTGGTGTGAATTGATGAAACCTTCAAATGACTCAAAAAGGCCATGAGACTGAAAGCTCGAGGGGAGGAAACACTTGATCACCGTCCAACAGTTCTCGAGCTACCCGATGCTTGTCGACCTTTGGCTAGGGAGACAAGCCCTCGAGATGACCATGCGCTGACACCTGATAGTCGGTGTTATTGAGCAACGAGATGAGGATCTAATAGCCCATCTCGTCAGATGAAAGAAGCGCTTAGGCACAAACAAGAACTGGATTTCTGAGCGGGCAATTGTCGTTAATCGGCTCCAGAATCGATATTTGATCATCTAAGTCGATAGAAGCCCGACATAATTGTCTTCCAAGGCGCGGAGCTCCAAGACAGTGGCCTCTAGCATGAAGGGACTACATTGCTTCTTCCCTTCGACTATCGACAACCAATTCATTTGATACTTTGATCAAGCTTAGATACTGGTCTTTGTGTTCAACAACAAATGCAAACAAGATATAGCCATTGAGTATAGTGAACGGCTTAGCATAGTTGAACGGTGTATTGTCATTGAACAACCCTTCAAGACCAAGCCCCCGCATGCCATCACTGAGTTTGGTCAGGAGTATAGACCATAGAGTTTGCACAAGGAGGCAGCCCAGAGGAAATAGAATGACTACAAGAGAGACCTGTTCAACGTGGGCACATTGATCAACATGAAGTTTCCTGAACACATCGAAAGTCCACCGGATCGCCACTAATGAAACCCTAGTGATACTAAAGGATCCAAGGCTGATACGCCCTACTGAGCAGAAGAATGAAGATCCTCGGGCGACAAAGTAAGTAGCCCAACTGCCGGGCTCAATTGGCATGAAGTTACTAGAGCGTTTCGTCGTCTTTGCTCAGCTTTTCCTGGTATCTTGACCAATAACGCTATATCCGCCCAGTTACCGTGTCAAGTCCGCCACAATGAAGCTAGTTCGCCAAGCCTTCCTCGGGCAAAAAATAAAAAGGATGCCTGATCGAGGCTAAACGTCGTGCATGCTTCTAGAAGGATAGACAATTGCACAGCCTCATAGACGGTCTGTGAGGAGAGGCAATACTTGTGATCGGAGATGGGATGTTTTTGACGCTGCCAAGGGGTTTAGAGTAAAGGAGAGGAATATGAGAGGTTTATCGGAGACTTCCTAATAAGATTGCTTTCCCCACGTGGTTCTTGCACAGCCGCATCAAAATTCTGTCTTTTCTTGGACATATTTCCCTTCCTCTGTAGGATACAACATCCTTTTCGTAGCGGACTTTGGTGATTCAGCCCTCGTCTGGAGACTAAATGACTCCTATTTTAAGATGCATTCCAGAAAGTAGCACAATTCCATCTGTTCAGGTATCAGCCACAGGCGGACTTTGAGCGTATTGAAAGTGCAATCTGCCTCAGTGACAGCCTTGCTCCACCCACTTCAGGGATCTGCACCAATTAGAGGTCAGTTTCTTATGCACTGCAAGCTTAAGTGCGCTAAGCTTAATACGCCCATGCCAAGCAAGGGTCCTCTATGTCACTGACCCATGCCTTTCTGCACAGGCTCTGCACAGGCATGTTTTACCCTACCCAGACAATGGGTTATGGGCATCATACCGACCTCAATTCAGTGGACCACCAAGGCTGAGTCGGACTCTCATTAATATTCAAGTCCCATGATTGATAGAGATAGACTCTTAGTGGCCAATTCATCTAAGCCACAGCCGTAGGGCTGCTCAATCGAGAATGCAAAAAGCATATGTACCGATTCGGTCATGTACTAGATTGGTTTCGGAACGTCATAACACTAACTCAGTGTGCTGTGCCTTGCCTTGACTCCCCCAGTTTTGTGATGGAGGTTGGGTCCGTCATTTCACATTCAGCTGTCAGCGCCAAAAACGCCCGGCCCAACAGTTATGTCACCGGGGGCTTCAATCCTGCATTTCATGTCAAATACATAAAGATACGATTGTCCCACGTTTGTTTCGCTCTCTCTTTTTTCTGTTTGTCCATCAGAAAGGATTCAAACGAATTACCTAAACCGGCCTCACTGTGACCTCAGCCAAGACAATACTCGACCTTGCTCTTAGTGGCCGATCACATCACATCACACTCCAATCCTTCTGGAAGCTCAGCGCTACATCATTGATTTTTTTAAATCCGCTATTCGCCCCTGCTCTGCTCTGGGCGCATCATCATTCATCGATCATACATTTGACCCTGTGATCTTGTCCTCCAGCTCTTGTTAGCCCAGACTTTCGTCAGACCTTTACTTAGTCGGACGCATTGATCAATCCCTGACGCCTTGTGGATCCTTACACTGCGCACTGCAACCAAAAGATCCCCGTCATCAATCTTACAAACCATCATCTCGGGTATTAAACCTTGGAACTGCCCACTTTGACCTTTGATCCCAATCAAATCACCTCCAAACTCGAACGAACTTTTTGGTTTTATCGTCAACGTTTGGATTATTAGAAACAAGACTTGTCAAGCGTCTTGATACATACACGCGACAACTTTTTGTTATAAACGACCTACCTCCGAATAATCACAAAATGAGAATCGATCTCGCAGTCGTGTTATTCACGCTCTTCTCCTCGACGGTCGCTCAGGCCATCGATGGACCCCGTCACATCAAGCGCGTCGATTCAACCCCCAACACCGACGAGCACGAGCTGTTCAAGCGTCGTGGCGGCGGTGGAGGTGGTGGTCGCGGAGGCGGTGGTGGAAGCAGAGGTGGGAGTTCCCGTGGAGGCAGCAGCGGCAGTCGCGGCGGCTCAAGTGGCAGCGGCGGCAGCAGCGGCGGTAGTCGTGGTAGTTCATCAGGATCAGGCTCATCTCGTAATTCAGGTTCAGGTTCAGGATCCCGAGGCGGCGGCGGCTCTGGCGGCGGTGGTCGTGTCCCTGCCCGAGGCCCCCAGCCCAGCTATGCCGGCGGTCGATACCCTGGCGGTGCTTCAAGACCCTACTCTTCCGGAAGCAGATCTCCCGGCGGCATCTTGCCTTTTGCCCTAGTCGGTGGTGCTCTGGCTTTCTGGCCCGGTGTTTGGCTGTACGGCGCGTACATGTACCCTTACAACCACAACTACCGATACTACAACGAGACAAGCGAGGAGGAAGAGGAGCGCCCTATTCTTTGCGCATGCTCCAGGGAAGCATCGTGCGGATGCGACGAGGACGACAACAAGAACGCCACTGAACTCTACGACCAGCTTATCGGAAACGGCAGCTACGAAGCTCTCAACAAGTCTATCGTCGACGTTGCAGAAGTTAACGGTACAACGACAATTCTCATCAATGGTACTCTCCCCGAGGATACTCAACTTCCCGAAGACGAAGATTCCTCCGATAGCGCTGCAGCTCGAACAATGATCGAGGCCATGGGTTACTGGCCCGCAGCAGCCGCCGTCATGGCAGCTGTTTTTGTCGCTTAATGATTGTCTGACGACATTGTGTGTATAACCTTCTTGTATGCTTACGACTTTATATGTTTACGACTTCTTGGGAGGATAATGCGTTAATTTTTGGGATCTACGGCGTTCTCCCGGCGTCGATACCCGTTGAAATTGGGTGGTTATTTTGTGTTTTCTAGAGGGCGGCTTACAAAACTGTTGCCCATTCTATTATTTGGATACCAACATACACTGTCTCACTACTACACGCACCTCGTTAGAGTGCTGATTAGAAACAAAATGTTTCCACATTCAAGCTTACCATCACATCAACCTTTGTAATTGTGATTTGACGTGCTTCGCCGCACTAATAAAATGCCTCCAATGATATTCAACACATCGTTACAATTGTCATGCCACATCACGACCTAATCTAGCTCAATGCATTGGCAATGTCTGTATGGTGCCACGATACATTAACGAAACTATGATAATGTCTACCGTTCAAAAGTTCATAGTGACGATTCTGATGATATAAAAGTTTGGGGGCCAAAAATATGGTTGCGGAAATGCGGAAAGAATGCAGATCTCTGCAAGGCTGCCCTGTTTAACACCACCCAATTAGGTATTGACCGTATGATTGCAGTTTGCTTCTGCGTCATGTCGCTTTAAACTCCGAGTTCCAGTTTCCCTGTTGCATAAGGTATCCAGCGACATGTTGGTATCGCAATGCTGACCATTTTCGCTTAGGGTCGCTCCATGAACACCAATTCTAGGAAGGATTGACAAGACAACAATTGGACCTCAATTGTAGGACTTTTAACCTCGCATACCGCAGTGAGGTAATCTTACGTTCAACATAATGCAAGAAGCAGTGCCTGCCAAGTTTTGAGGCTATTGGAGCTGGGCGCTGTTGTACAAACCTGTCAACGTGCATGAGCTTATTCTTGACATAATTGTCACATTTTCACGAGATGCGCACTTACATGGACTCGATCTCCAAGAAGGAATTGAGTTGTGGCGCAGTTCGCAAGGCTGAAAGAGACAATTGAAGCATGAGAGCAAGTCATCCTGGTTGGAATCTGGTGTTGATGAACGTGATAATCAGATATTGTATGATATTGAGATCCAAATGATCAATGTCGCAGTTCTAGATACCCAAGTCTAATAGCAAACCTTTATCCTCTAACCAACTTTTTCATATAATTACATTTTCTCCAACTTCAAACACTTAACCTACAATTACTCCTTCTTCCCCTTGCCCTTCTTAGGCACTCTGAAAGTCCAGTAAATACCAAAAGCTGCCAAAACATTAAACACACAAAACGCCCACAAGATGCCAAAGTCCCTCCATCTGTTTCCATAGCTCATACTCTTGTCCTCCAAAAACCGGTTGGTATCAGAGATCGGACAGTACTGACACTCGCTCGCACCACTATTAGCGAGATATCCGTCCATCTCAGAGATGTAGCTCTTCATGTACTCCCCGCAGGTTGATCCGTTGGGGGCGCTGAAGGTGATCAATTCATTGGACTCGCAGCCTGCGTTGGCGTTGGCCATGGACGTGCCCATCAGACCTTCTACTACATAAGTAAACGGCGAGGCGCGGTACATGAAGATCCAGAAACCAGGAAGTTCCTCTGGTGTTGCAAGGATACTATAGAAGAGTCAGTTATAGATCGTGGATTGTGAGAATAGTAACTTACCCGCAGAAGGAAAACATCATGATCATGAGTAAAGTGACAAGTCCACCCGCAACTTCCGCAGTATCAAATCCAGCAATGATCATATGCGCAAACGTACTTGTGAACATGAAAAACATCCACACGAACAAAAACACAGTGACATTGCGAGAATGCGTCGCATCGGTTTCGTAGCCATTGCGGTACATGCCAGTTGGGAAATACCAGCATATAAACGAAAGCACAGCCATGAGCTACCCCTTGTTAGTAATTTGTCTCAGACGATGTAAAGGATGTGCTTACTGAGTTCCATGCAAGTTCTACCAAAACTGTCGATACCATGAATGCTTTCCAAGAGTATGTCTTTGATGGTCGTTCGCGTGCTTCGTACATGGTCCGTTGGGCGACGTAGTCAGGGAGCATTTGCTGGACGACTTGGGTGAAAATTGTGAGGAAGATGAGAATGCCGAACATTTGGTTTTGAAGACCTCGCTCAGTGTTTTCTCCATTGAGGAACGAAATACCGATGAAAAGCGACTGTTCAAGTTAATATATGGGCTTATTGAAGGGTTGAAGGGGACTTACTGCTCCGGCAGATAGGATGACCTTAGAGTAGATGTATCCAGGGCTTCTCCAGTATTGCTGAAACAAACGCTTGGTAACTTGCCAGTACTGGATAGAAGACGTAGCAGCAAACTCATTGTACATCATACCATCGTCCACCTTAGCTCGAGCGTTTCCTTCGATGGCAAGTCTCTCAAGCTCCTGCTGAACAAGTTCACGCTCCCTCGAATGACTCCAAACTTCAGGCCAGTCGACTTCCGTATGTGCACCAGGCGCAGCACCAATGACCTCAAGCATGTACTCAGCAGGGTTGACACCAGCGGGACACTGAGGTGCTCCGTTGCGAACAAAGTAGTCCACCAGAACCTTGGAGTTCTTGCCAATGTCACCAAAGTAAATGGTCTTGCCACGAGATAGCAAGAGAAGACGGTCGAAGCGCTGGAATAGCATGGCGGAAGGTTGATGAATAGTGCAAAGAATAGCTTGGCCGTTGTTGGTCAACTTCTGCATCAAGTTGCAAATGGACCAACTGGTTTGACTATCAAGTCCAGACGTAGGCTCATCTAAGAACAGCAACAGCTGCGGTCTCGCAGCCAGCTCAACACCGATAGTAAGGCGCTTCCGTTGTTCCACGTTGAGGCCTTCGCCTGGCACACCGATGATGGCGTCAGAGTACTCCTGCATATCAAGAAGACTGATCACAGTGTCCACATAGTCGAGCTTCTCCTGGCGTGTGTAGTGGGCTGGCTGTCGAAGAAGGGCGCTGAAGTTGAGGGCTTCGCGGACTGTGGAAGTGTGGACGTGAAGGTCTTGCTGTTGGACGTAGCCGGTTTTGCGCTGGAAGGATTCGTCGCGAAGGGCACCGTCGACGAGCATTTCGCCAGTTACGACACCCATTGTGACTCGACTTGCTAGAACATCCAACAAAGTAGTCTTGCCGGCACCTGAAGATCCCTGTTTCAACGTTAGTGATTGTAAACTTAGGACAATAGATGACTTACCATTAGCGCAGTGAGAGTTCCTGGCTTCACCCAACCATCAACATGGTCCAAGATGCGACGCGTTTCCCCCTTAATCTTGACATCATAGCAGACGTTCTTCCAGTGGAATACAGAAGTCTGCTCTTCCACATCCGTGACCTCTTCAGTAGCTTCATTGCCACTTGCGGGCTGTGTACCAGCAACAGCACCAGATTCCTCGTCACCCAAGCCCTTGTTGGCATGCTTCTTCATCTCCTGACGTGTAAACACAAGAACCTCGCCCTTGGACCGCTCAGAAGCGATGGTCTCGGTGGCGATCAAGTGCAAGCCCATGAACAGAAGCGTGAACCCAACGACAGCTGCAAAGTTGCGCCACTTGTGCGCATCGAGGTAGCCGTAGGCCGAAGATAGGTATGCAGAGCCTCGAACAAAGCTCTCTCCAGGTACAGAGCCTTGAACCGCACAAGCTTGAGAAGACGACGAGATGTCGACGTACTCAGGGCCGCGGGGTACAAAGTCGGAGCAGTTGTACTGGTTTCCTCCAAATTCGTTGATGAAGAGAGCTTCGAGACCGTAGTAGGTCGGGTTGATCCAGCGGATCCAACCGAGCCAGACGGGCATGTACTGCGGTGGGATAGCGTAGCCGGTGTAGAGAGCGATGACAAGAAGCATAATAGAGGCACGGGCCAAAGCCGCGGCAATAGTCTTGGTGAGAGATGCGATAAGTCGGAAAAGCATCGAGAAACTCAGCGTCGTGATGAACGAGACCAAGAGAAAGAATAAGAAGTGTCCAGCATCTCGACGAAGATTGCCCATAAAGTACATGGTCGTATTGATCATGATGGCGTTGAATATCTTGTACGGTAAATCCACAACCATAGACGATAAAGCCTCAGCGCTCGGGTGGTACAGGGCATATCGAGCGTGTTTTTCGACAATGTTTCGTTTGGCGTAGAGGGTCATGATCTCCAAGACGTTGTTGTAAGCGTTCATGAGAAGGATGAAAAAGATGTATAAACCACGCTTGTTGAGTGCGGAAGTGTCTTCTGGAAGGTTGTAGAAGATACTGCTGATAACAAGAGACTCGACAAGATTACACAGCAAAAGCGTAATGGTCACGCTGGGATCAGCTTTGAGCATGACCCAGCTTCTTCCCAGAGTGAGGTTCATCTGCTCAACGTACGAAAGCGTAAATGGGGATTTGATACGCTGAGACTTGGCCTGGTCTCGTTTTCTTGAATCGACGAATTTCTCGAGGTGTTCGCCGTCAAAGGGGTGACGGGTGAGATACTCGTTCATTTCTGAGAGGAGATGTTGGCGATGTAGACTGTCTTTCCAGGCTTGGGCGAATTCACCGGGTGATCGAGGTGCTTTGGCTTCAAAGCCTTCGCGGATGATTCGTTCTTGGTGGCTTGTCATTGAGGTGAGGAAATCGGCTGTGGTTTGTTGTTCGGGGCAGACGAAGCCTAGTCCTTCGAAGTAGGCCTTTGCCTCGCCTGTTCTTCCAAAGAAGATCTGTCGTCCTTGGTACAGCACTAGTACCTTGTCAAACACCTGCGACAGTTAGTCAAGTCTCTGCTAGCATTCATGGTACTAACCTCGTAAGCATCTTGCGACGCCTGGTAGATAGCAACAGCAGAAGTACACCCCATTACATCAGCCTGCGTTCTCAAAGTCCGACAGAACTCCAACGCATTAGCACTATCGAGACCTCTTGTGCTATTATCCCAGCATTGTAGGGGCGAATAGCTCAAAGCTGCTTCAGCGATGGTCACACGCTTCCTCTCGCCTCCACTAACACCTCGCACAAAGTCATCTCCCACGCGAGTATTCTTAGTATGCGAGATACCAAACATCGCCATAGTGACATCTCGTAGATGCTCCGCGTATTCGCGTCGAGATATACCCTCGGGGATATTTTTGGGGCATCGGGCTCGAGCTGCAAAGTACAGCGTGTCGCCGACTGTAAGATGCGCAAAGTGATGATCAACTTCAGCTGTGTAGATCGCTTCGCCTCGAAACGCCGTTCGCATTTCTTCGGGACGAATACCGGAGTAGTTGAGTTCGGAGCCATTGTCGATGTGGAAGCCGTGGGTATCTCCGGCGATAGTCTTGAGGAATGTTGAACAGCCTGAGCCAGGTGGACCAAGCACAGCCAGCATCTCACCACTATGCACGACACCCTCGAGATTCTGCAAGATATCAACTCGCCGTTGCTTATTGTTCAACAATCTCTTGACCATATTCCCGGCTTCGAGGAATACATTTCCAACACTCTTCTGAAAATCAGTATCAGAACCAAATCCAAAGACATTCAGGTTCTGAAACGCAAAGCCAGTTGTCCTCGGAGGTTTTCCCTCAGAAGTATCAGTTCTCAGCCCATAGAATGCCTTTGCCCACTTCTTGGCGTTGAAGGTTGGGCTGCTGGGGTTCAAAGGTCCGTCTGCCTGGGGGAAGAGAGTTCCTGGTGCTGCGCTGGATCGCTTGGTGAGTTGGCGAGCAAGTTGCATTACCTCGTCGGTGTGAGGCTCTGGTTCGCCATCGCTCCAGGGAACTTCGGTGTTTCCGTCGATGTTTTTCTCGGTGTAGGCGTGTGTTGAGCATGTTGAGCCGTTGTCGTTGTGGTAGAATGGCTTGGGTGTACCAGCCCCAGAGCTTGGCTGGGAGCTGGATGCCATTGTGAAGTGTTGAAACTCAAGTCAAGTGATTCCAGTTGACTATAGTAGTATCATAAGATAGGTATATTATGATGAATAAACAAGACTGCAGAAGAGAGTCTTCAGGGAAGTCAGTTGTGAAAGAGAGCACAGTTTGGCTCAACCCTCCTCCTCAAGTCAGCGATCAAAGTATTTATTAAAAGTCCAAGTCCCCAAGACAAAGAGATCTTCTCCATGCCTGCACCCTCTCAGCCCCATCCGTTCTCTAAAGTCCCTTGGCATTTTCCACTTACACAACTACTTAGTCTATTAAGTGGATTGAGGCTCTTCGGACTTTCGGACCCCGGATGTCCTAAGCGGGCCTTCGGACTTTTCTTCTCTTATAACTGCCATAATAGGTAAGTGGCGTCCCCTGTCTTCTTTTGAGTCAAATCCCCAAAACCTGGACAATGGCCATCAAGAGTCCGTTCCTGCGTTCTCGTTACCCCTGTGGCTGGGCAAGGACAGAAATCTTGATATTGTTCTCCTCCCAAACTTAATTTTATGTGCCGGAAGTCCTTTTCTCCATACATCATCGATCTTGAGCGCGGGGGTAGATAACACCGAATCTCCGCTCCCTCATCCAACTTCTACTATTACTTCATACTCGGTTCCTGACGGACTTTTGCTTCGTTTATCTTTGAGGTTTTTTGGCATTATGTCAGCCTCTGGCGTAAGCGCCTCAGATCAAATCAACCGTCTCTCTGTGAGCTTTCACCGTCTTGTCAATGACAACGCATCTGACGTGATCCAAGTGTACAAGATGCAAAGAACGCAAGGTCAGATGCAGCCGTGTTATGCCAACATGTACGCGGTGCGAGAATCAGGACCTTGAGTGTGTGTATCCTATTCGGGCAAAGAGGAGATCTGCGCGTCCAGTGATCGATCCAGCCCTGTGAGTAATACCATTCAGCTCAACCAATTAGTGACTAACACTCGCTTCAGCTCTTCAGACAGCCCAAATGCTGCTCTTAACACAATTCTTGATCGGCTGCAACGTCTCGAGGCGCAAACCGTTACTGGTGCAGCCATCCCAACTACTTCTGTTGGTGGCTCTGAAGCCTCTTCGTCACCAGTTGCATACAGCACATCCAACGGTCATGAGCCCAGTGCAGTGACACCCCGTAATGGCTCGAGTGTATTGACGCCTCAAAATGACAGTCGTATTATGGACGCTATGACTGTGCTGAAGGATGCAGTTGATCATGTCCAAGAATTGAGGAAACGGTCCTTTGGTCCCAGCGTCATAACCAATCCGATCAATATTCCCACGGACCTGGCTAAGAGATGGGTCGCAAGTAAGTGCCTCGTTTCCAATCATTGGATATCGTCTAACCATTGTAGACTTCTTCGAGTACATGCCTTCCTGCATGTTTGTTAGTTTCGTCGACAGGCGTGTCCTCGAACTGCTTCCAGAGATCACCAATCTACCGCACATCCATGTTGATCCGGTAATGCTGGTGATATACTATAGTATTATGTATCACGGGTGCAGTCTAAGAGCGAGCAACATTACTTCGCATGAAAGTCATGCTTACATGAATGCGAGTTATTTGGGATGTCTCCGTGCGGTCCCGAGTTGGGAGCGAGAAGCATCAGGAACAATGACAGATGTTATTGCCGCGCTTTACACAGTAAGTCTTAACTCCACATCCACTATGGCACTTTCTTACATGGCCCTAGAGTCGTGTGGCTGCTGAGTTCTTCGACTACGATCTCGCCTGGCGATCCTTCAAATATGCTTGCGAATACTGTCAAGTCCTCAATCTACACAAACTAGACTCAGACGAAAACAACACCTTTTTCAGCGACGCCACATGCGATGATGAAAGAAGAGGATTTTGGGAAGTTATCCAGATCGATCTCTTCTACCGACTCATCCTCAACACTCCTCCTGCCATCACGAATAATCCCTGGAAGGTCAATTTACCTTGGTTAGATCTCGACTCGGGAACTGTTCCGCAGGGCATGCAGACGATCACCTTCTTGGCAAGTTCACGAGTCACTCTTCTCATCGCTAGGTTCTTCGCTATGCTGGATGACCCAACGAACGCGACCAAGTCTGATATCGTTGGCAAGACTGAGGATCTCTGTCGGGAGATGCAGGAGATCTTTGCTGAATGGCAACTAGTAAGTCTATACACCTTCTCTTAAGTACTTCTGCTAATCGCGCACAAGAATGAATGGTTGGAAGCAGTCCAAGACAATGAAAAGGATATCTGGGTAGTAGCCGACGTCATATTAACAGGCTACACCTCCATAATCTACATGTTTCGCAAAATGGCTCTTCTCGACTCTAATTCCCCACGTCCACCAACAACCGACCTAGACATTCCAGATTCTCCCATCGTCGAAGATGCAGCTCGACGACTCATCACTGCGCTCAACCGCTTATTGGAGATTTATCCTTATGGAGTTACAATGACGGCATTATTTGGTGCATACCGATGTTTCGTCGCTTTCGCTTATCTGGCTAATACTATACTTCGTGCTGAAGATCCACGGGTTTATATAGAGGATATCAGAGCGCTTGAGAGATTGACTGACGTCTCGGCGGAGCTTTGTAGAGGGAATGCGGATGTTGTGCCGTTGGTGAAGGCAATGCAGAATATTACGGCGGAAATACGCAAGAAGTTATAGAAGCTGGCCCAGGATGAAAGTTTCGGCTTTCACATATATGTATACATTGCGAAGCACATTGAGTAATGATTGTAAAGGTTTTTAATAACTTGGATTTCTCCGAGCTATCATCTTATCAACTCAAATGGGTAGGGAAATCTCCTTTGGCAGCATGTTCCGTCGCCCACTTCCAAGCATGCCTCTCAAGGTCATCCCACGTAATGGTTGGCCCATCGGCATAAATCTCCTCCTGTCCTTCATGGCTGTCGCACACTTTGTCTTGATTATGCACCCATTCTTGTTTGACTTGTTGGATCTCGAGGCAGTTGGCGGTTTGCTTGAGACGGTGCTGATGGCAGTGTTCTTTGAGACCTAGGGTGTAGCAGTTGCACTTGAAGAGGAAGATTTCCCAATGGCACATTTTGATAGTTGTGTTTTGGATACGTTAGTGAGAAACAGATTGGTAAAGTGTTTGGATATGCGAATTGGAGCCGAGTCTGGTAGAGATTTGGATTTAACTGTTGGTATAAGCGAACAGAAAGGATATCTCGTCTAAAGTAGCCGTCTTTATACCCTTGAGGCTTCACTGTATTAGCTTGTTTGTTGTAAACTTCATCATACGCCGAAGATAATACAATACTGCGGTTTGCTAATGGGGCACGTGGAAGGGGTGAAGTTTGTCGACATTTGATATCTTTGACGGCAAACTCTTATCTCCGCGGTCCTCTCTGATATCGTGAGTCTTGGTACAACGTTTCTTATCTTTTTGTTTATACTTTATCTTTCAAATGTTTGCCACGGTTGGCCTTGGGCATGAACTTTTAGAAAATTGTTGTGACTGCCCAGGAACACGACAACTTAGCAAACTCACCATATCGGAGCCTCGTGATGTTATTTTCTTTAACTTATAACATATCATAGCTTGAGTGATAATTCTTTACATTCCTTGCATATAACTAAGATGTTGTTTTGTCGCTTTGATTCCTGATAGGTTAATACTTGATGAGCATTACGACTTCTGTACGATCCTAGTGCTACTCTTCCAAGCATTATGGAGATTTGTTTGTTTTTTAAAGTCGGAGAATATCGATTGTTGGGTACTTGGGATGGCTTCGCTGGTTATTGAGGTTTTGATATGGGACATGGTTGTCCCAACTTATTTGTCTCATTCGAGATTTGCCACAAACTGATGGGTCCCGCCGGTATAACGGTTCCGTTACCCATAGAGGAACTCTAGCTGGAACGTTTCATCAAGAATACTGAATTGAATACGAACTAAGTAAAAACTTATATTGTAAAAGGACAACAATTGAACCTACACCGTTAATTATCATCAATTACATGTTGTATAGCAGCTATCCAATGGCCTACCCTAAGCTTACCACACAGCATCTCAGACTCTGTGAAGATGTCATTGCAAACTCTCACCTACACATATAAATAATTATGAGCTCATAAACCTGACTACATATTAAAAGCCAATTGAGCAAGTATCGAAGCGGTCTAGAATAAATATTAATTAATACATAGATAGTGGTTGAAGAACTATGTCCCCACTTTCACAAGTGAACGAGTGATAGCCTCCCTAATTGAACTTTTCAGGGGCTTCCCCTAGCTTGACCCCCTGCAGACATGGGAGCTAAGCCCCATGCCTCGGATCGATGTTCCAGGTCTGGTCCCTTTTTCTCAACACCACTTCACTTTCCACCCCACGAAAGGCGAAGGCCACGACATCTCCAATTTCTTACACGTGCGACATTTGCATCTCTCTTCCTTCTTACACTCGCTTTTTTCTGCCTATTCGATCGTATTAATTGGCTTCAATCATTCGTCTATCTAAACTTCAACCCCGCCATGACCTGAGAAGCCCGTCGCATTCATACCGCCGCCATCATGGGTCCCCTAGCTTTCCTCAGCAAGCTCTACGATCATGACACTCTCGACACCCGCTTTACCACGTCCTCTTCTACTCCCTACCAGAAGGTTATCGAAGTGCGGTTGGATCCTAGTATAAAGAAGGAGTCTGCCTCAAAAGAGAAGAGCCGAGCGCAACCGTCGAAATGGAATACTCCCGAGTTCTACCTTTACTACATTGTCTTTGCTTTTGCCATCCCGTATATGTTCTGGATCACATATGATGTTTCGCGAGGTACGTTGCTGGCTTGGTCGCATCTTATGATCCAATAGCTAACATCTGTTAGAAACCGACCCCCGATACCCCAAGTTCCAGAAATGGCTATCTCCTGGCTGGATTCCAGGACGCCAGATCGACATTTCCGATTCGCAATATGGCTCATTCCGCGAGAACTTGCCCTACATGGGCTCCCTTCTTCTTTTCCATCCGCTGTTGAGGAAAGCCTGGAACAAGTTCGCCCCACTCCCCGAAAGAAGCCAAGGAGGACGCCGCCGACTCGATCAACGAGCATCCTTCGATTTCCTGTTCGCATTCATATTTCTGTTCGTTCTGCACGGCCTCTCAGCGTTCAAGATCTTCTTCATCCTTTGGTTAAACTTCCAGCTGGCCACCAAGCTTCCGCGACGATATGTTCCCGCTGCTACCTGGATCTTCAACATCGCAATCCTATTTGCCAATGAGTTGACTGAGGGATGGAGGTTCCGGGTCATGTTTAGCTATATCTCACCCCCAGTCATGGGCTGGTATAAGGGCAGGGAGAGGTTGCTGAACTCGAACCTGATGAACCTAGGAGCCAGGATGGATGGTACTTTCCAAGGAATTCTGGCACGGTGGGAGGTTCTCTTCAACATTACCATTCTACGTCTTGTTAGCTTTAACTTGGACTACTACTGGAGTATCGACCGCGGTAACTCAAATGCACTCGAGGTAAGCTATTTTCTTGTTTAGGCGTGGGAATTATTTCTGATCATGCTCTGATGCTTAAAGAAGAAGCAACTGGATCCAGCAAACCTCTCCGAAAGAGATCGTGTCAGCATATCCGCTGAACCCCGAGACTTCACGTTTCGCAACTACGTGGGCTATGCTATTTATGCGCCTCTTTACCTGACAGGACCTATCATCACGTTCAACGACTATATCTCACAATGCAAGTACCGAGCTGCCAGCATTGAGACAAACCGTACCGTTCGTTACGGTATTCGTTTCGTTTTGGTGTTACTGTCCATGGAGGTAATTCTGCACTACGACTGGGTCAACGCAATCAGCAAGGGAAAGCCTGATTGGAGTTCCTACACAGCAGCACAACTATCTATGTTGTCATTCATGAACCTTCACATCATCTGGCTCAAGCTCCTGCTTCCCTGGCGAATGTTCCGACTCTGGTCATTGGTTGATGGAATTGACCCGCCTGAGAACATGGTACGATGTGTGAGCAACAACTACAGCACACAGCTCTTCTGGCGAGCGTGGCACCGCTCGTACAACCGCTGGTTGATCAGGTACATTTACATACCCCTGGGAGGTTCATCGTTCCGCAACTGGCGAACTACCGCGCGATCTATTGTCACGTTCCTTATGGTGTTTACCTTTGTGGCACTATGGCACGACATTCAGCTTCGTCTGCTGATTTGGGGCTGGTTGATTGTGCTGTTCATGGTACCCGAGTGGACTGCTGCTGCTCTGTTCCCCAAGAGCAAGTGGGAGCATCGACCTACAGCGTACCGTATGCTGTGCTGCGTCGGAAGCGTGGGTAACGTTCTCATGATGATTTCCGCCAATTTGGTTGGGTTTGCTGTTGGATTAGATGGATTGCAAAGCATCATTCAGAGCATTATGCATGACTGGTCAGGTATGTCTTGCTCACGAAGAACACTTGTGAGAGGATAACACTAACATCAGCAGGACTCATTTTCCTTGTTACAGCTTGCTCTTGTCTATTTGTTGGTATTCAGGTCATGTTTGAGATTCGTGAGTCCGAGAAGCGACGTGGAATTTTGGTCAAGTGCTAGAAGGAGTTGGAATAGCAGTGGCAGCTGCTTCACACCGTACATACATTGTGATACTGTTACAAGGATAAAACTATAGAAGGGGGCCATATGAATAGTCATGCAGTATGAAACATAAAGCTTCAATTATAAAGCATTACTGGAACCTTGTGTCCCTAGGTGCCCAGGTAACGGAAGAATTATCCTCCAAGTGCTAGTTTAAGCTAGCATAAAGTGACCAAATTATTTCGTCTCTTATAATGTTCTTATGATAGATACCCTGAAGTCTGTGTCCCCCAACTCTTCTTTCATTAGTGATTATGTGATTAACCAGTATAGACATTCTGATATCCTCCTCTAACAAAGGGTATCTCTTAAAAACGCTTCAGTATGCAAGAAATCCCCATGCATCACACTTGACACATCCAATGCTATCGTGACGACAGACAGACTCAGTAGACCCTCTCCTGGGCCTCGTGCCTTTCTCCAGCGGCGTACTTGTTGCCAGAAGCCAACTCAACATCATTGGTATCCGCGGGCTGACTGGCAAACTTGCCGTCCATACCGAGCTTAGTCTCCGTCAGCCAGCGGCGGACCCAGATGATACACCAGACAAGACAGAAGATGATGATAATGGCGACCAATATGCCAAAGATATATCCTGCAACAATGCCCCGTCCGCCAACATCATTGTGGTCGAGGAAGTTATATACATAGAAACCCTGGGTCGCAGCCGTGAGGTAGGCCAGGCCGAGGTAGAGAGCGAGGATGAAGATCAACCACACAATATGAATCCACGGTGGAGGGTTCGTTCGAGGAATAAAGATTTCGAAAAGAGCGAATAGACTGTTCAAGCCGTGCTGGCTGACATTGCTCCAGGCATTGAACTCCGAGGGAAACCAAGGCCCCTTATACAAAACAACCCAGTATACAATCGTGACGAGGAACGGATATGTAACGACAGTCGAGTAGAATAAAGAATGAAGCGCCTGCAACGGTCGAGGAAAACTATCAAGCAGCGATCGGCCTCGGATGGCATACGTGACGGTGTGCAGCGCCGCGACGGCGAAATAGAAGGCGATGCCCCAGTACGTGAGGATGGTGAAGTAGCTAAACGACCGCTCCACGTCCCTACACCCGCCGAGTTCCTCGTGCGTACATTGCCAGCCGATGATGAAGAATCGCGTAACGAAGGCGTAAAGACTGATGAGCGCGCGCGCGGCAAAGAGAAGCCAGGGATTCAAGAGCCAACTGGTCGCGAAGCGGCTGGATGGATCCCAAAGGTCGCTGCCAAAACGAAAGAGGTTCTTTGGAGCCATCGCGGGCGGGCGCGTGGAAATGAAGGACGGGGAAAAGAAGGGTATGTTGGTTGTCAAGATCTCAGGGCCCTGTTTCTGTTGCTTAGAGACCCTGGAGCTGCAGCTTTTTTCTCGGTGAACTGGCGATAGAGCCGTACTTAGTTTCTCCCAACGGTGTGGCTCAGATTGGAGGACGTTTTGCCTGATTGGGTAGTGTTGCCAGGGAAAGCTATGACTTCTGATTGTACGAATTAAATTAAGGGTAAGGTTTCTACGATATCACCAATATGATAGTAAGTTTGAGCTATATTTCTTGGTCAATTGACTTTTTAAGACCTGCTTTCAACATTCTGTTTCTGTATTCAATGATGATGAGTAGAATCATCATACAAGGCGCAGCCAAGAGTCTTGTGGCTTGACTCACGCGATGCTAAAGAACAGCCCGTGAAGGGACTAAAATAGTTCAACGCTGTCATCTTTCCACGTAGGTAGCGTACAGTCATCCTAAATTACCATCAATTGTGGCGTTTGTTAACTTGATGCATGGGACATCTCATCTTACCCATTACTTCCAGAAACCCTGACGATGTATCCGTACGGCACATCCACTTTCCGGACTTGATATAGGGCAAGACCGAGGACTCGACATATCCACGGAACTGCGTGTCCTGACTCGATTCACTGAGTGTCTTCTAATAGTAGCTTTGAGTTTAGCCAAGCTATCCACGTACGACGCTGCCTGAGCGGAAGCATCCGTACCCAGGATCGTAGTCGCTGCAGCTTCTGACAACGGACAGTGCTTTAGCGCTTACTACTGAACTCTATCGCACTGCCGAGGGTGATTGCTCCTCATATTTGACACAAGGCCATGAGGGTCAATCCCTGAACCTGAGTAATGAGTGATATGGCCGGGCTGTCCTTGAATCTTGGGCAAATCGATGAATATTGCCGGTGTAGAGGCTGAATAGAATGGAATGTCGGTCAACGATAAAATGACTTCCTTTAAGTGAAAGTTTGACATAGATGAGTGGGACGGGATAGTAATTCCCGAAGTCCACAATTCCATGTCAACTTTTGGGCACCTTATTTTAGAATAAGCCGTGCATATCCATTCATCCATTTGTATGGGCCCAGCCCAGCCGTGGTGTCTCAGCCTGTCTTAGACACGATGGTTGGGGCATTCCTGCAAAGAAATCGACAACTGTGCTCAGTGCTGCTTGCAGATGAGACAACAGGCAGTGCCCAATGAAGGAACGACCTCGCGATCGGATCGCGAGACCCCTTCAAGTGTTTAACCCGCCCATCGTGGTAAAGCTTTTGCGTCGCCAAGTTATTGGCTGATGCTGAGGGGCCGACAGCGTAACACACAACATGGAGCCTTCGATTAAGTCTATGTCTGCCCCTGAACTAGAATCGGACGGATACAACCGTATAGGTACTGCAATGTCGTGAAGTTAACGAGCATGTAATTTCAATGTCTGTACCCGCACAGGTCCGTCGGGCGCTTGTCATCGATAGACAGGAAGCTAGTAGTTCTGATCGGCTTGGCAGAATGGCGACATGCGTCGGGTCGTTAGGGCGAAGCGCGCCAACCTTCGAATATCGAGAATGCAATGCACTGGGTCTTGTTGTCTTTGAGTTGTGGGACTGATTGGCTTCCATGTCTTTGTTCGTTTGTTAGTGACTGTTGAGCCGCCGCCGTTGAAAGGCACGCCAAGAAAGCCAGAGCCTTGACAAAAAAGAGGAGTAGAAATCTAGGTCTAGAACTATTGATCGACGCTGTATTGGACTTCCTGGCCGATTGGATACTGATCCAGGTTGTCCGACCTGTACGTATGCATGTCTTGTTCTTCTCTGATACAGATGTGCCTGCTAAGCAAGAACAGCCAGCCATGAGGCATTTCTTAATCTTCTCCTTAGTGTTTTGTAATCAAGATCAGAAAAATCATAAACTCAACCATTGCTCTTCGAATTCCTGTGAATGTCGGTGTGGCGATAAACATCAACCACTATCGCCATTAGCCAGGTACAGAGTTAAGTCCGTCTAGCGGGTTCGATCAGAATGTTAGCCGCCCATTGGAACCTAAACTAGCCGTTGAATTTGACGCGACGACTCTGTTGAACCGAGGTCATGTCGATGATTGGTCAATGGCACAGGAGATACAATCAACGGGCAATAAATTAAATCAACAAACATTAATCTATGTGCCGGCAAATCTTGCAGAGTAAAAAACTCTTTAATCAGAAGTGAAAGCCCAATCTCAGCAAGGTCCAGCAGGTAACCCCTACTGCAGCGGGCCCCTGGGTTCTTTCCCGAGCTAGACGCAGGGGGCGGCGCGATGGTACCTGGACTTAGTGGTCGCGTCGCTCGCTACGCCAAGAGCCACCCGAACGTTAGTGCAGTTTTTCAGGGGAGGGGCACCTAAAGAGAGACACGCAGACACGGGAACAGCACAGCAGTCTAGTGAAAGAGATGGAAAGACCGACCCAGGTCTTGTTTGTAACTGGGTATGTGTTAAGGAGGAAGGAGGCGAAGCCCTGGACTGGAGGCAACCACGAACCAATCTGATCCATCAGAGACGAGATTGAGAGGACTTGTATCATTAATCAACTCATTTATGATAATCTAGGTACTCGCCTAAAGTCTTTTGATCTTTGTTTTTTTCTCTTCTTCCTTTTTTCCCATCGTGACATGCATTGGTCATAACTGTCAACTCTCGCACGAGCAATATCATCGCCATAGCGGATCCTTAATTACTCTTTTAGTGGACTTAACCCCGGATTGTCAAACCGAGCCAACAGCAACAATTACGCTTGACCTCTTGGGCAGCCTATTTGTGGCCTTTCATAGCTTGGGTCCAGCAGTCCCTGATCTGATCAGCTGATGATCTCTCCCCTTTGCAGAACGCTACAGATTGAGCTGCGACCTCTTCCCAGCTCCCACTCTCATCCGCAGATCTCTACTGCTACTGTTTCAACGATCAACTCCAACCACAACGACTATCACCCACGGTAATTACTGACACACATCTTTCAACTCAATTCCAACATTGCGCTTCATTATCTGTGCCATGACTTCCTCCGTCGCTTGAATTCTGGCTTTTATCAGCGATTACACGATGCGATAGATTCAGCCCCCTCCTTTGACTCCAACTACATCCACTCGTTCGCTCGATTCCTCACGCTGTACCACGTCGTCTCACACGCATATTCGCCGATTCCTCGATTGAAGTCGTACCAAGATTCCCGGTGCCTTTCTTAACGCCGTCGTGCTTCTCAAAACCCCTTTAGGAAGCGTACTGTCCTTCGACTGCAACCACCGACGCCTGCCGCCTCCATGATGACCTCGGCCGTTAGGCCTTCGTCACAAGTGTCTATTTCGGGCAGTGGCACCGCCACCATGGCCACCAGCAAGCTTCAGCCGTTGACATATGACGGTGGTGAGCTACGAATTGTCTTAGTGCCAACCTCCGACGATGGACATGATGAAGATAATAATGTTCAAGATTATGAAGTCGACCGGCGATTCTCATCCGACAGCTATAGGTCTTACAGAGCACCAGACCAATCCATTCCCACGCATCCTATCCCGTCTTTACAAGATGCTTTCGCCGAATCTTTGGACGAGGTCACACGTGAATCCGACGGACCTGGGAAGCCAAAACTGAGAGAGCTTGACGCACAAGGTCGTCGAGCGAAATTGCTGGAACAATATGCCGAAGACGAGCCATTCGATTCATTATGGCGCTATCGACCGGGCCAACAACAACATGAAATGTACAAACTTATCTCGCAAATTACTTTTGGCGTCTACCTCCTGCTCAACAGCTTAGCCGCCGACAACGCCCAGGTCGTGACCATTCTTCAAGGACATATCGATGAGGTAGACGAGTTTCTTGAGGTGATGTTGGAGGACTTTTCGCAGGCGCAGAAGGATCTCTCCGAGCGTATCGCCCATCTTCAACTTCCCATGGCCAACAGACAAGCTTTCGAGAATATGCTTGAAGATCGAGCATTCCGAGCCCAAATTCTTGCTGGAAATGAGAAGATTGACCATATTCTTGCTCGAACAAACGCTGCCATGAAACAATGGGACGACGATATCGATGCAGGACTTCGCTCTAGTGAGGCGTTTATGGAGTGGCTCAACGAACACAAAGATATCGATTGGTCTGAAGCCGATCCTGATCTCGAGAGTATTTACCGGGCTATGAAGGGCAATGCTGATGGATGGCTAAACACCTTTGACGATCTGAACAACCAAGCACAGGATCTCAATGGACTGGTTATCAAACTCATGACTATCGTGGCAGAGATGGAGAAGACAGCTGGTGAGGTCAGCCGCAAGACCTGGGTAAGTTGAATCTCATTTTGTCTGGAACCTTGAACTAACGAGGGAAGGCAACCATTCCTCCCTTTACTATACCGACGGATGAACCGAAGCCCCAAGAGCAAACGAATATGTCTCCTCCACAACTAAGATCTCACCACACCAAGTCCATGATGAGCGTAGCCCCAAGCATCGCTCCCAGCATCATGAGCTACGACTCACGCGCCGAGATCAACACATTAAGCGATTTTCCTCTACCAGGAGGCACTCCTCTACTACCACCCACCACATATCACCGTGCCAGTTTCAAGCCTTCGCCAAATTTAAGTGCATCCTCTGCTTCACCCAGGCCAAATACCAGCTCGAGCGCTTCAGCTTCAGCTTCTACGCCCAATACGAATGCTCTGAGCCCTTCGTCTGGTGCAACTACTCCTAGGGCGTCTGTTGCGGGGGATACAAAGCAGGCAGTCAAAGAGGCAGACGACAGTGATGCAAATAGTGGGTTTGACGATGGACCGCTGTACATTCTTCAACCCAAGGTTTATACCCCCAAAACCACCTCGCCTGCAGTAATGCGCCCCGACACTCCTCCCTCCGACGATGAGACCAAACGACGAACGATCACACCCTCAATGCATATTCCTTCACTTGAAGAATTGCCCAAGACTCAGTACCAAGAACTGCCTAAAACTAAATACCAAGAACTACCTAAGACTCAATATCAAGAACTGCCTAAGACGCAGTATCAAGAACCACCAGCGCAAAGACGGACACTTACCCAGTCTGTTCAGGATGCAATGGGATTGCAAAAGAAGACTTCACTACGACAAAGAGTCTCGCTGAAAAGGAGTCCTCCCGAATCCATTCAAATTCCCCCACGAAACTTCACAGAGGCACAACAAGCAAACCGCCCATCCCCTGCTAGCACGACTCAACGTCCCAGTAGATCACAGCATGGTTCTGAGCTAGAGGTACAGCAACCTCATCGACTGCCCCGTGCTAGCTCCCACGCCGACTTTAACGCTCCACGATTTCCTCCCACCTTACCTTCACCTCACTCCGAATATAACCAGCAGACATATCATCCCGTTCGTGCATCGCCTCATTCGCCATTGCAGCAAAGACCTCACACAGCCGGTCCAGCTGATCAATACCACAATTCGGGATATTTCCAAGGTCACCAGCGTAATCAGCCCTCTCGAATGGGAGGTATGAGTACCCTCAGTAGCGTGACAACAGCGACCAACGACGATGCTGCCACAGTGACTTCCCGGGCCACAACACAAGCTGGAGGCAAGCGAGTCAAAAAGAAGAAGAGTGCATTCGGATGGCTTAAGAAGGCATTCAGTCTCGATGAGGAAGAAAAGGCGGAGTACGAGGCACGTAAGGCCATGCAGTATCAGAACCAGTACCAAAACCAGTACTATGACGGCCACAGCCCCAAGTTCTTGGATGGAAAGAGAATTCGATAATAAAGGGGATTTCCAAGACGGTGTCATGGTTGGTCCGTCTTCCTTTAATCATGCAAATCTTTGCGAATTTATACCCGGCGACTACACTCGCCTGATTTTACAATATATCTATCTAAGCGGCCATCTCATTTCATTTTATCAACTCAATGTTTGGTATACATCGTAGGCACTACTACACTCCGATGAAACTTTTCTTTGTCTTGGCATGCCACAACTTGGCCAGCGATGAAGGCGTTCCTGATTGGGTTTATCGGGTGGTAAAGATGTTAATCTGTTTTGCACCTTGGCATACTGGGACGACTTTGTTGGGGGATGAATTGATGGAAAGGAAATAAGGAATTTACAAATACAAATATCTAAGAAAGAATTTAAAGTCTGCCATGCATGATGGCATCAAGTATATTCACACACAAATTTACGTATAAATCGTCGGGGTATCAGAAGAATTAGCCGCTAAGAGCATAAGAGACAAAATGATTTGGTCATTTTATGCTATCTTAGACCAGCACTTAGGCTACTTTATTTTAGTAGCCTAAGCCTTAGAGGATATTTCTTCTGTGACCTATCTGCCCTTGTTATCATGTAGTATACTACTCCCCAAATCCGTAGCTCTTGACGCGACTAAAGAAGAAGGGTTTGTCGTTTTTCAAATGGAACTCTCCCCAGTCGTCCGTAAGTTTATTGTAGCTGTAAAAGCCTCGCCAGATAAGCTTGTTGTTACGGGAGCCCTTGCCCGCACTTCGCAACGAGAGGTCCATGCGGTACATATATTTGGCTCCAACGCCTTCGGTCTCAATGAACACGTCGCCCTCTGGATCACGGTCTCGATCATGCACACCTGCAACGGCGGAGGCTGGAAGATCTATAGTTGAAGGGTCATCTCGGTCAGCGGCGGAGGATAGGCGCCAGCGACCGCGGAGAGCGTAGGACATCACTGGCGAGGGTAGGTGAGGTTGTGCTACACCTCGGTGGGGCTGTGCTACTCGGTGGGTGCTGAGTTCATCCCTTGTAAGGTGATGCACGACATCTGCGGGCTCATTCGTGGTGAGAAGGCTGATGAGTGTGCCGTCGCGGAAGAAGCGAAGGTATCGGTAATAAGTCACGATATGGATCGGAGCTCCCCAAGTCGGTTGGTTCGATGAGGCTTGCCCGGGGCGGATGTAATTGACCGTAGAGATATAACAGCCGTTAAAGCGGATTCTTGGTCGTGAGCGGAAGAGGGTCTTCCAAGAGGGATACACAGATGGTATCAAGGACTCTGTGTATACGATATTGGCTTCTTCTCTGCGCTGTGCAAGCTCGGAAGGGCTTATCACGAAGCCGTCTTGGATTTCTGGCCCTTCTTGCTCCTCCTCTGGAAGCTCGTCCCATTCTACACCCTTCTCGAAGCGGTACAGCTGAGAAGCGAAACCAACTTCTGATCCAAGAGCTACACGGCGCCAAATGCGCTGCTCTGAAGCAACGAGGTACGCTAAACGCTTGCAAACGCGGGATAGACGTCCGAAATCTCCGACATCTGTGATAGCGATCTCGTGAAGAATGTGAATGAGGATCTCATCGGGGAGATCGGCAAGGGGGCACGGCGGCTCTGGCATGCCCTCAACGGGAGGCGGCGCTCCTTCAATCTTCAAGCCGGCGAAACTGGCGAGGAGCTCACCTATGGGTAGAGGCTTTGACTCTACTACTTCTTCTGGCTTGGGTGGTTGTGGTGCTGCCTCTGTTGTGCTTGCTGGGGCTGGGGCGGGTGTCTTGGTGGCTGTCGGTGAGACTGGTCGTGGAGCTGCCTTTGGGAAGTGCTTCTCACGATAGCTCCGATCGACGCCATTATCAAGCTATAATAAAAGTCAGTCTCATAGGATCACAATGTAGTGAGTTGTACATACGCGGTAGGCCTTGCGATAAAGCTTCAGACTATCACCCATATTACCCTGCCCCTCCTTATGCATCGCCTCCTCAAAATGATCCAGCGCCGAAACAAGCTTCTTGCCCTTCCGATCATGATGAGCCTCCTGGGCCGGTTGTGCTACAGCCGGTTTATCCTGATCAAAAGATTGACTCTGGACGTATTCGTCTTCAGGTTCATCAGCAGGCGCAGGAGCGGGCTTGTGTGGCAACGATGAGATAGGGCCTTGATGAGGCCGTCTGGAAGGACCTGCCGCAGGAGGTTCAGGATGCTCATTCCTCGTTTTAAGATCAGAAAGCCATTTCTGTCGGAACGACTCGAGTTCCGAATTTAGTTCGTTTTCGTTGGAAGACATTATGAGAGGTGTGTAGTTTGGTTGTATGCCGTTATGTCCGGTTATCCGATCTTTATAAAAGCGGTGGAGTTTTCTTTTTTACAAAGGATTCATTATCACGATTCAGGAAAATCAGTATTAAGTTGCCGGTTGAGTCAATCTCAAAGTGGAAAAATTGAGGGTGAGTAGAGGAAATGGTTGATTCGAGGAGTTGAGATAGATGATGATGCAAAGAGGGCGAATAGAAAGCTGTGGTTCGCCGGCAGAGTCATACCGTCTAAGCAATTACGGTGGGTGAATGGGGTTAGTGCGCTGGAGATACGGAGAAAGTGGATGACAAATCTCAACGGTGGGTAGCTCATAACAGTTCACGTTACCATAAGTGAGGTACTCATATTTCAATTCCATCTCTTAGTCGTACTCAGATTCTTGTAAAATGTTCTTTAATTGCTTGCTGTGTAAGTCTCATCGATGTGTGTTGAAAATCATATTGACTCTTCCTTGCCTGTGATGACGCTATCAGGATGTGCTCTTATCACAATGGTTGTGATGTGAAACCTTAATGCCCGCCATCGAGAGGTATCAGAAGAATGATCTAAGATCTAGGATATTAAGATAAAGTAACCCAAATGCTCATCTAAGCTGGCAAAAGTTAGTTAAATTATTTCGTCTCTTATGCTCTCGGCCGTCAATTCTTCTAATGACACGGCAGTGCACCCTATCTTGTCAACCATACCCTAGAGCTTCAACATATCCATCGAGCCAAAGTCTTCAACAAACGGCTGCAACATCACCAGGTACAACTTGTACAAAACCACTTTTTATAAAGATATAAACCTTGCTAGACAGTATTCTCGTGCATCTAGACTGCATAAAAAGTGACATTGGTGATGATCGCTTTGTAATCTCAAGTCTTCAGCGTCATCGAGCGTCATGTTACAGTTGGGATTCACGGTGTATAAGAGCTTGGCTCAGAAGGCCAGAAAGGAAATGCAGAATCAGTTGACTCACGACAAACTTCGATCAATATCTTTTTGACCAATTACCCAAGCTAAACAACATGGATCGTGCTTTCTACACTGCTACTCTTGACAATATCAGTATCGCTTACACGGATACTGCCCCCGAGGGGAACGAGAAAGGCGTTGTAGTCTTGATACATGGCTTTCCTCAAACTTCATATCAGTTTCGAAAAGTAATTGGACCAATTGCTTCGGCAGGGTGAGTGAACCGAATGATCACTTTGCTTGAACAAACGCTTATACTCTCTTAGATACCGGGTCATTACCCCAGACTACCGTGGAGCCGGGTACTCGCACAGAACACAGACGGGATTTACTAAAACGGAAATGGCATCGGATATTCTACAACTTCTGGATCAACTCTCTATCAAAGACCCAGTTCATATCGTTGGCCATGACATTGGTGGCATGATAGCCTATGCCTTTGCCTCACGATACGCCGACCGCACAGCCTCAGTAATCTGGGGAGAATGTCCCCTGCCTGGCACCCAAGCTCACGAAGACACATGGAAAGTCCATGGAGTCCTCCACTTTCACTTCTGGTTCCACCAAGTTCTTGACCTCCCTGAAGCTCTCGTTTCAGGCAAAGAAGAGATCTACCTGGGTCACTTCTACGATAAGCTCTCATACAACTCCTCAGCTATCAGTCAAGAGGATCTTGATTACTACGTTAAGATGTTCAGTAGGCCAGGAGCCTTGCGCTGTGGCTTCAACATGTACAGAGCATTTGGACAAGACTCAGAAGAGAATCGTGAGTGGGTTGCCAAGCATGGCAAGTGCAAGGTGAGAGCGCTTGGTCTCAACGGCGGAGAGTGCCAGTTTAGTCAAGTGGCAGAGCAGATGATGGGAGAAGTTCACGAAAAGGGGACATTTAGTGTTGCTTCTGTGCCTAAGAGCGGACATTGGATCGCAGAGGAGAACCCTGAGGAATTTGTACGCGCAGTGCTTGAGTTCGTTGGAAAGGAGTAATTAGAGTCGTCTAGGTATCGGAAATGGCAGCCGACAGCATAAGAGACGAGATATTTTGGTTGGGTATTTTATGCTAGCTTAGAGTATTATTTAGGCTACTTTATTTTGGCGCCCTAAGCCTGAGGATAACTTTTCTGTTTCGGATAGATACTCCGTAGAGTGTTGATATTGATATCGGACTGATTATCTTATCCATCTTCATCCCCCTCCACTAAAAAGCTTGGGCACCCTTTTGGCTTGGAGGACTTAACATCGAACCAATCAAAGTCCGTCGTGACATCATGCCCACGGAAATCTGCGGCTCTCACAGGCACCTGACAGCTAAATGACCGCATATTTCCGGTACGTACCCTTCAATCTGTGCCTGTGAAAGGCGCAAAAGACGTTTTTTCTGTACCTGTCCAGCCATTCACGTTTCACCGAGCTTCCGACCCCGGGGAGGCGACAATTTTTTGTTTATTTGCTTGGTAAGAAGACGCAATTGCGATAAGAAACGTAGAGAAAGCAAACAAAATAGTAGTAGAATTACTCTTTGTCATTCAAACTACCTTAAGAGTCACACTATTAAAGCGCAATCACAGAGGGACCCAGTATCAAGACGATACTAGCCGACAGACCGATCTCGACTCGACTCGACTCCTCCTCCGGCCGGCCTCGGGAGAAGGAGTGTCTTTTTTTCGGTTTTTTTAAATTCCCCAACATTCTATTCTATCTTGTTCGGCTTTTTACCTCCGAACACTTTCTCCAAAAACGTGACGGCACAAGTCGATATATTTTATCTATCAGAAACAAGGAGCTTTTGTTCCCTTGCTTTTTGTTAGATCGCCACTATCGAGGAGCTATCCACCAAAAACCGCTACACATCGAGTCATCGTCATCGACACCTCACGACGACCTAGACCTATACATACCTACTGCTCCCTTCCTCTTTTACATGTTTCCTCTGGTCTTTCTGAATTGCTTCGCCTTTTGCATCAATTCCTCGACCATGAACTGAAGAGACTGTGTATATACTTCGCATCCCACCAAAATGGCCACTGTCGGCACAAATCGCCCCGGTGGCTACCACCACCACCACCAAAACCCTCTACAGAACGACGACGAATTCTCTTTACGCCATATGATGGATGCTGAACCTAACGGTCCCGATAGCGCGAGGGATATCCTCAGCGGTAGCAGCTCAATACCAGCTGCAGGCGATACAAGTGGGAATGGAGTCGTTGATATTACTGCGGCGCAAAAGATGGTATCGGCCATGTCGGGCAGTTTATTAACGTCATTGCTCGGTATGTCTCTCCTTCTTGGTCACTAATGAACCCCAAATACTAATCTGTCTCGTTCAGTCACACCTCTCGATGTCGTCCGCGTACGCCTCCAATCGCAAAAAGCTCCTCAATCAGTCGTCGACTTCTCCAAACTCGCCATAACAACCTCCTCCCTCTCCCCCGCCCAAACCGCCGAACTGGGCATCACATCATGCTGTCGCGAAGTCTTCTTCTCCGGCGGCAACGCGGAATTCTGTCTCGCAGCGCCCAGGATAGACGGCATCACCTCTGCGCCTCCACCTCCAGCCGAATGCGCCGTCGAAGAAGTCCAGCGCCGCACTTTCAGCTCTACTTTTGATGGCCTGCGAAAAATTGCCCGCAATGAGGGCGTCACGACTCTTTGGCGGGGGTTGTCACCTACGCTCGTTATGGCTATCCCTTCGAATATTATTTACTTTACTGGATACGATTACCTGCGATTCAACTCGAATAGTCCCTTTTCACGATTTTCCGATACATCGGCTCCCTTGACGGCTGGATCGGCTGCTCGAGTCCTTGCGGCGACAGCTGTGAGCCCTATTGAACTTGTGAAAACAAGAATGCAGGCCGCTTCTGGAGCTTCGACAACGAATCACCTGGTGGAAGCTTTCGAAAGTGTTAAGGGAATGGTTGGAACACACGGATATACTGCGCTATGGCGAGGGTTGACGTTGACTTTGTGGAGAGATGTTCCTTTCTCAGGTCTGTACTGGTGGGGGTACGAATCGATACGATCACGATTGACGGACTACCGAGAAAGCCGCCAAGGCAGCACTCTGCCATTCGAAGACGATCTGGCAGAATCAAGAAGAAGAGCTCAGGTCAAGGAGAACCACACCGAAACCTTCGTGGACGCTTTCACAGCCGGTGCACTATCCGGAGCCTTCGCCTCATTCATCACAACACCTTTCGACGTCGGCAAGACACGAACACAAATTTACCAGGATGGTTCAAAGAAGGCCCAACAAGGCGCCGCCAAAGCAGCGCCCGAGGAGCGCAGTATGGTGCGTCTCCTCTGGCACATCTTCAAGACCGAAGGAGCCTCAGGTCTATGGAAGGGATGGATCCCACGAACCCTCAAAGTTGCACCGGCATGTGCCATCATGATCAGCAGCTACGAAGTCGGCAAGCGAGCGTTCCGCGGTGTGAACGAGAAGCGTCTCAACGGCACTAAAGAATGATGAGAAAAGGAAATACCCCGAAACAAATGGTGGAGTGGAAAGCATTTAGACGATGATTTGGCGTTACAAGGAGGGAGGTGAAGAGGTGAAATAAGAACTCTTCTCTTTGGAATTGCATTAGTGCTTTTGTTTAGCTGGCGATCTGGTTAGAAGGGGGATGGCTGTACTGTACTCAATACCTCAGATAGATAATAATTGTACTACTACGTGTAAGAGTAGAAATGGTTCACTCAATGACTCTCATATGCCAATGCATGCCCGTATCTAACCTTTACCTTACGAGACAGCCATTCCTTAATTTCGAAGATTTCAAAGAAACTCTCTGTAATAAAGTAATAAAAAGGTTGTCCATGCTTAAAACTTGGGCTGAGTGAGGTTCAAAAGTTGGGCGGCGATATTCAGTTATCGAGGCCGCCATCTACAAAAAGTGGGACTTTGAAGACTTCGATCTTGAAGTGGCACATCAAGGCTTATACAAAGATCAGAAGATAATCTCAACTTCATAAAATCTTGAAGGTATGATTCATGTGTTCTCTATATTTCTGGAGGATATCTAGTATTTGTTGCCGGAACCAAAGATCCTTCAATATTTCCTCTCAGAAAACCTTTCACTAACACTTCATAGCCATCATGTACTCACTCACCTGCGACGACGGCATCCGTCTCGGCAGAGACGTATACGTCCTCGACATTCAAAGAACATCCGCCGGTCTCGCAGCTATCTCATCAGACCAATTCCTCTCTGTTCTCGACCCAACTCGTCTCTCAGCAGGTCCTCAGCACCAGCTTGCTACTCAGCATGGTAACTTGACGACGTTGCGTGTGGTTGATAGCAATGCTGCTCTTGTTTGCACGGCGGGTGAGAATGGGACTGTTGGAGTGTGGGATTTGAGACAGGGTACCAGTGTTATGCAGTTCCAAGGTAAGATGTGATTTGAAATGTTTGTATGGAGAGATATTGACTGTGTTGTAGCGAGTCAAGCGCCTATTCTTTCTATGGCTGCTAGTCTAGAAACACAGACCATTGCCGTCGGAACAGAACTTCAGAACCACTCAGCGTCTATCCATCTCTGGTACAATTCCTCCTCTCTTACTCAAATCATCCCTCTAACAAACCCAGGGACGTCCGCTCGACCCCAACCGCCAAAGCACACTACCAAGAAGTCCACAGCGACGATGTAACAGACCTCTCCTTCAACCCTTCTAACCCAGCTCTTCTCCTTTCCGGCTCAACCGACGGTCTAGTAAACGTCTACGACACCCGCGTCGAGGATGAGGATGACCTCACTGTGCAGACTTGCAATGTCGATGCTTCCATTCACCGCGCTGCTTGGCTCTCTGCGACAGAAGTTGCGGCTCTGTCTCATGACGAACGCTGCGCTTTGTACGATGTGAGCGAAGAGCACGCAAACGGCGACGCTGTGCAGGAATTTGGCGATATGAGATCTGTGCTTAGATGTCAGTATGTCGCTGATATTACACCCAAGTTGGATGGTAGCGGCGCTGTTCTCGGCGCTGGAGCTCAAGAGTAAGTCAAGCGCCGCGAATCATATACCCAAGTACTAATATTGCATAGCAAACAAGCATTTGAGCTTGTCTTCCTTGCCAAGAACCCCAATGGGGAGGGATGGGCTTTGGATCGGGACAACAGTGTTGCTCTGCCAGGTGCTCATGGCGATGAGATTGTGCGATCCTTCTGCTTCTTTGATGAGGCACATGTTGTGTACACAGCTGGTGAAGATGGATTTGTCAAGGCCTGGAGGCCTAATTGATCAACGGGAAAGGTTTAAAATAGATTAGAAACACGGCGTTTAAATCATGATACTATGAATGAGTAAGATATCTTGGCTATGAGCAGACAGCAGTCTCACTTTGTTGCATCTAGTCTTGTCCCTGACTGCACCAAAACTTGTGTGAAATCAGAAGGGTAGATGAAAATGAGATCAAATGTCATAGGTTCTTACAGTCATGACAAATTGCAACGAACTGTCAATACAGCTTGCACTAATTCAGGTTTTGGTCAATGTTGTGTGTTCAAACATCAGAGACTCATCTGGTCTCTTGTTCTTGATTAAAAATATTTATATCTACTCTAATGGCTGTGCAAGTGGTATCTTGGAGCAAGAAATCAGAAGCCGTGTCGAGAAACCCCAGATATGGCGGTTGACCTAACTTTTGCAATTCGTTGCATTGCACGCCCGTTCATATATATGTCATCCAAAATCATCAATTATCAATCCGTCACCCCTTTTATTGCAGGCTCTCAATGACCATAGCAGAAGCACCACCGCCACCGTTGCAGATACCAACGGCACCAATCTTGGCCTTCTTCTCCTTGAGAACGGAAGCAAGAGTGGTGACAATACGAGCACCAGAGCAGCCAAGAGGGTGACCGATGGCAACGGAACCACCGAAGACGTTGACCTGCTCGGGCTTGAGACCGAGGATCTTCATGTTGGCAAGAGCAACAGCGGAGAAAGCCTCGTTGATCTCGTAGTACTCAACCTGCTCAGCGGTCAAGCCAGCGTGCTTGATGGCCTTGGGAATGGCCAGAGCAGGAGCAATGGTGAAGCGCTCAGGCTCACGCTCAGCATCACCCCAACCAAGAATCTTGGCGACGGGCTTGAGGTTGAGCTCCTTGAGCTTAGCCTCAGAGACGAGGACAACAGCGGCGGCACCATCGTTGATGGGGGCAGCGTTGGGGGCAGTGACGGTACCGTCGGGCTTAAAAGCAGGGCGCATGGCCTTGAGCTTGTCAACGTTCAGGTTCTTGACCTCGTCGTCACGCTCAACCTTGATGGCGGGCTTGCCACGGCCACCGGGGATCTCGATGGGGACAATCTCGGTGAAGAGACCGGCCTCAGTGGCGGCCTGAGCCTTCTTGTAGGAGTTGATGGCGTACTCGTCCTGAGCCTCGCGGGTGAGCTCGTGGTCATCGACACAGAGCTCAGCAGAGATACCCATGTGGTCCTTCTTGAAAGAGTCGGTCAGACCGTCCTTGAGGACACCGTCGACGAGGGTCTGGTCGCCGTACTTGGCGCCGTTTCGGAGGTTGGGGAGGTAGTGAGGAGTGTTGGACATGGACTCAGTTCCACCGGCAACGACAATATCGGAGGTACCGAGCATGATGTTCTGGGCACCAAGGATGATGGCCTTGAGCGAAGAAGCGCAGACCTTGTTCACGGTTGTGGCAATAACGGTTTGGGGGAGACCGGCACCGATAGCACATTGACGGGCAGGGCCCTGGCCGACACTGGAAGCAATTGTGTTAGTGAAAGTCCAATGCTACTTCGAATTGACTTAGAGGACTGCAGCGAAATCGCCCACACCAAAATCCGCCGAACTTGCAGATCTTGGGTTCGGTGATTTCGTTCCCTCTAGGTCGGCCATCATGATGGCGGGGTATGGGAAAACACCTACCCAGCAGAGAGAACATTGCCAAAGAAGACCTCGTCGACATCTTCAGGCTTGATACCAGCACGCTCAACGGCTCCTATATAGTAGAATTAGTATATCGGTCGTTTATTTTCACTTTCTCGCGGTGTGGTTTGTTCGTACCCTTGATGGCGTGGGATCCCAGCTGAACGGCGGTCTGGCTGGACAGAGAGCTATAGTCATGTTAGTCAACGCACAGAAGACACCAATGGCATTTATGTTAAGTTTGTTACTTACCCAAGGAATGAGCCGATGGGAGTACGGGCGGTAGAGACAATGTAGACGGGGGGAAGGTTGGCCATTTTGACGGTTGATGGGATGGATGAATGTTACAGGAGACAAAAAGATCGTCAGATGGGAGCTCTTAGTTTATAGATTGATATAAAAGGAGCTAACAACCGTGGGTGGAGCGGAAATCGGCGGCAAATTTGTTGAGTAGGACAACAGAAGCGAAGCTGCAACCTTACCTCTTAGTAGCTGCAAGTCTGCAACCGAGACTGTGATTCCATAATCTTCCGAATTATCTAAGCTCAAGCCTGGCATTTACCGTATTGGGCAGGATGGGAAGGCAGAATAAATTAGGCCCCTCCCTCTTCCCGTATCACTAGGTGGTTGTCATCACATTTGTCCTCGAATTCGGGAAACTTTACACCAAAACTCGGAGGCTTTGGAGGGGCACGGCTTATTGCGAATACGCTGCAGGCCGCTGTCGGTCGGCGGCATTGAGTGGACAGCGGACAGGTCCCCTGTCCTAAATTCCGGCCCCACTTGTACCTGCCTCCGTCAGTGGAAGTTTTAGATGGAAGGCACGTGATATCGAAAAAGTTGGCGACAGAGAGCTAGCTGCGCGCAACGCCAGGCGAGCCAAAGTGAGTTTTAGGTGACAAGATTGACTGACGATTCAAGGCTGCATTGCATTCTTTCGTCGCCAATCACTTGCGCATCAACTACGCCATACCTGCGCATCTAATTAATAACCGGAAAAGATGGATGATCTCTACGACGAGTACGTATCCCCTTGCTTTAGTCGCGTTTCAAGCTTGAGATGTTGACGGCGCGCTGACTTATCGCAACAGGTTTGGTAACTTCATTGGCGAGGAGGCCGAGTCAGAGGAGGGCTCCGAGGTGGGTGTTGAGGCGAGCGACTACGTCTACGATGATGAGCCAGAGGCCCCCAGTGTGACGGGCCAGGAGCTCATGGAGCTTGACGGTAAGGATCTCTCGAAGCTTGCTCTCATGGATATTTGCTAACTTGGCAACCTACAGATGGACCATCCAACGCGATCATACTTCACGAGGACAAACAGTACTATCCGACCGCCGAACAGGTGTACGGTGCCGATGTTGAAACCCGTGTCGAGGAGGAGGACGCCCAGCCGCTGACCCAACCCATCATCGCGCCCATCGAGCAGAAGAAGTTCAACATCGAGGAAGCCGATCTCCCACCCGTCTTTTTCGACCGCGAATTCATGACAGACTTGATGAACTTTCCCGAACAAACACGAAACGTAGCGTTGGCAGGACATCTACACCATGGAAAGACGGCGTTTATGGATATGTTGGTTCTTGAGACACACGATATCACGGATCGATTAGAACGAAGAGTTGGAAAGCACCGCGACGAACAATTGCGATACACAGATATCCACATCTTGGAGAGGGAACGAGGTCTATCTATCAAAGCTGCACCAATGAGTCTTGTGCTACCCAGCACCAAGGGCAAGTCGCATCTTGTCAACCTGATCGATACCCCTGGACACGTCAACTTCGTCGATGAAGTTGCTGCCTCTTTCCGATTAGTCGACGGTGTTTGCTTGGTGGTGGACGTGGTCGAGGGAGTTCAGATCAACACAGAGCAGATCATCAAGCATGCTGTTCTTGAGGACATCCCTCTGACTCTCATCATTAACAAGATGGATCGCCTCATCCTTGAGCTGAAGCTACCGCCCAAGGACGCATACTTCAAGCTGAAGCACGTTGTTGAGGAGGTCAACACCATTATCACAAACACAGCGCCCACCAAGGCTGCTTCAAAGCGTATAAGCCCCGAAAAGGGCAATGTTCTCTTTGCTTGCACGGATATGGGCTGGTGTTTTACACTACCAAGCTTCGCCAAGATGTACACAGATACCTTCGGAGATATCAACGTCGACGAGTTCGCGAAGCGATTATGGGGCGACATCTACTACAACCCGAAAAAGCGAAACTTCTCACGAAAGCCTATCGACGAGCGCTCAGCACGCTCATTCGTTCACTTTATCCTCGAACCCATCTACAAGATCTTCACCCACTCCATCAGCGACAGTCCCGAGCAATTGAAGCCGGTCTTGGCTTCATTGGGTATCGAGCTTAAGCCTTCTCAGTACAAGGCCGATGCCAAGGTACTCCTCAAGCTAGTTTGCGAGCAGTTCTTCGGTCCTTCGACCGGCTTTGTGGATATGATTGTCAAGCATATCCCATCTCCCATTGAGACTGCTGAGCGGTTATTGGAGAGATACTATACCGGTCCTGTAGATACCAAGGTCGCTGCCTCGATGAAGGCTTGTGATCAGGACGGACCATTGGTCGTGCATATCACAAAGCTCTTCAACACATCAGACGCCAAGAGCTTCCATTCTTTCGGTCGTGTACTGAGTGGTACCGTCCGACCAGGTATGCAAGTTCGTGTGCTTGGTGAGGGTTACTCTCTGGACGATGAGGAAGATATGGCTATGGCGAATATTGCTGAAGTCTTTATCGGCGAAACAAGATATAACATTCCTACAGATGGTGTTCCCGCCGGTAATCTCGTCCTACTAAGTGGTGTCGATAATTCCATCGTCAAGTCAGCTACCATCCTTCCTCCCAAGCTCGAAGACGACGAGGACGCCTATATCTTTAGACCCATCACACATTTCACAGAATCAGTTCTCAAGGTCGCCGCTGAGCCCATCAACCCTTCAGAACTTCCCAAGATGCTTGACGGTCTAAGAAGGATTCAAAAATCATACCCCCTTATCAAGACCAAGGTCGAGGAGTCAGGAGAGCACGTCGTCCTTGGAACTGGAGAGCTGTACATGGACTGTGTACTGCACGACTTGCGTCGTCTGTACGCCGATATGGATATCAAGATTTCTGATCCTGTCACAAGATTCTGCGAGACCGTCGTCGAGACATCAGCGACAAAGTGTTACGCCATCACACCAAACAAGAAGAACAAGATCACGATGGTTGCTGAGCAGTTGGAGAAGGGTATCTCAAATGACATTGAGAGCGGAGCAGTCCGCATCCGCGATCCCATTCGAAAGACTGCTAAGTTCTTCGAGGAGAAGCACGGCTGGGACAAGCTTGCTGCTCGCAGTATCTGGGCATTTGGACCTGAAGACACAGGTCCCAACATCCTTCAGGACGACACACTTCCCACTGAGGTAAGTTTTCTGGACATCCCCCGCTGCAGTGTTTCCTGCAGCAGGATCCATATTCCATGTGCTTGACTGACCATGATTCAGGTGGACAAGAAAACCCTCAACGCAGTCAGGGAATCCATTCGACAAGGATTTAGCTGGGCCACCCGCGAGGGACCCTTGTGTGAAGAACGTAAGTCATCTATTTCGTTTACTCTGCAGGTTGATCTCCGTATCTTGTACGACACGCCGCGCCGACAGCACCCCCGTGCTCTCTCTTTCAACTGAAGAGTGGATATTGTGATAGTTCCATTATCAGTTAGTTTGACTGGTTGTGGATCGTGACAGCGTCAGGGGGGCAATTCCTTGTGTGGAGTTTCGAACTCTCCACATCTGACATTCGCCATGTCTTGCTGACATATTATACTGCTGGCAAAAGACTTGGCGTCTCCAGGTGTTGGTGTTCGCAAGGTCGTGATGGTGCCACCCGTCTCCGCTATGTTGGCCGTTTGATTCTCGATGGTACTGTACAACGGAAAGATCCGTTTGACCGCCATCAGGAACAAAACGGAAAACAGTAACCGGCGATCCTTTCCCCCTTGGCGGTAGATAACACAACTCCGTTGAAACCCCTGCACAAGATACACAGATTATATGCAACACTATCGATACAGAACAGATACTAACATGAGGCAACAGCGATACGAAACACCAAGTTCAAGGTTACAGATGTCCTTCTGGCCAACGAGGCCATCTTCCGTGGAGGCGGCCAGATCATCCCCACCTCCCGACGAGCATGTTATTCCTCGTTCCTTATGGCTTCGCCTCGACTTATGGAGCCCGTCTATTCAGTCTCTGTGACGGGACCTGAAGAGTCATACATGGAGGTCTATAATGTGCTCTCACGTCGTCGTGGCCATGTGCTATCAGACGGTCCCGTCGCCGGTACCCCGTTATATCGCGTGAACGGTCTGCTACCAGTCATCGACAGTTTCGGTTTCGAAACAGATCTACGAATCAAGACTCAGGGTAGTTCCATGGTGAGTCTTGTCTTTGACAGCTGGAGTATCGTGCCTGGTGATCCTCTCGATCGCGAGCAGATCATCCGTCCTCTCCAGCCTGCTACTGCCCAAGCCACCGCTCGTGATTTCGTCCTCAAGACACGACGACGCAAGGGTCTCAGCGAAGACGTCAGCGTTAAGACCTTCCTTGAGCCTGAATTCTACCAGAGCTTAATGGAGAGCGGTATGCTAGGGGAGATCTAAACACTGAAGTCCAGACGGTTTGATTCGGTAGGCCTGTGAAACAAAGGCTGCATGAAGGAACCCCGTCAAGGATATTTTTGTAGCTCTACCCAAGAGGTTGGAACGTTTACCATGATAGAATCGCCATACACTCGGGCTTCGGCAATATGAGTTTCGTTACAAGGATCAGTTTAAACACCAGTGGCACACTGCAAAATGTTAGAGGTTAATTAGGATGATTGGAAAGGTTTCAGATGAACCATATAAACAGGGAACGATAATCTAAAATCAAGGCCAGGTGTTAGAGGTTCTTCAATATTTGTCTCGTCCTCATTTCGTCGTGATAACGAAAGTGCATATCTAGTTCGCTTTGACTAGTTTCTACTCCCTTGTCAACAGGCAATGATTGCCAATGATATGAGAGGGGAATTTATCCTCCAACCTTGCTATGCATATTGTAGCGTCATGGGTAATGTATACGACAGTTTACGCAACAGATTGAAGTCCGAGCAGAATTTTATAGCATTAGGTCTAGTGTCGCCGTTGGGTCAGTCAACAATTAATTAATATATATGCCCAATGTAATAGGAAGAACCAACACCTCTTAGAAGTTTCTACGGGACGATTCACCGGTAACCGTACCGGGCTCTTTCCACCGGACCCTGGCCTTGTCAGGGACCACGGTATCAAGCTCTGTGAATGACGAAGATGTTGATAAGCATTCGGTTACAGGGATTCGTTGACAGGACGTAAGGTTTGCTAGGATATCGGGAAGAAACTGCGGCCACGAGCACATCTGCCAGGGACATCCCATCTCGGTGAAGGAAGGATGAAGAAGCAGGCCTGAATGTGGGACGTTAGTGTAAGTGCTGACCACAAGTCAAAGAAGCAACGAAGGATGCGTCCGCTTGCTGGTAAAGGTCCCCATTGGCTGTGGGAGCTTTGACCAAGACATCTGTGGCTGTCACAAGAGAGTAGGAGATGCACGATAGGTTACAGTATGTCTTGGAATTATGTATGTAGACTACAGTACATGGCAAGATTGTGCGGAGTGCGGACAAATGCATCCGATCATGTTTACTCGCGGATCGGCACCTAGAGATGCATGTCTGCGAATCTTGCGAGTTCAATTGCGAACCAATCCTAAGTCCTGACGTGACCGGGGGTCTCACTGCGGGAGTTGCAAGATCGGGGGATCGTCACGCAGGCGCAAGGCATGGTTGCTTTCCCCAAACATATCATTTGAGACTGTCGAAGCGGCATGCACCTTTGATCCCCGGCGTCCACAACACCGTAGGCCAAGTATACGGGGAGCGGGGGTTCAACCCCTGGGTTGTGAATGATATGTACGGATAGTCTGGAAGATAGAACTCCTGAAGCTAGGGGCGTGGCTGTCGCCCATGAGGATTTGTTGCCATTGCAGGTAAAGTGCAGGCACCATGGCAGGTAATAGCATAGCTTCTATCCAAATTAGTATGATATGATCAAGCCTGGCGGCGAGGTTAATTCCCCAGCTCTTTCGACCTGCCAAACGGGAACTACTCGCCTTGGCAGGACATACTACGGTAGTCGATGGCAATACAATGTGTGGAAGACACAAGACGAGACGGCTCTTGATAGCGCCCTATAGGCGCCCTGGTCGCTTGGCTTCGAAAAGGGCCGACAAAGTCAAGCATGACGTTTCAGCGGCAGATTCCGCACCTGTCAAAAGGAAAGAGGCCAGAAAGAATGAACCATGGGGGCCCAGACTCAGGTCAGGACGTTTGGACTTGCGGCGAAAGTGGGGGACGTTGGCACGCGTAACATAATAGGGCGGAACTTTGTATGATACGACGATGGTTCCCAAAACGGAAACCTAATCGTGGGATCTGGTCGACGTCGTATTGCATGCACCATAACATCAAGAGAAGAGGCTCAGATCAGAGACATTGTTGAAGGAATCCGTGTGAGTGCGAATATCTGCGAGTCTGTATAGGTAATTCTGCAGCAGTAATTGCGCTAAAGCATAGGACGTGCGTGGCTGCAACACCACCAGCTTTGAGGCTAGTAATAGCTCAGACAAGTGACGACACTTGCAAGGCTCCCGCTAAGAAGCCAAGAAACAATAGTCTGAAAGAACGAAATGTCCCGTGGTTGCTGTGCACAAAAATGTCTGCTTTGAGCAGCGTGACATGTTCGTGGTAGTAGTTTGAACCTTATTTAGATGAATGAGGGGCCCTGGCTGGTGTCCTTGTTCTTCCTCCCCAATCATAACTCGGCATTTTCCCCAGCTGTGTCTCTTCTTTACCAGTTCAACGGTTCAGTCTAATGTCTTCGAGACTAGAAACTTTGTACCCCATTCTTTCTTGAATGCCGAGATTCAAGACATGGGATGATGGTAGCATTCTCGCTCTTGCCAGCCAGCTTCGGTACGAAAACGATTTCGCGTTTTGATCACCAGAGTAGCAATGACGGTAGTGGATGTTGCGCAACGGAAGATCAGCAAGCAGGGTCCCTGTGATTTTCGAACCTTCTAAAAGAATGGCAATTGACGATGGTAGGTCATGACTAAGCGCATGTTTCCAACATCTTATCCAGTACTCCCTTCAGAGTATCGTTCTCCAAAGCGGCAGCAACTCGCTCCTTATCGCCCAACTGCTTGTTCACTTGATCATCTTGGTTGTGGCTGTCCTTCTTGCAGGTCACATCCACGCGGTAGTTGGGCGGCAGCGCTTGCTCGAGCCTAACCCTAACTCCAAGCCCGATAACAGTAGCTAACGAGCAGTGTGTGATGGTTGGTGTAATCTCCACAACTACCTGCACAATAGTGTTTGGGTTAGGGACACCTAATGCAGGAGAGGGAGTGATGTGAATATCAGATAAGTTGATCACTGACAGCTGGCCCAGTGAAACCGGGTGCTCAGGATCCGAGATTGTTGAGATCAGATCTACTCAACGTTAGTATTCTATCACTGTGAAGCGAAAATAATGTCTCAAGTCGCCTAAATAGCGTGATGCTCCTTGGGCTCAATCCTCAGGGTAGGTGAGTAGAAGGTTTGGAGGTGGCGAATTCGCCTAACAAATGACTCAGATCGGTTCGAAGGCACATACCGTAAATTTCCTGTTCGTCAATGGCTTCTGAGGAAAACTCATTGGGTTGATCATCGAGTCGAGGCCATGCTGAAGAAGCCGGACCGACAAAAGGACCTGATAGATATGATGGCTTTGCAAAGATAATGTCGTCGTATTTCGACTCAGGACCCCGGCGAGGCTCAGCCTTTGTCTGCCGGGTAGGGAGAGCCGAAGCACTCAGGATAGTCGGATTGGCATTATCCAATGTCGCCATTGTGAATCTGAATCTGCGATAGTTGTTCGATATGCAGGGATCTCAGGTGGCCAAGGCTTCGAGGCTATCGAGACGAAGGTGACGCGGCAAGGAATAGAAATCAGGGGCCAGGAAACGGAACAGATGCAGGAGATGAGATGGTGGAGATTCGATGACAGCTGCAATAGCTGCTACTGTATGCTAATTTTGAGACCTTGATTGAGTCGTTAATGAACCGGGTTGTTGTTGTATGGGGAAGGAGTTGAAGTTGAAGGAGGGGGAGGGGTATTACATCAAAGCAGACTGCAGAGGTGTTACGCCACATCGCTTAAGTCTTGGGCGTGGCGCAGCATCACTCATCAGTAATTTTCTATTACTAAGTCAGATTTTACAGTAAAGATTAGCATTCGGCAGATGTTCAGGAACGAGATCAATTTTTCATTGGGTCTTTTTTTAGTCAATGATAGATTTTGATCGTCTGTTTCCCTCTAATTATATCCACGTTAAACAAAGTTACAGGGTTCAGTCTGGGTATGCTTACAGTTATAGACCAGCATCCATCTACATCTACAGCAGATCCAGTCACAAACAGGCAAAGAAAGCTGGCGGTGAGAAATGATAATAATTAATTTCCATTGAAACTAATAATGTCTACTCTCCACTACTTTAAAAAGTTCTTGAACGCACGGCCAGCACGGATGGCGTTTGACAGGTCCCATATTAGGGGTGAGATAGTAGGCGGAGGGGCGTCTTGAACACAATTTGATGACCCCTAGTCATGGCATAGCATGGAGATAGAGATGGAGGACGGGCTGCCGGCCGAGTGTTTCTGGAACATCCGTGGAAGTCATCCGGGTGCCGTATCCTTGCAAAGAAGGCGCTTGGAAGATGCTCAGAAGCGCTGCTTCAGTTGCGATTGGACGGCGGGCCATCGCGTGGCTCTGATCGCATCGAAGGATCGTGGCGCACGATCTCTGTCAACCTTTCGGAGGTGTTTTCTTGAATAGGGTAGCCTAATCGACTATTGGGATGAGATTCAAGCAAGATGCGACGGCTACTGTGCCAGACCGGAGGATCGTATGCAGGGCAGCATCCGGTCCGCTCCCACGTTTTTCACAACTACCGTCAACTCTAGACGCTGATCATCCATCAGCTTACGAGTGTAAGTGCATGTAGTGTGTCTGCAAGATGCTCCGCGGGCCGATTCAAAGTGGGCAGATTGAATAATTGAAGAAACAACCAACACAGCGCCCGCACGGCCAAGATATTTTTACACAACTATTACTAACAGTTGAGGATCGTTGCCCACTGCACTATAGCCGGCTCAATTCTGTAATGCAACGATAATGGGGCAACGATTTACCCTGGGGTTAGTTAGCAGTAGCAGGGCATGGATAGACACTCCAAGGCTCACGTCTGAGCCCTCTGAAAAGGCTGAAGGAATTGCTGCAATTATCGTCCGCCAATAAGAAGCTGGAGAAGCCATTCCCATTGACGCGCGGTTTTTAATTGTCCACATAAGGAGACGAAGGTCTGTCGTTGGAGCGGAAGACGCCGACAAGTGACATGGACTTGAGGCATAGCGAGTCACTCCAGTTCGCCTCCGTAGAAAAAAGCAATAATACCTCGCTTTCGCTACAGAAATACTGAAACCGCCATAGTATGAAGATGTTTAGTAATTTTCCCGAATGGCTTCCAACTGTCGGGCCGTGCATTCCATTCCTTCTTAAACCATTCAAAGGAGTTCATGTCAGTGAGACGGGGATCCCCGTCGAGGAACGAGGAACTTTTCTGTCGGGGAATTGGACCTCGGCTCAAAGTTCAAACCCCAACTCCACTCCCCTCCTAGTCCCTGTAATCTGTCTGTACCTCACAGTGCCTCAGTAGTAGAAACAACGCATGTGATGAAGCAGTCTCGTCTCGTCTCGTCTGGACGTTGCTAGTATGGATTACATTACATAGGCAGTAGCACTTCAATGCAAGCAACGCCGCAGACGAATCACTCTCGTATCTCTCATGCACGAGAACGAAAAGCGAAATAGGCCAAGGAGGCAATAACATGGATCACTCTTCACCGTCGTTGCGTTGTCCTGTTTCTCCAGCCGATCTTCAAGAATAGCGCTAGGAAATACCAACTTCTCTTCCCCTTTGAGGAATAGATCACTGCTCTTAGCTGTCTGGGTAGGGGTTGAATGGATGAAGGCTAGAAGGGTCTGAGGGTTTATCTCAACGTCAACATTTGATGTCATGTACATAACGTTACTGTACCTGCTAAAATAGGTACTACGGGTAATTTGCTAATGTCTGTCAACTAACCTAACGTTGATGCTATCATCAATCATGGCATGGATCCTTGGGCTTGCTCCACCGTCAGTGCTAACTAGACTATCCGCGAGGAAGAAGCAAGACTTTCCGCGCAATCGAATATGATATGTCACGCTGAGACTGAGATCGAGTGGGTTGGTGGTACAATGTTTTCAGCAACTGCACAGCATGTTGTTCATCTCCGAGACACTGCCCAACGTTCATGCAAGTCTGTCGCAAACCAACAATGTTATCGTTCATTCTTGAACCACAGCAATTTGGCCCCCGAATTTCTATCCTCCGGCATAGCTGACTGCTTAGGGTACGTCCGGCGCGTGGCAGAGCTGCAGCCGGCGCCATCGTCCTGCACGGGCGATCTTCATGCGACCACTTGAAATGAAAAGCAATACATTCTTGACAATTAAAAGTCTGGGCGAGTCTCCTTTTCTCCCTGTCTCTCCTTTGTGCGCTGTTCAGTCGTCATTGCGGCGTGGTGGCAAGATACTATACTAGGCGTTCAGGGCGTTCTACAACGGCAGAACTAGAGTCAGTTGATCTTGCTTGACAAGGTTAGGTAATGTATGCGACAAACCAAGCCACCCCTACAATGATAATGATACAATTGAGCAAAAGAGCCATACATGAATGATAACATCATTTGTGTTTGTGCCCAATTCAGAAGCAGGGCGTGTTTGGTGTCTCCCGAATTGGTCTATTGCAGATATTGGGGACAGTAATTGTTTAGCATCCACGTCTTCGTGGGTCGAGGAGATTGATATCTGGGCCACCAAGGACGCTAGTTGGCCGCGGTGTCGGTAATGGAGCAAGGCTCTATCATTCCAGATCATAGACGCGGCCCAAGACGGAAGGCAGATAAATTACCTGCAATGGAGACTGATGTATGTAAATGTTGTACGTACCCTGACCCAAGAGAATATGACAACAGTGCACGCAGCACGCAAGGGTCCAAGGGACCCCCAGTCAATGTCAATCCAACGAGGGGATGCTACTGCGAGGGTCGATTCAAGACATGTTGGTGACGTGAAGCTTTCTGACTCGATATCCTCGACGTCGGTAGTTGAGACAGGAACAATGATGAGCATTGTATTCGCTCGAAACGAACAGGATGGAAAATCATATCTGATTCTGTATGAATATCAAGTTTCCATGAATAGAATCGGAAGGTTTATGTAAGAGCAAAGTTTCACGGAGGAATAAACAGCCCTTCCCAAAACCTGGTTTAAACTTGGGACAGAGCCGAGGCACTCCTTACAAGAGGTGCATATTTAAGTCTGTATTGACTAGGATGTAGCTTCGACAGCCACTTTGGTACTTGTAATAGGCTTCGTCTGGTAATTACCAATAGCTGACTTGACAGGGGGAGCTTTCAAGGCGGTTTCATTGTGGCGATCATACTGGTGTGCGTGTTTATAGTGCCTGTCCGTGTTGAATATTGATGAAGCGCTTTCTTTCCGCGATGTTTAGATTGCATGATGATGAATAGGCTGGTACTCTGAGACATCAAATGTCTAGTCAAACTGAAAGAGTCGACCAAGTCGAGTCACATAAATTAACAAATTACAACCGTATATCCGTATTTGCTTTTTGGACCATGGTGGAGCTTCAATGATCAACCGTCCACATCTCGTCTTGGCGAGAACATGTTCTCACTGTTGTAGAAATGAAAGTCACTGAAAATAGGCATAACGTTACTCATGCACACTGCCAATCAAGATACACAGCCCTTGAGAATCTCAATAACCGTTCATCACAGCCGAGGGGCGACACCTGACACACTAGGCTTAGCCAGGACCGTAACGAGTCTAAATGATGGCCCGAAATCTTGACAATTCATGGCGCTAGAGCTGTCCAAACCTGCAATGCACCTATGATACAGGATACATATCGTTCCGCATGTCGCGTCAAGTGCTGATTGATGTAAAAACGGGGTCGTCGTATGTAGGTACATTACCGTAGCGAAGAGGAGTCTCGACGCCCGCAAGCATCTCCTCTGCATCTAGACTAATTGCATCTGTATCCATCCATTGTATCATAAGGCTGCGGGTCGATGAAGAGAGTTTCCGCGGGCACTATTAGTGATGTTAGTACGGAGACGTGCTGTACTGTAGTATTCTATACTGTGCCATGGACAGTGTCGATTTGACAAGACCGGGTATCTCAAAAAGCATTTTCAGCCCTAAGGTCGAGTGGAAGTCACCTCCCTCCAGTACTCTCCTTCTCCAATAGGTGATGTGCATACTGCAACTAGCCCTGCGGCATGGCATGTGCGTGACGGAAGGTACCTGAACCCGCGTATGGCGAACGGTAACTGGAAAGAACGGAGGGGAAGAAGCGAGGCAGTTGCGTTGAAACCAGAAGAGGAAGGAAACTAGGAGGAGAAAGAGAAGGTGAGGTCTCACAAGAGCCTACCACCATCATCGTTTAATCAACACACCATCACCATCGGCATTCCTCAGATTTTCCGCTGTCTTCATCATTCATCATCGACGACATGGGGATATTAGGCGATAGCACACCGACAACTCAGTGCGAAAGATCCTGCAATACTGTTGCATTCAACGGCCCTGGTCTCGTCTGGCACTGGCTACTGGGCTACTTTCTCCCATGAAATGAAATGCCTGTCACACATCCACATCCACATCCATGAGACGGGATGACCCCCTCCCCCTCCTGCAACCTCCCAGGCGTCCAAGACCAAGTCCTTGGCCGAGTACTGGACTGGACTCTGTACGATCAGTCTTGTACAGGATCAGGCTCTGAGAGGGGAGGGATGATGGGTGTCTCCAACCTGCCAGCTTTGCAGTCTGCAGTGCATTTGCGTGCGTCTACGTCTTGCGACTGCATCTGACTGTCACAGCCAGACACCTCCTTGTTGGGTCAAGTCTCGGCATACGTTTCATCCAAGCTCCTCGAAATCTTTGTCTCGATTGGATAGACACGCGAAACTGCCGTCGGGAAATAGATTCTGGTTGTGGCTGTTGCTGTTGCTGACTACGGAGAGACAACCAAACAATTGTCATCGCTGAATTGTTCGAACCGTGTTACACTTACAGATTAACTCTCGCTGCCGCCGTGGCCGCCCGTTGAAAGCTCCGTTCGTCATTTCATTTCCGTCCTTCTCGAATGTCGTGGATAGCTCTGTGCTGCTTACATGCGAACCGATGCATTGAACTCATCAAAGTCCGCTAATCCCGTGCGCGAGGAGCCTCGGACCCTTATTGCTGAGCCACCGGCACTAACAATTAAGAGTCCCTTCTATCGCTATAACAGCCCCTACTACACTGCATATTACTTACAGTATCGTACCGTACCGCACCGCACTGAGCATCAGAGCATCTGGCCTCAGCTCCCTTTGCATTGTTGGCAAAGTGCCCCGAAGGCGCCAGAACCCACATCGCCGTCGTTATATGTCTCTTTGTAACACGCCGTTCACTCGGGCCGGCAGTCCATAGCACGTCCTAGCATCTCTGCTTGACGTTGACTCTCAACTTTGGCTACATACAGTTACTGTATTCAATCTTGACGAGTCCCTTCTAATTCTGATCTGGTCTGGGTTGAAAAGAAGCTAGATTCGCCCCAGTCTCAGTACGGATACTGGTTCTGGACCTTCATCCCACAATCCACATCCGCGCTACCACGCCGCCTCTTTTCCTTACCTGCATTTCCCATCGTGCCCATCTCCCATCTTTCTACAGACCCCCTGGACCTGTCCTGGGCTAGCCTGACCCGTCCCGCCCCTGTCCTGTTCTATCCTGCCTGCTAGTTAAGCCCTGCTCGTGGCCCTGTTGTGATCCAAAGAGCGCCAACCCGAAACTCTCCACCATTTACTCGTCACTAGTCTGGTGAAGTGAGGAGGGGACTGACCCGTCAGGCAATCTGAACAAGTGCTGGCAGGACAGGAACGTTCCCGTCCCATCCCATCCCATCCTATCCCAGATCAGTCTTCAGGGCACCTTGCACACACTCAACTCAAACTCTCCATCCTCCCTCTCTTGTTAGTTCTCCCCTCTAACTTAAGCTGAGAACCAAAACCAAGACCAAGACCAAGCGTTAGGGCCACATCCCCCAAGAACCTGCAGCACTTGATCATTACACACCCTTGCCTTGCCTTGCCTTGTTCTGCCTGCCCACCTACCCGTATGCTTGCTCATGCCCAATGCGCTACAGTACCTACGCTTGCTGCCGCCCTGCCCTGCCCTGTGAGAGCCAGCCAGCCCAGTCCCAGTCCGAGTCCACCTAGTCGAACAAGACAAGACAAAGTCAAAACTCATAACTACCTTAGCACCTAGCCACTCGTAGTGGCCCCCAAACACCCGACCCTGCGGTTCACTTTAAACTCTCTATCCGTACCTACCGTACCGTACTCGACCCAAGCTTCAACCAACTCAAAAGAGTACTTACAGTGCCGTACCCCGACACGCCCCCAGCCAATTCGATAATACTACCTACGTCTTTTTAGCTGGTCTACTTCACCTTAGCTTTCGTACATATCTTTGTCGCTGCTGTATTTTTTCGCCTCCTTCGGATCTTATCTGCACGATCTTTTTTCTTTCACATCCATTATTATACACGTCGCACCACCCGTGCAGCTGCAGCCTATTGTCGCTCATCATCCCATCCGTCTGTCGTTGCTTTTGTCACCTGCCGTCACGACTTAGGTTGTCCCCACGAGCCTCCCTCCACCCCGCGATTCGATTCTCCTCGTCTTGCGCGACAACTACCTACTACTCACCTACTCAATCCTACTCACTACTTGTTCGAGTTCTGTACCACCACGATTGACTACCGTCGACTCTTTCTTTGCGCACGATTTCATGTTGACCGCTACAACTGTCAACACTCGACGTTCTTAGAGGCGCAAAACCTCAGGACTGTTCTGCACCGTAACATGTCCAACGAAGACCCTTCTGTTCGCCGAATTTTACCACAACAATCCCAAATGAATTCCTTTTCGTTTGCGCCGCAGCAATATACGCAGCGCGAGACTCAAAAGAGTGCGTCATTACTCCAAACGATCTTGCATGCAGTGCTCTGGACCTGGAACTAACATATCGGTGTAGACTATGTGTTCGTTGACGAGCACAACCGCCACAAGCGGTTGAAAGGTAGACTTTACCCGTCTCTGGGAATCGGCTTTGCAATTGGTTGCTAAAACTGAATATAGTTATGAGAGCTTGCGAAGGCTGCCGAAGACGGAAGATTAAATGTGATGCCGCAACGACAAACACATGGCCCTGCTCGGCCTGCATACGGCTTAAGCTTCACTGTGTACGACCCAACGGTTTCGATGGAGCCACCGACACGACGACTTATGACACTTCGCCTATGCCTAACGAACAATTTCAGCAAATGTCTATGCAACATCAAGTTATGAACCCAGGCGCCAAGCTTTCGCCAGCTGCCATGTATGGCACCCAACCTCAGCAAGTTTACCCTGATGCGAGCGCTTCATATCAACATGTTGGATATGATACCTCTCAACAGCCGGGTGGTATGCATTACGGAGCTGTTGCGCCTACCGGTTCTATGTTGGATCACCAATATGCGGGCCAGAATGTGTTTCCCACTCCTCCGATGCAGCAGCCCCCACCGCCTCCCGGAGCTCAGCAGCAACCCTCTCCGGAGGCATATTCTTCCCCCGGTGACTACCAGCATCAGGATCTCGCTGATCTTCTAGGAACGCTCAAGGTCAACGAGACGGGCACAGGTATGGCTTGGCGGGTTCCTTCCGCACGAATTGGGCCTTTACTAATATTCATGCAGCTCCATATCTTAGAAATAAGGCATCTTTTAGACATGAAGAGCAACCCGCTGTTGAGGATGCTGATGATTTCCCCGGTGCTCTCCCTCCCATGATGCCTGCTCCCGGTCACAAGATTCGCATCCCACCGGAGTTGATGCCCGATGACGAGACAGCACTGAACTACTTCGACCTTTACTTTACTCACGTCCACCCTTACGTGCCGGTACTATGTAAAACAGTTTTCTACCAGCAGTGGAACACGGATCGAGATGCCATTTCTCCGTTGATTCTCGAGGCGATCTTTGCTATGGGAGGACGACTGGCTGAGGAACCGACCGAGGGCCAGCAATGGCTTGCTCTTGCATCCAGTGAGCACTCCTTTAAAATGTGCCTGGATTTATGAAGTTGAGAAACTAACCGATTTTAGGACACGCCGATTCTTTCATGGATGTTCCCAGATTGAGTACTCTTCAAGCCTTGCTCATGATTCTGAAGGCTCGCGAAGCTGCCCCTAAGAGAGGCTACTATTATCGTTCTTGGATGACAGTTGTGCAGTGTGTTCAGATGGGCAAGGATCTGGGCCTGGATGAACATTATGAGGACCACCAAGCAGGCATGGCCTGTGATTTTACACCCGCCGAATGTCAGCTTCGAAAACGGATCTGGCAGCTGATCTTTGTCTGCGAGGTTATGGTTGGCGCCCCTCAAGGCCGACACGATCATGCTGTCAAACTCAACACTGTTGATTTCACTGCCTCGCGACCAGTTCCCGGATGCGAAGAATCGGAATATCACACGTCACGCAATTTCAGCTACTTCTCCCAGGTTGTGCGAACCGTGGCTGCGATGAGCAAAGTCTACACGAGACTCCGAAGACGCAAAGATTGGGGTGTCGACCCTGAGTTCCAGCAGCTGGGACAAAGCTTCAACACCTGGCTAACAGAGCTTCCCCCGGATTTGGCTATTTCCTTCCCACAGGACGGATCACCCCCCTGGATTCCTTCACACTTTATCGGAAACATGCATGGCTACTACTACCTGGCTCTGATTCTTTTCCATCGACCTATCCTGTCATTCCTTGACCCTAACGCCGCGGACGGCCAGTGGAAACGCCATATGATGATCTGTTACAGCTCCGCCAAGGCCCTGTGCCGTGTACAGGAGGCAACACTCAACACTTTTGGACTTACCGGACTTCAGTGCATGCAGCGAGGCTTCAGCTTTTCCCTCTATGCTGGTCTCTCCTGCATTGTTATTCACTTGGTAGGTCTTCGGAGACGAATGCTCCGGACTCGTACTGACTCGTTGTTAATAGGTTGCCATCGTTTCGCCCGACCCTGAGTTCAACAGTGATGCCCGTGAATACTTTACGAGACATATGAGGGTCTTGGAGAAGGTGATGGAGTCTTGGTCGATGCCCGAGTTGGAGAAGCAGATCAACGCTCTGCGAGAGGCGTTCTCGGCAGATGTCCGAAAGCCATTCGTCCTGAAGCCCAGCTTCCCCTACGGCAGCCCTCACCCATCAACTCATTCCAGCCCTCCTCGAGGTACCGACTCATTCAGGCCAGTGATTCATCGAACAGGATCCATAGACCAGCACTTGGATACACACGGTGCCCAACAAGTCAGTTTTACCAACCACCCCATTACACCTCCTATATCAGCCGGCCCAATGGACAGCAAAAGTGACTCCCCAGCTGTACAGTCGCTCGTTATGATGTCGCAAGGATCACAAGCTCCTGGTATGCCCCAGAGCATGTCGATGGCAGATCAACCGGGATGGAATCCATCTCGTCTATTTGAGTAAGTCGCCAGTGCATTCCTGCTTTTTCTTCTCCCTTTACAACCTGCTAACTTGATGATAGACAATGGAACACCACATTTGGTACGCCCGCCTCCCAACACTCCGCCACTACCCCACCTCACACGAGCCCTCTTAACGCGTCGTCCTCAGGTGCTACCGAAGTTCCCACTATCCAGGATATCCAGGCAGTCCAAGCATCAATGCCAACTGGATCGCATCAAATATCACCACCTCAGTATTCAGCTGCTCCCGTCCCCAACTTTGTCACTCCAGCCATGTGGCAAGAATCGGTTGCAAGCGTTTACGAAGGTGGATTGAAGCGAGGCTGGGACTACGATGGTGTTCCAGTGATGAAGAGACACTGATGAAAAGAGGCTATTGCTGATGGAGCTATCACCTTGTGAGGCTGAATACTCTTGAGGCTGGTTCTTATTAGGCGAACCGCGATCCGGCGACGAGCTCTATGCCAGACTTGACCACGAGCATTGGGTTACTTCTGGCATATCGGGCCGAAGCCACGAGGCTCTCAAGTCTCACAATACTTGTTGATAAGATGACTCCTGGAAATTTTGTGTCTACAACGACAGAATTTGGATGCGGCCAACAACGGGAAGGGGCTTGCATCATTGTACAGAATTCGGTTGATTATATTGGTTTGACGGATAACAAGGGCATATAACGAGCTATGACGGAAGCGTTTTGAACATTCAGAACCGGACGCAGTAAATGCGCCGGGCGAGGTTCTTGAGGTGCGTTTTTGGTTGGACAGGCAGGACCCATGTACCAATATTTGTCTACGTGATTGACGACCTGGAAAGCTTCGGACGGAGCATTGGGAACACAGGAAAACGGAACGGAGTAATGGTTCTTAGATATATCGACTGCCACATAGGAATAGCATGATTGCGTGTGTCTGGCGCTTTGTTTGCATACTTGGTATCTTACCCCTTGCTTTGTGACGTGTCGGCCAAGAAAGCCAGATGAACCCAAGGGCTTGTGATGTCGCAGTACCTGACTTGATAGTAGCGGTATGGAGTTTATAACTTAGCATGTCAGCTATGTTTCATGCTTCCGCCTATCGCAGGGTTTGCATGTGGCACAGCCAAGGTCTTCTGGAACCCCTTGCCTTGATGGTTGAGATCACATCTGATGCTACCAGGTGAGTGACAGAAGAATTCCTGAGGCTAAGAGTGCCAAAGTAAAACAACCTAAGAGCTGGTCCAAGCTAGCATAAGGTAACCAAATTATTTCGTCTCATGCTTTCAGTGGCCAATTCCTCTGACACCCTGAGAGCGACTCATGATCAGCTTGTAAGATTGACGAACACGGTGGCTATTATACAGTGATGGTGTTTCTACATCACACATCTAGAGTGCAGTTCCTACGTACTACTACAATTCACAGCAATTCTACCATAAAACCCAACGAATAGCTCAAATCCTAGGATCACCCTTATAGGGCGACGCAGCCTTCAGAGCTCGATTGTCAATACGCTCCTTGATAGAATCCCAAATCCAGCCATCTACCCTGTCCTTCTTCTTCTGATACCTCACTCTCGTCGTCGGCTTCGTATCCTGAACGTAGAACTTCCCAACGGCACGGAACATGTACCACTTGCGCTGAGCGTTCTCCTCCGTGGTGTCACGCACGTAGTTGACGAGCCCGAAGCGGCGTCGCACAGGACTCAGATCGCCGGCCTGAACGCTGCTGTAGCGAGGCTTGGAGATGGCGCTCATGGTGGCTAGGGTCAGGGGCGTGGTGGGCGGGAGGGTCTTGACGAAGCGTTCCAGAATGGGGCGTGATGTGCGTGCGTAGGGAGGGAGGTGGATGTAGATATGTGTTACGAATGGGGAGGTTATGTAGCCGACGAAAAAGATGGGAACGATGCCGCAGAGGATGACTGGCGTTGTCAGTTGTGGTCTCCTCCTGAATGAGAGATGGACGTACTGCTTGCGGTGACCCATTCGGGCTTTTCAGCTTTTACATAGCTTGGTGCAACTATACCACAGAAGAAAGCACCGAGGAAGAGTGTTGTGATTTTGAGCATGGCCATGAATGTGGTGCGGCCTGTACCGCCATGGTATATGATGAGTCTCTCAGGAAGCTCTAAAGCACAGGTTAGTAAATGCTGCAAAACCGCCTCTGAAGAAGGACATACCGAAGTCTTTGCCCTCCTTGGCTACAGCTCTAGCCTGTCGCTTAAGCTCATCTTCTATCCTGTTTGGCTTTTTGGGTGCATGTGAGGGTTTGGAGTAGCATCTCAATTGAGCTTGTAGAGATTTTTGAAGTGAGCGCTGGAAGCTTCGAGGGAGAGCTGAGGTCTGTATGGGTGTTGCTTGACGGGTGATTGAGAACAACTGAACGGGCCGTAGCCGTGGTATTATCATTCTTAGTTGAAGCATTGTGATTGATGTGTGAGTGTTGGCTTAATGAGAAGGTCATGAGCATGTAGTCAAAAAAGAGGCCATTCTAGTGGGGGAGAAGCACGCGGTTCAGCGCACTATTTCGCACAGGGCTGACAGAGATTATCACCATAAACACCACTAATACGGATTGATGGTGACAGCTTCAATTGTCTTACATAGAGAACTTCATTATCATTAGAGCTTATGGCTCATATTTCTATTACCCTCCAATGGTAGTCAGACAACATTCTTCTGCAGCCATTCAACCCACTGGTCCTTGTTCCAGCTTGAGCTAACATCCTGCACAACACCATCAAACACAGCAGTAGGCGTAACGTGCACTCCAATCAGACGGTTCATCTTGGTGATAACCTTGAGGTCGTTGGTGACCTGGTTCCCCGCATTGAGAGCACCATCCTCCCCAGCCTTGTCAGGAATCACAAGCAGCTCATATACTTTGTTCTCATCAACACCGGTCTTGGCAGCAATCTTGGCCAGACGGCGGTACGTATCATTGCGTGTCTCGTTAACGACTGAAACATCAAAGAAGCTCTTCTGCTCCTCAAACAGCGCAGCACTAAAGTCCCAGAAGCGCTCGGGTGCAAGACGAAGAACTGCAAGGGCGGCCTCGTGCATGAGGGTTGACGAAGGGTGCCATGGCTGGACCTGCTGGCGGAAGATAAGGGTGAGGCTCGAAGCCCAGCCTTCGTTGGCTTTGATAGCGGGGATCACATCGGAACGGAGGGTGCGGAAGATCTTGGCGGAGAAGGGACAGCAGTAGTCGAGGTAGAACTCGAGGACGTGAGTTGTGTGTGCGACGCCTGAGTCTGAGGCGGGAGGGTGGGCGAATTGGAGCTTTTGCCCGGCGAATTTAGGAGGGAGAGCCATGGTTGCAGTAGAAGCGATATGTTGTTAGTTGATAGGTGAGGTGAGGTTTGGACTACGATGTTGAGATATGAGAGCCTGAGCTTTGAATACATGTGAATGATGATGTCAGCTGCATCACGCCTTACCTTATGTAAGCTCTTCCATCTCGTATAAGATCATAGACATCAAGGTAAGAAAGACCCATCTCATGATGCCCGCTGATTTCTCACTCATAGCTCATGCCTTCCATTTTATTAGGTTCTTATGTTCTGACTTTCGGCAGTTGCTTATCGCAGTCAAGTCAGCTTTGATAGAGCTGATGAGAAAAGACTGCCAATGATGGATCCCTGCTGGTAACTACAAAACCAGGAATAATCAATTGGTGGGGAAGAGTTCATGACCAGACGCATCATCGATGCAACGACCGGATCTATATCGTCACTGGGGCCTCATTTGATTCCGAAGTTTACCGCATCATCGGAGCCCAAGAATATGATGGAGGTATCTCGAGCTTTCACCACGCTAGTCTAGCTCTATGATGATTCTATGCTTAATTTATGAATCTCTCTGCCATGTGCAACAAGTCAGGTGAGCCTCGGGATATTTTTAAGCTTACAAGGACTACGTAACCTTCACCGTATACACGTTGTGCGTTTAACAGCAGAGTCTAGACTACCATCGATTCAAGACAAGCAGATACGGTAAAGCAAAAATAATGCACTTGGATCTTTCGGGCTTCACCTCGATTCACCGAAGTGACATGGAAGTTAGCACGGCATTAGAACGCCAAGACGGGGAGACTAAAGGCTCTGCCGTCATGGAAAACCAATAAAGTCTTTTTTCCATACGCTTGGCTTCTTGACCGTGATCCCATGTCTAAGACGGAAGGGCGTATTCATTGCGTATTCCCTTGCGAGGTTACGAAACAAATTAAAAAGAGAAATCAACGCTTGTTGTCTCGGCGGTCTTGAAGTTTTTGTTATCGTCAAGTGATCAATAGTTTTCGCTGGTGGCTGGACTTGGATGTCCAGGATCTTGGATCGGGTTCTATTCATGGATCCTGGTTTAAAGACTACGGAGGCTTCCCGAGCTTCTGAGCCGCAGATTTCTTTAACAGTCCCGGCCGTTGTCCGGGAGCTGACGGAGGAGAGATTGCGGGGAAGGCGGGAGGTACTTTGAATTGGTAGTAATTCTCCGTGTAGAACTGTGTATCTCATGTCCATGGCTGTCGTCGGTTCTTGCATTTTATGATCTGGACTGGTCTTGGTCACGCGGGCGAAACCGGGGATCTTGACTTCCTTTTCCTGATTTGGCGGGGCTCCTCCCCCAGTTTCTGAATGTCGTTCCCGTCTCAGGGCAGGTGCGAGTGGATACGACAGCCCCCAGTCAGCGTCACTAGCGCCGTATCGTCTCCAAAGTGCAGGTGCATTGGATGGATTGCATGCATTTTAACCCTTTTGTCCTGCCGTTTTAACGATTGGACAAACCGTAAAATACTTTATCTATCAAGCTCCCCGTCAAATCTCAATTGCTCTAGTTTCAACTTTTTGAGATCGATATTGTTTACTTTTGATCATTGATAAATTATTGATTACTACTCGGTCCGATTCTGTCTCGTCTTTTGTGCTGTCGCGTGGCCTCTTTACTTGTGAAGGAATTTAACGTCTAGTCATCGTCTACAGTACTAGCGACCCTTTTCAATCGCCACTACATCAATCCACGATCCAAGCGATCAATCCAACAGTTCACAATGATTTGTCTCTCTAAGGCAGACGAATCTTACTACCAGCGTTTGACCTGGAACCAGGCTCCTTCGCCCTTGGCTGCTAAGCATACTACGCGCCAGGATCTCAATGGCATCTCCAATCTTCGCGAACACGTCGACGCTGCCCAGGATGATGGAAGTGGAGGGACGGCTGGGGGCTTACTGAATGGGCACGACGATAGTAATCAAGCAGGGAATCATCTTACAGAGCCTTTCAAAGGCTCTATTAAGGATGCGGGACGACTGTCCCGTATCTCGGGTAAGTTCAAAATCTCATGATTCTCCCTTGTCAAACCCACATATAAGTACTAACAACCCCAGGACCGTCCTCGTGTCTTAAGACGGTTGATGGTGGTGATGGCCATCTCCGTCTTCATCGAGGCACTCTCTCGTCATGTGCCTCGCACATCTGGAGTTGGACTGTTTGGGTCCTCTCTGTCCTTGTCGTCTCTACGATCATCTCTTACTGGAACTCCCCTGCGCCTGCTGTCATGACTTCGCCACCCAAGGTTCAAGAGTCGATTCCCGCCCAAGTCTCGCCTCTACGCAAGCGAGCTAGCACCTGCGAATCTGGAGGCGTCAACAAGGCTGATTACAACACTCCTCTTCATGTCGGCGCACTCTTTATTATTTTGGGTGTTTCGACCCTCGCTTGTGCATTCCCCATCATGGCTGCCAAGTTCCCAGGGCTGAGGATCCCGACTCGCTTCTTCTTTGCCGTCCGTCATTTCGGTACTGGTGTGCTGATCGCCACAGCTTTCGTCCATCTCCTCCCAACAGCCTTCATCTCTCTTGGTGACCCTTGTTTGAGTAGCTTCTGGAACACAGATTACCAGGCTATGCCTGGCGCTATCGCTCTTGCAGCTATCTTTCTTGTCACTGTGATTGAAATGGTGTTCCACCCCTCCCGACATGTTTCTCCCGCTCAGATTACCACACCTAAGGAAGGAGGTGCTTCTTCAAACAGCGGCGGTTGCATGGGGGGTACAGGTATGCTCCCAATTCGGGACATGGGACCTATCCGTGGACGATCATCAAGCATTGGCCAGAATCTGTCTGCCCTTAACAGCAGGGACGTTCGTATGGAGGATCTGGAAGAGGAAGCTTGCGAAGATGACGACAATGTCCAATCCGGAAGAAAGAACCTCGAGGAGACGAGCCTCGAGGCTGTACAGATGCCAGTTCTGACCCCAGAGCAGCAGCAACGCAAGGAGCTTCTCCAGTGTGTTCTGCTTGAGCTTGGTATCCTCTTCCACAGCATCTTTATTGGTATGGCGCTTAGCGTTTCGATCGGCAACGAGTTTATCATTCTTCTGATTGCCATTGTCTTCCACCGTAAGTTGATTCATCCCACTAGTATTCTTGTTGCATTGGTGGCTGACCTGGATACAGAGACTTTTGAAGGTTTGGCGTTGGGCTCCCGAATTGCTGCCATCAAGTGGCCCCAGGGTAAACTGCAGCCTTGGTTCATGGCCCTCGCCTATGGATGCACGTAAGTAGTCATCTTACCCCTATCGTCGTATCTTCACTGACAATGAAACCAGTACCCCTCTGGGACAAGCCATCGGTCTTGCCACCCACACTCTCTACAGCCCCAACTCTGAAACTGGGCTCATCGTGGTGGGCGTCATGAATGCCATCTCAGCTGGATTGCTTACTTTTGCCTCCCTGGTTGAGCTTCTCTCGCAAGATTTCCTTAGCGATGAGAGTTGGCAGTTCCTCCGTGGCCGCAAGCGTATTTATGCTTGCCTCCTTGTGTTCTTCGGGGCTTTCTTCATGAGTCTCGTGGGCGCTTGGGCTTGATGGAGTTGCTCGCAGTTCTGTTATGGGTTCGTTTGGAGCACTATATCAGAATGTAAGGGGGCGGTCGGCGCGAGTCGTTAAATAAGCCGTGCCCTTTGATACTTAAAGTAGCGCAAAGTCTCGCGACAACTTTCTTTCTACACTTCACGCCTTGTGATTTGAAGCGTTGCTTTCGGCATGCTTCGTTTACGGCAATTCTCTTTCTTACATTCACATGCTCAGACTTGGCGCCTGAGCAGTGACTTGAACATTGTTGTTCAGTGTGGTTCATTTTTGCATTTCTTTTGCAGTAATTGTGCTACTGCAGCCATTCCTTTTGCGACAAACACAAAAGTCCAGAGGGTGCTGGGAATCTCCAGGTGCATTGAGTAGCTACGTTATCCTGTAGTACATATAGGAGAATTATATGTACGGGTAGAATAGCCTTATCATTATATGGTTTCTCGAAACCCACTCTAGACTGGACAAGCTCCAAATACACTCATTCATTATATCATACATCGCCATGACTGACAACATTCCACCTGTGGTTCATATTGTACAACGATTTCCGTGGAGCGATATCCGAGGACGAGTGGTAGGTTCGTTTATTGTGCTTCATGTTCTAACTAACTCTTATGATACAGTGTTCTTGTCAACGATACCACGAGCAAACTCTCCAAATGTGAGGTGCTGCTCAATATCAACCTCTTCACCCAAGTTAGGCTGAGTGAACACTGCCAAAGTATTACGAGCAACCTTTCCATCGCTAACACTGGGTCTTACACCCCTGACAAAGTGAGGTACAGCCTTGAAGCGACCAGCAGTAATACGTTCGAGGGCCTCGCCAGTCTGGAAGGCAATGCAGTCGCGGGGGATCTTGACTTGCACAGTCTCGCCGGTGCGGGACTTGATATACAAACCAGCTGAAGGATCAGGAGAGGAAGGAAGCTCGTCAAGAGGTGGGAGAGAAGCACCGTTCAGGTTTGTGACATCTGGTACAGCAGGGCTAGTCTTATGCTCATCGATGAACATGGCCGATGTAAGACCTGTCAAACATCCGTGGTCAAGATGTGTAGCACACCAATCATCCTCATCACCTCCATTCGCACTAGGCTCGGACTCTTGAGGGTAGTAGTGCAAAAGACGAGCTTTAGTGGTACTAGAGGTACTGACGACATGCTCGAGATACCCAGTAGGATAACCAGGGATATCCTCTTGTGCAAAACGATCGCATGCGCGAGCGACTAGAACGGCTACGTCGATGATGAGACGGCATAGTGAAGTCACAGAGGGCTTGAAGCCAGGGAGGACACCCTCTGGTGGCCAGACGTTAGGAGCCAGATACTCTGGGAATGTGTCGATGGAGAACTCTTCGGTGGGCTTGGCGCATTCGAGGGATGGGTCGATGTAGAATGCGCAGTTGGCGTAGTATGAGCCCTTGAAGGTGTCGACTTGGCCATTCTTGAGAGTTTCCTTGCCGAGGGACCAGCCGGTTAGGTATTTGGCTCGGGCATTCTCAAGTTTCTCTTCAAGCTTGTCAGAAGAATGACATTAGTTTTGAGAGTTGATGGCTACATACCGAGCTCCTCCTTTGGGAGGTTACCAAGATACGAGGCGTAAGAAAGGGCCTGGTGTCTAAGTTCAGGGAATTCTTCAGGAACATCCTTTACTACGAGGATTCCGAGAGAGTCTGGACCAAAGGCTTGCTTAAGGGTCTCGAAGGAGATGTTACCTGTGGATCATTAGTGTCGGCTCGCTTACATAGAAAAACTGGGAGCTTTTTCTCATCATGAGAGCGGCGCTATCATGAGTGTAAGAGTCGCGGAATACATACCATCCTTAAGGTCCTTGAGAGACACGGAAACAGCTTGTGCTTGAGCGACCATCTTGAAATACAAACAGAAATGTCTCAATCAAATGAATATGAGACTATCATGAAAATAAAAGTCAGAAGATCATTCATGTTAATCTATCTCTCTTACAGAAGGTTACAGTACCATGAGTTGCGGGGGAGAATTACATAACCAATCACCTTCCTTGAACTGACCTGTCGTCAGCGGTGGAGCTCGCCGTATCCCGGCGTTGACCGTCGGTCCAAATTCAACACAGAGCTTCCATCAACTAAATCACAACCAACAACCATGGTTAAACCATTGTCATTCAAAGGCGACAAGAAAGTCAAGAAGCGCAAGAGAACAGACGCCGAGAAATCATCCCGCGACGATGCTGCCGTAAACGAAGAAACGCAGGTCCAAAAGACGGGCGAAGAGACAGAGAATGACGATAGCTGGGTTTCCGCTGAGACGGATACTGATGTCGTGGGACCGATTATGATTGTTCTACCGACGGATACACCTTCAGCTCTGGCTTGCGATGCAGCTGGGAAGGTGTTTACTATTCCGATTGAGAATATCGTTGATGGGAATCCTTCTACCGCGGAACCGCATGATGTGCGACAGGTCTGGGTTGCGAATCGCGTAGCTGGGACAGAAAACTTTCGCTTCAAGGGACATCATGGGAAGTAAGTACATACAATATCTATACCTACTTCTATGGGCACACAACTAATGCGCAAACTATAGATACTTATCATGCGACAAAATCGGTCTATTGTCAGCTACATCAGAAGCCGTATCCCCCCTCGAATCCTTCAACATAATCCCCACGGCCGATACACCAGGAACATTCCAAATCCAGACCCTACGCGACACATTCCTAACCATCAAAGCCCCGAACAAAGCATCATCCAAGTCCTGCGACGTGCGCGGCGACGCAGATACCATCACGTTCGACACAACGCTGCGCATCAGAATGCAGGCGCGTTTCAAGCCCAAGCTGCGCGCGTCCAAAGAGGAGAAGGCGCATGCTAAGATTAGTCGGCGCGAATTGGAGGAGGCGGCGGGGAGACGGTTGGATGAGGATGAGGTGAGGAAGTTGAAGAGGGCGAGGAGGGAGGGTGATTATCATGAGAGGTTGTTGGAGATTAAAGTGAAGAGCAAGCATGACAAGTTTGGTTGAACAAGAATCCGGCCGATTTAGCAATGGGAGAGAGCGAAAGAGCTACGTTCTGGGACAGCATGAGAGCTGGTGAGTGAGCACTGATTCTTATGGATGCTCCCAGTGTTCGCTAATCCTCCATCTCCAGCTCAGCAGATTCCACAGCCCTCAAAAGCTTCGTACAGTTTGCGGCTGAGGCTTAGCTGTGCCAAAAGGAATTAGCCGCTAAAAGCATAAGAAAACGAAATAATTTAATCACTTTACTCTAATTCGGACCAGCACTCAATTTACCTTATTTCAGCATCACAAGCCTTAGAGGACAGTTCCTCTGTTGCCAACCTGGCTGGGTGCGACATGGAAACAGCTGTACGGTTGAACCCCTATCTAAACTCAGCTCACAATCACAGACACAGAACTCTCATATAAAAAATCAGGCGCGTTTTGGTATTATCAATCATGGCGTTCTTAGTTATATAGTTAGTGTCTAGAGTACAGGCCAAAAGGAGTTGCGAACCTCCCTCAAAATAATCATAACGAGCTTTCCCTATAAGAAAGACACTGATGTAACGGCATACATTCCGAGTCCGCGTCCCCCGTCGCCTTTTAAGAAATTCCAAAAAACTAGAAGAAAAGCACTAAATGAACAATTGGACAAATAACTGAAAGCAGTAAAAACGCTGATGTGATACAAGCACTCCCTTCTCGCTTTGCTCCCTTGGAAGTATGCTCCCCCCTACTTTGACCTCTTACTCATGCTCTCTGTTCAGCCCCTGGCAAGACGGGGACTGAATCGTGACTTCTTCGCTGGCGGACTAAGAATCTTGTCCGCAGACCTCTTTCGTGGTGCCTTACCGTTAAGCTTCAGGATGGGCTGTGGAACTGATGTAATCACGACCTCTTCGTCGCGCTGTTGTTCCGGCTCCTGCTGCTGTTGGGAGTTAGAGGGCTAGTCCATCTCCACATCTTCAGTAGCGCTGGGCGGAACGACGCCATCATCCATCCACTTGCGGAAGTTCTTGTTTTGTTCCTGAACCTCCTCTGGGCTGAGATCCTTCGTCCATGCTGGGTTGTGCACCCACTTCTCGAGAAGCTTGTTCTCTCGGTGTGTGCTCAGAGCCCGGGTGAACTTCTCACGCTGTTGGCGTTGCTCAGCCGACTTGGGAGCCTGGTCGTAAACGACGTATTCCGAAGTTCCAGGAGCCCAGACCATCTTTGAACTCTTAAGGCAAATGCTGATCGTCAGGTTCTCCTTATAGGACACAGGCTTGGGAATAGCATCGTCGTCATTATCGGTATCGGCAGATGGAAGGTTGCGGGAGAGCACCACCTTCTGGAGCTTCGATCTAGGAACTCCCTCGGTGGGCTCGACCCGAATGAAGGACGAGATATAGTATTGCCAGCGCTCGCGCAACTGCATCTCATCCATATAGAATGTTGTCTCCTCCCGTTGAAGCCATCGTACGGTAGCCTCAGACTTGGCAGGTAGCTAAAATTCGTGTTACTGATATGCACATGAAAAACAAGATGTTTTGACTTACCCAGCATATCACAAAGATATCTCCGTCCTTGACACACTTCTCTGCGAACTTGCGAGCACTGATCTCGGTCTGGAAACTTGTCTCTTCTCGTTCACGACTGGCCTGGTACTGAGCAATCAGATCGGGAGTCTTCTCCTTGGCGTCTGTGCTACTGCAGGTGAGAGCGAGACGGCAAAGAGTTTTCAATAGATCCTGGATCGTATACACCTTCCATCCAGTCTTGAGGTAGTAATGTCGCATGACATCCTGATAACGACTCTCGTCCACATCGCCTGAGATGTATTCCTCGATTAGCTCAAGGGTCTTGGGCCAGTAGCTATCAGAGTCATCGTTGGTGTCGAAGAACTTCATGTGGTTCTCTGTGAAACCAATGTCCCGGGCAGGTTTCTGTTTGTTGAGACGTTCAACCTCCTTGGCGACCACATCCTTAGCCTCCTTGAGATCTTGAAGACGTCTATACAGAGTCTGGAAAATGCTGAAGAAAACAAACAAAGTTTGGTTGCAGAAGAAGTTGTACCATGGACGAGTGAAGAAGCCATCGGCCTTCAGCTCACCATCCGAACTCAGAATAGCGTCGCTCTCGCCAACAACGACGGGTTTGGGAACGTTGGGCATCCAGCGATCGTTAGAAACCTCTGTGTTGGCGGCGTCCTCTGAGGCGTCAGGCATTTCCTCTTCGTTCGCGGAGGTGACATCAGGGGTAGTCTCCTTACTTCCGGGAGTGCTATCCTCCTTGTTGCCGCGGGGTTGTTTGCTGCCGTTGCGACCAGGGTCGAGAACTCCTCGGAGGAGATCACCCTTGCGACCGTTACGTCGAGTACGACCGTTTGTAAGCTCCGCAGGTGTATGATCCTCGACTTCTTCTTCGCCAGAGTCTGGCTGCATCTTGGGGAGCTTGTCCTGTATGCTATCCTCAGGGATGTCAAAGAACATAGGGATAAAAGACTCGAAGAATTCGAGAATGCGCTCCTTCTCCTGGCTGCTGTGCTGACCATTGTGCAAGCTGTACAGCATCATTAGGCGTAGCAGATCAATGATGGTATCCTTGTCGCTAAAGTCCCAGCTGAACTGATGGCGAGGGATTCCGCCCTTCAATGATCGTTCACGGCGCTGCTCCTCGTGCTTTGTCTTGATGACGTCGACAAGATGCTTTGCGGTGAGATGTCGCTTGTCGTTTTGCTTAACCAGGATACCCATGTGATCCAAACTCTTGAGGTGCATGTTCTCGGTCTGAGCATGCCAAACCTTCTCCCACTCACGTTGAGAGAATCGCCATTCCTCGTCCTTCTGCTTCATACGGGCCAACAGAACAGGCACAACGTCGAAAGGATGAGTGAACATATCGTTGACGACGTCAATACCTCGATCACCATAGATTTTCTTGCATATACGCTTGAAAATGGATGTGCTTTGACCTGCGAGAGCAACGGGCATTTGGAAGGTCTCCCTTTCGGGGGCAGACATTGCGAGCATCTGTTGTGCGATAGGCTCCAAGAGTTGGATACACTTGAGGTTAGCTTCAATATTGAAATCGTAGTCGTGGCGCTCCTCCTCAATACGGTGAAGGCCTTCTTCGAACTGATTCTTTCTATGAGCAACAAAACCGCTGTCTTCGGACGCCCAGGTAGGGTGAGAAGCCCACTCGTCGTTCAACACAGAGTTGCACAGCTCGTCACGACCACTGCAGGGCTTAAGGCGTTCCCGCTTAGGAAGTAATCGATAACTAGGCCCATACCCTCGGCAGTTACTGAGAGACACCTTGTCTGTCGGAGGCGCGGGACGGTTGTCAATAATAACGTCTTGAGTGTCGACACCTACAAAGGTCTTCCAGAAGGTCATCAGGTCAGGGTTGGCACCGATGAAAAGTGCACCCTTATGGAATAACGTGTTACGGTCGATGATGTTCTGGCTGAAGAGATTGCAGAGTTTCAGAAACTCGTTCATTGACGACCTGTTGCTGAGGTACTTCTTGACCCGCTCAAAGAAGGCGATTTCCTCTTGGTTCGTTGTTGAAGAGGACCTGGCAGGGTAAGGCTCCGGCATGACAGGCGTCAATGTCGGTTCGACTGCTGAGGTGTCACCAAGTGGTCTTGCATGGTTGAATTTAGGTCTCTTGTTACCGTTCACAGCAGGAGGCGCAAGGCGCGCTGCTGCAGTCGCCTCCGCGAGGACAGTTGCAGGCTGGGCAGCCTGTTTGTCAGCTCGTGGGCGCTTTTTATTATCCTTGGTGGCACTAGCAGGTGGTGCAAAGCTACCAAGCGGAGGCATCTTCTGTCCATCTCTCATGGCAGGCTGAGGTGTCTGGTTGGGACCGGACGGAGGTCCGTCTTCCATTCGGTTAGGGGTTTGCTTAGCCTGGCCAGCAGATTCTGGTAGGAATTGCTTGAAGTCTTCGAGAAGGTCGGGAGCTGAATTAAATAAAGTAGTTACCTGCGCGTATACGTCCTGGATGGGCTTTTGTTCGCGCTGGTATGTTTGGAGTATCTCAAGAAATTGTTTATAAATCTCAGGCTTGTCCTGGAAGCGGTTCTTTGCCATGATTAGTACATCCGACGCTTAGACAGAAACTATTCCGAGCAGTGGGTTTTACCTTGATCTTATTCACGTAGCTAATGGCGTGGTTGAATTCAACTGGTCCTCGGCGTTCCATGTTTGCCTGGTTCGCCGCATTGCCGTTGACTGCAGCTTGTCCTGGGGTGGGTGTTAATGCTTGACGAGCATTGGGACCATCAGCAGGAGCCGCGCTACCTTGAGGCAGAGCCCGTCGCTGACCGGACTGATTGCTTTCGTTGAACGCAGCATTGTGGGCCGCAGCTTGTACAAAGAGACTCGCACCATTCTGCACTGGAGTACTGAACTGGGCCTCTGGGCTCTCGATACTATGCTGAGGTCTCTGCTGCTGCTGCTGCCATTGTCCACCCCGCTCCGGGAACAAAGGCTGGTTAGCTGCAGGACCGTGGCCATCCTGGTTTCCGCGTCCAGTGATAGACTGGACCGTGGTTCCCATAGGTGTAGTAACTCGGATTGTATTGGGATCGTTGCCCGCGCCGCACTCGATACGATAGCCAGGAGGCAAAAAAGTATTAAACCCTTGGATAAGATTCGGGTGCCCGGCGAAGAGCTCCGACACTCGGTTTATGACGCCCGGAGTATCAATACTGTGCCCCTGTTAGCTGACTTCCAATCACTAGATCCAAAGGGAGGCATACGCCTGGCTCTTGAAGTCTTTCATAATATCAAGGAATCGGTTGTAAACATCTGGTTGATCGTGGAACTGGACTTTAACCTGGTCGAGATAGGTGAGAGCATCCTAGCGAAAGAGAAGTAATTAGCGACCAGTAGATAGTAAGCGGTGTTAACGAAGATAATTGCTACATTGACGAATGGAAATGAAGCAGAGAGCCCAGCTTCTTGACCATGAAGGAGCACCATGCCCTCCCCCTCGTAGTTGAAAATGCCAACGAGGTTTCCTGGTTTTGCCGGAAGGCTCGCCAGGAGAGCATGAGCCTCCATGTTCGGCAAACGAATCCTATCGCAATAAGGAAGCGGGTGCGCCACAAACCGAATGCCCAAGGTGATGTGTAATACACAAGATCTGGCGGGGCATTTGGAAAGGTCCGAATGGGGGATGATTGAAGCTCAGCTGCATGGGGCCAAGAGGGTGGAGGATGGAAAGGTTGCGCATCCTTTGGCAGTGGCCCGCGCTGTCGTATCACCAGGTCGTAAAAGCAAACCTGGCGGGTGGCTGCCGGGTGCGCAAACGGCTGCCAGTGCCGCTGCCCCTCCAGTGACGACAACCCGTTTTCTCCAACAACCAATTACGAACAAATTTTACTTACATTAAGAATAGGCTGCTGGCCTTGGGTAATACCTCCAGGAAGTTGATGAGCTGCTGATGTAGCTCCTGGGTTGAATGGCGCGCCCTGCTGAGCCCCTCGTTGGCCCTCCTGAGGCTGTTGCTGTAGAGGACCGCCAAAGACAGCTGCCACGCTATTGGCAGCAGCCTGTGTCGAGGGCGGTCCAGTCGCATGCGGCATCGGAGCAAACATTTGAGGTTGAGTGTTGCCGTTATTCGGTCCACCGTGTTGGACCGGTCGATTGTGTTCGTTTTGTAGGGGTCCTCCAAAGGCGGCTAGAGGACCACCTGATGAAGTACTGAGGGGCATCTGAGGGTTCCCGTTATGGTTTGCGAGCAGTCCCCCAGGGCTGTGGATTGCACCGGAAATCCGCGACGCGACAGGCTGGTGGATGGGAATGGAACCAGCGCTGCTATGGTGAGGTGTTGATTGGTATCGTTCGTTGGACTCTCGGTCCCGGTCGCGCTCACGATCGCGCTCACGTTCTCGTTCTCGCTCTTGGTCCCGACGGGCCATCTCCTCGCGTTGTTGTAAAGCTCGGTGTCTGTCGTCCATTTCGCGGTCTCGATCGTATCCTGCAGGGCCAAGATTCTGGCTGTTCATGCTGTTCTAAACAACTGAAGCGTTAGCAGAACATTCTAATTGATGATGTGCACCGTATTGTTTCAAATTCAAAATCCCAAGGGCTTTGGTAAAGAGTATCACGGCAAGACAAATAGATCGTGGGTGTTGTGCGCGTGGGCGACAAGCGACGCCCAGAGATCAGGAGAACAGAAGGATGATTCGCGACATCCTCAATGCAAAGACTTACACCAGGTAGAATAAGGCTATCGCCGGTAGAACTCTACATGGAGACGAGTTCGCGCAAGAACAGTAATGAGAATGATAAAGACACGAAGGCTGAAATAGTTGTTGACGAGGGGTGCTTCGTCGTGTGTAAAACCTAGCTGCGTACAAATGTTGCGAGCTTCCTGCGGCTAGGGTGACGCCGATTGTATTGACACGATCACGTGGTGATAGCAAAGTGGGGCGTCGCGGCGGAATTGATTCGCTGTGTCTCCTTATCTTATCTTTTTCCACTCAGCCTTGTTGTTCGATGATGAAACTTGTGTAAACATGACTACGGTCTGTACCGGCACAATTTCTCGTCAAAGTCGCTTCTTTTCTCATACGTGCATCCTATTCGCATATAGGTTCGGTTACACGGGCACCTGCATCTTTTTTTTTCTCCCCATTCCCTGCCATGACAAGACTGAACTGCCAAGTGGGGCAAGGCTCTGTCTTGTAAATCAAAATTGGTTCATAGGGGCAATCAATTCTCCGATGCCGGAAATGGCAAGACGGGCCATATGATGAAAGAGAGCACCCATTGGTATCAAATCTATGAAAACTCCTGAGGCATGCCAAAGAAACTCGATATGTTATAAGCGCCACCCAATAGTCTCAGCATGTTTGGTACGCCCGTCATGTATGCCTATGCCCGATTTAATTTGCAACCCATCCCGAAATTCCGTGTGCAAAAGATAGGTCATAAATATGAGCCCAAGGTCTCGTGAAGAACCGTCCCTTTCATAAGCCCGGTGCTACCAGCAATGCTCGCCATCCCATGAAAATCGCAAAAAGAAGGTTCCAAAGAAACAGAGTTGATTCGATGTAACGAGTAATGTCGAAACTCAGCGTGACAAGTATAAATGCTTGTCGGTAACTTCCCATTCTGTAATAGCGAGGCTTTGGGAAGTTGTTGGAGCCGTTGTTGTTTTAGTTACTGTGCTGTGGCGGATCAGGTCCATGAAATAGGTCCCTTTAGAAATAAGTATACCCACAGCTTCACCTGAATGGACGTTAGGTACAGATTTCTCAGCGCATCTGGGTGACTTACCAATACTGAAGAGCCATAGGTTTCGCACGGCTGAAGGCTCAAGCCTGTATGACCCCATCACAAGTGATAGAAACGGGCAAACGACATAGGGCCACAGCCAGGAAACGAGACCATTGAACATATATCCCTGAAGCCCGGCAGCTGAAGCGGCGGTCTCTTCAAGAACGTCAAGTACCTGGTTGGACTTCTGCAAAGCCTCATCCAATCGAGTCTCGTGGTTGCCATATTTGAGGGCCAGGTTGTCGGCCAGTTCTTCCAGTTTGGTCATGCCCTATGACTGATCAGCTCAACACTCGAACATATAGGAGACAAGAACTTACTTCTTCAATCTTGGCCTGTTTCTCCAAGACATCCGCACTCTTGACTGCCGCCAGTTCCTGGTCAAGCCGTTAGTCTCATCCCAAGGCTGGCGCATGAAACCTACTATTTGGCTATGTGAGGATGTGACCGCTGCGGCGAGTGCTGTCATCAGAAGTCCAACCTCATCGTTCAGCTTTTGGGTACTTGTTCGAAGAGCAACCTCCTGGGACGAAGCAATATTGTCTGACCTCTCTTGGACTGCATGTACGAGAATCTCCAAAAGATCATGAAGTGTTTGCGCCTCTTCCAGGCCACTTCTCACAATATCGCGAGAGTCCTGTATCCGTCAGTCCACTGCTCCATATGGTTCAAGACCTGCATACCTGAACCGCATGGCGCAGATCATTTCGCAGGATCGCGCCAGCTTTTTCCATATCCATTTGGAAATGCTTAGCTCGAAGGCCCATACTCTCAACAGATTGGCTAGTGGCGTCGAAAGCTCGGTTGAGAGATCGGAAACGCTCTTCCATATCTGCCTCGATGTTGTCGGTAAGCTTCTCCAGGATCTTGGTGATTTTTTGATAAACGAAGATGTCCTCGTCTGGCAAAGTTGTTAGCGTGACTCATTTGACAGTCCTCAAACTTCACTGACCTTTCCGGTTGTCCACTCTTGCAGCGTCGCAGAACCTCAGCGCTTTGTGTCGGTAGCTTACCCAAGTGTTCCAAGCGGAATCCGACTGCGCAAGACCCTCGAGGCACTCATCAATCTCGTTAGTCGCGACGTGAAGCTCCGCGACGGTTGGGGTAGGAAGCGCAGCCAGGAATGGTTCTCGGAACTTGAAGCACGATTTTGGAATTGTGAAGCTACCGCGTTCCAAGTCGCAAATCGCAAGGCTCGCCGCATAGAAGTCTACAAAGTCCCGCGCCGCTCTTCCACTGTCAGTATGTATCTTCGCCTCGTTCTGACCATCCAAAAGATGGCAGTTGTTCACGAGTTGGCGGGCAGCGATCCGGTGACAAAGAGGCTCCGACTCCAACTGTTGGAGCTCTTCCAGAGCGGTGCTGTAGACGCCTGAAAGTTTGCGATATGATTCAACTGTGACTTGGTTCCCTCCTATGATAATGTTAACCTCAGGTCGCATACGCAAAACATGCCACTATACCGTTAGAAAGCATATGGGGCCTCCATGAGAAACAGTTGGCCGGTCGGGCGAAGAAAGAAAGGAAGGAGAGTCCCAAAAAGAGCATGATGGTCAGCTTGGAGGGCATCTTGATAGACGACATCAAGCATGAGCGACCTGAATAGGGAGTCTTGAAGGGTTACCGCTTTGGATCAAAGTTCGAGATAATAAGAAAAGAAGAAGCCTTTGAGGATAGGTAGGTTACTTGGTGGAAAGATGAAAGCGGAGTGGTGGGGGAGGGAAGGAGGGAGGAAGGTAATGTGGGAAGGTAGGTAGGTAGGTAGGTAGTGTGCGAGGAAGGCGATGTGCGATAGTAAGTGGAAGGCAGCATCAGCCCGCTCCTTCTCTAAAAGAAATGCTCCAACTTCTGAAAGAGGAGCACCCACTTGCATAGGATTTTTCTGCACTCTTTGCGCAAACAGCTCCGAACTAGATGATAGCTTGGGAAATAGCCTAGACAGAGCAGGTCGATTGAACAATTTATCTGCATCACCTTCTATACATCCCATCTTATTGACAAACACACCTACAGAATGGCAAACGAACGATAACTTAACCTTATTTCTATTTCTATGATGCACTTGATATTCTTACTGCCTGGAATTATATCCTTGAAAAGCCATAAGATGAGCTTTGCTTAAACAGAATATTGTGCTGTCGAAGTTGGCTTCCATCATCTGAACTCGGACAACGACCTATGATATTGATGCGAGCCTCCTTTTCATGACCCTCAACCGAGGATACGACACTTGTACTGCCTGGGCATGGGCGAACAGCTAGGCTGTCTTCGTGCAGATTGTCAAAAAAGGAGGGCATCGTTCTGCTGAAGAAAGGGTCAAGAATAATTACATCTTTACTTCTCTATAGCATGGCAGGGTCGCTCTGAGCTATTGTCAAATTTAGCTCCGCTATTGATTGTGGTAGCTACGGATTTGAACAATAGGCAGAGATGCCCGAGAGTGGTTGATTAGAGATGCTTCCGGGGGACTCCTGTGTAACATTGAGTACAATCGCGATTCCAGGCAGTACAACAAGCAACGTTTTATATGTCTTACACTGCGACTCATATTGGAATCGCACTCATAATGCATGTCATATTGTTGAGTTAAGCGGTCGTAAGTGTAATCAGTGCCCCTTTCCAGCTGAAAGACATCAAGATCGAATTACTGGAACATCCAATCAAGGTGCACAATCTGAAACATAACTTTTCTTCATCTCGATCTCAGACACCACGATGCCTTCGATGGTAGGCTCATTGAGAATATCTCAACACCATATCTTCGCCTCGGAGAAGGAAAGACGTTGGAAGTTTAGATATCCATAAATGGTAGGAAGTCATGAGAGCTATTGACCGATTGGCCAACAATGTCCATAAATGATCCGAGAGCTAATTCTACGAATCAATAGTTTCGTCTGTAAGGCAAGGTCGATCGTAAGGTTTTTCCACGGGGCGGCCCCCACCGATCAAAGGGAAGGGAGCCGTTCCGTCCCAGCTGTGACGACATTCAGAGCTGCCCTTGGAGGCCCGGGCGCTTTGTTTTTAGGGGATTGGGGCATTGGTTGAATGGAAGCACGATAGCTTTCGGCAGACGCTAAAATTATATTTAGCCCAATCAATCGAGGAAATAGCAGCCGTGCGCCTGGAAATTGGAACCAACGTCATGGTGCGTGCCAGCCAAGGCAAACGCAGGATAGGCACAGGCTAAGTACAGTAGGCTAGAAGCACAAGCACATCGCGATCGATCTGGTGAAATGCTTCAGTTTCGTGACCCCAAGCCCTTTTTTTCCCCAAAAAAGGCACAACCCCCCTTCGATCGAGACCCAACGATACCCCAAGCCTCAGCCTCGCGCGCGTAGGTATATAATCCTTGGAGCTGCGTCGGGATCTGGACCTGGATATTCTATGCAGGCCAGCACCAGCAGCTGCGTGCGCTCACATGCGCCCATGGCCAGGGCGCGCTGCAGTCATTGTTTTGTCATTGGTGCTCTCGTTTGACGATCGCTGATCTGATTTGCCCGCTCTTTGTTGACACCCCTGGCTCGGCTACTACCACCACCGTTGGTGGTTGTTTTTTAAACGGCTCGGCATCTATCTTGAACCCAACGGCTTCATCTTCTCGTCGAACTCGATTTCGCCCTCTCGTTTTCACCAAGCCGGCCGTGTGTGCGCGCTGTTATTAGACAGCCCCCGAGTGCCGTGCCGAAGACTCTTGCGACCGAGACGTTCGCAAGGATATCAGACGTATGGATTCGAATCAGGAAATACTCTTCGGAAATTTTGAATACTCTAGCAAGGTATCGGTCATCTGCGTATTATAGAAGAGTCTTTTGTGCTTTTCTAGTGTAGTTACTAGAGACTCACCAAGCCGCAGGTTATTATATCAAACACCTTGGATAGAAGAAGAACTCTGCCCCAGCCAACAGTGCTCTACTATACTGCGCAGTGGGCCTAGATCATACGGATACAGCAGCATGTGTATGCAGGTGGATCGTCAATTTGCTTGCGGGCATATCGGTTTTCTTAACATTCGTTGGTGTCAGAGAGTTTTCAACGGGTGCAGGGGTCCTTCGCATAAGCACGATATTGTCTACGACCAGGAGAAATGCCCAGACTGTTTGAGGAAGGACAGTCTTCCCAAACCATGGGTCCCGAAATAACGAAACAGCATTCGGTCGAGGAAACGGACTGGAAACAGTTCGCAGAACGCACCCTCTGGGGTAATGATAATGAAAGCATAGCATAGATGATGGCCGGACTAGAGAACGCATCGGTGTTTGTCGCGAGGCTTGGAGAACGTCGAACTTGGCGACCTGTTGGAGAAAGAATAACATTATCAGAAAATTGATTACTAGAGCATTGCTTTCTATATCTTTCGGTTGTTCTCCTAGCATTGAAATTTAGCATATCTTTAGGGTTTTGCATGCATAAGTATAACTGCGGTTCTAAAACACCATGCGGATACTTTGAGAACCATATCTGGCAACTTATAGGTGAAGTCTGGTAGCCATATATTTATCGTCAAGGTATCTGCAATTAACATGTGTGGATCAGCCATTGGAAACGGTGACAGTGAACGACCTGGACACACAGCATGTTCTGTTCAGATAGTTGCAGTTACTAATACAGACCCGGCCTGTAAAAAGAGGCCAAAGGTACAAAATCCCTATGGCTTGATCATTTTATCACAATTGGACGTATGGGAGAAGTCGAAAAAGACATCTTTTGAGGTCGTCGTGACAGTTGAGCTAGGAGCATGGACCGTTGGCCGCTGAATACCCTAAACCTAAATCCGACCGGGTGCGGATATTAAACTTGATATTAAGCTGCGGCTGAAGAACAAGCGATCATGCATGGAAGTCGGCTAACATTCACACAAATACAGATGAGCATGATTAGAACATGCCTAACCTGGTTTGCACATCTCAAGAACAATTATGTATGAATCTGTTGTCGAGTGACAATCATGATCTCCAAAGCCCCTCACCAAGAGAGAGCGAGGAGAAGCATAAGCACACTGACTTGAAAAGGTTCCATGATATGAGACAGAACAAGGATCATGAGAGAACCCCCACACCACCAGTAAGCTTACAGGGCTTTTTGAGTGGCCTCAACGAGGGCTAGAGCTTGCCAGCTGAGCCTAGAAGCTATCGCTAGTCACTAGCACGAGGCTGAGAGTCGCGTGGGTTGGAAACCGTTGCCAAGACCCCCAGCTGGCAATAAGCCGCTACTGTTACTGTATCCGTAGTGACAGCTGAAACGAAAATCATCCAATGCTTAATAGAGGAACAGTACATGTTCACGCCACGTGATGCTACATTCGAGGTTGATAAGTCTCAGGGTTGACTGGGAATGAACGGAGTGATATAGACCCAAAACAAGCTGCTAAGGAACTAGAAACAAACCTTGATTGTATTTCACATTCTCGAATGACAACCATCAATAATATCCGACAGCCAATGACAGCGGCCCGGGTCGGCGCGAGTCAGCCAATGGCCACGGGTCTTGGCCCATCGTACAATTCCCCTCCTCAGCCTTGCTCATCATACGATGTCGCCCAATTTTTGCTACGCCAGCGGTCCAGGACTCCCGGGGTCTTCAAGGGCCCCTGGAACTGGAACCGCACAAGACGGTCCTGTCGAGGTAAAAGTCACGCCATTGCGGCCGAAGAACATCACGACGTCGACCCGGCAGTGGGAGAGAAATCTGCTCTGCTCTACTCTTGTTGTGCATGCATCCCTCCCCTGGCTCTTAGTTCCGCGGACTCTCTCTCTCGCTCGCTTGCAGGCAGGAGAAAAAAAGGGATAGTGAACAAAAAAATTAGTTGAGAGGAGAGGAGGATTACTTTGTTGGTAAACATCATATCACCAGTCATTTGTATGGGCTTGTGAAAGACCCCCATTCTTATCCCCAACGTTGGTTGCAACTTGTCCCAAAGAAACGGCTCAATCGATCAATCAGACATCAGACCCTCCCAAGAAACAAGATCTCTTGACTGCGGCGAATACGACGATTCACAAGACCAAAAATACGGGTTTCTCTAGGTAGTTATTCAGTCGGTCTCAGGATTGACTCCCTCCCATTTCTCGTCTCGTCTCGTTCTCATTCTCGGTCCGGGCCTGGGCTCTTTCCAGCCAACGAACGAATTGGGAGCCGCATATGTCCGTTCATCCATCGACTGATGCTCTTACCTTTTGGGCTCCGTCAAACCCTTCACTCTTTCATCCTTCATTTGGCAACCAACCGATGACCGTTATTTGTTTTTGCGCTCGATCTCGCTATATGACAACTGAGCGGTAAAGTCCATCAATCAATACACTGTGGCTACCTTACAGAAGCCAATACCAGCATCCTTATACAGTATATACTTCCGCCACGCCAGAGTCAAAGCTCTACCGCATTAATCTACAGCAAATCCGCCAAAAATCATCCTTTCTTGGCCCGTTCGCCTTGTCGCCTTCGCTGTCGACCCATCTTACAGGAGCTATCTTGTACTGTACTCATCTTTTGCCGATCTTCTACTTCTCACCCCATTTTGTGTCCTCCCTTTAAGCTCTCTGGATCTGGCCTCAATCTCGACGACACTCCACCTCAACTAAGTTTGTCTCACTTTTTGAATCACAAACTCACGACCGATACATCTTCGACTTATTCTTCAAGTTTCTGCGTTTCTTTATCGCTTGTACAGGATTATTCGTCGTTCCCGTCTTACCCTCCACCAGTTGTCGGACCCACTGTCATATGCTTTGACAGCCAGCCCCTCAACATATCTCAGCATCATCGCGACAACATTGCGCTTGTTACATATACAATTCGATTAAACAGAGTTCCTTTCTTAACCGTTACGATCGGTATATCGTTTCGCATCAACTTCATTATCGCCAATTGAGTTGGCTTAAGCCTTGCACGGGTTGCTGACACAAGACCCCTCGTCCCGGACGACAACCAACACGACCTTAAGGTCGGGATGCCGTGTTAGCAATGGACCCTAATCTTCTTAACTTCTTCGCGGTCCCCAACAACCAGACTCTCAATAATGTTGATCAGAACAACCAATCATCTCAGCAACAGCAACAGCATGAGCCTTCACCATGGAGGCCAGCGGATTTAGAGAGTGGCATGGGCGCATCCCGCAACCAAGGGGGACCATCTTTCGATTATCAGTCGACAGCAACGTCTGATATCTCCTTCAACCAGGCCCCTATGCCGTCGCCTTACACCGGCTCACACAGTACGATACTACCTAATAGAGGACACCCCAGAAATCACCCACAACAACGGAAGCGAGAAGGACATGCGCATGACAGGAAGCGCACCAAGGTCGATACCGATTCTGCACTGGAGTCCCTGGACTACTGGATCCGATTTGATGATGATGAAGCCGACAGGACAGGAAGTTACGAAATTGACTTTTCAAAGCGTTATGACCCCATGAACACCAATGCCAACACTCACTACCGGTATGTCTAAGCTATGTATTGATGAATCAGAAGGCTGATCAGCAACAAAGCCCGGGATATGGATCGAGCTCAACAACACCGGGTCTTGGTACGGGTGTTTATGCGACCGCTCCCCCTTTCCAGGGTGCCGAGTACTTTGACGACAATGCTCTAGACAATGCCCTATCCGATGATGAAGAAGGAATCGACTCGATGAGCTTGGAAGAGCATCTATCGAATATTGAGACCATGCCACCGCCAGAGGTGCCTCCTCGCGAGGGTCTTTACTCGACACCGCTCAGTTGGGAAAAGCCAGAACCTGGTCTTCGAATGGAGCCCGATTTTGGAATGGGAAGTACTCAAGGAGGCATGAGTTCAGGGTTCGGTCAGACCATGTCGGGAATGTCTGGTATGGGCAATAACCAGGTTCTTAGCAACGACGAGCAACGGAGACTTCTTGCTATCGCAATGAACACTGGTCGGACGTCATCCAGCTTTATGCCTGCCACCGGCTTTGGTCTGGGATTCGGAGCTGGTCTTGGTACAGGAATGTCCGACTTTAACAGCAACATCGATTCTCTGTTTGGGACACCAACCGGCGACCGCAGCCAGAAGCAGACACCTACGCCTGCCAACAGCTCGAAGGCGCCATCTCGGAACCAGGATATCAAGACAGAGGCTTCGAGCGAGACTGGTCTCAGCTCTTCTAGACCAGGACTATCCCGCACAACAACTGCTACGTCTGATATCAAAGGCAAGGAGAAGCTCAAGCCTGGGGACAGGACGGCGCATAACGATATTGAGCGAAAGTATCGAACGAATCTGAAGGACAAGATTGCGGAACTGCGTGAGGCCGTACCAGCTCTTCACTCAATACCAGAAGATGGAGGAAACGAGGAAGCTGAAGGAAGCTCAGGACGAGCGCCCAAAGTGAGCAAGGTTAGTAGTTGCTTTCCTCCTGCAACGTAGATATAATGGCTAACACATCCCAGGGCACTGTTTTAACAAAGGCAACAGAGTACATTCAATATTTGGAAAGACGTAATAGGGCTATCATGAAGGAGCATCAAGAGTTGGCTCGGCGGCTACAGGCATTTGAACAGCTTCTCAGTGCATCAGCTCGACAGCCGTTCCTGATGCCGAACCACAGCCGGACGCTCTTTGATCCAAGGGGTTTCTGTTAGAATAGACGTGATGATTATGTTCCAAGCGTATTTGGGATAGTGTATAAATATACCCAGCGATGAATTGTGGTGTATATACTACGACCTAGTTTCTGTATTGATATAGTGTGATGCTTTTACCCCATCATGAACGTGTCAGAAGAGTTGGCTGCCGAGCATAAGAGACGAGATAATCTAGTCACCTTATAGCACTTTAGACCAACTTGGACTATTTTGTTTTGATGTTCTAAGCCTTAAAGAACAATTCTTTTGTTACCCACCCGTCAATCTTTCTGTAAGCGCGTCGTGCCTTGTTTGTTGTAATCATTATCCGGATACGGTTTGGTGATATTCTTACAATACCCGCCAAAGGCTGGGGTCTCCATGACAGTTTGCGGAGCCTTTCTTTGTTTTCGTGAACGATTGATTACCCTAAATAATAGGTGTTTTCATAACAAAGCTGTCAGATTTGAATGGAGATCAACAGTAATTAATCATATGTATGTATGAGTTCTTACGTGCATTTAATTTCACCTGCAGCGGTTGTGGCTTAACCTATTCGAGATCCCGGTCGTGAACTATCACGCGCCGTTTTTCCTTTGTTTTCAACTTGAGCTGCAATAACAGAATTGTAGACCTAGCAACAAAATTTCAGGTGGGTCATGATCATGAAGCGTGACACAACTACCGTTACAGTTGTATCGTGAATTCAGCTCAGCTCAGCTTTTGTACTATACATTTTATACAGGCTCATGTCTATGTATGGGTATGTTTATATGTCAATGTAGTACAGGTCATGATCGTAGCGCTTCAATATCATCAACCTCTTTCACCGCTTCCGTAGACAGGATGTAAGGTGAATCGTCGTCTACGCATACGCTGTCTTCGATTCGCACGCCCATGCCCCGAAAGGCGGCCGGCCATCGGTCATCATGGGGGACGTAAACACCCGGCTCGATGGTGACGCAGTGGCCTCGGCGAAGGGTCTCGCGACGGCTGTAGCCAGGGCAGTCATGCACGTCAAGACCGATATAGTGGCCTACATGGTGGGGGAAGAGCTGGTCGATGTTGGCCATTGTAACATCGAATCCAATAGCGCGAAGTTGATCAACAAGACCCCGCGCCGTAACGTTGTGAATGTCCTCGAGTGAGAGCTTAGAACTTTCCCTGCAGAGCGAGACACTGGATCGCTGGACGTTGAGGACGGCTTGGTATAGGTCGCGCTGGGCAGGGGTGAAGCGGCCGGAAGCTGGCCATGTGCGGGATATGTCTGTGATGTAGGTCCCGTACTCGCCGCCCGCATCGATGAGGATGAATTCGTCCTCTTTGAATGTGCTGTTGTTCACCGTATAGTGAATGCAGTTTGCTCTTTCACCGCCAGCTATCACGGGGATGTAAGCCGGGCCCTCGCAGCCATTGACCGCAAAGTTGTAGTCAAGGAACCAGTGTAAATCCTTCTCTCGCTTCCAGGGTTGGCGCATTGCGTCTGTGATGACCCGTCCTGAGATCTGACCGGCAATTCGCATGTTAGCGACCTCTGCTTCACTCTTGACCACACGAAGCTTATTCATGACGGAGTAGAGAGGTGTTCGGGTTGGTCGAGTATCTTTTCCAGAGATTAGTCGCCAGAGCCAAGATGCTGTGGCAGCAATACCACCCTTAGAAGGTGGTGAGTCTGCGTAGATGAGTTTGGCCTTGTCGAGGATCTTGGGTAGCAAGAGTTCCGCCTCGTAAATAGAATGCGCCTCATCAGCATTGAAGATATCTCTTGCTGCCTCGACTCCATTGCGATATCCGTTCCATTGTTCTTCCCTCGCATTCTTGGGCTTGGCAAACATGTGGAATACATAATCGCCATAGTTAGGACCAGTCTTTTCGATCACAGCAATAGCATCTCCTTCCATCCATCCTGTAAGATATAGGAAGTTGGACTCTTGTCGGTAGGCATGGAAGACAGCACCGGACTTGTACTGTAAAGATGCGGCATGTAGAACAGCAACACTTCCATCTGTCATGGAGTGTGCAAGGGCGGCTCGACGGTCATGGTACTCTTGTGCTGTAATGCCCGGTGTAAGCTCGCCGGCTTTTAGGATATGAGGATGTGTTTCGTGGACGGGTTGTCCGAATCGGAGATCGGAGGCGGAGACGGCATACGTTCGGCGGGTAACCGGTATACTTGAAGGCAACGCTCGGTAAGGTTTGGTCGGTGTAAGTCCTATCGTTGATATGTTTCTTGTAGAGACAGCTCGGAGGGGTAGACGAGGACCAAAGCTCCGTAATGGAGCTCGAGGAAGTTTCATCATGACGGGATGAAGGTTCTAGTTAATCGAGCTTAAGCGCAAATCTTTCCGGCGATAACTGGAGCCTCTCAGATCAATTGAGCCTCTAGAACAATTGCAATTGTGCAGTCAATGGCTCGATGACCTAGATGATGACGCCAGACTCAAAATTATGACCAGGATGGCCGAGGCTAAACGCGAGACAGCGGCAGGCTTGAGGCTCAAAGGAAGATTGGATAGGTGGATGTTTCAATGCACGCACGCGGGCAGAGTGACGCACAAGGGTTAACGTCTACTTAGATGGATGATTGCATAAAGTTGGTCTGTGTAGTCTAAGCCTTTTGATTCACTGCTAATGCATTCCGTCCTCAAATTGTTAGCTGTAATGGGCACACAACAAAGCCTCTTCCATGTCTTAGGTCTTGTTATTGTTTCCTGTCTAAACTTGTCTCGCGCCAAAAACCCGTCTTCGGGAAAAGGCTGAAATTATCTGTCTGGTCTCGTCTCTGGATCCCAATTTCCCGATTCACGACGTAACGTTAGTATCCTCTGGTTGCTGTAGTGGCCGTAGGCGACTGGCCCGTGCTTGGTGGTGTTTTTTACAGTGGGCAGCCCAGTGAGCGTGCCGAGCCATAGAAGGCGCTCACTGAAGACAGGCCCCCCGGCAGACCCTCACAGAAGGGCCTGGAGAGGTATAGCGCTGTTGTGCCAAGCGCGACTGCAACAACATTTGCTTTGCTAAGTCATCAATCAAAGTCATTTGGACCCGTCCCTCACTTTGGCTCGTTTCCCTCCATCCAAAGCACGCAGACCCAGGCCAGGACCCGACAGCCCATGCCCAGGAGAAGCGACAAAAAAACACAACGACCGGGTTTGTTGTTGTTCATTATTTGATCTGCTTTTTGTCTTTCAATTCTTCCTCTTTCAATATCTGCCTCCAATCTTGTCTGATGTGCTGATATCATCTATTACCCTCCCCCTTCGCCTCCCATTGTCTTTGTCTCTGGACGTGTCAGGCTCCGCGTCGCGTGCAGTCACAAGTCTCATTCTCCCCCAGCCCCTCCCACGACTAAGGTAGAACTACTTACCACCACCCACGATCGACGACCACCAATAACGGTCCAACTTCCGTCACGTCACCTCTGACGTTCACCATCGACTTTTGTCGTCTTGCTTATACGCCCTCTGCTCTGGCTACTCACCCCCAGAGCAGTTCACGGGCTTTATATGGCAACCATATCTCTATCACCAACACCCGGTTCCATATCGGCCATGTCTTCGAGACGGGGCCCGTTAACGAACAATCCTAATGTGGCTAATTCACCACTCCGTGGAGCCTCTGCTCTCGCTGGATATGCTAAGCAGAAGCGTTCTTATGCTACCGTGCAGCGTGAAGAAACCTACGGCCAGCCGCCGCCTCTAAAGAAACAGGTTCTCGATAATGGCGTGCAGCGTGCGGTTCGATCACCAACCAGGTCAACCCGGACCCAGGTTCTTGTCCAACGCGGCTCTACGCGTCCTTCGACCAAGGAACGATCCTCAAGGACTGCCCCGACAAACGTAGCCCGTGATATTGATAATGAGAAGGAAGCATGGAAGAGACATCATCGTGCCAAGTTCCCAAAGATGGTCTTTTACTTTGAGAGTATACCCGATGACGTTCGAGCGAGGCTAACAAAAAGAGTCAACTACCTCGGTGCTGTATGTCATTCTATAACGCTTATACCATGCTGTACTGACATGTCTTTAGCGGCAAGAACCTTTCTTTTCAATCTCAGTCACCCATGTCGTCACTACTCGATCAATTCCACCAGAGAAGCCAGAGGGACATCAAGAGCAGGAACAGGTCCATCATGATGAGCATCACGAATCCGAAGAGCAACCCCAAACCATCAACCCGTCGTTATTGAACCGCAACACCGAAGCACGAAGGAAACTTCTGTCCGAGTTCCGCAACGCTCCCGCGAGGACGCAACAATTGGACGACCCCACGAAGCGAACCAGAGGAACTAAGAACAACGATGTCTTGCACAAGGCTCGTGAGATGGGCAAGAAGATATGGTCTTTGGAAAAGTTCCAGAACATGCTATCCGTTCTGCTCGAAGCCGAGACCAGCGTTAGCTCTTATAACTCGAGATCTGCAAGCACTCGAAGTCATTATGGCAATCCTAGAGAGCCAAGTCTGCTCCAGCTATTGCATAATGAACGCGTGAATGGTCCTTCAGATCGCGACCCGACTGCTGCTCATCGCGAGTTGACTTACTTCAAGGGTCCTCATATCTATGTGTGGGATATGGACGAGAAGAACAAGCCTATTATGGTCCGTGAATATCCCAAGGTTGCGAACAAGTCAGATGGAGAGTGGCCTCAGTTCCGAAGTGTTGGAAACGGTAGATGTCCCTTTGTGGAAGACAATGATGTTCCTGATAGGGATCACAGACGGCAAAGAGAACAACGGGAACAAGAAAAGGCTCGACAGGCCAAGCGAGAGGAAGCCGCACAGGCTCTTAAGCCCCCTCAGGTTCCAATGCCTAAGCCGGTTACAGGAAAGCGAACTATCGCAGAGATGGAAGATGGCCAGAACAGAGTGCGCGGTGCCACACCGACTGATGTCTTCAACCCTGCCAAGGCAGCTCTCTCAAAGCAAGCGGATTTACGACAACAGCAGAATGCTTTTACAAGCCGTGCTGCTACTGGCCGTCTGTTTGCTGGCGAGCCCGTGGCATCCGGTGTTCAGCCTTCAAATATCACTTCTGCCATTCGATCGCAGATGGTCTCATCGACATCTGGTGTCAATGGAGCCAAGGCTGGAACTAGCAAAGAGGTTCACGGCCTTCAAAGGAAGGTGCTACAGAAGGCTGCTCCTGCTTCATTCGATGTGAGCTCGCGTCGCCTGGCTGAGGTGTCAATGGACGTTGCATCTAGTCGATCAACAACTATGGGTCGACACACTTCGCGTCCCGCTGAGGTGCAAGAGGAGGAAGTTCAAAAGGCCGAGAGGAGAACACAGTCCCAACCGCTTAAGAGCAAGAAGGACCTCAAGCCTGGTTATTGCGAGAACTGCCAAGATAAGTTCCGCGATTTCGACGAGGTATGTAACCAATTCTATAAACTTGAAGTTCACGACTGACTTTTACAGCACATTCTATCACGCAAGCACCGCAAGTTTGCTGAGAACGACGACAACTGGACTGAGCTTGATGCTCTCCTATCACAAATCAAGAGGATGCCAAAGTACGCACCTGGATCTGACGAGGAGGAAGGATGGTGATGACTATTCAAATTATAATACGATAAACGGCCTCTCCAACACCTCATCATCATCATCTCAGGCTATATCATGGCCTCCCAACTCATGGGTCATGATAGAGTCAAATTCCGAAAACCAACCTTTTATGAAGTCCATTTTGCGCACCTCCCTTCAGATTCCCCTGTATAAAAACAACAAGAAAAGATACTCCCTGAATTTGGTTAACTTTGCGCTTCCTGGCGGCATTTGCGGGGCAATCCTTCGGTTAGAGATGTCTCTATGTTCTTTACTTTCGCTTTCTTATACCTTATACGCATGAACTGCATGCAACGGCGCAGAGCGGCATGGTTTCTTCTTTTTTGGCGCGTTAAACCCCCCACGGTCCGTACGGCCATTTCATTTGTCTTCTGATTGGACTGCATTATATGGTAACTACAATACCGGGGCGTTCGTCGAGATGGGGTGGTCAGGGTACATGTTTGAGATGGGAAGTGATGAGGGTTGTACAAACAAAGTTCGAGCATGGAAGCGGAAGAATTTTTATCGCGAATGCATGAGAGCAACAGCGACTGCTATATGATTACGACCAGAAAGGTCTGATGTAGATATGTGGTTAGGACATATATGTACCTACGTGTTAGAGAACATGAGTACTTGAACAAGCCTTGAGTCTCCCTATGCTACGACTGAAGATGACTTGGCTGTTACTGGAAGGTCAGTCGACTATGTTCCTAACTACTTCTCCGTCATGGACAAGTGTCTCGGAATAAGTTCATCCATCTTATTGCTGTATGCATGGCGTTTTTAAGCTGCAGTAGTTTGATTGGAGAGTCAACACGAAAATATACGGATACGCACATATCGAATATGCACATCCTTTGTCTCTCATCGTGTTCCGTTCCGACAAGGCTGTCAGTGGCTTTTCTTTCCTTTGAGTTTGGTCTTGCTGCTTGTTGTCCTGATCTCGGAGTCTGAGTCGGGGGTCTTCGATTGTCACATGCTGAACCTGAAATATTGAGCTCGGGTAACAACTTTTACTACACCTTGCAAGGTAGTAGCGAGATTTATTCGGTTCATGAATGAGGCGAGGGGAGTAGAAATGTAAGTGTGTCAAAGTTATTGTTCCTCACTGCCGCCTCTGACTGGCTGTACTCATTGGAGTGAATCACACACCCATTGCTTGCTCTAGCTTGATAGAATCTCAACAGCCTAGCTAACAAAGAATCAGCCAGCCTCAATTAAGTGCTTTCTACTTGAAGCTCATTGACATTTCTTAAGTTTCGGAGCTGGCATTGAAGCTTCACAGTTCTTCACGATGGATCTTAAAGTTTCAGCGCATGCAGAGTCCACACTCGTCACCTGGAAACGCCTCCAGAACTTCAAAAAAGGAAAAGAAGAGATCATACTCGATGGAAACAGTCTTGATATCGCCTCTCTTGTCGCAGTCGCTCGATATGGCATCAAGCCCACGATCAGTCAAGACGAAGAACTCGCTCGCCGCATCGCTCTAAGCGTAGATGCTCTCGCCGAGTACTTATCTCACAAATACGTGGTCTACGGCGTCAACACTGGCTTCGGAGGAAGTGCAGATGTGAGAACTGATGACTGGTTGGAAAACCAGATTGGCGTTCTTCAGCATACCCAGAGCGCTATCATCACTTCCTCCGACAAGGAATTGGGGAGTGAAACCTCTCATGTCATGCCTCGTGAGTGGGTTCGTGGTGCTATAGTTGCTCGTGCGAACCAGAATATGCGCGGACAAAGTTCCGTGCGATTAGAAGTGTTGGAGAGATTGGTGAAGCTTCTCCATCATGATATCACACCTTTGGTTCCTATTCGAGGCACGATCTCGGCATCTGGCGATCTCATGCCTATGTCTTACATTGCAGGAGCAGTTACGGGGAGCCCAGATATCTTTGTGCAGGTTGGCAAGGGCAAGTCAGCTAAAGTAATGCCTTCGCATGAAGCTCTTCAGCAGAGTGGCCTATCGCCAAGCGGTCTTGGACCAAAAGAAGCTCTTGGTCTTATCAATGGGACTGCACCTTCTGCTTCTGTTGCAAGTATTGTCATGCATGAATCGCAGCAACTGGCTCTACTGGCCCAGGTATTGACGGCATTTGCGTCTGAATCTATGGGCGGTAATGTTGAATGGACAGCCCCTTTTATCCACGCCGTACGACCGCACCCAGGTCAGATCGAAGCAGCCACCAATATCAGAAGCTTCCTTCGCGGCTCAAAATTCGTCGTCGGCTTGGAAGATCGAAAAAGAACGGGAGAAGGGCTCTGGCAAGATCGTTACTCAACTCGGACGAGCCCCCAGTGGATCGGACCCTATCTGGAAGATCTGCTCCTTGCTCAGAGACAAATATCCATCGAACTCAACTCTACATCAGATAACCCTCTGGTAGATGCCTCAGAAAAGGATGGAAAGGCGGTCGGTGAAGTGTACTCTGGCGGAAATTTCCAAGCCGTCGCTATCACCTCTGCCATGGACAAAACACGTCTTGCTCTTCAGATGATAGGCCGTATGCTCTTCTCCCAAGTCAGCGAAATGATCAACCCCTCAACCAACAATGGTCTTGAAGCCAACTTGAACGTGAGCGACAAAGAGAACTTTACTATGAAAGGCATCGACGTTAATATGTCTGCTTACATGTCTGAGTTAGCTGCTCTCGCGCATCCGGTTTCGTCGCATGTCATGTCTGCTGAGATGCATAACCAAGGTATCAACTCACTTGCTTTACTCTCAGCTCGTCGAACTACGGAGGCAGCGGATATTGTGACTCATATGTGTGCCTGTCACATCTATGTCTCTTGCCAAGCAGTTGAACTTCGAGCTAGCCATCAGCTGTTCTTGGAGACTCTTCATGATAAAGTGCTTCTCAACAAGACAAAGAATGGGCCTTTCCATACTTTTGGTTTAGACGAAGCAGCTATCGAGAAGTTGGGTGAATCAGTCTTTCCGGTCGTTGAGAAGGTATGGTATGGGAATAATGCTGGTTGCTGGAAAGACCGTGTTCTTCCTACAGTCGACGCTGTAATGGCGCCTGTTACGCAGTCCCTGACTTCTGAAGAGGTCGACTGTCCCATCTCCAGCCTTGCAGTATTCCGCGGCCACTTTCACAAATCTGTCGTCGAAGTTGCTTCGTCTACATTTTATCCCAACATGGCAATCCGACCTGCCGATGTAGCTACCAAGTTGGGTGACGGCACTGTTCCCTTGTACGCCTGGGTTCGTTCAAAGCTGGGAGTTCCGACGCAGTGTGGCATTGACGACGATCCTCTATACAATGCTCAGAAGGGACTACTCACCAAGGACAAGAAGACTATCGGAAGCTGGGTGAGCATGGTATATGAGAGCTTAAAGGACGACATGATGGATGTGGTCATGGAGGGTATTGCGAACAGTCGAGAGGGCCCGAAGACCGAAGATGAGTATAAGAAGCTTTGCCAGGATCTGGAGGCGATGACCTAAAAAGGGAAAGCGTTTTATGAAGTCGAAAGGCTATTTCGAGAGAGAGCTTTTTATAAGAACATAGGAATTAGCAGGTATATGAATGTAGAACAGGTACCTAGGTAGACAAGGCATCTCACCTCTGCAACATCTTTGCATCCTGTGGCCTCTGTGTTCTGGATATTTCCCGAGAAATAACTTGATATAGAGAACAGACAATGCGAGGTATAGGAAGGTAAGGTGAAACCAAAAGGTCCCTATCCAAGAGCTGAAGGAGTCATGATAGAGACAGAGTTTGTTATAAGTGCGCACAGTGCCAAGCATCATACACTGTGCCGTCATAAGCATAGAACCTTAGGCGACAGTGTTTCACAGCATCAAGTCATGAGAGTATTCTTCGCACCTCACCCCCAACAAACAAACTTGACTCAACTCAGAAAAGAAAAAACTTCACTCTTCACATCAAACAGTCAAGATGTCAGACAATCCACCACAAGACCAGGGTCCATCGCCTTCTCCTTCACCGTCACCCGGCATGGCCTCACCAATGTCTCTCGCCGACAACGAAGCAGCAGGCAGCGGCGCCGCATCTCCAAACCTACCACTCACCATGTCCGCTTCAGTTGTTCTCGCAGATCTTCCTCGAGATGCTAGCACTGCACTCGCCGCTGCGGGAAGCTTCAAGACGGACAAGATCGTAGTGCGATTCAAACCTGTGGGGTCTGCGCCGTCTTTGGCGCAGGATGTTTGCAAGATCAGTGCGACGAGACGCTTTGAAGAGGTTGTGAGGTACTTGAGGAAGAAGCTGAGGTGCAAAGAGACGGATAGTGTCTTTTTGTACGTCAATAGTGCGTTTGCGCCTTCTTTGGATGAGGTTGTTGGGAATTTACATCAAGTAAGTGTTGGGCATTTATATATTGTGGCACAGCTACAGATGCTGACATTTTCAGTGCTTCAAAAACTCCCACGGCCAACTGGTTGTCGCCTACTCTCTAACGCCTGCCTTTGGATGATACCAATGAGGTAGATTTCTTCTATCTTGATGACGATAAACAGCAAACCAAAAGCTATTGTCATCTTCTAATTAACACAAACTCCGAGCTATGCAACCTCTATACCTGCCCCGATTCATCATAGGGGAAGCCTCTCTAAACATCAAACAAATCTCTGGGTATCAACAAATAATCTTTACGAATCCTTAACCGCCTTGGTAAAACTCTCGAGCTCCTCCGCTGAAATTGGGTATGTGTGCTCAGGGCCGGGGTACTGACGGGACTTGACGTCGTCTCGGTATGCCTCGATAGCCCTCAAGCTCTCACCCCAGACATTGCCGTACTTCTTGACAAACTTGGGAAGGAATCTTCCGGGAGGGAAGTTTCCAGTCATGTCGACTTGCACAAGGACTTGACCAGATGTACCGTTGCCAGCGCCAATACCAATAGTAGGAACGGACAGCTTCTCGGTGATGAGAGCAGCAACCTCAGCAGGGACAGCCTCAACAACCATGGCAAAGCAGCCAGCTTCTTGGAGGGCAAGAGCATCTTCGAGAATACTCATGGCACCACTACTTGTCTTGCCTTGGACACGGAAGCCACCGAGAGCGTTTTGTCGCTGAGGGGTCAAACCAATATGGCCAAGAACAGGAATACCAGCAGTGGTGATCTTCTTGATGGTGGGAGCCATCTCCTTTCCACCCTCAAGTTTGACGCCCTGGACACGACCTTCCTTGATAAAACGGATGGCAGTCGCAAGAGCCTGGTCAGGGCTGATTTCATAGGTTCCCATGGGTAGGTCACCGACCTGGCGGGGTTAGTTAATGACTTGCATATGTGAGAGCAGGGGTTCCTTACAGTGAAAGCCGACTTGGTGGCTCGGGCGACAGAACGACAATGCAGAAGCATTTCCTCCATGACAACCTCACTTGTATCTTCCATACCAAGCGCAACCATAGCAAGACTGTCACCTACAAGGATGATGTCCATGCCTGCATGATCAGCAACATGACCACTAGGGAAGTCATGAGCTGTCATGACAGTAATGGGATCACCCTTGCGGTGCATAGAACGAAGAGTTCCGACAGTGACCTTCTTGCGCTGTGTAGCAGGAGCGGCACCCATGGGAGAATGTGAGCTGTACCGGGACTGCGCCACACCTCCGAGGATGAGGGGCCGTACGGAGCTGCCGATCGTCCGGATGGCCGGCCGATGGGAGGACACGGACACCCGGGATAGGAGAGAGGCACATGACCTCATGGTAGGATTGATAAGGGATGACATGAGGAAGGTGAAGGAAGTGGGTCGTTGTGTTGCGTGTTGGTGATGAAGAATGAGGTGTCGCGTGCAGCTTTTGAAGTTTAAGTTGGGGAGTGACAGAACCTGAGGTACCTTGCAGGGCAAATTTCAGACCGACAGAAAGTATAGCTCAGAAAGTCTATGGTCAACGTTTTTGAGTGGAGAAAACTTATGAATAAAATATTTTGAATGGATGTTTGTTTCCTTTGACAGTAAAGATGGAGAATTAACTCGAAAAGTCGGGGAAAGCAGAGGTTTTATTCATGTTTGAGCCATGATGAACCCTACGTTGTATATTTGAGTATCTTGGTGTTTTTTCTCAGCACCCCTGGAACTGCAGCTTTGCCCCACGCTTTCGCTTTTTCGGGTGGTTCTAGTCAACAAATGGAAGTCGAAATTTAATTTGGGCTAGACCTTTCAGGGCAATAGGAGGGGGGCCAGACGGTAAAGATCCAGTAAATGTTGAGCCGCCAGTTTTAATTTCTTCAATAACAGCCCTGCATTGAGAGAAAGGAGAAGGCGGTCTGAATCCAGAGATGGGAAATGCATCTAACTATTAGAATATTATCTACAATACTGTGTTTTTAACAGAAAGAATAAGGAATCTATGAGCCGAGGTTCTTTGTCCTGTGCCGAAATGGTGGTGTACATCCACTGTAGTGGGGATGTGCAACGGTTGTGGTTGAGGTCAGTTCAGGTGCTTGACTTGCTTGTGCTTGTACCCGAGGAATTGGAAATGGAGGGGTCTCACGATACACCCATGCCGAATACGCATGCGAGAACCGAGGGTCTCTTACATCAACTTTACATAGCACAAGCCAGTGACTTTATGAATATTGGCTTATTGAAAGCCATCTGCTCATTGATGATCCAAAAGTTTGGATATTCCGCCATCCAAAACGTTTATCCAACAGCCACTGCATCAACGTTAACTTTGCATATGTTGCCCTGACAAATCCAACTTTTTGGGTCTATACAAACTTCAATCAACTGTAGCACAATGGTAACTTCCGTCTACCGTCAACGTAGTGCTTACCTTTCAGATTCACGTCAGACCAAAGAGTCTGTGTTGGTCAAGCTCAAAGCTTAACATGATCCAAAACTTGCATTCATGAGGGGAATGACTCAATTAGAATCCGGCATCTGTTTCAGTCCGGACAATGTTTCATGCCTCCAAAACAAACCACCAATAAGACACCTTGAGGGTCGTCGATCTCCCCTTATTGCGGAACACCGCGGCCTTATCGATAACAGCCACTCAGTGAGCTGATCAACTGTGAATGGACAACTTAGCGGCACCTGCCGTACGCGGGCGGCTTATCACGGTCGTCCACATCATATCCTCGTGACTTCCATTGGACTTGGACTGTCCTGTCTTTAAACCCAACTTCATCTTTCTTCCCTTCTTTCTCAGCCACCGCTTTTAACGTTTCGTCGCAAAACTCAACACAACTATTCACACGATCTTCTGTACTTTCACGAGCTACTCACCAAGTATCGTCTATCGCGCCGGTTCCGGAGCATTTTGGGTACCCTTACAACCCCACATCGGAAGCTGTGTCAACCGCCATCATGAGTAGCCCTCGTCGTAGAATAGAGACTGATGTGAGTGTTTTGCACGATATTCAATCGCCGGGGGATGGTAACTAATATGAAATCTTATATAGGTCATGAAGTGCGTTGACCTTGGCAAACTATTGTCTCGTTCTCATACTAACATATTCGCAGGATGTACGAACCTTGACTGAATCGCCTGGCTGTTTACTGACCAGAGTAGGCTCATGAGCGACTATGAGGTCACCTTAGTCAACGACAACAGTAAGGAAATCTGTCTGGTCAAATTGAAACCCACTAACAGGCATCAGTGTATGTCTTTCTTCGCCAGTTCCGTCAGCCATATTCTGACCGATACTTGTAGGCAAGAGTTCTTTGTCAGGTTCAAGGGACCAGCCGAGAGTAAGTACATAGTACAGACACTGACCAAACATCGCCGCTGACTTTACGAAGCCCCCTTTGAAGGTGGAACATGGAAGGTTCACGTTGAGCTTCCCGATACGTACCCTTACAAGTCCCCGAGCATCGGCTTCGTAAACCGAATCTTTCACCCCAATATCGATGAGCTGTATGTTATTCGTGCGACCCGGTCTCTTACAGATCTGTTTGGCTGACAGTTCCAGGTCTGGCTCGGTGTGTCTGGATGTTATCAACCAAACCTGGTCACCCATGTTCGATATGATCAACATCTTTGAGGTGTTTCTTCCCCAGCTCCTGCGATATCCCAACCCGACCGACCCTCTCAATGGCGAAGCAGCTGCGCTTCTTATCAGGGAACCCAAGAGCTACGATGTTAAGGTTAAAGGTGCGTGGAAACGGGCTCTTGAACGAGTCACAACCACTGACTGTAGCAGAATACGTCCAGAAGTACGCTTCTAAAGATGCCGCGGACGAAGCTGGAGCCGAGAGCGAAGACGACGACGAGCTGTCTTCAGTGGCCAGCTTTGGAGACGACGACGACGAAGAACCCGCAGGTCGATTGGATGATGTATAGAGGACCGGTTCGCGAGAGGATTTACTTGGACGAGCGTTGCGATTCATACATGGCGTCATAGGATCAAGGGCCGGATTAGGAGCTATCATTGGACGGAGTTGTAGCAGCGCTGCGCAGGCTTGGACTCGGATCGCATTTTCTTTTATGGCTTTGGGTCGATTTGCTACAAAGTGCTTTGCTTGTATGTTGTCGAGGAAAGCTGGGTGGAATGGTTGTGTTGGATGTCGTGACTTGCTGGACAGCATAGTGAGAGCAATTGAACACGCCAGTTACCTCAATAACTCTATCAGGAGGTCTTACAGCATAAGTACAGGATAATTGAATTCTAACTCTATAAACTGGGCCACGCCCGGGTATCATATCTAGTGATTATACATAGGCAAACCAAACGCCTTGCCATTCTTCCTTAATCTGAATCGTAGTCAACCAATCCTGACGCAGCTGTCTCCGTAGCCGGCGCCTGCGCTTTCGATGGTGGTTCTAAATTATGCGACTCTGCTTCCTGTACTGGCCTCTTACGCTTCACACCAGGTAATCTAGCAGGTCCTTTCTCGCTCCGCGCATCATTCAAAAAGGGATCCTTAGCAGCGCGAGTATTACCCATAAGTTCCGAAACAAATATTTCTTTGCGCTTCGAGATCTCCTTATCGGCTTTGAGTTTACTCCCACTCTTCGAATCCTTCTTACTCTCTCCAGTCTTGAACAATGGCTTCGACAATGCGCGATCTCGTCCATCGTCCACAGATCCAAAGTCAACTAGCGCTGCGCGCCGAGCATCTTCTTCCGTGCCAGGAAGAATATCTAGGCCAAGACTCATGCGATCTTGCAATGCGCCTGTGGCCGCTGCATCGCGCTCGCGCTCTTTGCGCCCTGCTCTAAAAGCATTCCGTAATTTCTGATTCTGCGTATACGGATCGTCCCAGTATTTCGCCGATGATTCTGTAAGTTCGTCTATCCGTAACGTCGCATTCTTGAGCTGTTCCCGATCTGCTATCGTCTTCTCGAGACTCGCGAAGGCATTCTTCCTAAGCGCCTCCCTCTCTTGGTCCGTCATTATAACCGCATCGCCCTCGCGCTGTACATCCTCGCCGGTATCCCTCTTCGTACCGCCCGCGACGACCACATACGCCGTATTCTTCGGATCCGTGCGAATTTCAATCTCGCCACCGCACTCAACGTGCTTGAATTTGAAACTCCATATCGGCGTTGAGAAATAACTTCCCACGCGACGCTTCTCGGCGTTGAAGCGCACGCCTTGTCCGATGATTGTGGATTTCGGACAGGTGCTGCACCAGACGGCGTATGGGAGCTCGAAGCGGACGGTTAGGGCGCCGGGTTTTGAGGCGCGGGATCCGAGGGGGTGTTTTTTGTTGAGGGCGTTGCCGGATATTGTGCCTTCGACGTCTGGGGGGACGTAACGTCCCATGTTGAAGCCCTGCATGGCTGCGGTTGTTGTGGCTCGTGGCCGGTAGTGAGTGTTGAGATGGTGTTGAAGGGAAGATTGGAGATGGAGGGAGGGCGATATTTGTGGTGGAGATACGTCACTGCTTAGTGGGGGTCCGTGTTCGGTGTAAGTCCCGTCGACATCTTGTCTGAAGAGGAAATACGAAATCTGAGTTTCTTTTCATAAGTATTTGATAATCTATGGGAAGTCTTTGTAGATGTAGTATATTATGAGTAAGTGATTGATCGGCGTAGTAGAAAGTTTGACCTTCTTATGGCGTGCGGCGAGTTTATTTGCGAGCTTAAGTTCTCAGTCATGACAACGACAATCGACGCCTCATGATAGCCTGGGTGGGCAACATAATTTCTTCTCCAGGGCTCAGGTTGCCAAAATAAATTAGCATCAGTTCTAATCTAGGCTAGCATAGGGTGACTAAATTATTTCGTCTCTTAGGCTTTTGGCAGCTGATTCTTCTGACAACTTGGCGTAGTCTAGGAGGCTAGAAACTCGCTGCCTCGAACCCTGGCCAACTGATACAACGCCTGGAAAGCCAACTGGCCCAAAGCAGCAATGCTGGAATATCCCTTTCGAACAACGAAGCATAGGAGCTCAGTGATGCCGTCTTCGAAGGATACCAACAACCAGCTTCCAGAAGTTGAGTAGGAGCTAAGTACCCCCTATGAACTGTTCTCAGATCCTCTCTCAGTTCTCGTCCTTATCAAGTTTCCCAATAACCGGTTCCAGAAGCATAGGAAGATACTCTGCAGCGTCCTGACCAAAGGCAAAATCTCCGGGCTTAACCTTGTACATCTCCTCCTCATTCTCAGCCTCTGGGTTGATAACTGCGATACGCGCACCTTTGCGTCTGGCCTTGTCAATGTAACCGGCAGCTGGGTAGACCTGGGCAGATGTTCCAATGACAAGCATGAGATCCTAAAAAGTATTAGCTGGTGAAGTCTCATGGTTGTTCTGCATGTAACTCACCACTTTATCCTTGTAGAGCCAGTTCTGAATATCCATCATCATTACCTCGTCAAGGGCCTCGCCGAACCAGACGACACCTGGTCTCTGAAGGCCCGTCTTGCACTGTGGGCATTTCGGAATCTCTTCCCAAGGAATGGGATCCAGAGGATGATTAGCGTCGAGAAGAGGGAATGGTTTGCCAGGTTCAACGTCTTCCGAAGCTTGTGCTATAGCTGAGAAGAAGGGGTCTTTGTAGTTGCCTCGTTCGATCCATGAACAGTTCTCGTTGCTGCACTTGATGTCGAATAGAGATCCATGAAGAGTACGAAGCTGCTCTGGTGGGTGGTTTGCCCTTGGAGAAAGATCTAAATAATAATTAGTAAGTCAGACACCATGTATGACAATATGGCACTTACTGTCGACATTCTGCGTCAGACACAAAAAGTCCTTGTTCTTCTCCGCGAGCTTCGTGAGAGCATAATGCGCAGGATTCGGCTTAACGCGCAACGCCATATGACGTCTATACCCATAAAACAACCAGACAAAACCCGGGTCGTCACGAAAAGAGCGTAAAGTAGCAAGCGAAGTAGCATCATGGTTTCTCCAAAGACCACCAGCGCCTCGGAAAGTTGGAAGGCCGGATGAAGCTGAGAGACCAGCGCCGCAGAGGGCGAGGATGCGCTTGCTAGAGCGGAGAGCCTCGTGGAAGGCTTCTACATCATTGTGAGGAGCCATTGTTGTGAAGAGACGAGATGTTGATCGTGAGAAGATGGATGGTTTGAGTATTCTCATTATATATAGAGTCAGTGTAAGTGATAAGGTTGAGTGGGTGGGTTGAAAATAGGCTACAAGCTACAAGCTACAAGGATCAGTGGCGGGCTGCAGCGGACTGCTACTCTACAGGTGAGTTGTGTCATTCGGCATGAGATGTGATTGGATCATTGTGCAGGCAACGAACAGAAAGTCTCAATCACTGTTGAATTATGATAGAATGAACACCACTGTGAAAAGAAAGAAGATATTTGAGTATCATCAGTTATAGCGATTGGCCAGCTCAGTAGAGTAAAGGTCATCCTAGGTTATCAGTATGGACAACAGTATCAGTGAGGCTGCTGCCCAAACTCAGATATGTGGGTTTTGCTCAGGACCAACAGAGGGGATTACCAATATCAGATCATCCTATTGAAGTGTTGGTTGAGGAAGTCACGTTGAATGGGTATTTTCCCTGTTTTGAGAAATGGGTGAACTGTCAACAGCTTAATGACTCAAGGTAGAAGTAGATATGGTCTATCTTGGTACAATTCCTAGACTAGATGCTTATTAACGTATATGTATAAGATAGTAGAAATCCGCTCTACTCTTCAGTCTCAGTTGGTCATAGGTTGATATCTTTCTCACTGGTTTGTCTGATACTCGATGGGTTTCATAGTTCAAGAAACATCCAGATCGGCCGAAACGAAACACGATTTGTTTATTTCTAGCAAAATTGACACAAAAGAAAACTCTAACCAACAAACCTCTTACCTCCCTAGCGGAGAATTCAACATTCTCGTGTTAGTCGTTTCGGTTTCAGCACGGCTCTTAATTTGAAGCACGCCAACAAAGATCCGCTTACAGCCAACAGAACTCCATCCAACTAATAAATATCTTCCCACTTACACCAACGCAATGACCTAAAGATAGTCAAAGCGATGAATCCTCCACTTAAGGAGACACAAGAGTAAGCACTACAAAGACCGCGGAGCTGTTGGTTAACTCCCGTCAATCAGTTTGGCCTGTGTTTCGTGAACGGGCCGTTTTGTTGATCGAGTCCTGAAATTACGGGCTGAGGTCCGTGTTGATGGTGTTTAAAAGGATTGCTCATCCCTATGTAAAGAAGTAGAAAAAGGAATCATAATCAATCACTATTATACCAATTAATTCATCAATCATTAATAATGGCTGCCAAATTCCTCACCACAGCTCTCCTAGCTGGGACAGTCCTCGCTAAAACAGATCTCTCAGGCTGCACAACCTACGATACAGTCGTCAGCAATGCCGATGGCATGTACGCTACGAGAATCTGGTACGTCCCCGACTCGGGCGAGATCTGCGATTTCCTCGACTGCGGCGGTGGCCGAGCTCCTCCCAAGACCACCGTCCCTGGATGTGCTGCCTACGAAGGCACAGAGACATACTCTCCTCTCTTTATCGACCCCAAGACTCTTGGTTCTGGTCCTATCAAGACTGGTGCCGCTAGTGATGTGAGCGCGTCTGCTACCATCACTGAGGCGCCTACTACTCAGACTGGTGCTGCCACTGAGGCTACATCCGAGGCTGCTGAGACAGAGTCTGAGGCCGAGAGTGAATCTGAAATCGCCAGCAAGCCTATTTACTCTACCATCCGCAGAGCCAACGACACAGGTGCTTTCAACACACACTCTACACCCGGCCATGCGACTCTCACTGCTTCTGCCTCTGCTTCCACCGGAGCCGGATCCGGTACCGCATCTTCCGGATCCGATTCTGGCTCCGCTGCCTCCGACTCCGATTCCGCTTCTACACCGGCGTCTACCGTTTCCACCGCCGGTGCCGCGATGCCCACAGCCGGTGCTTACCTCGCTCTCGCGGGAGCTGCCATCTACGCTGGAATGCTGTAGAATCTGGGATGTATTGGGAAGATATCAGTTTTCATTCTTTATATACGTAATAATACATGTCTATTTCCTAGCCGCTTGACCCGTAAGCAAACGCCTTTACCCATATGTAACCACCGCAACCATGGCATTCCGTCATTCCGCCTTTTTGACATGCCTCTCGTATTTACTTATCTGCCGTTTTTCATCTAGTCACCGTTTTTTTGTTGCTCCTCCCCCGCCTTCCGCCCTCCGCCGTAGATCCCCGGGTTCCACCACGACGAGCAATAGGGCGTTGAAGCTGATAGGTCCGTTCAACAACGCGTGCTATCAAATGACAAGATCTAGCATCCAGAGGGCGTATTAGTCCCTTGATGTTGTACATTGCATTCAACCTTTCAAGATAGGTTGTGCCGTGCCGTGCCTTGCTTATGAGATGAGATGAGATGCATATAAGATCAATAAATAAGATAAACAAAGATCCAAAAACGTGAAGATGCAGCGACAATTCGTAATCTGACCACATTTCCAAGTTATTCGAAAACATACTTCTTGTGCTTCATACCTGCCTTGACCGAAACTTGATGATCGATTGTCTTACTCCAGAAACTATCCTCTTTGTCTCGCTTCCCCCGCAAAAGGCTTGCTTGGTTCCCGTTCCCACATGACCAATTCTACAACGAACCGTTGCTTCTACGAGTCAAACACCGTCGACTAAACTCGCGATCACACGCCCTGTTTTTGCTCCTCCCCCGCAAAGACAAAGCCCGCCGCTAGCCGTACACCCTCCTGTGTGCTGGCGACTACATCATTGTCACGATCCTTTTTCTTCTCGAGTAACAAGGAAACTCTTTTGATCCCAAGTATTGTGACCGCCTCTTCAGACACTCAACCTGCAACCTTTCCTTCCACGAAGCAAGAAACTTGCAGATATAACATCGTCAGTTCGTATATTCATCAATATGGGCTCCCACGACTCTTTGAACCAAGCCGAGGGTGCTCCCCGGTTCTGGTACCGCGATAACTTCTTCCTCACAAACGACAAATCCTATCTATGTCCCCGAACCTTCAACAAGTCCCTCGACGACAACTGGTGGAGCAGCCCTTTGCCAAATGGACAACTCCAAAAGGTGTTGGACAACTGCCTGACTCTGGCGGTGTACTATACTCCTCAGACCGCCGAGGAGATGAAGAGTAAGTCGCAATTGACCTCTCGCTCTTCTCTCTATTAACAATAATCCAGGAAATGGCATCGCTTCGCCAAAAGATGGCTCTCCGCATAAAATGGTCGGCTTCGCTCGCGTGGTGACCGACTATGTAACCCTGGCCTATCTCACAGACGTCTTTGTCGTCGAGGAATTCCAGCGGCGGGGATTGGCGTCATGGCTGATGCAGGGTCTCAAGGAGATAGTCAACGAATGGAAACACATGCGCGGACTACTCCTCATGACTCACGACCAGGCCGCAGCGAGGCTGTATCAAAGAGAACTAGGCGCCCAAGAGTTCGAAAAGGGACCGTCGGCCGGCCTAGTAATGCTCGAAATGGCCGGTCCAGCCGAGAAGCCTGCACCCAAGCACTGATGCACTTTTGGTCCTTGTTTTTTTTCTATTATCTAGCGATGCATTTGCTCAGGACTTTCTGTCTGGGTGACTTTTTTCTTTTCGAGGTGGTTTAGCGCTGTGATCCGGACATGGCGGCTCGTGTCTCAATGGCGCGTTTGTAAGGAGGAGCAATTGGGGGCTGGACGGGATCTAGAGAGACATAATCCTCAGGGAGCTTGTATGAAGCGTCGGAATCAAAGGCGGATAGATCTCCACAGGCAATGAACGGTGCGACCCATCGACTGCTTCTCTCCATGTCTTCTGGCACTTCATCGTAAACCTCCATTTCCACAACACCCTGGTCCTTTGTTGTCGAGTCCTGCATGTCGACATCTCCCTTCTCCTTGAGCATCTCCTCCAGTCGTCCACCAACACCGAGAGGCTCCTCAAGACTAGCACGGAATCCAGTGGGGGGCTGGAAGTTGATGCAAACGATGAAAGCTTCAACACTGCTTGCGCGACTACTGCGGGGCTTGGCGACGATGACCTTTTCGAAAAAGATCTTGAGTTGGGCGTACAGGACGTCGACGTTTCGTCCACGGAAGATCTTGGCCACGAATTTACCACCAGGCTTCAGGACACAGAGGGCCAGATTAAGAGCGGCGAAGAGCAACTGCGATTGAACGTAAATATCGAGATCATGGAGACCTGTCACGTCAGGAGCACCATCACTCAGCACAAGGTCAACAGGGTGCTCCGCCTGCGTTCCAGCCGATTTGGAGTCGTAAGAAGGATCAAGAGCAGAAAGTAGTAGGGGCACCGTCGCAGGGTGTGTAATATCGGCTCGAAGAGTGGTGATACCGGCAAGAGGTGAAATAGGCTGTAGATCAATCGAAACAATCTTGACGTCCTCTCTTGGCTTTGTGGTCTCCTGTTGTTCCTCCTCAATGGGTTGTGTCTCGCTGTCGCCGTCCTTGGGTAGAATTCCCATCATCTGCTGTCGGAACTTGGCTTCCTTATCCTGCCAAGCGGCCCTGCCAAACTTCTCGCCCTTGATCAATACACGGGAAAGAACTTGCGACCAACTTCCGGGAGCAGCGCAAAGATCGACGACTCGAGTAACATCGGCGAAGAGATCGAATTCTACAAGGATGGAAGTTAATCACAGCAATTCTCCCTTACTCGGCAATTCTTACCCTCGTCGAGCTGCAACAGCTTAAAGGCACTTCGCGCACGCCATCCTTGCTCCTTGGCAAGCCGGTAGTAGGCGTCGCGCTTATCTTTTGAGGACTTTCCCATGGTATCGACGGTTTGGTGATGTCGGCGTTGAATTTTTTGAAGTCTGAATTTGGTGCCCCGCGGTTGGTGGGGTAGAAAATACCTACGTCTAAGTTACCCCTCTAGCTTTAAGACCCTTCTATGAGACGGGATTGGCTTGGAAACTCAGCATCAATCAAGTTGCTATTGTCTATTAAGAACTCTTGTAATCGTCTAATTCAATTCATGTCTAAGCCTTTTCAACCAGACTCTAACCTTCAATTCCTAGCTCTTCTCCTACAACCTCCAGGGCTTCTCTCAACAAACTGCCAACTGCATCGTGCCCACTTACACCAGAAGCTCTGACAATAAGAGGATACAGTCTTAGTAGATGCTTCCTTCCCTCGCTCTCAACATTTCTCAACTCAGGAATGGCGTCCTTATCGCTCTTCAAATCAACAAGTTTCCGTAGAATCCATGTCAACTCTTTTCGCTGACTCAAAGGCTGAGGCATTCTGCCCCGAAGAGGCTGATCAGCGATGTATGCCCTTAATGTCAACGCACATCGAAGTATGAGGAATGGTGCAGCTGTGCTAGCAATTCTTGCGTAGAGAGTAACAGGTGACTCGGCGAAACGGCTGTGCTTGGGATCAGGGAATTGAGGCGTCGGAGGTTGAATGACTATTGTGGGCTCGTCTTTGGCAGAGACCATGGCAAACAGGACCTCACAAGCGTCATAAGCCATCCTGACGCGCTTCGCTGGAGGAACAGACACCGTTCGGCCTGCTCGAGAGTTATACAGTGCCGATAGACCTTTCGCGTGTGTCCCATTGATTATTGACTCCTCTTCTGGCGAAGGTGCGTGGATTATTGATGTCTTAAAGAGACTTTCTGCGTAAGCCGCTCTGGCCCTTTCAGGAACAGCTGTCGCTCCAAGAGAGGGTATAATCAGTTCTCGTATCTTGTGGAAAGCTGCAATATCGAAAGCCTCGTCGTCAGAGAAGTCGGTTTCTGAGGGAGCGATACTGCAATCTGCACTCATGATTCCATCTGCAATCGCCACTATAGTAGTCCAGATGTTCTTAGTGACTTCCTTTGAGAGATCAAGACTAATAATATGTGTCAGAGTCGCTTCAAGGATCGTGAGCGCTGTAGAGGTGGCCAGCCTCCATGGTTGTGTCGATTTAGTAATTGTAGAAAAGCCGTACTTCAGCGCGATTGGCTTGCATAAAGCCTTCAGAGCCTCGTAAAATGAGTTGCTGCTATAGATATCCGAGTCCGATGCATGCTCAAGGATGAGCTTCTCGAGTGTCTGCATACTCATCTTTGAGAGCGCAATGTAAGTGCGCTTAGAACCAGGCTTGGACGGACTGGGCTGCACGAAAGGCAAGATCGCAAAGTCCGCAACCTGTGTGATCATGGCGGATGGAACTCCTTTGATGTCGGTTCGGATCATCTGAACAGCTTCAAGGATGTGTGCCTGTAAAGGCGTCACATATTCGATGTCTGAGACAAAACTACCAACGGTGGCTTCGTCCAAGGTTTCGCGGAGCAACTTCAGGATCCTGCCTACTCTCTCTACCTCGAGATCATCTTTAATGAGTCGATAAATTTCGGTCAGGACAGAAACGTAGGCAACAAGACAATTTTGGTTGTCTTCGGCCTTGTCGTCGATAGCTTTGGAGGTCGGGACTCCTCTTGCCCATAGGTCCCATGAACTGTTGATCGCGGTCTTGCTGAAATCAGACTTGCCATCGTTGTTGGTCTCGGAGAGAATATGAGCAAGAGCTTTGAATATCGCAGTATTGATATCGAGAACGCTGAAATCCAGCAAAGTAGTGAAATGAGTAAGCAGTTCTTTCCACAGGTCGTCGAACGAGGGATGAACCACAAGGATATCGAGGTAATTGGCTAGAAGGCTCGAGATACCGTTTAGGACGACAACAGCCGTCTCTGTCCATTCAGCTCGGTCGCCATCGTCCGCTTCTTCCTCTTCTCCTGACTGCAGTACCTTGATCTCCTGCTCGATTGACGACAAAAGCTTGAAAATAACTGACTTGACGCATATTGACCACGACTCGGGGTTAAGTCGGTCGCCGTATGCATCGAAAATTCTGAGCAAAGTCTGAATGGCACTGTTACGAAGCTCGAGTCTATCATCAGTAGTAACGTTCGTCAATCGGAGCAACAACAGCATCCACAAGGCTGCATCAGAGCACTTGTGGCTTTGGTCGGCTGCCATCTTTTCAAGATCAGATACATCCGTCAATTGCATCATCTCTGGAGGGATGTCGAGTGACTCGTTCTTTGAGGATAGGAAGTCGCTCAACACCCAGAAGAAGGTTACGGTCTGGAGAAATTAGCACTATTTAAACAATATGACGAGAAACTTACCGTCAAAGCAATATTAAGATCGTCATCTTGTGAGCAGAACTTGTAGAGATTATCGACAAGAATCAAGAAGCATGAGTTTGGTAGTGAGGCCAGGAAGTCTGAGCAGATGAGTTGAAGGGAGTTAAAAGATGACCTGATGAGCTTTGCTGATCGGGTGTCGAGAAGGATTGGGTTGGCCACTGAGCCACGGCGATACTCGTGGTTGACATCTCTCGTAACAAATATGGTACCGATGATTTCGAAAGCTATATCCCATCCCTTGATCAAGGTCTCTCCGTTACCCTCTATGATACTTTGAAGGCCATCAAGGATGATTTTGTGGATGTCGATATCCGTTGAATGGCTTGCGAGGGAAACTTCACGATCTGCCTTGAGCAGAGGCTCTAGCGACCTACGAAGAGCCTCAAAGAACCGCAGTTGCTTCTCGCCACGGTCCTCTTCCGGTAATGAAGAAGTAACATTGGCAGCTTCCAGGACCAGCTTGACAAGAATTTCAGCTGCCCTTGTTCGGACAGACGAGTTCGTCTGTGACGAGGTCAAGGTGTCGATCAGCTTCTCTGTCAATACATTCCAGCCAGACTCTTTAGGACTGTATTCCAATAGTCGATCAATATTGATACTGGCGAGCTCGCCAAGTTTAGCAAGTGCAAACTTTTCTTCCTGGGTTGATCCGGACATCATCTGCCCAGAAGCTCTACGGCCTTGAGTAGCGGGAGCCTTGAGCTTCTGTTCATCAGACGGCGCTTGTTTTTGCGAAGCCGTGTCTTCAGACTTCTCAGGTAGCTTTTGCACTAACAAACTGCAAATGGCCGCCACGACTTCTAGGAACGATTCATTGGGGAAGTCGGCTGTACTTTCAATGAGTCTCGAAGCTGCAGTCTCAACCGCACGAACCTCAGAACTGAAGTTTTGCATCAACGTTGCCATCTCATTATCAGCCCCTGGGTCGGGTCTTGATGTCCTACCAGGAGCTTTTCCACTAACGTAAAGCACAAAGTCTGCCTGCTGCAAAGTCTCCAGTATGATATACCAAGCACCGGACAAAGTTGGCCCCAACGCTATGCCCAGGTTCAAAAGTGCTCGTAGACATAATAGATTGCGAGTGTTCAAGGAAGCGACTGAAGCATCAAAGGATGCATTTCGTCCCTTGTCGGCTGTAGGCGTGGTGGGTGTGAGGCTATCGACACTGAGTAGCCCTCGGGCATTGCTAAATAGACTGCCATCGGTTGGTGTGCTCGGTGTCTGTGGGCGGCCCTGACCAGAGTTGACACACGCAGTAAGAACATTAGGCGGAACAGCTGCCTTGCCCAACGTTGTGAGGAAAGCATCGCGAGGTGTTGACAGTTGCAACAAACCAGCAACGTGTGCAAATCGCTGGAACGCACGCACCAGTCCGTGGTAATACTCAGAATCTAGGGCAGCGTATAAGAACGTTGAGCAAGTCGCAAGAATGGCTGGCCAGCATTCCTCGACGATTGTGGCACAAATCTTGACCTCAGCATGCTGGGGATGATCCTCCAATGAGAGTGGGTTCAAGGGAATAGGGTTCCTTCTGAACGACGTCGACCTTTCCAGCTTGCCCTTTGGAGATGCACTGTCTTGCTCTGGTACTGGAGAGTCTCGTCCAAATTCCTGTCTGGACGCTCTCTTCTTTCTAGCTTCGCTTGGGACTGTCAAGGACAAGACGAACTTGGCAAGACCGTCAGAAAGAGACGAGATACAGTTCAGTATCAGGCTGTATAGGTAAGATTCGGGGATCGAGGGAGCTTCCGTCTTATCAAGTTGATCAATACACGGAACACGAACCGAACTAAATTGCGTGCTAATACCCGTTGTTGTGAGTTCTGATCCAACTGGCCCTGTCATTAGTCCAGTCATGCCACTGGCCTCAGCAATAGCTTGCTCAGACGAGTTTCCGGTGTTTGAGCTGGCCGTAGGCAATGATGATTGAGGGCCAAGACCGATTACGGCAGGCTTCTCGGTACTCAAACGCACGAATGTAGCTATCAAAGGTTTAAGGACGTCCTTTTCTCCTTCAGTCGCATCGAACATGGCATAGATTCGCCTGAGAAGAGCGTGGTCCGCAAAGATTCCTCGAAAGACCTCCATGCATAATGCTCTTTTCCATAGAGTCTCATCGTGGTCAAGAATCAGTGTTAGCACAACCAGTGCCTCGCCACATTCTGAAGGCAAGATGCTGATGTGTCTACGCAGCATTGTGTACAGAATTCGCATCAGTCGCACTGTGGTTGCAAAATTTGGCTTTGCCTTCAGTGCCGCTATCAGTAGTGGCATAACCCTGCTGCGTAGGATCTGAGCTTGCTCGGGATGATTACTGAAGACAGTGGCATGATTTGTTATAACGGATTCGATAAGTTCCAGTCCAAATGTCTGTTGAAGCCCCGAGACTCGAATGAATTCTGGCCGTTGATTTTCCGTCATGAGACAGAGGTCGTTGAATATCTGATCAGGTTAGATACTGTAGTTAAAGACATGGTAGCACATACCCGATAGGCGTCGGTTGCTGCAGGATGATTTTCTGAGTATTCTGGATCACTGTTTCCAGATCCTTCACCCGCTTTCTTGTCTTCAGCAACGACCTTGTCAAATACCGAGACGACCAATTGCTGGAGCGTCGCGGCCGAAGTATGGTTCACGATAGCATTTTTGCTACTCTGGAGAGTAAAGCAAATGTTCAGCGTTGTGACCAACAGGTTCCCTTTAAGGTCTGACGCGTAATTCTGAACAAGAGACGGCAGCGCCTGCAAAATCTTGAGCTGTACATCGAGACCAGCTGATGTAGCTTGCATCAACGCCTCCAAGACCTGGTTCAGCTTTGAACGTGGTAAAGCCTGGGAGACGATGAGGCGCTGAAGACAGACAATTGCGATTGCAGTGAATTTCGCATTTTTCGTTCCACATGCTATGATGAAAGGGTTGACAAAATTGGGCTTTTGAGATAGCTCTGTATGCAAGTCAGATATAGCTTCCACTAACAGCGGGGAGCTCCTAGACCTTCAGGGGCAGTCTGTTCAGACGGATTTCTCAAATTTCTTAACTCTTCTAGCGATTTCTCTGCGGCCTGTACTCATTGTCAGACAAATTCCTCGCGATGATGCTCAAGACAAACTCACTTGTCGCAGGTCATTATGCTTCCTCTTACTCTCCTGGATAAGATTGGCCAGCTCCGTGGAAAGGAGTTGTGTCGTCATCTTGGGCAAACCGCTCAGGTTTTTAGCTCAGAACAGAGCATATGATTTCTTCATATGTCCATACAGCTAAAGAAATAATTTCCTTTTGCCGATTGATGATGTATCTCTCTTTACAGGGTGTTGATGCTGGTAGGCAGTGATGTGTCCCTTGTAGATGATGCGGCAGAATTCCTCACCGCCTGCTATTCACGTGGGGCGTTCATGCCATAGATTGAAGCAATCATGGTAATTCGAAGCTTCCCATCATGACTGCTCCAACGACATGAAATTGTTCAATGAAAGAGGTAAAATGGCCAATACGTACGATTCCTTTAATTTTCTGTATCAAAACTCATTCGGCCAGGAGAATGCAATCACATAACACTTTCGGACCTTCATGTCAACCACCCTTGTAATGATGTTCAATGTCTCTTGAACTATTTCAGAATCTTCTACAGGTTGAAGATAGCTACTTTGGAATGACATTCTCTTAAAATTCTTTCATGTGTGAGCCCTTTCAAGAATTTCTCGTTGCCATCACCATGCCAGCCAAGTCGAAGCATTTGTACAGAGCAAGATACTCTACCCTCGTGTTAGTGAACTGAGCGCGATACTCAGTTATAAATCTCGCCAATAACCGAAATGAATCATCCAGATCGGTTAACCTGCAATGATAATTCTCAGTTGAAGGCTTTGTAGACACATTCAGCTTGGATTCATCTTATTGATGAAATCGCTCATAGCCAGTTGCCTAGTAGGAGACTCTGCCGATGCATCAATTGAATCAAAACTCAGTTCATACGTGCTGTCGTATATGATTAAGCAGAACAAGCCCTGCAAACCATCCAAGCTGTCGAACAATACTACATGAGTTCAATGAAACCACATCGCGGCGCATGCTAAACAGCATATCCCAAAATTTCGTGCATCACATGTCTAAATTTCTTTTGTGGGTTTTGCGAGTTTTACCCAAATGATCGTAAATCGACTTGGCCCACGCCCAATCTCTAATAAATAATACGCCGCTTGATGTTTGTTAGTTTGCGATCGTGACTTCACGTATACGACTGGACCTACCAACTCCATAACCTTGTTTAGCACCTTGTTTCTAGTAATTGATGGTCTTAGACGGGAGCATTGTTGAAAAGGTACGAGACGGACTCTCCGTTATGAGTTCGTCGAATGGCCTGACACATCAGTTAGAAAGATCATTTCTGGACAAGAGGAGATATCATACCTCGGCAAGAGTTCCAGAGACATCGATGACCTTGAGCTTAGGGCATCGCTCAATCTTATCACCCACTGTTCAAAGTCAGTACATAATATCAATAAGCGCATATGAGCGCTCGAGCTATAACGTCAAACTTACGAGGCACAGCTGCATAAATGTTAGCATACGAGCACAGGCATCAAGAAATGAGTACTTACTGTTGGTAACGACTAAACCTGAAAGGCAAGAATTGTTGATGGTATCGATGGCCTTACCACTCAAGATACCGTGAGTAACAATAGCATAGACCTCACTGGCACCATGCTTGTGAACAGTCTCAGCAGCCTTGGCAAGCTATGATATGGTTAGTTGGTTTCACTACACAATTCTTGCTTACTTACAGTGCCACAAGTATCAGCCATATCGTCAACCAGGATGGCGACCTTGTCCTGGACGTCACCGACCAGGACCATGCGGCCGACAACGTTGGGACGAGGTCGCTCCTTGTGAATAAGAGCGAAGCCAGTGTTCAGGCGGTCAGCAAGAGAAGTAGCACGCTTGGCGCCACCAGCGTCAGGGGAGACAATCACGCAGTTCTCAACGTTAAGGTTCTCTCTGATCCAACGAAGAACAGAGGGCTCAGCGTAGAGGTTATCCACGGGGACGTTAAAGAATCCTTGGATTTGAGAAGCATGGAGGTCCATGGTGATGACATGGTTCTACATCAGTGTTAGTGCTTTCTCGTATATCGTATTAGTGATAAACGTACACATCCTGAAACCTGCAGCATGTTTGCAATCAGCTTAGCACTGATGGGAGCTCTGGATTTATCCTTCTTGTCTTGGCGAGCGTAAGGAAAGCTGGGGATAACAGCAGTGATACGTCTAGCCGAAGCAGTTCGACAAGCGTGGATCATAATGAGTAGCTCCATGAGTCCATCGTTGACATCTCCAGGAGCAGTAGACTGAAGAATGAAGACATCCTCGTCACGAACAGACTCTCCGATAGAAACACTAGTCTCTCGGTTGGAGTAGTTAAGGCTCATGGTGTTTGCGATATCAATACCGAGTCTTGAGATATATCAGCAACTTGTACACCACCTCACAGACGCTGAGTCACGCCTCTATACAAAACAAGAGGCGGAAACTCGAATTCACATACCGGCTAGCGACCTTGGTACTGATTTCGGGGTGGGAGCTCCCCGAGATGAGCTTGATTTCGTTCGCCATTTGATCCAACATTGTCAAAGAGAGGAAAGAAAAAGAGCGGGGCGAAGAATTTTTGGCGGCGAGGAAATAAATAACCGCGAGCGCCTCGGGTTAGAATCGGAGGTTGCAGGTATGTGATTCACAGTCGAGAGCAACACCGAGAATAGGTGAGTATAGCGACGCACAAAAGACAAGATGTTTTCTGTAAGATCAGAAAGAGGATTATCAGGCTCCGATCAAATTCCAGAAGTTAATCATTAACGAGGTTCAAAGTTTTCCTTTCCGGGTTTGAGTTGTGGAGCAGTCGGAGCTACGGTATCCGTACGGAGGTAAATAGTACTGGACTACACCACCTAAAATGCTCCATTGTCTTTTCGTCAATACCAAGGCTGAGTCATGTGATGGCTAAAAAATACAGTGCAATTGATTTCAACTAGAAATGGATTTGCGGGGGGCTTAACTTTAATTCGGGCGTAAAGACGTGTTGAAGCGGTCATGATGAACGCACCTCACGATGATTCTACTGCTAAAAACCAGACGCCTCTTACTTCAATCGCTTAATTGAAGACGACATATTTCCTTCCAATCAGTTCGACGTCATTTTTCATCGCCTATAAAAAAGAGAAGGGTAACCACTGTAGCCACTAAAATTACCCTGCCTTTACCCCTCCATTCAGTTCCTTCGTTCCTTCCATTGCCGGCTTGGATCGGAACCGATTACCAGGATAAAAAATGGACCTGGCTTGAACCTTCCTTTGTTGCCCAAACTCAGACCCAGACCGAGACCCTTCTGAGAAGCATTTCTGAAATCATCTTAACTAAGCCAACTCCAACTCCCAACTCAACGACTGATTTTACGATTCACGATTGCGATTCCGATTCTTGATCATAAACAACACGACTACGATTTTCTTATACTCTATTCATTGCTTTCAGCAAATAACCGCCACGTGATCCCGCATACTCGAGAACCAGTGATTTGATGCCCCGTCACAACTCTTCGCCTTCAAACTTCACCGCTTGCCCGCCTCACCTGTCTCATGCAAATCATGTTGGATCCAGTTCATCTTCCAGCATGGCACACCATCATTCCTTTTCGCCGCGGTTGAGTCCCGCTTTGACTTCGACTTCGTCTCTTCACGATATGGGACGTAACCGAAAACTCCGTCTCCTAGTCGCCGCCACCGGACCCCGCGATACCTCCTGGGCTCAAGCACTCGTTGTGCGCCTCTCCAAAAATCCACAGATCGAAGCGCGAGCGATTGTCGACGATGTAGTCCCGCGATTAACACAGACCATTATTGTCATGCAGAATAGAGGGTTAGCGCTCGGCGCGGGCGATCGGGCCGACGATATTGAATTCTATCGACAACAAGCATTTGAATTGGTAGAGTGGGCAGATCTTATGGTTTGCGTACCGCTTGATGCCGATAGTATTGCCAAGATGCTGGCCGGCGTAACGGACACTTTCCTCGGAGAAGTACTCAGAGGATGGGATACCCAAAAGAGCATCGTCCTGGTCCCTGGTATGAGCACGCATATGTGGTCAAACCCAATGACCAAAAAGCATTTGAGCAAATTGCACCGAAAATGGAACTGGATACGTGTAGTGGCGCCGATATTGTGGCACTACGAAGGATCGCCGAACCCGAAACGAGTGCCGAACTGGAACGGTTTCAACGAGGTTTTGGGTATAATCAAGAACCAGGCCGATCTACTAGGACTTGGCCGTGATATTGAGGTTCTGACTGGGCTGGCCATGACAGATGATGCCGACGTAAGAGTCCAGTGCAAGCTGCCACCAGAGATCTGGACCATCATTCTCGATTATGCAGGGGATTGGGAACTATCAAAGGCTCTAGGGATGTACACCAACCTACCGATGCCCAGAGCGTGGTCAAGTCAGCCTAGAGACCCCAACGATCCACTCAAGGTGTACGAACATGAGCTCGAATGGACGGTACTTACCGGTAACTCGGCTGCGATATGTAAGAAGATATCGCAATCTCCACCTGAATTCCACGATATATCCGCTTTGGTCATCAAATTGGTGATCAAGTTTGGTCTTATCGATGTGTTGGCATATATGGAAGCCAATCGACCGGATCTCTTCAAAGCATTCGATGGCACAACGCTTCCCACTAAAGCATCCGCCTATTATCCACGCACTGATGTGCTAGATTATTGGAAACAGAGCGAATGGTTCAGGGACCGACACGTGTATGATGCGGAAGCAGTCGACGGTGCCTCAAGATTTGGCCATGTTCGTGTACTAGACTGGTGGTGGCGCCGATCTGGATTGGGAATGCGTTATACTGAGTCCGCACTGGAGCAGGCCAGTGGAAATGGCCATCTTTTAGTTCTTGAATGGTGGCGCGATGCAGCAGCTCAGGACGACAAGGTTGTTCTACGGCCGGGCCGATCTCTCCTATGGGCGACACAGCATGGACAAGCTGATGTTTTGCGCTGGTGGGATGCTTCAGGCATTCCCGCAGCACATGGCGACAGTGTTGCCAAAGTGGCCAGTCGTTGGGGTCAAGTTGAGGTTCTTGAGACCTGGCGACGGCTGAAGGGAGATGACAAGCTCGTGTTCGATGCCGAGGTGCTAGTTTCACCTACCATATTCAAGCACTTGTCAGTGCTGGAGTGGTGGCGCAACTTTGCCCATGGAGAGCTTGAAGGTATGGAAGGTCGAAAGCAGCTGGTAGAGTTCCGAACTTGTAACATCGAGGAAGCGCTCGAAGACAGCATAGGAGATCAGAGCGCTGTTCGACGATGGTGGACACAAAATGGACTCAACCTAGGATTGCGAGACGAAGAGTGGCTCAAGACGCGATATCTCTAGAGAGGCTTATAGTCATACACGGCTACGCCACAACTCTACTGCGGTAGGTCAGCCCTGAATCCGGGTGAACGGAAAGGGTGTGGCCGTTAAGAGACATGCATGGGTGCATGGCGCGTGGTAGAGTAGGGTTATAAGGGAGATGCCGGCTCGTGCTAGCATCGGGTAATGGTGATCAAGGTTTTCTGTTCCTGGCATTGGTACATATTCTTTTGGGCGCAGGCGTCATTCGACATTAGTTTGGAGTCTTTTGTTGAGACTGGTCTATATTATGAACTTGCAGCATCCGGAGCGTTTCTTTAACTAGGAAAAGGGGCGTAGGATTTGAACTTACAAGCATGTATAAAGCACTATGAAAATAAGAGGAACAATGGCGTTTTGTGCACTATCAACTGAATTGTTACATTAGTTTCATGACAGATGCAAGATTGTAATGGATCGTTGATACTCGAAGAAATTCCCTTGCTCCTAGCTGTGCAGCACATTGTAATTCCCGTCCTGTGACTTCCCTCAGTCCGGTCAATATGATCAACGACATCGACTTACATGATTCAGTATCAAGTCTAATGTAAGCTAAATAGATAAAGTGTATATCATCTTGGCGCGAAATCGCCAAGCTGGAATAGATATCCGGGGGTGGATCCTGATCGAACAGTTGAACTATCCCCAAGAGTCAAGCAAGAGTCTCATCAACCGGCCCGGTTCATTCAATGAAGTAGGCAAGAGACAACGATTGAGTTAGTAGGTTAATGCGCGACTGCCGACCGCTCAATTGTTAGTTTCTAAGCTTATTTTCTTTACCTGTTCAGGTTGAAGTCCTTCATCGTGGACAAGGATTCTTGTTCTCCACACACCCTTGTTTCTCTTCTAGAAGACCCTTTTGTCCATTCAGAGCTGTGGTTGTAGTTCTGTGGCGCTGGTCAACCGGTTCTTGAGAACCGACAGAGCTTTCAGCCTCTTGTTTACGAAGAGGATACGATACAAGAATTGGAGTGAGGGGCCGGGGTGTTCCGTGCCCACAGTCCATGTCCATATGGCATGTCAGTGATACCACTTGGTGTCTTTTTCATTACGTGATGATTCGTGGGGCCCCGCGAGCCCAGACATTTTCTGACGATCTGTAGATTTGGCCTTTTGGTTTTTTCTGGAGTTGGCGGGGAGATCTGGGGAAGTTGAACTTGGCGAGCAGCGTGAAGGTATTCGCAAAAATACTTGGGCTTGGATTTGGAGAAAGAGAATTTTTACTCATGAACAGTTGGGGTAGTGTGCTACAGCAGGTACAATACTTTCCAGTCTAGACTGTTTACAGCATATTTTTCCCGCATGTTCTTATCTTGCGGGCGACTTCTCCAAACCAAATAAGCGCGGTCAGGGGAGGGGAGCCACTGATAAGAGCCCAGCCCAGCCCAGAGTCAGAATCAGAGACCCAGAGTATCTTCTTTTTACAGGGTTAGTATCAATGCCAAGCTATCTCTATAAGTTGACTGCAACATATATTTGAGCCTTCTTCTCAAAATTTACTCATTTTTCCAGAGACAAAGAGAATTGATCAGCTCATGCCCTCATAATGACTCGGTCATAATCCGTCATGCAAGGATCAGCGCAGTTTAGCTTAAACCCATGCTTAAAATTAAGAGCGGGATAAAAAGACCTCGTTCATCTTTCCCCCGCATTTCCATTTCCATTTCTTTCAGTGCTGAATGTACCGTCGCCTCGGTATTGGTCTTCTCCGCATGACTTGACTTGGTCTTATTTTATTACGTACGAAATCAAGTTGATGTGTCTGGGGTAGGAACTAGGTTTGGAGCCGCGGTTAAGGTAGTGTTTGGGAGAGAGCGCGCTGTTGGAGATGCCATGACTCTAGACGACCTTGACTCGATACTCTTTAAAGATGTCACTGTAGAGATAACTCTAATGGTTGTGATCATGCTTATGTGTAATAATCAGTATTGGGAACATTCCTTAAACTGAGTGAAAACTCACTTATACAGCCAGACTTACACTCATAACTTAGCCGCGGTGGAGATATCCGCCGTGAAACTGCCTATCTCAGTGACAGAGACCCAACTGATAACCGTTGCCCGCAGCATTCTCTCGCTAGTCTTCAGCCCTGGTCCCCATCAGTCTTGGCACCTCTAATGCTCCCCCAAACTGACTCTCCAACTTCCTAGCCACCACCGCAAATCATGCTACTCTAATTCGCATCTCCATGACTCGACTTGTTCATGCCTCCACCACATAATGGTACTCTGTCGCCCGAACTTACCTAAATGAGTGAAGACCGCCGGCCCGGTCTTCTTCCTCGCTGTTTGCCTCTATCTACACAGCTTATCATTCCCCATACTTTGCTTTACCTACCGCGGTGGGGAATGGGCACCTACAGTACTCTGAGCAGTGTAGCTCACCTCCGCATGTTCACTGTCTCTCTCGGGGAACTTAGTTGCGAATAGCTAGATCTTCCTTGTCATGATAATCTACACCATGGGTTCCTCTTCTAGAAAACCGGGCCGGTGACTATGATTCCTATCCTTGACCATGTTGCAGCGACGTTATTCTTAAAGGACCATCTCCCCCGTCCCAAGTGTTTATATACAGGCTTGTGTCCAACCTCATCTCAATCTCCAAAGGCTGAGTACTCCCATTACCTTCATCATGGGTTATCAACAAGACCCCGAGTCCAAAGCCGTCGAGGCTCCCAACGTCTCCGACACTTCCCCAGGAGTCCTCATCGACCACAACTCCGTCGATAATGAATATGGTCGAACCGTCCGTGGTCTCTCCCCTCGACATGTCCAACTCATGGCCATCGGTGGCTCCATCGGTACCGGTCTCTTTGTTGGTATCGGTGGCGTTCTGTCTAAAGCCGGTCCTCTCTCTGTCGTTCTTGGATACTTGATCTGGGGTGTCTTTTTCGTCTGGCCCTGTAACTTGTGTGTTGCAGAGATGTGCTCTTATCTTCCTATCCGTGGTTCCATCTTTGAACTTGCTGCTCGTTTCGTCGACCCTGCGCTTGGTATGTTTACACAAGTCAGCTATGTTTGGACTTTCAACTAACAAGATCAGGTTTCGCTATGGGATGGACATATTTCTACGCCGGTCTAATGCTTGTTTGTGTCGAATACAGTGCTGTCGCGACATTAATGCAGTATTGGGTACCCGATATAAATCCTGCGGCTTGGGTTGCGATGGCAATGGTTATCTGTGTCCTGCTCAACGTTGTTGCTGTCAAGTACTACGGTGAAGCCGAGTTCATCATGGCCTCTCTCAAAGTCATCCTTCTGTTCGGTCTTCTCTTCATCACACTCATCACCATGTGCGGAGGCAACCCCAAGAACGATGCTTACGGATTCCGCTACTGGAAGGGTGGCAAGGCCATGATACCTTATCATGCAGAGGGAGATCTTGGTCGCTTCTGTGGCTGGTGGAAGGTTATCCTCTATGCTGGCTTCACCATTGCTGGTCCTGATATGATCTCTCTGTCTTCTGGCGAGATTGCTAACCCTCGACGAACCATCCCCCGAGTTGCCAAGCTTATCTTCTACCGACTTGTCGGTTTCTACGTTCTTGGAGTTTTGGCTGTCGGAATCATCTGCAGTTCTGATGACAAGCGTCTTCTTGGTGCCATCGAGGACAGCGCTGCTGGAGCTGCTGCTTCTCCCTGGGTTATTGGCATTGAGAACCTTGGTATCCGCGGCCTCCCCGATCTCATCAACTTCCTCATCCTCACTTCCGGTCTCTCTTGCGGTAACGCCTACCTTTACTCGTCCTCTCGAACTCTCTACGGTCTCGCCCGCGATGGTCAGGCCCCCGCTTTCCTCATGAAGTGCAACAAAGCGGGTGTCCCCATGTACGCTGTCCTCGTTGTCAGTCTCCTCAGCTGCATCACCTTCCTTGTCGCCGGCGAATCCTCCGTCACTGTCTTCTTCTGGTTCGTCGACCTGACCACCACCGGTCTCATCGCCACATACACCATGATGATCGTCGTCTTCGTCGGCTGGTACCGTGCTCGTAAGGCTCAGGGTCTCGATAACTCTGCTCTTCACTACGTTGCGCCTTTCAACCCCTATGCTGCCTACATTGGTCTGTTCTTGGGTACTGTTGCCCTCATCTTCATTGGTTTCGACAAGTTTGAGCCCTGGAGCACTCAGGGCTTTGTTACCAGCTACTTCTGCCACGGATATGCCGTCTTCCTGTTTGTTGCCTGGAAGCTTATCAAGAAGACCAAGTTCGTCAGCCCTGAGAGTGCGGATCTTGTCAGTGGAAAGAAGGAGGTTGATGAGGAGTGCAAGCATTGGGAGGAGGGTGGTATCGAGGAGAACTACAAGCGGGAGTTGGCTGCTATGCCTTTCTGGAAGAGGTGCTGGGAGCGTCTTTGGTAAAGAGATATATACCAAAAAGATACAGTTATCCAAGATATCATGCTTGGTATAGCTAGCAATAATTCTATCACATTACATGTTCAACTTAACTTTGTAACGACCTTGTGACTTGATGTCTCTTTTCAGATCATAGTCCAATGCTCGTGTGATACCTTCAGGTTTACCGTTGTCCAGCATCAACGCCCATATGAAGAATGCTCACGCTATAGTTACCAATGCCTAGCAGCAGCTTCTATACAAACATCCACTATACCTAATATCTTAACAAGCATTATACAATTGATTATTCTTTTGGATTTGATTGGTTTAACGAATGCACTAAAACTAAAGCTCTATTGTTAAACGCCGACTGATCTAGGGTAGCTATATCGGAATGGATATCAGCGCCCACGATGTCATGGCTAGAATAAAAGCATAGCTATTTTAAACATGGTTTTAGCATTGTAGAATCTAGATTAAACTCTCAATGGATACAAATGGCCCACGGTTGCTGACAAGTTCATGAGAACTTCTCTTGATTCAATGGTTCGTGTTCTTGTCTTGATAGACAGCCTAGATAACAATATAAATGTCTTCTAAGACTTAGACTACCATAATAAAGCAGCCTAAGTGCTTACCCTGAGTTAGTATAGAGTGACCAAGTTCTCTCGTCTCTTTCGTCTCTTATGCCTTTAATGCCAATTGCTTTGATGCTCTGAGAATGGACAGTTCAAATCGATCCGATGCGCATAGTTGCCCAGTACATAATCACAAATGATCGACTATGTTACATCGTATCTCAGATACCAAGAACTGCTTACCCTCCGGTTTGTAAGACTTATTTACATCGAAAATGGGGTTATGTTGCAGTCAAAGAGTGATGAACAAAACATTCCTCCAATCACACATACCCTACATCACAGGGCTGAGAACGGAACTCTCAGGATCCGGACAACAAAGAAAAGGTATTGCCGATGAACGACGACCTCGCCCGATCATCTAATTCGGTCTTAAATCGAACACCCTCTACGCATGAAGATGGCAATGCAGGTTTGCGGCAAGGAAACGAAGATAAGCTGGGGATTGTTACAAAAGCATGTCATAGTTACATGCACAGCAAAAGACCGGACGAAAACTTGTAGCAAAACGAAACATGGAGTTGTCACAAAAAGCGAAAGAGAATCCAAGAGCTGCAATTGGCTGAGAAACGCGATGGATCAGTTCAGAAATGTTGAAATTGCTATCTTCGTAATGTGTGGAGAGACGTTACAGTAATGAACACAAACTGGAAATCAGATCGCGAAAAAGTAAAGAGAAAAAAGAAAACAAAACAAGAAAAGACACGGGAATGAAAGAAGCAATTATTCTAATTACTTAAAGTTTGAGGCTGTCATAGGACCGACTAAGACAATAGTATAAACACGGCAAGAGATTCGCAGTAGAAAGGAGCTGGAGCAGAATATCTCAAATCAAGTAGGGATGATGTTGGGTTGGTGTTTCACCTTGTAAGTCGCTTCTTTCTATACCCACCAACAAGGCTGTGCAAGAGAAAGTCAAAGGACAGAATGACAGCAACACCTGAAACCACCAAGAAATAGAAACAGACGATCTGCTTATTCTTCACGGTTGGACACCGTTTGTTGATCCGTGATCGAGTTGGCCGAGACTATACAAAGAAGAAAAGGAAAGGAACAAGGACTGTCCTTGTTCAAATCCCGCGTTTCAGTTCACAGGGGACCATTTGTCTTGAGAACGGACGTAGGGACGGTAGGACCGATGGATGGATATCGACAAAGATTCATAACAAATGACGAAATACAGATATCGAAAGAGCGAAAGATTAAGGCAATCGGGGGATCAGACTCGTTTAATTAAGAGATACGGATATATATTGGCAATATATAAAATGGCATGATAATTGTCAACTGCCCCCAGGTTTGGACTCCAATAGTTAGGGACCTAAGTTAGTAGCCGGGCTTGCATGAGTCGTGGCTAGCATCTTAGTGACTACCTACTCACCAGATGAGGTCTAGTAGGTGAGCTACGATGGGAACTTGAATTCGCTTGTGTTGAACCAGACAGAGGATCAGAGGATCATCATACGCGAACGAACGAGAGGGTCCAGTATTATACCCTGACCCTGTTCAAGACAACATGACAGATGATAAACAAGAGCTCAACTGATCAATCAACAGCTCTTATAATGAATCTCAATTGTGATAAATCACGATGGACAAGTCTCGTCCACCGCTAAGGAAATTGCTGCAAAGTAGTTGAGTAGGTAACTCTTGTTTGCGGGAGGCAAAAAATGCGAGTCATGGCTGAAGATGAATGTACAGTAAGCTCAGGGGCAATACCAGAGAAACTTCAACCAGAACAACGGCTAGAAACAAACAATGGAGAACACCAACGTTCTTGGAATTCGAGCTTGTGTCTCTTTGAGGGAAACACCTCCGTTGTTAGCGTTTGTTGGTGTTGAAGTAATCGCGGGCAATAAACTGGACCAACATTCAAAGAGTCCACTTCGTATGAAGGATGCAGAGCCAGTCTGTGTGTTTACATATGTCCCGTATGTGGGAGCAGGAGCTCTGATGTTATTAATCAAGAGGCTCAGGCAGCATATCGATCTGATTGTCACTCGTGCGATTAAATCATGCTCAAGTTTGAGTTGAGAACAATGAGTTTTCATTATAGCCGCATCTAACGCGGAACCGCGAAAGGAGAGCATGGACCTAAGTGAGGTCGCATCGCTCAGTGATCTACAAGAGCCTCGTTGGTAAAGATATTTTGATCACGCGCTACATGGAGATCCTCTACGGTAAACAAACCTCCATATTAAGAATTATTCTACTCAAAACACCGGATAATGAAGAATTATCTTCGGATGACGTGCCGGCAGAGACGAAGGTGTTGAATTAATTTATTTACGGCAAGTTTGGAAACAAGAGTGAAACGAAACCGTCGGGTGTGCACGGAGACGTGATGTCTCTGTGCTGATCAAACAGCGGATGTGAAGAAATCATCTGATAAATGGTTATGTTAGGTTAGTTGAGTTGTGCAATATCACAAGCAAACCTCATGACTAATTAATAGACAAACGAGATTGACAGCTCTGAAGATCGGATCTGGGGACCAAGGGAAAGGGAGGCTCTCTCAACAGCGTGACATCCATCGTGGCATTGAATAGCACGCGCAATATGGGATCGCGTCAACTAGAATATCCACCGGTCAATCCAGTCCCTTGCTAGTTCTACCTAGCTTGTCAGGGTTCTGTTCAATTTAATCAATTCTTCCGTCATATGCATACCATTTACCATGTTCACTCCTTCAACCAGGTTCCGCACCTACCGAATGCTTCAGGTTGTGTCCAGACAATTCCCTTCAAGTCCAGTCCAGTAATTATTAGGGGACTTGTAACTTATTCATTGATTGCTTTAGCCATAGCTCAAAGCCTCTTCACGCGCGACGGCGTTCAACTTTCCCACTATCCTGCAACTAAAGAGGCTCTGCCAAGACTAACTGACCATAGCTCCGAAAGCTAGTTTGCTTCCATCCGCCTTCTCATGGGTTGTTCCCAGTTGATGGATGGTATTGGAAGCAAACGGGGAAGGGTTCCTACATCTATCCGTGTGTACCTTAATATTAGACAAGGAGGATGAACCACAGACAATGGCTGCAGCAGGAAAGAGATCGACATACAGATCTTGAAGAACCAAAACGATTGGATCAAATCCTGATTACTTTAATCTTGGTACCTGAGAACCAATCACTCAGGGCTCAACTTAGTGTTCTTGTTCTTCTACCATTTCCACTAGAAGGAAGCTTGGAAGCCTCATACTTTTGACGACAACAAGAACAACAACAACAACAACAATACGAACGTGAACCGTTAGGCATACCTACATGTTAAATGAAGTGCGCTTTGACTATGCAGCACACTGAATCAATCCCGTAAATGACCGTTTTCACCCAATAGAACAACACAGACCCTGCCCGTTTGAACCTTTCAAGACATCTTCAGCGGCCTCTACTGTACGGTACAGGTGAGCAGAGCGCCCTGACCTGACTGAGCTGTCCCAACAGCCCTCAGTTACAAAGACCCATTACGGGCGAGCAGGGGACAGCAGATCCTCTGGTACAGGGGTCCGGGTCTTGGGATCTTTATAGCGTGCTCTGAGCGGAGCATCCGTCCAGGGAAGTTGAGTACCCCTGGACCTCCCCCGTCTTGCGGCCCCTGGACATGGATGAGAAGAGGGACTCACAGGGAAAAAAGTTAGGTTTTTGGTTCGGTTCACCACCGTCACCACCATTCGGGACGCTCTAGCCCCAAAACTCAACGTGAGGCCCCTTGTATTGTGACTATCTTTATGTTAGCTATCCGTACAGCCGGGCATGGGAGTCTGTCTTTGTGAGTTTGATATTCGGATGAAAGAGACGAAGAGAGGGACAAAAGATGCATTGAGTCCAATTAATGACGGAAACGGCAGTTGTATCATGTCCCTACCTATACTGCCGAGGCTGGATGCTACAGTGGCTGGAGAATAACCATTTCAGGACCCAACTGGGGAACTTGATTGGATCAGACTACGTCTCTACGTTCAGGCCATCGGAGAGATCGAACAAGAATGGAAGGCTTCTTCTGCAAGGAACAAATTTAGGTCTGTATGGAGACTTGACACTGACTCTTATGACAGCAGTGTTATACCTCAAGCACAATCTGCTCTCTCTCAGCTCTACTGTGGTGGAAGGTTCTGTCGCTAAGATGGTATTCTTTGGGATAAAATCCCTGCCAATCCCATCGGGTCCCCTTCAACGTACAGCCATGACTCTTTTTTCAGCATTTGACTTTGACTTTGGGGATCGCACCTCAATACAGTAGGTAAATGATGGCGGGGGGTTGTCTTAGCCGGGTTAGTCCTAGCAGACGCCGCTATTACAGGTGGTGTTTATGCTTTGCACTGCTCTGAATGGATGGGAATATTCTTCTCTTCTCGGGGAAGGTGAGAGTGATTTGCATTGGTTCGGTTTGGTCTAGAGTTGCCCGCTGTTCAGCTTCCAGTGTCTTGTCATGCCTAGGCTGTCGGTCTATCTCATTGTGTGCTTCTGTCAATGCCGCCACCTTCAAGCCCAGTTTATGTTTTAATGTAAGGCAAATCTATTTTTTCTTCTTTCTTCTTTTTTATTTAATTTTTTTTTTCATGTTGATCGTATTTCTATCCGGGAGTCCGATTGTCTTCTGCAAGCCCCCTGTTGCCGCACTACTCAGTCGATTCTCAATGCTGTGGAGGCTCATCAGAACCTCCAGGTCAGGATCAGGGTCAGGGTCAGGACCACGTTCACTCGGCTGGTCGGTTAGATCCCATTTTTTGCCCTCTCCTCTTGTCGCGTGCAAGTGGATGACTGTCCAGGTTGTGCTTTAACCTGATCGCTGGTTCTGGTTCGGGTAGGAGTAATTAGCAGATTGCGACTGGGGACAGGACACCTCAGTGCTTTTGTTCAAAGGTGATCGCAGCTTTTTACTTCTTCCTCTCCTTCCCAATTTCTCATTGTCACACCCCCGGACCCTCCTTCCTCCCATCACACACGCCCTTACAGGCCTACACCCCCCATATCACTTCACTTACCTACCCATGTCAAGCCCGATCCAAGCCAAATCCACCCGACCTGAACATTCACCGGTCGTCCCTATTCATCTCGACGTCGTTCTTCTTATTCCTCTAATCCCCCTCCAATTCCTTTCTCCTTCTTATACTGTAGTATTTTGATCGCCGTCGGTCGTTACATTCAGTCGGAATCTCGCGAGGGGACCAGTAAACCGTGAATACCAAGACTTCGTACACACCAGAACGGCACTTAATACTGGCAGATGCACCGCGGGATGATACGCCAATAAGACACCAACTTGGGCGAAACGACAGAACAAACGAGACGACCTCTGATATCATCCAGCGTTTCACCAACGAATCAACTGTCATCGACAACTGAGACACTATTTACGAATATCTAATTCGCTGCGATATTTGGAGGCATTAACTTGCTTACTTTTGACATCCTATTAAAGTATTGGATATCCAGTTCGAATACCATACCAGCGACACCGCGTTTCCGCACATGTTGGCTCAAGAGCAGTCGATATCGTGCTGACGAAATAAACCCCAAGGGGGGAAGACGATCTTTCTGGCGACGCGAGAGCCAAAATTAATTACGACGTCGCCAGCATGATGGGCAAGTTCGGGTTTTCCGGCCGCAAAAAGCAGGCTCCCACCGTGACGGTCACCGCCCCGCCTATGAACAAGGCCCAGAAGATCCTGGGTGCTTCAGCTATCAATATCGATAACAATTTCTCCAGTTCAAGCCTCAATCTTGCTGCGCCCGCTCCTGGGATACCGCAGGCTTCAAGCTATGGCCGCGGGTCTCCAGCAAACCAGGAGCGTGGAATGCGGGAGTGGGGGGATGAGTCTGAGATCGTCCCGCGGCAGTTCAGAGTCAACGGCGCGCCCACCGATGAGTACGACGAGGACGCTTCCGATATGACGAGCATCGTGCGAAAGCGACAGTCATCGTCAACGCTCCACTCGTGGTACGACAAGACTAAGCAGCCTCTCTCCGTAACTCAACAAACCTCAGCCTCAGCCATGGCCAAGGGCATGCCGTCAAAAGCGGAGAGGATGTTGGATATGGAGAACTCAATTGCCGAGGCTAAACTCAAGAAAAAGAAGCCTACAAAACTTGACTTGTCTCACCTAATGGGAAGACGGTCTAAAAAGAACGAGGCACAGTGGGAGGGTCCAATGCTGGATCAAATTACCCGATCTCCATCTATCCTATCTCCAACAAGCACTCCATCTTTAAGGGGCAAGTTGTCAAGACGACCTACAAAGGAAAGTCTAAGATCAGCAACCTCGGAAACAAATCGACCCAAAACAGATGAGAGCAACAGTAACCGCCGACAACAAAATCACCTGAACGGTCTGCCTAATCTCTACGAACACTACGAGCAAATGTCATTCCGCTCAATCATTGATGACGAGTTGGACGAGCCTGATGAGGATGAGAAGGTTTTGGAGAAGTCCAAGTCCAAGGATTCACACCAGCCCAAGCCAATTTCTCGACAAAGCAAACTTGAACAACACATACCGCCAGGTCACCACGCCGAGCACATTGTCTCACAATACGCAAAACGCAACCTCCCTCAACCACCCCAACCTATCATGGCCAACAAGCCCCGTTCATCCTCAGTTACAGACTGCGCTGCTAGTGTTTCTAGCAGACACACCCGCACGTCCAAGGCTTCAAAGCGCACGAGCAGGAGTTTCCAAGAGTCGGACCTTCAGGAGAAGAGCGTTCTTTCGCTCTCTTCGGATTCTGAAGATGACGATGCATACACCCAGTCCTCTACCAAGAGCTATCCCTCGATACCCGAGTACGCAACTTCGGATGCTGGGTCTTCTATTGACTTCCGTCCAGGCACCTCTCGAACTTCCGAGAGCGCTGATAACAGCTCCAAACGATTGAGCAGGTCGAGCAAGCAGACAACAGGTTCAGGCTCTGGTAACTACCTGACCATTCCCAACGGACACCAACGAAACCCTGTTATCGCCCCCAGATCCAGCTCTCTCTCTGGAAGCTCCACCAACACTATCCAGGAGGGAACTGCTCCCTCGCGCACGTCGAGCCTTTCCAACTCATCAGTAAACACTTCAAACACAGGACACAGCAAGGCCATCCCCAACAACTCGCAATCAAAGATTGTCGCTCTTTACCCCGAACCTGCACCTGAAGATTATTCTGATTACGAGGAAGAGAAGGAGACTGAGGACTCTGAAAATGAGCCCGAGCCCGAGCTTGACTTCCTCCCTGCCATGACCTACATCCCTCATGGATCCATCTCTACTACCACTACCGACGCGCCTACGCCTCCTTTGAGCCCAAGCTCTGTCGACTTTTACATCCGCTCCGCACACTCCTCTATTGATGGAAAGGATGGTCACAACCGATTCATGGCGGTTACTCGACAGGAAGAGATGCTCTTGTCTGCTCTTCGCCACAAGCGACAGACAATGCGCGGCTCTGTTATGTCTGAGATGGATGAGAAGGTCACTTCAAAGGGCCACAAATCCAAGCCCTCTGAAGCCACCATTACCGAGGAGACAATGGACTTTGACTTCCCAGCCCCTCCTACCTTTAAGAACAAGACAACAGTCAACGCTGACGGCAACACCGTTATTGATCTCAGCCATGAAACCTTCAACGACACCTCGGACGAGCTCAGCCCCACCCAACTTCCTGGCAAGAAGTCCCACCACGGACAGCGATCCCACAGCAACAATTCGGAACGCATTCTTCTTTACATCGACAAGGGTCTTGCTGCTGAACACTCCATCGACGATTCCGAGCCCAGCCCTGATCTGGACGACTTCTACGACTACGCTTTCGACGACGAGGAGTCTGAAGAGGAGACCGTCCCTGAGGTCGTCATGTATACTCAGCAGCGCCGCTACAGCGGACGAAAGGACCGTCACTCAGCTCTCAAGAGCCGATCAACGAGCCGAAGCCAACACCGCAGCCCTAGCGCTCAGCGTGATACCCTTGAGGTTGGCGTGCCTCGACCCGACAGCCCCATCTCTCCCGATGCCATGTCGACATCTGCTCCTCGAGTCAACAAGACCATGGCTCGCTTGAGTGCCGTTGGTCCTCCCGCCAAATGGGGCTTTGAGGACTAAACAACATACCTAATTTACATCCCACTGTGGGATTTACGATACACTCTACCAACGCTTTCTTTTTTCATTTATATGTATTTCAAAACAGCATTCTAGGGATTGGAGTATTTCTTTCTTGGATACCTGGATCATGAGGATGATCACACGCGCATTCGCATTTTCATTTGTCAGCGATGATTATCTACAATACTCGTCTTATTTCCTGAACTGTTACAATTAGGATTCTTTGGGGAGGTAAAAGCGGCGTACGGGGGATACATGGCCATTTTGTCATGAGAGTTGAACGGAGAAATTGCCCTGGATGATTATGCTCAGTTATCTGTTTGGATATCTTGGATTGTTTATTCTTGCGCTATCTATACGAACCGGCTACGTCTCGAGTCGTTGGAATCGGTGTTAAAATAATGACAAGACAAGAGGGGGCAGCAAGTTTGTTCTGTTTGATGAACGTAACGAAAAGCGAATAGTAACAAGAGAGTACGGGACTAATACGATGAAGACGGATGGGAAGGGCGAGGCATTCTCTGGGACAGGCAGCTTTGTGTATCATATTGTAGTTCGCGATAGTCGCATCTTCTCGAACACCGGTCGAATAGAGCCATTTGGCATCTTTCTCAACCCATTCAAAAGACTTTGTTAATCTTGATGTTCCTGTTTCTTTAATCTTGACATAAAGGCGTGATATGTAGTTCGTCGTTTGAGACCTAAGAGTAGGTAGAACCCTCGGGAGGCTGGGGGATCTTCTTGTTCTGGGATGAAGCCATGTATCTGAATATTATTAGTATAGCTTTCGGTCTCATGGTGGAAGCTCGCCATACCTTCGGAGCTCAATAAGAACTGTCTCCATGGTGTTCTCCCGCTTCCATTGAGCAAGGCAGGGCAGTTGGTTGGGGTCGACCATGCCGTTGTTGGGGTTGACGCAGGGAAGGTTGACCTGGCTGATGAACTGGATCGTAGGAGGTGAATCAGGGTAATTAGGACCGCAGTGCATCTTTACGCTGTAGATACGGTTCTCGTGGACGGACTGAAATAGAAGGGTTAGCTAGAGCTACTTGGGACTTGGTTGCTCCCAGACGGAGCGCTTGTACTGTTCGCAAACACTCACATGAGGGGGACCAAGAATTGTGCCGTTCCAACTGCTCATGAGAAGATCCTCAGGATCCTCAAGACCGTAACTGCATGCCTCAGCACCGAGACCCTTCTCTCCTTTCTCGAGCTCCTCCAGTAGGCGGAAGTTGCGAGGAACCTTGGCAGACATTGTGTCGATTTCTTAAAGGACGTGTATTGCAGAAATGTTCTCTTTAACTTGGAATTTTCCAGAAAAGTTGAAGATGAGTAAGAAAGAAACAGTGTGGTTTCGCGATAGATGACGTTGGTGTAGTGGCGGTTAGATATTGGGTGACTTCTGGGTCTTTGGGATCCAGTCAAACTCACAGCGCGGGGCACAGCAACAGAAAGGAAGGCGGTGACTTCCATTTCCTCCCGCGATCAAGTCCAAGGGAAAGGGTTCCCCGCCATCACCAGCCACAGAAGGACCGAGGTAGGGAAAGTGCATTTACTGTACTAGCCACCCGCGTCACATCAAGCTTGCCTGTTCTACCGGGCAAATGTCGGAATATCGACAGCTCCCCCAAGCTCATCCGATCAACAGACACAGTGTTTTACCCACGTCATTCTCGACTCTGTTCACAGAAAACTTCGCGATCGATTAACAATGGCCATGTCCCTTACGCGGGCGGCCCTCAGGGCACCGCAGTCGCAATCGCGGCTCGTCGCTGCCGCCACCACCATCACGGCACGATCAATTGCCGCTCATGGCCGAGCCTTCAGCACCACGAACCGAGCTCTCGTCTCTGCCGGCTTCGGATCCCCGGCTATGCCCTCGTACTTCTCCAAGCCCCGACTTCCCGCCAATACGGTAGTTCGCTTCGTTCCCCAGCAGACAGCTTGGATTGTGGAGCGTATGGGAAAGTTCAACCGCATTCTCGAACCTGGTCTGGCTGTCCTTATGCCCTTTATCGATCGAATCGCATACGTCAAGAGTCTCAAGGAAGTTGCCATTGAGATTCCTAGCCAGAGCGCTATCACTGCGGATAACGTTACTTTGGAACTTGATGGTGTTTTGTTCACTCGTGTTTTTGATGCGTACAAGGCAAGGTGAGTAGCCATTGGGTCTTTCGAGCTTACGAGGAAGCTACGAAAGGCATTGAAGCACACCAAGAACATGGTACTGACATGGTGAACAGCTATGGAGTCGAAGATGCCGAATATGCCATCTCTCAGCTCGCCCAGACGACTATGCGATCCGAAATTGGTCAACTGACCCTTGACCATGTCCTCAAGGAACGTGCTGCACTCAACACCAACATCACCGCTGCCATCAATGATGCCGCCGAAGCTTGGGGTGTTACCTGCCTGCGTTACGAGATCCGAGATATTCACGCCCCTGGCGCCGTTGTCGAAGCCATGCACCGACAAGTCACTGCCGAGCGATCCAAGCGTGCTGAGATTCTTGAGTCCGAAGGTCAACGACAGAGTGCCATCAACATCGCCGAGGGTAAGAAGCAGAGTGTTATTCTGGCTTCTGAAGCTTTGCGCGCCGAGCGTATCAACGAAGCAGATGGTGAGGCTGAGGCCATCCGTCTCAAGGCGACTGCCACTGCTCAAGGTATCGATGCTGTCTCAGACAGTATCCTCAAGGGAGATACTGGTGCCCAGGCTGCTGTCAGCTTGAGAGTTGCCGAGAAGTATGTCGACGCCTTCGGCAAGCTGGCTCGCGAGAGCACTGCAGTTGTCGTTCCCGGTAATGTTGGAGATATCAGCGGCATGATTGCCACTGGTTTGAGCGTGTTTGGCAAGGTTGGCCAAGCTCAAGCGCAGACTATGGCTAAGGCTATTGTTGAGCCCAAGAAGGAGGGTTCGTCTGAAAGCTCTTCGGAGCTCGAGGGTCAGACGAAGCCTGATGTTAAGGAGACAGTTCTTGAGAGCTTCAACCAAGCTGCCAAGAGATAAGGAGGGCAAGACCATGATTGATTCAACTACATGACATATCACGGAAGAATGAGGTCGAATCACCCACAAAATCAACTCATCACTCAACCACCCAACACATGAATATTCCACACTACCATGACTATCGGCGTTTAGCGGATGTATTATAGGGATCCCCGGAGAGGCTCATTACTACCAGACTTTTGGAAGAGCTTGGGAAGCGGAGAGAAACGTCATGATGTACCAACAAGTTTTCTTATTTTGAATGTAAGCGCATGGCAAAAGGAGGGAAAATTACGGCCTACTCAGTCCGCCTAATTCTCTCAGCACATACTTTGCTGTTGAGCTATGGAGACATACAAGAATCGAATTAGTTTGACGTTACCACATCTAGTGCAAAAGAAGTTTTGTCACTGTGACCGAGGGCTGTTAGAGCACCAGCTCGCTGTGATGTACGATGAGATACACATGTGAGATTTCATTGGACAAAACATGCTGATTCTGATTTAGGGGTATAATATGTACAAAATAAGGTCAAGTCCAACGAACGATATCTCCAAACTCATGATGACATGATTCATTATTTCCATCGAATATAATTTCAAACGAGCACAACATATCCTTGCCTATGTGCTGGAAGGATGCATAATTCCCACGACAGCTTTGACTGCCAAGAAGTCGCAACTTAAAGAAGGAGAGGAATCATGGCGATAACACCCATGAAGATACTAGGCACGACAATCGAGCCGCTGCTGCCTCCATCACTGTTGCTGTTACTGGTGCCGTCGTCGTCGCCGCCAGATCTGGGCCCAGTAGGAAGAGGGCGAGAACTGAATGTAGGGAAAGTATCGTCGTCGAGGGTAGGAATAGGCTCGATCGAAGGCGCGGTGAAAGAAGGAGTGTCGAAGGTGCGGGTGGCAGACTTTGAATCGTCGTCGTCGTCGCTTGAGCCGCCACTGCCTCCACTGCTTGAACCGTATCTGCAGGTACCATCGCTGGAGCAGACCTGACCGGACAAGCAGTATCCTGTGTCGCAGCAAACCATACCCTTGGGCATGCATCCCTCACCGCACTCTTCTTGGTAGCTGTCACAGCCGCCTTCGGAGGAACCTCCAGATGAACCTCCAGAGCTGCTTCCAGAGCCAGAACCATATTGACATTTTCCATCGGAGGTGCATGTCTGTCCGCTCAGACAGTATCCAGTCTTGCAGCATACCATGCCTTCTGGCATACACTTATCACCACAAGGTTCCTCATAGCTCTGGCAATTTGTACCGCCAGAAGAGCCACCAGAGGAACCACCGCTTCCACTGGACGAGCTTCCGGAAGAGCATCCGCCCGAAGAGCATTTCTCGCCTTCATCACAGTAACCCGTAAGACAGCACACCTTTCCCTTGGGAATACAATAACCTCCACACATCTCCTTGCCATCAGTGCATCTTGTAGGTGGACCAGAGCAAAGCTTTCCATCTTCACAGCACCCATCATCCTGACAGCGGTAGCCGTCTTCGCAGTACGATCCTTTTGTCGTGTCGCAGCATTGGCCACTGGATTCAATGCAGGTATTGCCGCATTGTTTCATGCCTGCTTCGCATGTCGCTGCCATACTGAGGAATTGAGGACGGGGACTGAAGCCGGAAAGTAAGGGGAGACCCTTTTGGCTTGCTTTTTGGGCGCTGAAGTAGACACTGTCTGTAGCGACGGTCAGGCCCGCAAGGGCGAGGAGAAGAGTTGATCGCAACATGTCGAAAGAGTGTGATCACCAAGAAACGAGTGGTTGAGAGACTTCACGCAAACAGTACGGACATCCTGTCGTCTTATAAGACCACAAGCTACTACAAATGGGCCGAAAAGCCTTCCGTCGAGGCACAGACCGGGTTTGCTCGACTAGCTCGTGCTAATTTAACATGTCACTGGGGTTCGGAGATGCAAACTCCATTTCGCGATGACTTCGTGCGGGTACTATATCCGCTTGGGATCATCCACCAATACAGACTGCTTTTTGTAGCCACAATAGCGTGCCTGCTTGGTGATGTATGTAGGCAACCGCACTAATGTTTGATATGAAGCCTCCGATTATCAACTACACAATTTTACGACTTACTTTAAAAAGCTCTTCATACCTACTATAACCACTTAAAACTTCTCCCAAAATAGGACACGACTGCGAGTGTCAGACGGCACAACCACAATCCGTGAAAACCCAACAGAGTCCCAGATCATCACGAACTAAAATGTCGATGTTACCTGGCTACTCAACTTGGTGGGGACTCAAGTTCAGCTCTTGCTAATCCCTGCATCGATCCTAGATAGCCTGCCCTGGTCTAAAGATGATCCTCCAAGTTCAGTGAAGATCAGTCACAAGGCCTCGACAATCTCTCTGTACCTTGACTCACAGTAGCATGCATAGTTGGGCTTCTGCAGTGCAACCATATTACTGCAAAGCTGGCTATTAAATGTGATAAGAGACGGTAGAAAAGGCTGAAAGATGAAACCGCCACTCTTAATTAATTAGTCTTCTTATTTCAGGGTCTGGGGTTCCAAATCTACCGTCCAACGAGAATGAATCATTCTTGCACTAACTCTGCCCTACGTCGGCCGCTTCCCAATACAGCTTCTCGTCAGTGACATGCTCAATCTAATTCCTCTGGGCCTCAAAATAGAGTTCAGTTCTAGGTAGAAAGAGGAAGGAAATATGAAGTTGTAGGGCTGATCTCTGCCTTGTGCCTTGACATCGGTGAAAATGCTCGGTCTGCTCAAGGTCTTGAGCGAAAATTCCCTCAGAAGCTGAAGGTCTTTTCGCGTCACAGGGTCTTTCTGAGATGCAGCTAAAATCGACAGCAGGGTCTAGATGCCTTATGCGTTGAGCGGTGGAGGAGGCGCTGCTGGCAACTGGTTCATATGCTTGTTGTGTACTGGAGCCGGTGCTTGACCATGCGATGTGAGGGCATCTCTAGAATATGGTAACATGCAAAGCACAGTAAGACCAAATTTCAATTAAAACGGCGAAGTGAAAGTATAATATCTATCTTATCTTGGAAAGAGCTTTCCCTTATCTCGCAAATGATTGACATGATGCCTCAGTAGGGCCATCTTTCCACCCACTTACACTAATACACGAACATCCATCTTCACCATAGTTCCAACGATCTCCTCACAAGAAAAAGCAACCTTCAGTTGCTCGCCACTCTTCGCGCTAAGACCAATGATCATCTCCTTCTCGTCAACCAACCTCTTTGCGCTTCCTCGCCAGAACCAGACAAGTCGTCCGCCGCCCCCCTCAACTACTAATGTGAGCCAGGGTGTGCGACCCTTCCAGGTTGGAGTCCTCTCATTGGCAAATCCGAGTACAGCTCGAGCAATCCAGAGTGACTCACTGGCGGACACAACGCCCGTTCCTGCTTGGTTGTTTTCAGAGGCGGCCGGGGAGACGAGCAAGGGTGCCTCAGCCTCAGGAGTGTATTGTCCAATAATCTCAAAGTCAAGCTTGAGAATAGGAAACCCAGCCACTTTGTGCAGAAGTGTCTGGCCGAAAGGCGGGTTTCGACTGAGGATTCGTTCAATGTGGTAAAACTCCATTGTAGATAAGTCCTTGATGGTCTTGATGTTGGCCTTGACAAGCTTGTCTCTTTTCGCTGGACCAATACCCTCGACTTGCAAAAGATGATTGTTACTTTCCTCCCAAACCCCAGATTTGACACTTCTCAGTACTTCAAGAGCTGTCTGTACTCCCCTCCCATCGCCCCTCTCTCCAAGAATATCCACCAAGCATCTCAGCACGCGGTCGAGTAGCTTGTACATCCGAGAGAGTTCGTGGTAAAGTTCTTTCCGAGCTGCGCCTTTCAACTTGTTGGGCCAACCGGTCTTCAAGAGGTCAATTTGCACGAGAAGAAATGCTTTGTGCCATGGTTTGGATATGAACTCAGGGACTTGGTACGGAATGCCTGTACTGTCGTTGATCGCCCTGAAGAAGGTGGTTTCTTCTTTTCGGATGGGGAAGGTATTGAACTCGGTTGCTGAGCAGGCCATCTTGAGAACAGCGAAGTTATCTGGGTTGCTTTTGATCTCGCAAAGGGTTTTGAAAGTCGACGCAGCCAATTCATATCGTCGTTGAAGCTCGTGCGAGGGCTGTGAAGTCGAACTTTGTGAGTTCGAGGCGGCCTTCTGAGGTTCTGCCACAGCGGACGGCATCTTGTATGGCTGGGATCTGTCCCGTCTTCATTCACATGTTAAGGGATGAGAGGTACAGTTTGCAGGTTTGAAGTGAAGACTTTTTGCACGACCGTCTCTTGCCTGGAGGGTCAGAGACGTGCCTTCCTCGGATGGTGGGAAGAAATTTCTCAGCAGTTGGTAGGGCCAGGTAGATACTGATGCACCTTCCCATCCTACCTCACACTTAGATCACACTTACATACATTCGGCAGGCAACGCGCCCGGACTTTGGAAAGTAGGTAGGTAGTTACCGGCAGGCGCCTGTCGTGATTCCACAGCAACTCGATACCTTGAAGCTCGTCCTGCTTCTTCATGTGCATGGCTCGCCGCACAAGGAGCTGCACCGGTGACCAAAACCGATGATCATGACACCAGCCTACCTAGTATAAGGAGGCCGTCAGGGTGTCAGAAGAACTAGCCGCTGAAAGCATAAGAGACGAAATAATTTGGTAGCATTTAGGCGATTTTATCTCTATAGCCTAAACTTAGAGAACAATTCTTCTGATACTTACCTACCTAGAGGCTTCCCAGACTTGGGAATATTGTGGTCATAGTATCATCTAGGCAGGCAGCTTTGGCGGTATATCACATCGCTGAGAGGAAGCAGGTAGGAGTCTCCTTCAATCTTTAATTATTCTATTATCCAGAAGAATATCTAGACACCCAATGTTACCAGATCTTCATGAAGCAGCAGAGCTGGAGTTTAAATATGTTCAATGAAATCATGGGCAAACCCCATTTACAGCTTTAGGGTGTTTCCAGCAACACCAACAACAGCACCCTTGACCTTGGAAGAACCGACAAGAGAGTACTTGTAAGGAATGTCAGACTTGGAGATAGAACCCTTGGGAGCATCGTTAGTAGAACCACCAAGGTCGACATCGTTGACAGAGATGGATCCAGTCTCCTTGGAGTCCTTGGAGATGAGAGCCTTCTTGGCGCTGGTGAAAGCAGTAGACTCGACAAGGACCTGAGCACCCATGCGAGAGTTGACACCAGTGACGCTGATATCCTCGTAGTAGTTGTTGAAGACGTGGACGAAACCGAAGCGGACGGAAGGAGCACGCGATCCAATGTTGGACCAGTGGTTGTTGGCGTAGGTGACGTGGAGAGTACCAGTGTCCTCATCAGCGTTGCTGTCAGAGTGACCAACCAGAGAAGCCTTGTGGTGGTCGTGGAAGTAGGTGTTGGAGATGGTCACCCAGTCAGAAGCGTGGGTAACATCAAGGAGACCATCAAAGTAGTCCTTGTCCTTGGAGAAGTCGGAGGACAGCTCGCAGTGGTCGACCCAGACGTTGGTGGACTTCTGGATACCAATGGCATCACCGTTGTCAGCAACGACGTTCTTGATAGCGAGGTTACGAACGATAACGTTCTTCTGCTTGTTGATGTAAAGACCAATGTTCTCGAGAGAAGCACCAGAAGCTCCGACGATGGTCTTGTCGGACTTGACGCGGATCTTGTTGTTTCCGGTGATCTGACCCTTGACGTAGATGACCTGCTTCTCGTCGGACTCGGCAGCCTTGCTGAACTCGGCGAGGGAAGAGACGGTCACGGTAGCTCCTCCGGCACCACCAGTGGTGCCTCCGTTCTCGGTAGCGTAACCAATGTCGGCAGCATCGGTGATGGCAGCTCGCTTGTTGATAGTCTTGCCGAGTTCCTGGACGGTGGGAGTAGGGACGGCGCTGGCCAGAGCAGCGAGGTTAAGGAGGCCGAGGAACTTCATTTTGGCGGTTGATAGAGTTTAGATAGTATGTAAAGAGTGAAAGTCGGAACCAGTCCAACGGAACGAATGTATAATAGTTAAAAAGAGATAGATGTAAAGGATGAAGGATACAGAAACATAGTTAGAGGTGGTCAAGACCTCACTTATATACAAAGTCATGACAACTACCGTATGTCCCCTGAAGTGATAGATGGTGATGTGCAAACATTTGCAGGGTCCGAAACACGTTTACACGAATCACAGAATTCTCCGTGAGTGAAACGGGCAGTTGTGGAGTGTAATTGCCGGACCATGCGCCGGGGCTATGGTCTGGAGATACCTGAATAGGAAACTGTCAGCATGGGGACTGAATGTCATAGCCAAGACTTTATTTCTCTTGAGAAAGCTTGACAGGAATTGGCATTTGGAGAAGAATGGGGAAATAAGCTTAATTGGATAGTATGCGGATAGTGACACATTAGATTGTCTATCTCTCTACCAGAAGATCTAAAATGAGATCTATCATGTTATTGAAAGTATAATTTCTTCATGTTTCATTCAATACCAACTAATTGTTAACTATGTAACCATACATACGAGGTAGCACGCCTTGGAGATATGAAACACAAGTCCATGTTTAAGCCTTTCCTCGTTGACTCGACTCCACTCAGTGACATGGCCTCCGATATTGATCAATGCACGAACCCGCGTATTCATCTTCAGCCCCGTAATCTGATCAATCAGATAACTTCAACATGTTACGATTCCACTCGATGGTCTACGTCAACAGGTTATTCTTCAGGTGAGGAAATGCGAAGGAGTCTTCAGGTTGGAGTTGACAGTTTCAGATATCTGATCAGATTTTAGTGTTTCTTTCGTAAGAAAGATCTGGTTCAGAAACTGTTCCAAAGGCTTCATGTCATGCTTTGATCTTCAACTCTAGCAAGCGAATAGAGGAAAGCATGACATTAGTGTCCAGATGAGATTGTCCTAGAAAGAGAATTGTACAATCTCAACTGGCTCGTATAAAGGACATCTCGGTGTTACGAGACCACACTGGCCCGCTACTTCTGAGGACATTCTTCCATCAACAAAACATCAGCGCCAAGTACACTACGGACAATTCCCACAACCCGAACTGAAAGTGCAGTCACGTCGGATACTCGCGTACAATGGGGTCCGCAACACGGAAAGACCACATCAAGGAATCCCATCTAATCCTAGTTCCCGGGCGTCAGGGTATTGGAAAGATTGGCCGTCAAGAGCATACGAGACGAAATAGTTTAGTCGCTTTATATCGTCTTAGACGAGCACTCAGGCTACTCTATTTCAGTACTCTAGGCCTTAAGAGACAATTCTTCCGTTACCCACCTACCGAGCCTCGGAGTCTCTATCTCCTCAACTTCGTCAATAATCTGCTATCCTTCAATCTGTCGAGAAGCCCCTGAAGCCGCTTCCGCAATCCACTTCAAGATTTCTTCCTTTCGTAACCCCATCGGAACAGCAAATAATAGCTCTCGCACATCATTCAAAGTCATACCATCGCAAGCCTTGGCTGCCTCCTCAAGCCTCTTGCCGAGATCATGTTCTCCCGGTCCCAGTATTAGATGCAATTCAACATTAGCTGCCCCTGCCGCCAGCCAAAGAATCATAAGCTTAACTCCTGGATCGCCACCGAAAGCACCGCAGCCCCAAAGTCCGGTGAAGATTGAATCACCATTGTAGGAAGTAAACCCGTTGATTGCCTTGTTAAGTTCGCGGTCAATGTTCTCGGGGTATAGATCTGGCAGGTCATTATCTGATGAGCGTTCTACCATGTCCATCTCCAGCGCATCCATGAAAACGAGACGTCCTCCTTCCGAGTCATTGGCTACGGTACGGATGTTCCATTCGATATTGCGTCTCTGACCTCTAACATCCACCATCGCTCTCGCACCTGAAACAGTGATGACAGTGTCGTCCGTTAAATGCGGCGCTACCAGAACAACGGAGTATGCTTCAGGTGCAATTCCAACGAATACCTCCTCCTGGGTAGCTGACTGCCCGAAGCCAATGACTTTGTTGGAAGAGACGACGACTGCTCCTCCTTTTCCCTGAGTGTAAGAGTGATGTGTATCTGATGTGTGGACGTCCAGGTACTTAACATGGACTGGTCCCAACTTGGGATCGGCCAACTGTGCTTGACTGTTCTGATGAAGTTCGTAAGCGACAGTATTGTGGCCAGCTAGATGATCATCTATCAATTCTTTCGCAGAAGGTAGACTCTCAAAGTACGCAAACAGAGCTTCCAAGTACATTCTCGCCGCAGCGGGATGTCTCTGTTCCTCTGAATGCCAAATGCCTAGATCCTGATACCCATCATCATTCCGTTGGGGCACAAACGAACAAAGAAACTGATGAACCACAAGACAAGCTGCTTGCCCACGACTCAACCTCAACGGACACCCAGGCCGAAGCAGCTCAAGCTCTCCACTCGGAAAATACACCGCAATATCAAGAGCAATTTGTCGAATCTTAGGCCATATAGTATAAATAATCTTATCTTCGTCTTGCTCTTTCAAGAACTGCTCCAAGAAACCGAAGTCGCCGTCTGGGTACGTTTCTGCGTTGGCGGCAATCGTTTGGAGCCGGTCTATAAGTAACGAGATACTTAAGACCGGCTTACTGATCAAGTGATGAAGAAGAGGCCAGAATGGGATTTTGCCTTCTGAGTCTTCATTGATGGGTGAGTTGTCGGGTAAGTCGCTGAAGCGGTCGATTACTCGACAGGATGGGGAGTTGGGGAGGAGGAATGAGGGTGGTCGTGATGACATTTTGACGGTTAATCTCTTTACTCAACAGTATTCTAGAAGCAATTCGGCTGCTTATAACATCAAAGAATGGTGTTTACTTTTGATCATTTCATATTGCAGCAGATGACTCTTTACCGGTGATTGACCCCACTTTCTATTTCAGCTGAACAGAGGTCAACTCGGGGAATCAATACGACGATTATTTCCGATCTTCATTATTGCATTGTTCAGGTTTCTGTCTCTATAGACAAGATGCTTCATAGATTCTGATTGCTTCTGGGAATCTGGCACTGGAGTCGCAGTATACTACTCGTTCTTTACTAACTTGAGAAGCAGGTAAAGATAACAATTGTTATAGCAACAAGGTTAAAAATCACCCTAAGTTCGCTTTATCAATTATAGTAGCATGTTCGCCCAAGCACAAATCTCCATGGCTTCATAGCGGGGTTTCAAGGTTCTTGGAGCAGTTAGTAACTGAAAGCCAGAGAACACTTTCTCCTCTTGTACGTTTTGATGATACGGCATGTTCGAATGGACTCAATGTTTACTCAATACAGCTAGAGACTTTCGTGATATGCTAATTGAGTCTGCGACCAGTTCCAACACTGCAACTACTAACTAACACTCGTTTGATATGAATCATGTTATAGCAAGAGTCATCTAAACGGAACAATATTGTCATTGTTCACCTAGTTCTCAGAAGTTCAACTGGATTGAATAAGTCTTTCCGTATTATCACATGTCAGTATTGACTAATAGAAATATCAGAATAGTCGCAGGACCGTCCTGCCATCTGCCAATTAGTGCAAGAAGTTTGTTTCCCAACAGACTTGCATCTCCAGCGAGTACATGAAGACACTGCCTAACCCCTTACCGAACCAACAGAGCAATTCACAAACTCACCATCCAGTCGTATCCATTCTTCCCTCCTCCGTCACTAACGATTGATTGACAATACTCATGACTCAGAACTTCACCTCTATCAAAAGCTCAAAAGCAAAGCCATCAACTCCCAATTTCGGAAGAAACTCCCCATACATAAAAAGCAAACAACACTCTACCTCAACTCAGACACAATAATCTCCTCCAACTAGTCATGTCTCTCACATACAAACCATATGCTGACTCAAAGCTTTGATGTTGAAAAGTAAACAAGGCCTCATTACCAGGGAGAAGCTTGTATTGGAGGGCGATAACCTTTTGTACCTGCATATCCCCACCCACACGGAGAAAAGAAGCAAGCAAGCCTAATTAAACGACTTACATGTATATGTACAATCATGATCCTTGAACCTCTATCGTCTTGTTATGAACCCTTACCTATCATTATGTCTTGGGTATCTACCAATCCAACCATCAGGCCTGCATTGCACTAACAAGCCCTATCTCGCAATTAACCTCAATCATGTCTTAACGCCGCGGCTCGATTTAACAACAATAAAAGCCACGTCTCACCATCACCTATGTTGGCGGTTAGCCAGCCGCACCATGGGAAACCATCAGAGACTCTAACAAACTTGATCCTCTGTGCTGTACTTGGCTCAATTTCCCTGTAACCTAATCTCAATAGTATAGATCAATAGTCTTGGCATACACGAGTCGTAGCGTCATATACTTCTAACAACTAAACTATCACAACTATCACAACAAGTATTGAGTTAAGCTACCAATATTCATCCTGACGACCATCCTTCCTTGTTGGCAGTTGTTGCACCGCCCTTGCATCTTGGCTTTTGGCCGCAAACAGCCATCCAGCCTCATAGGAAATGAAGCCAAGTGCTTAGCAAGGTTCACCAAGAAAAGACAAAACTGAAACTGCATGCAGCAAATCAATTGCTTCCATTCAAAAATTCTAAAAAGGTATCTCGCTGTAAAAAGTTGGCATCCAATGTGATGCACCCAAATCCCAAATCCCGTAATCCAAAAGTTGCAATTCATCCAAGCCATACATAAATCTTCCACTTCAATCATGTCCATCGCTAGTTCTTTCTCGTACAGAAAACTCATCCCGTCATCCGCCCGCGAACAACCAATCAAGACCTTGGCGGCGTCCGTGGCTCAAAAGCAAATGCTTTGCGCCAAGTAGTCGCCTTGGCTTAGATAGGAGTCCGGGGACTCAAGAGAGCAGGTCCTCATTAAAAACGTTAGGTTCGAAAAACATGCGTAATGTTTGCTTGCCAAGCCCTCTCCCATGTACCCTGTGTTTTTTCCAGCGTTTTTCTTTTTTCCTGTCTCTTTCTTTTCATAAAGGTCCTTCCAAATGAACCAGTCCGAGTGATAAAGAGGCTTCGTATGTTTTGCTTTGGCAAGCATTGTAAGGATCGACTCGAAGTAAGGTGTGATTAGAATGATCTGCTCTCGAGCAATATGGACAGAGGCATAACTCTATGTTGCTCACAGGGACCCCAAAGTGTGAAGTGATACAAAAGCAAGAATTGAAGTTGCTTAGATGAGGATCTGGGCAATCATGAGACCGGCAAAGGCGGTAACGACGCTGCCAGTCATGCGAGAGCCAGAGTTGACGGCGATGGGGGTGGTATCGCTGGGGGCAGCTTCAGTGGCAGTGCCGCTGGGAGTGGCGGGATCGACAGCGGCACCGGAGTTGGTACCAGGGTTGACCTCAGGCTTGGATCCAGAGTCGGCACTAGAGTCAGACTCGGACTTGTCGGAGCCAGAACCAGAGTTGGAGCCCTCAGTAGGTGTGGCAGCAGCCTCCTCAGTGGTCACGGTGCTGGCAACAGCGGTGGCAGTGGCCTTAGCAGTGGAGAAGGTAGTAGCAACCTCGGTGATCTTGGTCTCCTTAGCAGACTCAGTCTTAGTCTCAACAACCTTGGTCTCAAGGATCTTGGACTCGTGGGTCTTAGACTCATGCTGGGCAGTCTCAGTCTTGGTCAGAACAACACTGGTGGTCTCCTCAACAATAGTGGTGTGAGCCTCAGTCTTGGTCTTGGTAGGTTGAGCAGTCTGGGTAGGCTTAGAAACAGTGGTGCTGGCGCTGGTCTCCTCGTCGTTGCCCTCAGACAGAGTCTTCTTGACCTCGATGCTCTCCCAAGAACCGGTCTTGTCGGTCCAGACGTACTCCTTAGCACCACTCTTGCCTGGGGCGTCCTTACCAGCGTAGTCGATGATGGTGACACTGCGGTAGTAAGCATCAAAAGGAGCCTGCTTGAAATCGGTGTAGCCACCAGCCCACTCTCGGGTTCCCTCGTTGCTGTTCTTTCCACCAGCAACCCAAGTTCCAAGCTTGACTTGCATAGGAGTCTGGGGCATCTCATAACCCTTACGGTTAGCTACCTCAGCAGCGTTCAAGGTTCGGACAACGACATCGTCAATGAGCCAGTCGATCTTCTTGGATGTCCACTCAACAGAGTACTTGTGGGTGGTGTCAAGAGGGGTGCTGACGGGGTGGTAGATAGCTCGGTCGTAGGAGGTAGTGTCACCCTTGGCGAAGTAGTTGGACTGGACACGAGCATCATCACCACCAGTCCATTCCCAGTCAATCTCGTCGAGATCGTCAGACTGAAGAACAACACTGGTGACGATACCAGCACCCTTGGCAGCTTGAACGACGACATCAAGTCGGCCGAACATGAGGTAGTTGTCTGATCGGATTGTAGGAGCCTCAGTCTCCGAGTTGATCTGGAAGAGAGCACCTTGCTCGTTGTACTTGATATCTGTGGCAATCATGTTGTGGAAAGCACTGCACTCTCCCTTGGCGAAGTCACAGTCAATCTTTTGGTCTCCGAAAGCAGGGTTGGGAGGGCAAGCTGAGAGTTGTTAGTATGTGACATGTGTAAGTGGTAAGAGATGACTTACTCTTCTCGAGGGGGTTGCATTCTGTGAATGTTTGGGCAGAGGCCATGCCAGCATAGGCCAGAGCCATAGCGGCTGTAGTGAAAGCTTTTGAAAGCATTGCTGCGATTGTGTATGTGTGTATATGTCTAATGCGTATATCCGGTGGTGATCAAGTGTCTAAGCGAGGCGACGACTTGTAAGTTGTTCTTGTTGTAGGCGTATATACCTTGAGCGAGTGTTGTGATATTCTAGTGAGAGTAAAAGGAAACAAGTATTAAAATATGAGTGACTGATACAATATGAGGATCTGAGGAAAAAAGAGGGAAACATTGACTGTTTTATTTAATGTCCTCGGCCTCGGGCGTCTCGAGTCTGGAGACTGGAGACTGGAGACTGGAGACTGGAGACTGGAGACTGGGAAGGAACAAGGGACTGGACCAGACCCAGACTAGACTCTGAAGCGGCGTTGGCGCTTCGCGGGTGGATCCCACCTTCCCTGTCAGCCCCTGACCCTTGCCTCGCTCTTGGCTCCTCCTTCCTCGTCTAAAGACAAGGCCAAGCCAGAAGGGACGCCCGAGCTCCCGCCAAGATGGTACACTAGAGGTTACTGTCCAAGGCCAGTAAAACCCCCTGTCATGATATTTTGAGTCGTTGAGAGACATTCCGGTTTCGAACGAGACACAGAATAGAAAAAGCATCAGACTGAGACAGACAAGACAATACATTGGAAAAGTACCTAATAGCTCAGTTGAGCCAGCGTTACTGTTAACCATACAATCTGACAGCTGAAGGAGGTCCCCTTCTGGAAATCTGACATTCAGCCACTATCTGTCAGTGGCTAAACGGTACAGTTACACGACGTTGTCCCCTAAACGTCTGCCCTGCCTACAAGTGATCGCTCAACCCTATTGGCGAGATGAGTATCTACTTGGCTATCAGTCGCCTGAGCACTTTACGGTTTTTGGGTAGGTAGTCACTGGGCATTATACGAATTCGTATATTCTCTTGGCCTTGTTTCCCCATGGTCAGGCTCACGGACTTTGATTCTGTGATGATGATCGGTGGAGAGTTGCTAGGATAACAGATGAACTATGACGTTTGATGTCTTTCTTTTTCACTCGCCTTCGTATAATCTCTAGATGTTCAGAAAACTCTTTTGTTAAGGAACTTAACGATATCCGTTGGATGACGAAGCGAATTGTGAAACTCCCTACCTCATGCAGAAGCCAACCAGTCAGAGTCGAGCAGTTCCTGGCGATCACCCTCTTCTGACACGCACCGTCTTGAATTCGTCAACTGGTTTCGACCAAAGTCAAAAAGTCAGGAGGCTGAGAGAATTCCAGAACGTGGCCAAAAATACGAGCCAGTTACCCAACCTTTCATCGCAATGTTGGACTAGCCTAATCAAAATCAACAATTCTCTTTCTTTCTCGTAAACGGAGAGAAAAGTCCCTCGGCACACTTGCCGATGATAAGGGAAAATGAATGGGGAAGAGCAGGGGGCTATAGAGGGTCAGAGGCGCAGAGGCGCAGACACTATCGGAGACTAAGGTAGAAGCTGGACCCCTGAAAGCTGTCTCTCTGTCAGTGAGTGCCGCCGCCTGGTCTGGGTTGGTTCATGTTCGTTCATGCAAGACAATCTCATCTCTTCCCTTCGATCCCAGAGTTTTGGTTTAACTAACAAAGTCATCCTTTTTGTATCACCACAGGGAACCCTTGACTAACGACTAGCCACTATCAATTCAATCTCAGCTTTGACTCTCTTTCTTTCTTTTGTTTTGATGATCATGATTAAATTAACCCTTGACATTGTTAGTGACTCTTGGACTCTTGGATGTGAATCATCTCCATAGAGACAAAAAGCAAACACGAGGTTTGCTAGACGAACAACGCTTGGCGCATGTCACCAGTCTATCGGGTCCATATCCATCAAATTTGCGTATACTCTTGGCATGTTCTGTACTAGCAAGCCCTCATACTATCTGAGTGACAAACTGTTAGTCAAGCTTCGAGCAATTAACGAGCCGTCCCCTGCTCATTTCATTGGATCCTCTTCCAGCCCGCCGCATGTTGATATGGCATTTCCTTTTTCGTCTGTTCTTTTTCGCCAACGGTTAGAAACGAAAAGAATTGACCGTTCTCGACGTCATTCGAGTTGTTAGTCAAAGATAGGAAAGGCCGAAGAAAAAAACACGAGCCGCATCACGAGAACCCTTCAGAACGATCTGGTTCCAGCGCAGCCACACTCAAAACTTCTAATTTTGTCCATTGGCTTGGCCACTCTGGGCTTAGCTCTGGGCAATCCCGTCGGCCAATTCTTTAGGAATGCTACCTAACGATCTTCACCATCCGATGCTTCTATCAGAAGATCAATTGCCGCCGCATGTCAAAGTCACATGGATCAGCTGTAGATATTTACAGCATTTTAGTCTAGGTCATCCCGAGATCTATCCCAAAGTTGAGTTCTTGTGGCGAATCAAGAGCACTGCCGTCTCTTTAATGTAACATGATCTGGGGGAACGCGCTTGAAGGATGGTCCCTGAATAATTGGTTTGTCTAATTGGTGAGATGCATGATTAAGGATTTATATATTAGTTGAACTGTAAGTGCATCACTCTATTTGTTTCTATTAGCTCATCCTCTGTTTCAAACTGTGACGCTTCCATTCCAATAAGAAAAGACATATGTTTGCATTAAACACAAGCTGAACACTGAAACTGCGTCAATTATAAGGATTTGGATCTTTACCAACAGAAACAATCTTCACAGAAAATACCATTTTGAGTGCTTGTCTGTAAATCATCATATAAGTCCCTGCTGACTACTCGAGTATCCCTCTTTGCATATGCCAAGTCTCCACCCCTTGATCTAAAACTAACCCTGAGTTTCAGAATCTGGAGATCTCAACGAATCATCTCGTTGAAGGGCATAGTCATGATGATCCCTTAAGAAAAAGAAGTTGACGCGCGGTTTTGTTCTTTTTTTCCCTTCGATGTGAGAGATTTGTATTCAAATGTCGATGCGTTGGTTGTGAATCGCCGTCTGTTTAGAGGGGATCGGCCTATCACGATTCACCATTTGGGCTTTGACGTTTGCGGCTTATACTTTTCTCAACTGTATTCACGTTACGTTTACTTCTGCTCCGTCTGTAGTTATATTCCCAGTCAAATGCAAACGTTAATGTTAACGTTAAACGGCTTGTATAGCTAGCTATTCGGTCGGTCATCTCCCCTCAGCACCGACATCCCGAAAATCCCATCCGGCAACGGTACCTTGCATAACTATACGACTGACATGTGCCAAATCATGAACCCTGCACGTCGATCTTAACACCCAAATCTTTAACGTTCTAAATTTCTCAAAGGCATGATGGCATCCTTTGAATTCGTCAATAATGATTAAACATCGAATGTTCTCCTCTCAGCTCTCGTGTAGTTTACAAGCTGCCAATAAAAGACGAGTTTCAGATCCCACACTTCAACTTCATGCATTCGTAACCCGAGACGAAACATCCGCGTATCATTGCTCCTTCAAGGGTGTCATATCATACGGGTTCCCCCTTATCTGAAACCGGACATGTGAATCTTGGGCACCAGATCGATTACCCCAGTCTGCACATTAAATGACCTCCTTACAATTAAGGAAGGAGTCTATCAGACTTTACAAGGGAATAGCATAGATACACAGGCATGATATGATCAGATGATGAAGGACGTGACATGGTTTAACGACTTTGTTCTGTTTCCAAACAGGACAAGCTCGTCTTGTCGAGTCAGCAGTTCAAACAAATAGAGGTACCAGAGGCAGCCCATTGGAGAAGGACAATCACGGCGACTCAGTATGATGAAATGATCTCAGATCAGCGTACTTGATGTCCCTATTGCACCGTGGCTACCCTAGACTCACACATGATATTATCGTGGGAGACGTAGATCCATTACAGATGTCTCTTTTTATTCCTATGAGTCCACTAATTATTCCCAAGGCGGCATTAAACATTTTTTATTCATGTGGAAATCTACACAACGATATCTCCGCAAGACTACAAGTCTCGAGTTATCCAAACCATGTCAATGATCAACGTTGCAACATGTAACAAGAGCTCGGACTTTAGATACCGTGTTAGACTGAATGAGACGATAATAATGTTTCATGGGACATATAAGTCCTTAGAATCTTATACACATACATTCAAGCCTTGCCTGCGAATTACACTATGCAAGTACTATATGACACAGCTTCGCCATGTATCTGCCTTAAGAAGATTCTTGTACGCCGAAAACGTCTGTCTTTAACACATAGGCTAAAAGTCTTATTGAAGTTTGTGTGTTTCAAATCTCTTCAAGGGGTCTATGCAACACTGTTCAAGTCCCCAAGCGTGATATCTAGACACTGAATTATTGCCGAGAACCTGACTCCGGAGCTGTAAGATAAGACACACGAATCTGAAATACCGCCAAATTTGATGATCAGAAAACCTCCTCAGGAAATTAGATACTGGTGAATTTGTTGACTATCAGTGTTGTGGGGGAGGTAGCGTGAAAAGCAGGCTTTGTCTTGTTCAGAGGGCTTGCTGGTGGTAGCAACCAACTTCTCGACCAGATTAGGAAACAGAGTATCCCTATTCTGTTATTATGAGGCTAAGAAATGATTCTTTGTGGTACATCAAACTACTAAGGCATGATAGTGGTGATGTTATTGGTGAGTGTCATGATAAAACCCATTCACCCAGCTTGCCGCACCACACCACCACTCTGTCAGTAACACACCAACTGCCCATTTAAAGACTCAAAAACAAGACTTAGGCATTAAGTGATAACTCACAGACATCTGCAAAATTCCTGTCAGGTTGACTAGCAGATCTATTTCCAGTCAGCTGAGCCTCAGTGACTCATCTATCAAACCCCAGGATCGTCGGGACGGAACTTAGCTTCGATCACGGCTACACAAGTCCCGGCCAGACTCAGCACTAGAGAAGACTATTGATGACTTACAGGCTACAGCCTTCAGTTTATGGCTTGTGCCTTGCATAAACTAAGGTAGCCTTGAGTGCGGGAGGGGAAGATGTCTGTGGGTAAGACGGAGAAGAAGAAAGAGGTGCTGCTTAACTTACGCTAGTTAGACCTGCATCAGCACCATGAGAAAACTCAATGGCAGTTCTTTGAAGTGCGTGTTATATGAATGTGTGTATAGAATCTGGTATAGTTTGCTGTTGATTTGATGTCAGTGGAAGTTGGAGGGGCGGTTCTTTGTTGAACTTGGATGTAAGCAAACAGTGTGCAACCACTTCTTCAACCTGATCGATCGCCAGGAACACAAGATCGATACGAGAAGAAAATGTCGTCAGTATCAAGTTCCCCTGTCCTTGTCAGTAGCGAACCCAGCGGGACGGAACGGACACCCCGGTCTGTCGACAATCACAAGATCTAAGTGACAGCTGCACAACACGATTCATGACTTTCGATACTGTTCGGCTACGCATCACTCCCCTCTTCAGCCCACCATCATCGTGTGATCGGCAGTGACAATACTAAACATCATAAGACCAAAAGAAAACTGCCCCAAGTGGAAACAAAGTTATCGTCCCAGTGGCGTACGCCGCGGTTGTAACGGCAGTCCCAGGAACCAGGCACAACTCTTTGATCACACCGTAACTTGCAAGGCGAAACAGCAATCAAGTAATCTAGACCGCGTCATAGTGCCACCCTGTTGAAAAAGCTTACAGCCACTGTTTTGCATCTTCTCTTTCTGCTATGACGGTTAAATGGTGTTGACGCCACCAAAATGGAAGATCGTGGCGTCAGGAACCGTTGGGCAGGGCTCTAGTGTCAGGGGTCGTGACGTTTTTCTATTGGGAGGGACCGTTTGGCTTAAACGTCTGGGGCTGAGAAGACGCCGGATTTGGTTAAACGCTCGACTTGTCTTTTGTTCTAGAAGAGTTGAGTGTGTGATGTAAGTCATTCTGTCTGTGTAAGTGAAAGAAAGCCATCGACTTGCTTGATAGAGAGAGAGGAAGAAAGAATAGTATATAGAGCCCACGAGACCAGTTGTTTAGGTCTGTATCAATCAATCTTGTTCAGACCATTCATTCATTCATTCATTCATTCACTCATTCCAAAATGGCCTGGCCAAGGTCTTTCGTTCTTTTGATCGCCGTCACTGGTGTTCAGGCAGGTCCTTGCAAGCCTCGCTCTACCTATCCAGTACCTCAGTCACTCTCTTCCAAAACCACCACTGTCGCTTCTTCACTGCCTTGTTATGGACCCAACTGTATTCCTTGCTATGGTCCAGACTGTAGCTCTACCACATTCCTTTCTGCAAACACCAAAGCTACTTCTGTTCCTTGCTACGGACCGGATTGCAGCACCACTCTCGTTTCTTCAGCTACTATACCATGCTATGGTCCGAACTGCATAGAGTGCTATGGCCCTGGATGTAGTTCTACGGCTCGTGTTTCTGCCAACACTATGACTATCTCTGTACCGTGCAATGGCATCAACTGTATTCCATGCCGCGGTCTAGGCTGTCCTTCTACTACTTTACTTTCTGCAAGCACTAGAACCACGTCTATGCCATGTTACGGACCAGACTGCAGCTCTACCACACTCGTTTCTGTCAACACAAAGACTACATCAGTACCATGCAATGGTCCCAACTGTATTCCATGCTATGGCCCTGACTGTTCGTCTACCACACTCGCTACAGGTACCAAGACTACCTCTATTGCCTGCAACGGACCAGACTGCAGCACCGGAACTGGTTCTACCACCCTCACTTTAACAAACACAAAGACTGCTACCCTGCCATGTTATGGACCAGACTGTAGCTCTACCACTCTCGTTTCCGCAAACACCATAACTACCTCTACATCTTGCAACAGCCCCAGCTGCATACCATGCTACGGCCCAGACTGTAACACTGGCTCTACGTCTACTACAATCGCTACAGGCACCAAGGTCACTTATATTACTTGTTACGGACCAGAGTGCAATACTGGCTCTACCGCTCTCACTTCTACAAACAGCAAGACCACTTCTGTACCTTGCAACGGTCCCAACTGCATACCCTGCTATGGACCGGACTGCAGCACCACTCTTTCACAAACCACCACTGTCTCTACCGGAACAGAAAAGACCTCAAATACAGCTTCTTCAGGCACCACGACCGTACCCTCTGGCTCTACTACATCTTCTATGTCTACCTCTGGTTCACAAACAGCTGTGACAAACAGCCAATCTACAACCAACACAGATAACAAGGGCAGCTCTACCACAACAGGCACCGTTTCAATACAAACCGGTTCTTCCAGCACAACCCAACAGACCTCTACTGGCGCCACATCTGATACCACAGAGACTACCACGATCTCTACAAATACTGGAACCACACTTACTGCAAAGACTGATACCACTGGATCAGCTTCCACCACCACTCAAAGCAGCTCAACTACATTGAGCACTACAGCTTCTTCAAGCACCACAGGATATCCCGACACCTTCACATCTACAAACACCCAGAGCCAGACTACTGGCACCGGCACTGGTACTTCTCAGACCTCGGGTCTAAGCACTACAGTTACCTCAGCTACAAGTGAGGGAAGCTCTACTACTCAGAAGAGTACTACCGGCAGTGAGACTTCAAAGACCACAGAGTCTTCGCAGATCACATCCATTCCTTATGGTTCTAGTTCTTCGACTACAACTGGTGGTTCTTCAGGTTCTACCACTGGAACTGTGACGACTAAGACTGACTCCTCCACTGCCGGTCCTTCAACAACTGGTTCCTCTACAACAGGCGTCTCGACAACTGACACCTCTATGACTGGTACTACCAACAGTGGCTCGTCCGCAACTGGTTACTCCACGACTGGAACTTCGACTGGTGGATCTTCTACAACTGGCTCAACTGATACTTCCATGACTGGCTCTTCGACGACCGGCTCTTCTATCACCGGTACTTCCACGACTGGTTCATTAACTACTGGTACTGCCACCACTGGTACGTCAGCCACTGGTTCAACAGATACTTCTATGACCGGTTCCTCTACAACTGGAGCCTCAACATCTACCGGCGGATCTACGACCCAAACTGGAAGCTCTACTATTCAAACCAGCGGAACTACTTCTGGTGGCAGCTCAGCAACTGGCATTTCTTCAAGCCAGACCAGCGGTTCTACCACGCAAACAACTGGAACAACATCAGGAGCCAGTTCATCCACAACAAACCCATACTCAGTCCCCACCACTGTATCAAGCACAACAAAAGCTTCCAGTGCTTCAACCGGATCAACAACCACAGCTATCTCCTCCACTACCAACTCTGCTCCTTCAAGCACCACTACCAAGCCATCATCCACCACTTTTCAACCTTCAAGCACAAAGATTACCTCAACAACAGGAATCACATCCGCCCCTTCATCAATGACCACCATAAGCACCAAGACCACCTCCGCATCCTCATGCACAACACAAAACTATCCTCCACCAAAGCCAACTTGCTACCGCTACACTCTCATCGACAAGCCCCCCAAGCCTGAAAAGTGTAACAACCCAGGTATCCGCGGCGGCAACCAGGCCAAGATTCTCGGCCAAGGTGACGCTGACAGCCTGGAAACATGCGCAGAGAGCTGCGGTAAGAAGCCGGGGTGTAAGGCTATTGTCTACGGAAACAAGGAGTACGACATGAACAAGCCTTATTGTGATTTGATCGACGGACCACAGGGTCGTGGTAGTTACGATGATAACGATTGGAGCTGGTATGAAATGTCTTGCTTTAACCCGGATTGCATAACGCCTGGATATGATTGCGGATACTAGACGGTTTGACATTTGATTGTATTTGTTTTAGCTAGCCAGAGCGTTTTCTATATCGTATATACCATCTTATTACTATATCTGTTCTTACATGATTTATCAGTCCCAGTCTGATATTGCGGTCAACGCAATGTCTTTGTGAACATCTCTCTAGCTGAACTCTCCTATCCGAGGTCCAAAGTACTCGCCTGGACCAAGAGTCTTGAGAAAACAAGACTGAGTTCCATCACATCCTTCGAAGGGTACTCTGTTACCCCACCAGTCAAGGTTGATATCATGGTATTGCAAAGCAAAGAACATGACCAGTGCTGACAGAGCAATACCAACCGAGAAAGCAGCAGATAGAATATAGTTATACTGTCAGAAGGGTTAGTAACTGAATAATAAGCTTATTTATGAGACGTACCTTTGCCCAGAAAGAGAGATATCGCTTCTTGATATAAATCCACGACAACCATCCAATCGGCACAGCAGGCCAGATGTAAGCGAGGTTATATGGCGCCCATAGCATACCTCCCGCAAGCAAAACAACAGGATGAATACTCCGTATAAACTTAACTTTCGGATATTTTTTCCCTAGCCACCAAAAGAGTAGAACGATAGCCACGCCGGCGGGAAAGCCTACTAGGGCCTCGACGTATTGACCTCCAGTGCCAAACAACTTCTTCGGTCCGATAGTTCCCCAGAGCACAGCCGCGGTAAAGAAGTTGTTTAAGCCAGGACATGTGAAACGGTACGGAGCATTCGGTGTACACACGCCTTCTAGGCGAATCTGGTATTGAAGAACACCCACAGAGACAAGTGTTGATACAAGCGTCGGGATTATCTGTGCCCAGAACGTGAAACGAGGGGGTATCTTGAGATAATGTGCCAGTTTCATGTCGGCGCTGAAGTAAACAGCTTGAGCACAAGTGCTGAATCCGTAGCTTTTGAAGAAGCACATCGCGATAGCATTACCTTCGACGAAAGCTCCACCAAGAAACTCAGACAATACGTTCAACGACACAGGGATTCCTGTTGTAGCTGAGATGATACCGACCGGTACAACGAATATCAGACTCAGAATGATACCGAAAGGTACAACTGCTGGCGGCGTATGCGTAGGCCACTGAGAGACACCAACGATACCTACAATGAAGGCTATCGCGAGAACTACCAGATACCACCACTCAGGAACTTCGCGATAGTTCTTCGTGAGACGATTATGCGCATCAGGCACCTGATCATCCATAAGGTCATTCTTCCTCGAAGAGCGAAAGCTGTTGATGAGTCCCTTAAAGCCCATAGCTATTTCACGATGGTGGTATAGCGCTCCATAAGTGATAGCAGCTGTATATAGCGCGAAGAAGAAAATGTACGAGCCGACACTAGCAGCTGACAGGAAAGCAGGCGAGTACGCTTCATATTTCTCAGCGTCAAAGACGCCCCTTTCGTCAAGAATAGCAGAGACGTTATATAGCCCTCTAAAGTGATCAAACACCCGGTTCGAGTTAATAGGGAGGTAAGCTGTAGAGTATGCATTTCCGTAGTAAACGCCCAAGATGACAACGCAAGTCATCAGTACACCACAGAATAAGTTGAAAGTGGTGAAGAACGGCACCATGAGAGGATCGCAGCCCAAAGTGATGATGTTCCAGTCCATCGTGGGAAAAGGATTGATACCCAGGCCAGTATGTCCACCCGTGATATTGGCCAAGTCGCGGTTGTTAGGTGCTATCCAGGCTATCCAGCTAAAGTAACTCATGCCAGCGAAAAGATAATTCGGTAGCCAGAAGTAAGCGAACATCGCAGCAAAGGAAATATTGAAGAACCTAAAACGGGATGTATTCCATATCTTCTTGAAGGGTCCCAACACTGGGATATCGCCCTCGTCGTGTAATGCTGTATTAAGAGCGATGCAGACCAAAGTCGTGGGCCAGAGGCAGTAGGAAGGATAGACGAGGAACCGTCTGCAGATCCCAGCGAGACCATAGCCGATTAACTTGGAAGATAGACCAAGCAAGATCTGATAACCAATGTTAATTGCATAAGGCTGATTGAAATACTGGGGCAAGTACTGGATCCAGATGATGTAGTTCGTATAAGGAGTCCCCATGGAGATACTCGACATGATAGTAACCAACATATGTTCCTTCTTATTAAACCGACCAGGGTTAAGACTATGCCTCACACCAAACAGCGTGGGACCAACATCAGGTAGTGTCTTCTCGAGGAACTTCCCAAATGGGTAGGCGAGGAGTTGAGGTACTGCTAGACCGACGCTGATCATGGGTTGACGGATCTCAAAGAAGCCATTGATGAAGGACACGGCGCACGAGAATATGAGACCTATGAACCAGGCACGGACCGTGGAGCAGGGCATGTCTGGGTCATCATGGTTGTCGACTACGGCGCGGACTTCGGCGTATGGTGAGTTGTGTGTTATCAACGCTGCCTCGATCTTTATTTCTTGAATAAGTGTGGCATGCTTCTCTGGATGTTTCAAGACGTCATCTTGCTCTGTTTTTAATCAGTATGAAATTGTATAACTCAATGTTCAGTCAACATACCCAGGAAGCATTCGATCTTTTGTATTACTGAGAGAGGGAAATTCGGATCTCTCTTATGAAGTTTATACACCTTCTTCATCGTCTAATCTTATTAGTTCTTGTCATTTTTAGAAGATGCTATAATCTCACTTTGTGAACATCTTCAATTGATAATGTTGCTGCAGTCTCTCTTGCTTCAAGCAAGTCATCCTGGGTGACGTCAAGGTCTTTCTCGAATCCGCCCCCAAGCTCATATGCCTCTTGTGAACTAGGAAGCGAATTATCGCGAGACTATGATTGTATCTGATTAGTACAAAATGCATATACGAACAGTAGGTACTGACTCTCTCTGTTAACTCAACATCGGGAGTACTCGCTGGAGTCTCCAATGTCTGTGCCTCCTTTGTCATCGCGACGAGATATTGATAATCATCAAAGCTTCAGGATATGTGACAACAACTGTGCAACTTCGTATAGCAAAGGATATAATAACCAGGAATGTGCCAGCTATAGCTAGCTATATATCCGATCAAACCTAAAACTAACAACCATCTTGTGGAGTACTGATCGGCCGCTCAATTTCGTTATCAGCAGTGAGAAACGCCTTGCCAAGTGCGTTCCTCGAATAAGCTAGCGGCGCTCCGGGAGAAACATTGCTTATTTGTCCAGGTCAGGTTTGGGTTGGGGTACAGTACAAGGATGAAGTCTATCTCGGCTTGACCGATGGCGGCGATAGATGGCGATGCAGATGTATGGAGTTGCAGCTGACTGAACTTTAGGTGTTACTTTACTAAGCTATTAGCGTTATGCTTGATGATTTCAGAGCGGTTGATTTGGTCAATCCGATTGAAGGGTGTTGACAGTTGCACATGGCATTGGTCAGCCCTACTGGGCTGTGTACTTCTGACCCACTGGACGAGCATATCTCAACCACCAGTATCAAACATATCGAAGACATTATTCATCTCGTTTTCTATTTTGATCTTATTGACTGGAGAATACGTAGAACAGAATAGGATGAGGATGTGTTAAGATAGCTGATCTACTGTTACAAAACTACATGTCGAAGCTTGACCATGGGACATCATATCTCCACAAGACGTGGACAACATCTAAGACGAGATCTTCACATGTCTAACAGGACGACGGAGAGATCTCCCAAGATTACGGATACAGAATTTATACGTTCCACATGTGATGGACCAGAGCATTCATAGAAATAAAAACAATTTGATTGACAATTGACTGATAGGAATCAATGAAACCTGATTAAAAATCATAACGATACCGACGATATCCCGGTTTGGCGAAAGAAAGTAATTCCACTTTTAATCCATTATTGCATACCCGATTGCCGGAGAGCGATTTCCTTCCAGTGATCACGCTCTGCTTCCAACTTAGCAATCTTCTCTTCCAATTCATCCAGCTTCATAGCCTTGCGCTCTCGAGACTTTCGTGCTGCAAGAGTGTTGCGAGCACGCTTCATGGCAACGACATCGCTAGGATCGTCGATGATGATGGGAGGCAGAGGCTTGTCTCGCTTGCGAGCGTTAACACCGGCCACAGAGGAGTGGCGGGTGGAAGGGGATGTACCCGACTTGCGTCGGTTCGTAGGAGGAGACTGAGCATCAGAATCCAACTCCTCAGACTTGGTCTCAGGAGAAGTCTCAACGCTCTGCTGCGCAGGAGCAGCAGAAGCTTCCGTGGGGAAGAGAGAGAACCACTCTCCACCAGGGTTGTCAAACTCGGCGTTGCCAAAGTTAGGAGACACATCATACATATCAGTGAAGTCCGGAGACTCATTGTAGATAGATGGAGAAGTCAAAGCCGTGAGGGCTGACGAGTTGGGAGCAGACATGAAAGGTTCTTGGAACAGAAGATCCTGTGGCGAGATTGTCGCCATGTTGGCAATGGAGCTAGACGCACTGCCGCTGAAATCAAAGACAGAGGCGACGGCAGGCGAAGAGAAGGCCGTGTGGGCCCCGCCCTCGAAGGCAGTGAACTCTTCGAGTTCGACGTCTGATGATGGTGAGCTTGTGGGGCTATCAAATGTTTCAATGGGGTACAAACCTGCAGCGTTCATCATCTTGGCGGTTTGTTGCGGGACGCTACCTGTACTCTGGGAAAAGAGAGGTACTGGGGGTCGAGCAGCACGGTTCTGCTTGTTCAATGCGGTTGATGACGAAGGGGCCGAAGAGGCGTAGAACTGGTTCGTAGGACGGTTGTTTACAGTAGACGGAGAACGACCAAAAGTCTGGAGCAACTGGGCTACTCGTTGATTCTGAACAGCGGGGGAAACGGGCTGTTGATGACGGTTTTGCAGATGAGACGAGTGACGACGCTGGTTTGGCAGCGATGTTGTTGTAGACCGATTAGGGGGCTGATCGAACAAGACAAAGTCCTGTTGTGGTGTTTCGGGACTCTGTAACTGTTGCGCGGGATGGGCCGGCAGGCTGGAATTGGTGGAGGGAAGCCATGGTGACTGGGGATCCGTGGTGAAGACTGGGAAGTCTTGGCCTGAAATGTTGGCGGTTGTGAGAGAACTGGAGCCGAAGCTATTCAAAGCAGTGCTGAAGTTCAGGTCGACCGTGAGGTGAGCTGAACGGGTTGGTGGTTGAGTGGGGATTGATTTGTTAGGGTCCTGAGACGTAATTTTGACTGTGGACTGGGGAACAACGGAAAGGGGGTTGTTTAGAACATCTTGATAATCGGCCTGAGGCTGTATGCTTGATGTAATTGTGTTTGTATGAAAGTTTGGGGGTGAAGAAGGGAAAAAGAGAAGAAAGGAAAGCCTCAGGACGGGAAACGGGGACAATTTGTATCTCTCAGGCAGCAATCCTGAGGAGGGTTTGTGCGTATGGAGCGGAAGGTACAAACCTAGAATAGCGGGTCTAGGATTGACACTAACAATTATTGCCGCAAATAGGCCCTGTTATTCGTTAGCCGACGCTTTGCGTTGCCAAGTACTGCCCAGGACTGCCATCCAAAACGCGCCCTTCTGGTCAGACATGGGTCGGGCTGTGACTCACACTTTTTTGCGCTAATTCTGCTTTGGGACTGGCCGAATGTCTTCTGGTGCAACCAAATTCTCAATCCTCCAAACAGAAACAGAGCAAAATGCCATCAAACCTACAGCCTACTGTACAGCATGGCTAAGCCTCCACCGTTCGTGTCTGTAATGCTGGACTCCAGTTCAGTCCTTACAGTGCATTACTGTCTCAGGTCCAGGACAAACATGGGCGCCCTGCCACCGCATTTCCCCCGTATTTCTCGCTCTGCTGCCCCGTCCGGGCGTTGTTCTCTTGTGTTGCGCTGTAACCTGACTTGTTGTTGTCCCATCGCTTTGATGCTGGCGTAGGCAGGCTTGGAATTTAGCGTATCCCGCCGTAAGCAACTGGCATCGCCCCCGCATCTTGTTGTTCTATTGGCCGAATTACAATTCCGCCCTGTTGACCTGCTGTAACTTCTACCAATCATGGGCTCTCTACGGGTACTAAAGCCGTAGGCTTTCCTTCAACCTCCGATTGACGACGACAACAGCGACAACAAACCAGTCTCATGTCGCGGATTGTTGCAGCTGACGAGTTAATGATGAAGAGGACAACGAATCCTCTCTGCTAACAGGGGGCACAACGCAGCGCATACCTACAGATAACGGTCTCGACTACTGTACAACACATGCATCTCTGATTTGTCTGTTTCGAAATCTTTGTCTCAGTTTGCCTACCAGTCTGCCTACGCCCTACGGCCCGTGCTTCCATATGCCGTGCCTCGTAGCTGGAGGCGATGATCGGTCAAAGAATTTTTGGCCGACTGTTTTTCCCTCGTCAATTTCCCCATGTTCCAGTCCTAGTGTCCTGGACCTGGCATCCTACATTACCGTCCTAGCCGATCGAGGTATTTGCTTTCTACAATACAGTAGGTGGAATGAGAATTGTCCCATGTTTCAACCCTATTACACTGTGTCAGATTAAATCCCTCTTTCACTTCCATGTTAGCCGCAGCAAGGCAATTCGTATTCAACGCAGGGAGGCTGGTCTAACTAGACTCGAACCATTTACAAGCCAACAATGTGGACATGGGCTGAGTCTGAGGCCTTCATGAGTTCAGCCCACTCGTGTTGGGATTCTATCTTTCCCGAATTACATGGATGGGAATCTCACAAATCTGGCCTTTTGATTTCCTGCGTATCCGTATCGTGTTCCTGGTTCTAGATTCTAATCCTAACTCTCCAGGACACCCTCTCTTGAGGTTGTTTATAAACATCCTATCACAGTCTGTCTGAGACACCTTACAAGGCTAGTCAAAGAAGAAGTGGGTGGTATCGTAAGTCTGCGACTGACAAAGCATCGCAACTTATTTTCCAAGATTGGAAATTCTTCGGACGCGCAAATGGCGACTCAATTCGTCTAGGCTTGGGCTTGGTGTTGCCGGAGGCTCCTGTTTAGGACTCCGCTTCACCAAATACTCTCATATTAAGTGGTATCTCAGTTCCGTACAACGGAATTATTTCACAAATTATAACGACCATGATCTTGATTCCTTATCAAATCTCCATTTCAGTCCCCCAGTCTGTCCAAGAATGAATCAGCTTGCTTCTTGGCCCTCCGAGCCGCCATATCCTCCCTCCGCTTCTCAATTTCCCGTCTTCTAGCCTCCTTCTGTTCCTCGCGCGTCCGCCGTTGTTCCTCCGTCTTACGCCGCTCTTCCGCGAGCCCCTCCATCTCCGCTGTTCGGGTTTCTTCGTCTTGACTAAACTTGTAGAATCCCGTGCCTTTGGTCCGAATTTCCCAATCCGCGTCGTAGTGCTGCGCTGGCGGTGGTGTTGCGCTGCGGTCTCGTTTCCGCGCCAGTTCTTCCATCTTATCCGGATCGTCTGGGTTAAACGCCATCGCTTGTATAGTGTCTCCAACGATGAGGTTGCTCGGCGCGCTGGGTCTTGCAGACATGCGCTCGAGTTCTTCGGCTCCCAATAAGCCGCGTCGGGCTCTGCGGTCCAACTTCTCCTTTTCTGCTTTGGTGACTTGTCGTACGCGACCGAATTCATCCTCGTACTCGACCATCTCGCCGCTGTCCTGAGCGTCGTCTTCATCGCTGCTGGTCTCATAATCTTCTTTTGTCTCCTCTCCTTCCGCCCATTTGCGATCAAAGTCTATCAGTGGCGCGGCCTCGTTTTCTTTAGCGACATAATCTCCTCGCTTCATCGCTGCGTAGAGTCGTGCTTTTTCCTCCATCCGTCTCCTGGCTCTCGCCAGTTCTTGGGTTTCCTCCTCTGTGCCCGCCACCTCCTTTAATTGAAGCTTCTTTGATTCATTGGGCTCTTTGCTTCTTTTCGGTTTTGATCCTTTGAATATGTCGTCTTTGCCTTCCTTTGGAGCACGCGAACGGCCAGCTGTTGTCGCGCCTGACGAGGCGTTTGACATTAATGATGTCAGTTGAGCAGTGAAGTCAAGCGAGCTAGATAATGTTGCATCGCGCTTCTGCTTTTTAACAGGACGCTGTCCATATAGATTCGGGTCTTGTGGCATCTTTTCAGATATTGTGGTTGTATATGTTCTGAGAAAGTTGGTCGATTTCAATCGCGAATGAAGAACAGGGTAAAATGTATTCCACCCAAACAAAGTCAAACGAAACCATTGCTCCTCAGCCTGAGGCAATCATCATCCCAACTTTAAACAAAGACTCATGCTCAACAAAGCTCATTATAAACAAACCTACATCACAAAAAACACGAGAAATTCATGATCTACAAACATCTTTTACATGTTGGTCTCTGCAAAGTGGACTTATCAATCAATTGGGTGCCCAATTGGTCGTTCTCAGCCTCCGATGTAGGGTAATCCACCGCGGGGTCTTGCGTGCTCAATAACCTTCCTCAGTGCCCCGCCATCGGAGCTTGACTTTATTCCTTCACAAGCTTCATCAACAGTTCTGCACGTATAACAGCAATCATGGCCGCTACAAAGCAAGTTTTCATTGGCATCATCGGTAATTGAAACGTCGAAAACTATATGCACGACACGGTGGACTAATGCATTACCAACAACAGGCGCCGGAGGCGTTGGCAAGGCCTTCATCGACCAGCTCCAGTCCCTTGCTGCTCGGAAACCATCCCCAAAGTTGAACCTTGCCTACATCGCCACGAGCCGTAAGGCCCTTTACAACGATGACTACTCCCCCATTAACATCGAGAGCGCCGTCTCAACCCTCGGTTCCTCCTCCAAGGCCCCTCTTGCTCTCGAGCAGGTCGTCGAGTACCTTTCCAAGGCCCCCGCCAAGACCGTCCTCGTCGACAACACCAGCTCACAAGACGTCGCTGAGCTGTATCCTCTTGCTCTGAGCCGAGGCATCAGCATCGTTACACCCAACAAGAAGGCCTTCTCCGGATCATACAAGCTGTGGCAAGACATCTTCTCCGCTGCCGAGTCATCAGGCGCCCGAGTCTACCATGAGTCGTCCGTTGGTGCTGGTCTTCCAGTCATCTCCACCCTAAAGGACCTTGTTGAGACTGGCGACAAGGTTACCAAGATTGAGGGTGTCTTCAGCGGCACCATGTCTTTCCTCTTCAACTCTTTCGCTCCTACTGAGGGCCAGGGCGGTAAGTGGTCTGAGGAGGTCAAGAAGGCCAAGTCGCTGGGTTACACCGAGCCTGACCCCCGAGATGATCTCAACGGTCTTGATGTTGCTCGCAAGCTCACCATTCTCGCTCGCCTGGCTGGCATCCCCGTTGAGTCTCCCACCTCTTTCCCTGTCCAGAGCCTTATCCCCAAGGAGCTTGAGTCTGTTTCCAGCGGTGACGAGTTCCTCGAGAAGCTCCCTGCTTTTGACTCCCAGATGGAGGAGACCAAGGCTGCCGCTGAGAAGGCTGGTAAGGTCGTCCGATTCGTCGGAAGCATTGACGCTGCCTCCAAGCAGGTCAAGGTTGGCCTGGAGCAGTTTGACCGCTCCCACCCCATTGCTGCTCTGAAGGGCAGCGACAACATTATTAGCTTTTACACCGAGAGATACGGAAGCAACCCCCTGATCGTCCAGGGTGCGGGCGCTGGAGGTGATGTGACTGCCATGGGAGTCACCGCTGATCTGATCAAGGTGCTGTCGCAGATTGCGTAAAAAGTTGAAAATGAATAGCCAAAAATAAAAGCATGAAGTCGATGTCCCAATAATTTCGTAAAAAGTTCAGTTCGTTGCGTGCCATTGTAATTAAAGCGACGCTTTGTCTATTCCCGTCGCTATTGCAGCGGCATGTGGGTTCGTAGTAACAACTGTCTCAGGCTCGACAGTCGGTGGAGGGTCTTTGTTACAGATATTCCTCCACGTCCAAAGAACGAAATCGAAAATGACAAGAAGAATGACAGGCACGAAGAGCATGAGACCAAGGCCGAGCTATCCGCAAGTCAGTCACAAGTTCAGGGGAAAAATCGGGCGATCAGCACTTACACAGATAAGAGAGATCAGGTTGACGACTGTGGAATACTCGGTCATTAGAGGACCGAACAGGTTCCAAGATACTTCAGAGGATGTATGAGGCATGATAGGCAACGCTACAGCTTGCTTCGACGTAAAAAAGCTCATGACTTGAAAAAGAACGACTGATGTTGTGGATGTAGAATCACAAATTCCGAGGCAGCTTCGCTTCAGGGAGGTTCATGCTCCATCCATCGTAGCCCAGCGGGCAGGGATCATTTACGCCTTAATAATTGGCATGTGCTACTGGTGGGTACAAGAAAAGCTGTGCTCCAAAGCTGAAGGTGACAGAATAAGGTAGCCTATAAGACGGCCTGAGCTGGATTAGTGTGAGCAAATTATTTCGTTTCTTAGACTCCTCCAGGCCAATCTTTCTGACACCATGACGAAGAGCTGAGGTTATCTCACCGCCTTCCCAATACAGCACATTCTGTCATGCGTAAAGCTTCGCATCTGTATCACAAATTATCACAAGAAATTGTGAAGCCTCATTTATTGAGACATCATCATATCAGCCACCATGACAGCAGAACTCCCAAATAAGCAAAGAGGCCGCGAGAAGGATCGCGCAAAGAGAACCAAGGATGGTGTCACTCAATTGCCGCGCAAAAAGTTCTATCGCCAGCGAGCGCATGCGAATCCTTTCTCTGACCATATGCTAGAATAGTATGGACGCAACCCGCTCAAACCTTTTCAACTACATTGTATCTAACATGTGACAGCCCCAAATCCCCTGATGACATGGATTGGTCCTCATACTTCCCTCACTACGTTCAGGAAGGTACACCAGAAGATTCATCAAAGCCTCCTCGTCTAACAAAAGATGTGGAAATCGTCGATATTGGTTGCGGATTCGGTGGTCTTACGGTTGCTTTGGCTCCCAAGATGCCAGACACTCTCACACTTGGTAAGTGGAGTAAGAATTCATCATCAGCGACTATGTACTGACCAATGTAGGTCTGGAGATTCGCACACAAGTAGCAGGTTATGTTCAAGAACGTATAAAAGCACTGCGATCACAGAGCTCGGACAACATGTATCAAAATGTTGCATGCATCCGAGCAAACACCATGAAGTTCCTTCCTAATTTCTTCAAGAAGGCACAGCTATCAAAAATCTTCATCTGCTTCCCCGACCCTCATTTCAAGGCCAGGAAGCACAAGGCCAGAATTGTGTCGACAACGTTGAACTCAGAGTATGCTTATGCACTTCGACCCGGTGGTATTGTGTACACCATCACTGATGTCGAGGACTTGCATCTGTGGATGGTTCAGCATCTTGAAGCTCACCCTGCTTTCGAGAGGATTTCCAAGGAAGAGGAAGAAGCGGATGAGTGTGTCCAGGTCATGTCAACTGAGACTGAGGAGAGCAAGAAGGTCACAAGGAATAACGGACAGAAGTATGTTGCGTTGTTCCGAAGAATTGAGGATCCCCCGTGGTAAACATGAAGTTAGCGATACTACCTAGTAATAATGCATTCAACTGTTACGTGATGGTCTATTTTATGCATGAATGTCTAGTCAGCTGGTCTAAGCTGGCATAAGGTAGCCAAATTATTTCGTCTCTTATGCTGTCAGCGGTCAATTCTTTTAACACCTTGACGTTTATCAACCCATGTTCTGGTAGGAATATGTAAACACTGTATAAAATTGATGAGTATTTCTCATCAAGCTGTACCTGCAGACAATCACTTACCAGTCATCGAGGAGGTGAGGGGTGCTGTCCAGGGTTCCTTGTCCCGCAGACTATTTTGACAGGGATCCAAGCAACAAAATGACAGCACCCGCTGTAATCGACAGCCACCACTGGACCTAAACTTAGCCTGCCCAGCCATAACCTCCACTACCTTAACGTCCAACCTACTATAGCACCACCGACTTCACCACTTACATCTATCCATCTTCGTTCAAGAATGTGGCTTTGAGGTCAACATCCTGGTGATGGCCCTCAAGCGTAGAGATGCTATTGTTGCAGGACTCGCTGCCTTCATAGCCTGGGGCTTTGCTGCGAGCTGGTCACCCATTCTCCGCTGGGCAGGCCATGCTTTTGTTGCTGGCTCATTCGTCACTCTGATCCTCCTCTTGGCCGGCCTCTTCCTTGTCTCGAGACATCCCAACGACCGAACCCTGCCACCGAATGGCGTCACCTTCCTAAATCTAAAATCATGGCGATCCGAGGTGCAGGCGTTGCGCCAGCGACAGTTATATACTCCAACCCAAATACAGCCCGAATCACCCCGCGTTGCCAAAGCTATTGACGATTTGCTCGGCCTGATAATCCGCGATTTTGTTAGCAGTTGGTATTCGAATATAAGTCGCAACCCGGCCTTTACGAACCAGGTCGATAAAGCTGTGCGCGATGCATTGCTGAGCTTGTGTGATATTCTGCGTGACAAAGATCTCGCAGACCTTCTGACCAGCCGTCTTGTTCCTCTGCTCACCGCCCACTTTCGAGATTTCTATGAAGCCGAGAAATCTGTACGAGGAAAGAAGCTTAATCGCTCAGTTACTGAATCTGAAGAGCTTGATCTGGCCATTGCTTCAAAATTCCGCGATGGGCGACTTCATCCTGCTGCGTCATTGTCGTTTCCCGACACCAAGATGGTACAACAAGACTATCTACGGTCTCTTGTCGCAAAGATCGTACCTCAAATACTCCCGGAGAATATGCTATCTAGTCGAGCTGTCTCCATCATTATTCGCGAAATTGTTTCATGCGCCGTTTTATTCCCCGTGGTTCAGCTTCTTGCCGAGCCTGATACATGGAATCAGCTAATGGAGAACATGGGTCGATCAATGCTGCAAGACAGGTCAACAGTACGCAAGCTTCGAGCAGCTTTGGACCAACATGCTCCTTCTACGCCGAAGAATAACAAATTAGCCTCCATGCCTAGGGTTGCGCCAGGTGATAGCGAGCGCAAGTTCGAAAAGTTCATCCGCGCGATTAGAAAGGTCAACAACCTGTCAGATGCACGTCGGTTTCGCAGCGAAGTTGCCAGTCAACTGAAGAGGGATTCTCTTGAAGATAGTCAAGACCAAGTCTACCTTCGTCGATTGGAGATGGGAAAGAGGCTGCTCGATCAACGGGTAACTCATCTAGCTGCTGGCGGTGAACGTCGTCCACCGGGGCCATTGCCTCTACCATCGACTACATCGACTACATCACAGTCCAAGTTGGAGAGTGCACCGTTGGTAGACATCTTGCGAGACCCTTCAGCACTTTCCTATTTTATGGAATACATGGATCGTCAAAATGTGATGCCGTTAGTACAGTTCTGGCTGGTCGTTGATGGTTTCCGAAACCCTCTAGAGGATGATGGCCCCGATGATGAGCTGCCATCAACCCTACCAATGTGGACAGACTCAGATCGTCAGGACTTACAGCAGATCAATCAAGCGTACTTATCAAGACCTGAGCTCAAGGTTCCCGACCATTCGAAGAATGAAGTAAAAGAGTTTATCAAGGCAGGAAAATCAGCCACTCCAATGCAATATTTTAGGGCCCGGCGGGCTATTCTGAAAGCGCAGAGCGCTGTTTTGGAAGAAATGCGTGCGCGATTCTTCCAGGGTTTCAAGAAATCTGATCTCTTTTACAAATGTCTAGCAGCTGAAGAAGCCGCCAGTATCCAGACCCTCAGGTCGACACCGCAACCAGAAGTACAAGCAGTGGCGGCCAACCGGGCTAGCAAGACCTTACCAGCAAAGCCAAGACCAGTGTCACGATTAACTACTCAACTATCCAACACGAGCAAACGTACAGGATCTGCTTCGGACTTAAGATCTCTTACCTCCAACGGCAATGGACGTGGTCACCGAGCCAGGCGCTCACTTGACGAGGGCTCTACAAACCCCTTGTTCGAAGACGACGACATTGATACCGACGGATTAGGAGATTCCGTGCAAAGTTTGGACCCCGAAGCGAACAGCCAGCAATTGCCGGACACCCAAGTTGTTCAGGCAGTAGAGGAGGCTTTCACAAACATCATGGAGGATGATCGTCCTCAGACCGCTGAGGATTTGCGTGCATCTCTCTTTGGAGGCGCCGGTGGCAGCAGTATTGGTGGCCTTGATGACAATACATCAAGTCTCTTCTCAGGTCAGGATAATGATTCTAATCGCGGTTCTCTGGACATGGGAGTGCGGCCATCCACATTCAGCAAAGAAGGGGAAAAACCAAGCCTCTCATCACTTGGTCTTGTCAGCGCGGCTTCACGAATTGGTGTCTTTGTCGATGATGATCTATTTGGTGATAATAACAAAGATCTCCCTGATGAGGGCGATCCCGACGAGGGCCCACCGCCCGATGACGAGGACGAAGTGCACGAAGCAGCGCCTGGAGACCTTGGACTGGCGGAAGCCATCACTGCACTTTCGAATGACATTGATCGTTTGGTAGCGCAAGAAGCGGTCGTTGAGTCCCTTACGCGAAAAGCAGAGTTGACAAACAATACCGCGGAGCTACGCATTCTTAGGAAGTCGAAAGCGTCTTTGCAAAGGGAGATTAGGCGCAAGGAGCTTCAGCGACAGCAATACGTCATCCAAGAAAGCGACAATAGTCTCTATGGCCGCTCCACTATCAAGATCAAATCCATCCAAGTAGGAAGGGAGGAAGATGGTAGAGAGTTCGCCCTATACGTTGTTGAAGTGCAAAGAGATGCTGGAGAGCAGATGCCCGCAGCTTCATGGGTGATTTCGCGGAGATACAGCGAGTTCCACGAACTTCACCAAAAGCTACGGTCCCGATACCCATCGGTTCGAAATCTCGACTTTCCTCGGCGACGTATGGTTATGAAGTTCCAAAGCGAGTTTCTACGCAAGAGGCGAACTGCTCTTGAGCAGTATCTACAAGACCTTCTGCTGCTACCTGAAGTTTGCCGCAGCCGTGAGCTCAGAGCATTCCTTTCGCAGAGTGTGATAACACAAGGCCAAGATATTCTGGATCGCGAAGACAAGAAAGATATGATGACCCGGTTGTACGATTCTGTTGCAGATGGCATGGACGATATCCTTGGAAACATACCTGTTCTCGACCAAATATCTGAAGCTGGCCAGAACCTAATTGCGGCGGCTACAAACCAACTCAACACAGTTCCGCTCAATGCTAACGAAGATAACTTCCCGGCTGCTGAGGCCGAAGCTGAATTGAACGCCTTTGAGAATAAGGAGCTTGAACCGTTCATCAAACCAATCTGCGACATCTTCCTCGAGATATTCGAGCTCAATAAGGGGAACAACTGGCTTCGTGGAAGAGCAGTCGTGGTTGTACTTCAGCAGCTTCTTGGTGGTACGATTGAGAGAAAAGTGCGCGATAATGTCAAGATGTTTGCGCAAGACGAGAACATTCTCAAATGTATCAGCTTGGTTCAGGACAGTTTATGGCCTGGAGGACAGATGCAACGAGACAAAAAGCCGCGCACAGCTGCCGAGAAGAAAAAGACACGGACTGAGGCGAGCTTGATGCTGGCTACACTGGTGCCAGATCTCGCAGGCAGTGTCGTAGGAAGAGTCAACGCGCAGGCAGCGAGCCGTCGTATTTTTGCGACGTTGAATAACTCGAGGTTGAAGTATGTCATCCAATCAATGATTTTCCTCGTGTGAGGTCTTGGCTAATATGCGTACAGTGCACATCTCGTATTCACCATGATTGATGAAATCATCTCGGTCCTATTCGAGGAACCTTAGGGCCCTAATGAAAAGATCTTCTTTATTATTCTCCACCAAGCAAGCATATGATAGAGCACAGAGCACGGCGTTAGGCGTCACTGGCAAGGAATTGAGTTGGGCTGAGATGCAATGATGAGGTGATTGGCGAAAATGACTTGTGGCTCCGTAACAAGAAACCTTTTTTCTAGGTATGCTGTTAATGAGTAACTCATAGATTCATGAGGGGGTGTTGCTGTTGATAATGACCAGCCACGGAATAATCATAATCACTGGATGGTTTCGCGACATGCTGTTGGTGATGATCAAGTTAACTTTACATGGAGTTTTCAACCTACTGCACACTGCACCACGTAGTACTGTAACCCGGCTTGTGCAGGCGGGTGCAGCATTAATGCAGGCAAAGGCGTTCGCATGTGACGCCAACGAAGCAGCTTCAGCGCCCAAGATAGCGGGATCCGGGGCACCTTCTCGATCTGGCGTTCTGCCATATCTGTCCGCCTTTTTGCCCCAGCCTCTCTCGTCGCGCGTAAGGTTTGAGGCTAAGCTTGTCCATGTCGTCTCTCTTCTCCTCTCCACCAACATCTTCATCATCATCGTCGTCTACCCGCCACCCGAGAAAACCCCGCGTTTTCTATATTTCTTGGTCCATCGCGCAACTGGCCCTGGACTTCTGGAATTTCATCTGGCTAAAACAACTTTCGATATTTTGCTCCTCCCGCTTGGATCCATCCTTCGCTTGATAACGCTCCTCTTCCTCCAACCGGCAACATGACGGAGGTATCAGCCACCCGGCTGTACTTGGGAAACCTTCCTCGCAATGGTCCGGACTCATCGCCCTGACGCTCCTACTCAAACCACTGACCTGCTGCCCAACAGCTACCAAATCCGACATCGAGGCTCACTTCGCGACTCATGGCACTGGAGAAATTACCGAAGTAAAGCTCATGAACGGCTTTGGGTTCATCGAGTACAAGGACCCAATGGATGCCCGCGATGTTGTGCCGGGTGAGTTATCCCCAAAATTTTTCTTGAAGCGTGGCTTGCTAATTGACTTTAACAGCATTCCGTAGGTCCCCGTCCTGTACCAACCCCCCTCGTCCTAGGCTAACTCGCGACTTTGAAAGATGGTTCTGATTTCATGGGAGAACGGCTCACTGTACAGTTCGCACGCGGTTCCCGGCATCGCGAGGGCGGCGGCGGCTTTGGCAACCCTGAGCGCACTGCGCCGCGGCCTCGTCGAACCCCTCATCGAATGCAGATTACGGGACTACCAAATGACACCTCTTGGCAGGTCTGTTTATCCTCCCCGTTCCTGATCGCTGGATTCCATGGACCTTCCCTTTGTGATTTGCGCGCATCTCTGGCTTTTCTGGTTTCGACCCATTGGAACTGCACCGGGATTAGTTCTAGGGGACAACAATCAAGGACCCCCTCCCGCTCTCCTGGTTTTGCTTCCTGGTTCTTGTCTTCACGGATTGCGCTTTCGTTTTGTGGATTACATGGACTCCCGGCATTTCCCTTTCCTGGATAGCGACTTACATGGATTCTGGAAATAGGACCTCAAGGATTTCGCACGTCAATCAAGTTTGGACGTAGTCTACTCTGAGACGGGCCGTGATTCGAATGGCCGAGGGTAAGCTTAGCCATCTTCTTGTTGATGTCTTTGATTAACATTCTTCAGATTTGTCGAGTTCGAGACTGCTGCGGACCTGAGGACTGCGGTTGAGAAGCTCGATGGACAAGAATTTAAGAAGCAGCGAGTCCACTGCGTTGCTGACGTATGACAAGGTAACCCCGTCTTGTTGTGGGAATTTGGTAATTGACTCGACGTTGCAGACTCAGCCCGACATGCCTCCTCGCGAGCGCGGCCGATCACGCTCTCCTGGACGACGCCCGTACCCCCCTCCCATGGACGATTACGACCGTCGCGGCCCTCCTCGAGGATACAGCCCCCGCCGAGATGGGTACGGCTACCGCGACCGTAGCCCGCGTCGCGATTATTACGATGACCGTGCTCGCTATCGATCTCCCCCTCGTCGTCCCATGGAAGACTACCCTCCACCTCCCCCTCGCGGTCGCTACGATGATCCTTACCGACGCGACTACCCTCCTCCTCCTCCCGACCCATACGCCAATGGGCGACCCCCATATGACCGACCTCCTCGAGATTTCCCCCCTCCTAGAGAGGCAGGATACCCACGAGATGGTGGCTATCCTCGAGACTATGACCGCGGTGGACGCTACTGGTAAATCCATATCCCATTACCGCTTTGGGCGCTTGCTTGGCGGGACTGTCCTTGACCGACGGTGTGCTAGATCTACCCCAACGAATATGCCAAATGGCGTGAAACAGTCACGACCTGTTTTAGGTAGGAAAGGGCAAGATTGAAAGGAGCGATTGGCAAACAAGTACGACAATGTATGACGACCGACTGGTGACGTTCTCAATAACCAAAATGGGAGAGGCAGATTGGAAAGGCGTCAGGTGCATGGCTTGCAGGATATATATATATAAGTCTACGACAGCCGGAAAAGTCCACGACTACAAAGGGTTTGACTTGGGTAATTTGAGCTATAGTGTATGACTAGGCCGGGGGGTAGTCGCGGGTTTATTTGCTTGTTGTTTTGCTGCTTGTTCTCTATAATCACATGTACATTGTGCCTTGGGGCACCACTCGTTAGCGCAAGGCTTATTAAATGCCAGTAACACTATATATTGGCATTGAGAAAAAGCAATCGAGCTTTGATTCTGTATTCCAAATTGGCGCTACTAACGGACAATGAGTGAAAATGGTACTCCAGATGTACTTCCTACGGCCACCCACTCCTGGCGCCCCTCATATGATACGAAAAGAAAGATGTCTCAGGAAGATTATGACTGTACGATGCGCTTATAAGAGATTATTGAGGATGGGAAATGCGTGGTATCAGGTATTGGTTATTGCGTCATGTATAATTGCCAAATTAGGCGGTCTTCTTCCACTGAGTGTAGACACCGATAAGACTGCTCAGAGTACCAGTCAAGCCGATAACACCATCGTCGAGGAACTTGTTGTAGCCAAGACCGGAAAGGGGAACCAGGATGTCGCAGAAATCGCAGAGAAGCTGTTTCTTGGCGGCGGCGCGCTCACTGGAGACAATTTAGTATATGCGGACGATAAAAACGCGAATGTATAAAGTGACTTACATAGTAATGGTCTTACTCTCGACAACGCCCTCACCTTCCTTCAGATCAACCTTTGATGCACGTACGCTCAGCTGGCGCAGAGTATACAGCTGACCGAGAATGCTGAAGGCGATACCAGCAGCCCAGGATCGGTAGGCCTCGTGCTGCAGGCGCGTAGCGTGCTTCCACGTCTTGATGCCGGCGGCGTGAGGAATGGTGAGAGAATCGCAGGCGAGGTAACCGGCGTAACCCAGCTGGCGACCGACCTGGGTGTACTTGAGGACTGGGTCCATGGACTTTGCGTCGGATGCAGTGGCAGCGGCCTTGAAGTGCTCGACGAACTTGCCGGCTCGGAAGACCTTTCGGAACAGGCCAAACTGCTTCTTGAGGGCGTTCCAAGGAGCGACCTTGTCTGGGGTTGCGTTCGTGCGGAGGAGGTACCAGGCGTAGAAACGAGCAAAGTACTGGAAGACTCGCATAAGCTTGTCGCGACCGAGGGTAGTGGCCATGTAGCGCAGGTAGTGCGCTACCGAAGGGTGGTAGATGACTGCGTCGGCGACCATGATGACGATAGTTTGGTTATATGGATTGATAGAGATGGAGCTTGAAGTTGTATAGAGCTATTATGCGACAGTACGGAATTACGACTTCACCAGTAAGAATCCAGCAATTACTGATGGGAGCTTGGACAGCGATTAAAGATGGAAAATGGGAAAACGGAGATGGAAGAGATAAGTTAAGTTTTCCAAGAAAAGCTGGGGAAACGCGAATGGAGTCAAAGTTTAAGGTGCAGCAATAGCAATCCCCACGGTACGGTTGGTTTAAGGTCCCCTAGAACGGTACAGTACAGGTTGGAAAGAACGTGGAGACGGAGACTTGACCGAGATGCCGAGGTCCGCTCACGAGAGCGGGAAAGAGACGAGGGAAAGGAGAATCTCATGCAAAAAAGTATTGCCTTTTTGGGTCTGGGGAAGGGGGCCAGGGGGGGGGGAGATAATTGCCTATCGAGTGAAGATAAAGATAAAAAGGCCGATATCCGTAAAATATCAATTACTGAATGTTATTTGCTTCTTGCTTTGTCTTCTTTACCTTGATCATATTCATATGACAAAAAGATGCACTTAATATCTTCGGTAAGCTTCAAATCAGGAACTTAACGACGGCACATGACCCGAGGTTTCGGGTTCAAGATCAATGCAACACAGTACCGTAGGAACAAAACGGGGGGAGCTTGGCGCCATTCGAGTTGTGCCTCGGAAACTGTCCGTCAATGGAAAGCAAAAGTGAGGGAGGAAGCCCGAAGGAAGAGGCTGCTATCAGCTGCTAGAGCTCCAACGCAACTCAGCTGGAACTCTCAAGGTGATACATGTCCGGCTTATCGGATACTGCTTTGATCCGGTTCCGGTTATAGGAGGTAAAGGTCCATCGGGCGGGACTGGGACAGCGGAAGGAAGATACGACTCGAGGAAGGAGCGCATGAATAATATATCAAGACTCGGTATTGCCTAAGGCGGACATCCAGACGTCAATTGAGGGAAGGTAGAAACAAGGTATGAGATAAGACTTAGAATTTCCAACTTTTTTATTCTGTTGAATCCAGAGTCAAGAGTCAAACCCCCAAACCCACTTATCGCTGCCTCACTTCGGTGTTTTATGATGATCTTCCTCTGTCCTCTCCAGTCTCCAACAGATCAACCCCCGCTTAAACGTCAATATGAGCGAGCCACCCCCACTACAGTAGCCTGGCATGGCCACAAGGCCATGAAGAAAGTGAAGAGACAGCGGGTCTGAGCAGTGGCTGTGACGACAAAGACTATTCCCCCATCGCGATGTCTTTATTTCTCTCCAGAAAAGTTGAGGTTATGATGTATGCTCCTCGGGGAACAACCCCCGAGACTCTCTCCAAATGTGGGGGAAGAAACCGGAAACCATGATGGAGAGGCTCCCCCGTAGTGTACGGATACAGACTACAAACTACAATTGGGGGAGACTTTGGAGACTGGAGACCCCGGGAAATCCTCTTGCTACCGCTTCCCCTCGGCCGGCTGGGCGACTGAAAGGTCACGATGGTCCATGAGATTCCGATATTCAGGCGCCCTGGTTGGTGCAAATGCCCATTGCTATTACATGAGAGTTGAGGCTGCTGGCTTTGAAGTCTCCATAGCCGTACTCGCACGGATGGGGCCGTTGATGGCCGCCCCCCGGGATGCGGGCGTATCATTGATTGGCATTGGATGGATCGTCATCCGTCAATTGTCGTCAAGTTGTTGCGTTGCGTTGTTGCGTCGCTTTGCTTTGCGCTGCTCAGACACTTTTACATAAACTTGACCCCGTCTCCCTTTTCGTCGCGTGCTTCTTTCTTTTCTCCCTCTTCTACTTTTTCCTCCCAAACTTCACGATACCCTCATACCCATCCAACATAACCTCTCTTGTCGGCTTAACCATTCCTTCGGTATAAGCTCTTCTCCAACTTCCCCTCCCGCCGATCAACCTTCATCCTCCCATTTTCAACCCGAAATCATACACAATGGCTACCACCGCCAGCGGACAAGAAACCGAGAAGGTTAACACTAACATTGTTACCCTTACCCGCTTCCTCACTGAGGAGCAGGCCAAGCACCCTGAGGCTACTGGTGACTTCACGTATGCTCATGTGACCCCCCAATTCTCATGATAGCCTCACTAACGACCCCTCAGTCTATTGTGCCACGCTCTCCAGTTCTCCTTCAAATCCATTGCCTACTACATTCGACGCGCCACCCTGGTCAACCTCACTGGTTTGGCCGGTTCTTCAAACAGCACTGGCGACGACCAGAAGAAGCTCGATGTCATCTCCAATGATCTCTTCATTGAGGCTATGCGCTCTTCAGGCAAGTGCGCGCTGCTCGTCTCCGAAGAAGAGGATGAGATCATCTACTTCAAGGACGCTTCCGATGCCCGCTACGCTGTCGCCTGCGATCCCATTGACGGTTCCTCCAACTTGGACGCCGGTGTCTCAGTCGGTACCATTTTCGCTATCCACAAGCTTCCCCCAGGCTCAAAGGGCTGCAAGGAGGACATCCTGAAGCCCGGTACCGAGTTGCTCGCTGCCGGTTTCACCATGTACGGTGCCTCTGCTCAGCTCGTCATTACCATGAAGGGCAGCACCGTTAACGGCTTCACCCTCGACAACGGCGTCGGCGAGTTCATCCTGTCTCACCCCAACATGCGCCTGCCCAAGTCGCGCGACATCTACTCTTGCAACGAGGGTAACTCACTATACTGGGAGGAGAAGACCATCAACTACTTCAACTCTCTGAAGCAGGCCCAAGAAAACGGCAAGCCTTACAGCGCGCGTTACATCGGTTCCATGGTTGCTGATGCTTACCGAACTCTATTGTACGGAGGTATCTTCGCTTACCCTGCCGACAAGAAGAGCCCCAAGGGCAAGCTCCGTATCCTTTACGAGTGTGCGCCCATGGCTCTTATCTTTGAGAATGGTTAGTCAATCGCATTATTCACTTAAGGTCTCTTTACTAACGCTCTTTTAGCCGGTGGTCAAGCTGTCGACAGCAAGATGAACCGTATGCTCGAGGTGGTGCCCGAGAGTATCCACGACAAGGCCGGTATCTTCATGGGTAGTTACGACGAGGTCGAGAAGGTTAAGAAGTTCCATCTGTAAAGGGTGAAACAAATACGGCGCTTTGGCATGGGATTGCAAATTTAGTTGAATATCAAAAAGCGAACCTCATGAGTGAATGAGCAATTAATGATCAAATTTATCATATATATTTCCACCATCATACTGAGTGTCGTCATGATGAGATGTCATGATCGTGAGCCATCATGCGGGCGGTTTAATTGGACATGTCACCGCCGGACCCCGTCTGTCATACAAATGGCGTGACATGGCTTTCCAGTCCCCTGGTTCAATTCATGTCCGTACAAGCCCGTACGGTCGATCTTGATCTTCAATTACCTTGCAGACACTGCATTCACCCCTGGGAACCATATGCGGGAACTACCAGCACCGCTGTTCTTCAAACAGGGAACTCTATGGATGCGACCGCTGTACTGGGTTGTCTCCATCAGCAGTAAAGGGTATTCGTCAGACAGTCAATTAATGGTACCCTGACGTAGTCAACTCCGGTCTTCCTAAGGCGAAGAATACTTGTACCCAAACTGCTCCTTAGCCTCATCAACAATCACTTTAAGGTCCGCACGTTTCTTCCTTGTATCTTCATCAACAGGATCCAACGCCGTCGGCTTGTCCTCATTAGTGGGCAATAGCATGCCACGTCTCACAGCAGGTCTCTCGAGCATACGAGCAAACCACGCCTTCACGTTGGGATAATTGTCCCATGAGATGGTAGTTCGTGGTAGACGATCAGTCCAGCCGATGAGAGATATGTCAGCGATAGAGTAGCGACCTCTGCCTGGACCGACGATATAGTCACGATCTGAGAGGCGCTTGTCTAGGACACCGTAGAGACGTTCTGTTTCTCCAACATATCGCTGGATGCCGTATGGCATTGTAGACTTGGCGTCGTAGAGAAAGTGTAAAACTTGACCATGCCTGATCACATGTTAGTGGAATACTCGATTCATGGTAGAAGACAAGACACTTACATAGGTCCAATTCCTCCATGCTGCCATCCGATCCACGATTCCGCTCGTGTGTAATCATCATCATCACTCCTAAACGAGAACTTGTATTCCGGGTCGTACTTTCTCGTCAAGTAGCTCAGTATGGCATTCCCTTCAAACACAGCAAGATCATCGTTATCATGGTCTACCAAAACTGGGATACGACCATTAGGGTTGATAGTTGTGAACCATGGCTCCTTTTGAATCTTTTTGCCAATATCGATGTCTTGGATGGTGTAATCCATGCCATACGCATCGCGGAGCTCTTCGAGGAGGATCTGGGCTTTGAGACCATTGGGTGTGCCCCAGCTGAGAAGTTCGATGCCCTCGGAGGCGATGAGACCAGTTGGTCGGGGCATTGAGTAGTTGCGTTTAGGGATATTGAGTAAGACTTTGAGATAAATCGAAGTGTTAGATGTGTTAATGAGTTTGATAGTAGGGTAAATGCATACACAATGGCTTGGTGAGAGTTGGATATCTCTTCATGGTGAGGCGTATGGATGCCATATTTATCACTTTGAGCTCCCAACGGTGTCTTCTTCAGTAACAAATCAGCTGCAATTCACCAATAGCTTCAACAATCGAATTCTCGATCCATTCTTCCCACAGCTGAAGCATGATGCTTACAAACAATGCTCTGGGTGTGCTTACTCATCGATGAAGTCTCGGAATGGTTATACATTTGGAATCATATCTACCTAACCTGGACACAACTTTCGACGACACTTTGCAAACATCACCAATACTAATGCAAACCTCTTGAAGAGGACTCTCGGACTAAATCAAAGACCCTTCCGGAGCAAAAGCACCTGCATAACAAAATTGAAGTGTTGCTAAACGTGGACCGTTACAGTCGCCTCATTATCCACATGTTGGTTCTATCAAATCTTCACTGAAACAAACAAGAAGACCCAGAATTACACACAGACAGTGGATCTTGACGCGCGGTAGAAGCGAAAAAGAAGAATTAAATCTGCCTCACCAGTTTCAAACACTTATTAGTTGACGAGATCGGGCCGTTGTTTCTATCTCTTACCGCCTCTCATCCAGGGTAGCTCCAAGCTTCAACTAACAGGTGCACGGTTGGAATAGTTCCAGATACAGTTAAATGAGAAGTTTTTTTCTTCTCTGCTGTGAAAAAGACTACTAGGAGATCCATGCTTTTTATAAGGGTCCAAAGTCCCATCTGTTTGATACAGTCTAGAATTGTTCTACGAGTGCACGTTTGTGTATAGCTTCTTTGCTAAACTCGGCGACTACGAAGTATCAACGATAACCCTGCTGGTGATCATTCTTGCTGTGGAGTTAACTTGGGAATAATAGAGTAAGGGTCCTGTCCTGAGCTTCAGTTATCGTCTCCTCCGAGAGAGCCGCCCCGGTCGTCCGGGTCAATCCCAGGTCATTGTCAGGTGAGAGTCAAGCAACAAGATGATAGCTTCACGGTCAGTGAAAGTGCACATTGACACGTCGTCATAAGACGCCTGGTATTGCAAATTGTAATGCAATGCAATGTTGCATTCAACTATTGAACGAACCAGCCCCTGTCTGTCTGTTCTCTGTACAGTCGAGTATCTGGCTAGAAAGAGACAAGCATCTACGTCACTATCATGAGGTACGAGAGCTCTGCTTAGCAATTGGGTTCTGACTTTGGGCTGCAGAGCGCCCGCCTCAAAAGCCAATTACAGTTCCCCACCCTTCATCGATCCTTGGGCTGACAACTATTGGATAGACCCTCGAGCTGACGGCTGATGGTACCCTTGGGCTTGGGACGGAGAAAGACAGCGAGTGGACAGAGCTGGCAGCCCATTGTAATGTGATAATGCAGCTCTGCGGCCTGAAAATGGTAATTCCAAAGGGAAACAACAACACCACAACCCATTCCCTTCCTTTCTGCTTTTCCGCTTCCATTTATCCGTTCTCCTCTACTCACTGTGTGCTGCGTCTTCTACACCAGAGCAAATCATGTCAATATGCAGTGCATGGCCCCCAAAAGTGCAGGGCAACGGTGTGAATCAGTCCCAGAAAACAGGGAAACTATATCAGAAGCCTGGTTGGAATCTGCAAAAAGAAATCCCCGACAGGCGCCAAGGGTCTCGCGGTAAGATAGATGGGTTTACCGGGTAGATCTGTGACGTCTTTCCATGCCCCGAGCTCGTTAAGTCCAGCACTCCGTCTGAACTCCATGCTATTTCCATTGACGTCTTTATTGAAGCTATGTTCACGACAATATCCTGTTATTCAAGCATTCAAATGGCATGTTTGCACAGAAGCGGGCGGCGCGACAAGACCACATCAAGACAAGGGCACTTCTGCACTTCTGATGGCTTCAAGCCGCTGAGGTAGCTCCAAGCTCCCTTGGACCTCCACTGCCATTCTGTCTTTCAGCGGTTGGTTTCACCCTAAATGAATAGTGTCTGTTCGCCGCCAAGAGCTCTGTTTGCTTCATTACGGACACTCATCCGAGACAGCCCATTCGTCACCTTTCAAGCTAACATGAAGCTCTTGACGGGACGACACCAGTAAAGCTTGGCTTGGTTCGGCGAACTGAGCTTGGAGTTCTGGTGGCTTTCTGTCGCAAAGACCACCCTGAGTTTTCAGTCTAAAATGAAACCAACCTAGACGTCTCGCTTTCGATAAATCGGGTAAACGATTCTATCAAGATTAGTCACCCTGAACTACCGAAATCGCCAAGTGACAGTGCTGTAGCTGTCCCCAACCTGCTAACGTTAGCTACCTGTAACTAATGCTAACCTAGCGACACCGGACGGTATGTCGTGGCTTTCGGTTGGCGGCACCGGTGAGAGCCGTCCCTATACTTTAGACATGGAGCCAAGGAGATTAGACGCAGTCGAGTTGAGACACGGCTTGATCTGCTTGTGGAGTGAGCATGATACTATTCGCCAGGTTGCGAATCCATCGTAAACAGATAGATGATGGAGTCGTGTTAAGGGCGTCTTGACCATAACGGCGACGATCTTCTTGATACTAGTGAATGAGTCAACAGACGGCGTATATTGCCCGTTCCATACACTCAAAACCTTGGGATAGCATTCGGCCGAGCCAAAAGATCCCAATTTAAACGCATCGTTGGAAGAGGCTATCCCATCTGGAGCCCGATTTGTTAGCTGTGATTGATAATCAACACATGTGACGGAACGGCATTGTAGAGGATGTACCGGCATTTCTGGGGGCTAATCTTTTAGCTTAACACAAGATCGCCTTGTTTATTTCAGCTTAGACAGAAGGAGTTATACTTCGCGCTCTCCATCGTCATCGCGTTCTCAGAAATGTAGACAAATTCCTGTAGTTGATGGAAGAGCGGAACGAAGAGCCATTGCCATCGACAAAGATAGAATACCATGAAATTCAACGATGGGTAAATGGTAAAGTCAATCTGGTAGCGGCCACATGAAGGCGTTGAGGCGCAAGATAGCCTTTTGGTACTAGGTGTAAACGGAAAGAAAAGATGAATCATCGCGGCAAAGGAAAAGATGATGCCTGGTCGGTCAAATCCGAAAGATGGGGAAATGACGTGCAACAGGCACAAGGCAGATTTTAGAAGAGAATGCGAGGTTTCGTATTGGTATTGAAGGTGTTGCGATGTTGGATTGTTGGTGGACAACTCAACTCATTGGATTCATGCAGCGCAACGAATTGCTACACGGAAAAGGGTATCAAGATGCAATTGCACAAGGACCACGAACAAAGTCCCTAGAGGCTGAAACATTTACTAGACCGGTGATGCTAAAAGCGGAGGAAGATACTCTGTACAGCTTCAGCTTCAGCCTCCTCCACGAAGCTATCCTCGAATGATGGAAATATGAGACCCAGGGCGTGTCTTGACTTCTCCGCTAGTTACAGCCTCAATGAAGAAATGACGGAAGAGCGATGGCTTCCCAGCCTGTCGGCTACCACTCGGCGAGATTCCCATGCGGCCGTTGACTTTTGTGTGTGAGTGTCGCAATCAATGGGTGCATCTGTTTCTGCTTGACTTGTACGGGAAAGCAAACAACAGACAGTCAAGAGAAAGGCACGGTACGTACAGTACTCTGTAGACAGACTGGATCTTGCTTGGCTTGTCTTGGGTCTTGGGGTCTTGGCTGGGCTGGCAGGTCGGGCTTGGGTTGGTTGAACTGAGGTCAACGAACGAGAACGAGACGCCCCCTGGTCCTCCGCCTTTTCAACACTGCAAAACGCTCTTGCCCACGTTAAACTGGCGGACTTTGGCACCCCGGTCGAACCTTCCCCACTTGAATCACAGGGCGGGGATGATCGAAGCAGGGGCCCCATGTCCTGTCCTGTCGCAGCGCAGCAGACAAGACAAAAACTACGTACCTTTTCATTTTCCCGAACTGGGCTGGGCTATCTTTAGCACGTAGGAGAAGTAACAAGTTCACAACTTATCACCAGCCTCATAGCGGAGCTAAAGCCAAAGTAGCACATTCCAAAAGAAGGTGTCATGTTGCGCTCCGAGGGGGCTCGGCCGGTAGAAACGTGGCGGAGTCGACTTTTACCAGGACCCAACCTCATGATGGGTCTCTGCCAGAAAATCTCCCCGTCTCCGTCTCCGTCTCCGTTCCGGGGTAGGGAAAATCAGAGTTTCCGGATCCCGTTGATCATACTGCTTCACCGATTGGGGTTTTTACTATTGCTCTCTGAATGGACTCATCCAGTAGAAATCTGCGCAAAATACTGCTGCCTACCGGGGGAACCAACCCCAGAGAAGAAAGAGGTTATGACTGCCAATCGCATTCATCCTCAGCCTGGTTGACGAACAGGTCAGGTCAGGTCAGTGGTTCAGGTTCATCAACGTGACTCTATATTGCATGCCAGCCAACCGAAGTAGCAGTGGTACCGCATTTCGCATTGTGTATCCATGTCTCAAACTAATATTTTGCCTTTTTCGGGCTGTCTACGACTGCTACCCTTACAGAGTAACACTCTGCGCTGGACATCCATTGTCGGGGAAGATCGCTACGCTGCAATGCACCAGCGTATTCCCCAAATTAAATCCGTATCTCAGCCATGATGATCATCCCAACGAATCGCGGCCGACATGATGAACTGTCCAGGAACGCGTAGAGCACAGGCACGGGTGCGGGTACGGCAAGCAGAAGGAATGCTACCTTGAAGGAGACGAGGAAAACAAGATTGCAGTCGTGGGCTTCGCCTTGTGGTCGCAGCGGCACAGCAGGTTACAGTACCCCGAGGCCCTGTCTCTCGAGCATCGTCCACCGGAAGGATGTTACATTTCTCGAGCCGAGACCCAGGACGATGAGTCGAAAGGTAAAGTGACAAGGGGTTGGAAATGCCCTGCTGTTGCAATCAATCCCTTGTAAATTTTCTCGCTCTTCTCTCA